AGACTTACTCCATGAGCCTCTGTTTCGCTACTGCCTCACTTGACGGACGCTACAACAGAGACTCATAATCCAAAGTACTCAAAAACTGGCGCTCAGGACAACTTTTTGTCCTACCAATCACAGAGCAGCTTTTCAAAATACGGTTTTCTGATTGGCTGGCACCTCAATTTCTTTCATAACGAGGTATCTTTTTAAAAACATCCTAACCCCCGTGTTGTTAGCGTTACAAAATATCACTGTCGAGAAATGGCAGAAAACTGTTGGCTGTTTTCGAAGATTTTGAAAGTGAATTCTATTGCAAAGCGTACAATGAAAAACACGTTTTTGCGTTCGCCCTCTACTGCATATGGAAATACTTTGTATCATTTTTGTATGAACTTTTTGTCCCGAGGATATGCCTTAGTACACTCCACTCTCAGAAGTATCGCGCTGGCTTGACGAAAAGAATTAAATGACGACAGCGTTGAAAACAACCTAACCAGTGAATTTTGAACTTCACCTTTGTGAAGCCACTAGGCGCTAGTTTATAGCCAAGAACCAATTTAAAAAAAAACTTTAAAAAATTAGCAACACTTTTCATCAAATATTTGATAAATTACTTTAAAAGATCGAAGTGTCGATTTTTTTATCGGAGAACCTTGAAACCATAGTTAAACAGGTTCGATTTAATCAAAAATAATGATTACAACTTTTGTTAAACAGGATAAGATAATTTTGTATTTCCATACAAATTTATAATAATTCTGTCAATGATACACCAACAACCGTTAGAATTAATTGATCCTAGGGATTTCCTGTCGACGATACGTAGAGTAAAAGGACTTTTCCTTCATACACCTAAGGAATTTTTCTAATCCCAGTCCAGATAAATTCGGGCCTACCTACATGGAGAATGCACCCTGATATTGGAGAAGTTCAGACAATAAACACCACAACTCAGTGAATATAATTAGTATATACCAAATTCAATTGGATGCAAGCATGTTTACTACAACATAATAAACAGTCAAGACAAAAAGTCACTTTGACAAAACTGAAGTTATAAATGATACTATAAATGAGTTCATATTATATTCTTGAAAAAGTCCACAATGAAATTTTACTTTATTGGGAGAATTGTCTGTCTTCATTGAGTTGTCATCTAGAACATAGACATAACAAAAAATTACTCACAATAACAAGAGGCACAACTTTATCCATTTTAATATCCTAGTTTTTGCCGCGGTCCTAGCTACAAGGCCTAGTTCAAAATTTGGCTTAACTTACTATACTTGAAAGTGACATCAAAATTGAACTGGTCTGGAAAATTTATCGGTAGAATAAACGCCTTGAAAAAAATCGGCCCTTGTTTTTGACCTTCCTGAACCAAGCCTTTCTCCTTCAGTTACTTATCTATCTCCATTAATTTGACTTAAGATATCATCATGGAGCTAACAAACTTATCCACGTGTTTGTTGCCAGCCACAAGGCACAGTAATTCACGCAAAGAAGTGAAATAAATTATAAAAATCTTTCTACATGACTTCTTTGAAAAAATTACAGAAGAATACTGCAAAAAGGATAACTTACTGTTGCAAAGTCTTCACTGTAACTGCCACACCAGAGAAAATGCAATTCCCAGAGAAAAGAAGAAAAAACCATCCATACGTACGAAAAAACTAACATCTTTACACGCGAATGAAAAAGCTGTGCAAATGTGCAAATCAGGGGGGTGGATTTGGAAATATTTGAAAAGAAATCGAGAACGAGACAAAATTGAAGTTGCCAGTTTTTGAGTACTTTGGATTATGAGTCTCTGTTGTAGCGTCCGTCAAGTGAGGCAATAGCGAAACAGAGGCTCATGGAGTAAGTCTACTACCCTCCCCCTTTTCTCCTTTACTCACTTTTCTGGCTCCAACGAGCCTCGACTTGAAGATATGGTCATAGATCCGAAGCTAAGGACTCAACAGATGTTGGACAGCTAAAGCAAAAATGGCCATAGACGTAGACAAATGGATTGAGATCACAAAAGAATGCAAATATCTGCCTGAAAATGATCTGAAGGTATAGATACTTTAAAGGCTAGAATATTATTGCGGCTGTAAAGATAAGTAGCGTATGGATCGTGTAATCAAAAGCTATTTTATTGGCAGTTCCTTTTGAGCAATTTCTTCCAAAAAATGAAATGATGTCTTCTTCCGCGAATTTTAAAAGAGATCTACAAGTTTAAGTTATCAATACATCTTATTAACAAATTGTATTTCAGCTAAGTTCTATTTCTACGTAAACGTCTAAGTTTATGGGGCTGACTATTGCAACAGCCGTGTGAGACTGGGTTTAGTTCGGTGCTTGCACTTAACCTAGTCCCAAATTTCGAGTTGTTACAATCTAGTTACAAAATGACTGACTTTGAAATTTTAAATTTCATGGATTCTAATTTATTAGAAAACATGTATTTTGTAATTATCTTGGCAGAAAAAATAATTAGTCCTCCATTAGAATAGACAGCAATGTTTCTTCAATTGCCTACTTTGATTTAAATTCCTATAAAGCACATAACCTTCAGTTGATATTTATTCACAACTTGTTTGTTTATTTAAACTTTGTAACTTATCACAAATGTTGAATCAACTGATTGATTGAGAACCCAATGAAATCGGTATGCTCTTCAAAGCACTGAGTCATGATAAATAGGCCTTCTGTTTATGTATATCCATCATAAACATAAGGATGCATTTTTATGTTAGCATTGAGATGTAGAACCTTGATTTCAGCTTCATAATTTACTGGTCAATATCTGGTATAAATTTTACATGGATCCAACTGGTTGATTGAGACCCAATGAAACAGATATGCTCTTAAAAGCACTGAGTCGTGATAAATAGAACTTCTCTGTATGTATGTCCATCATAAACATAAGGGTGCATTTTTATGTTTCAGAAATTATGTGACTATGTCAGTGACCTGCTTCTTGAAGAATCAAATGTTCAACCAGTGCAGACTCCTGTCACTGTTTGTGGTGACATACATGGCCAAGTATTCCTATAAATTACATTTGCTTTATTGAGTATTTTATTATTTGTTCCCATCAATATTATACATTGGTCTGTATCCTTACAATTACAGAATTAGATTAAGTTAACACCATTCTAGGCTGAACTGTTGAAAAAATACTCTCGATAACATTGAAATTACTGCTAGCCATCTCACAAAATCAACTTGATTTTGTAAATGCTTGAAGTATTTAACACACAGATATGAAGTAACTTTTAGTTTAGATGTTCTCAAAATTTGTTATCATCATCATCAATAAAATGTCTGTGTGTTCATTGTGCATCCTTTAATGAAATATTCAAACTTTGGCAATATTAAGGAGCAAATAGTTGTTGCATGGTGTCACATTTGAATATATGTATACTGAATTCATATTAATTTAGTCTCAAATTTATCTCTTTAAATAACCATGCATTTGAGATAATTGACATTGCAGATATATAAAAAAGGTTTATATAATATATGAATTAAAAGCTTGTGTGCCTTTTTGATAATAACATGATAGTTTTTCATCATACCTTAGTAAATGTGTTTTCTTCTAGTTTTATGACCTAGAGGAGCTGTTTAGAACAGGGGGCCAGGTTCCGGATACAGCTTACATTTTCATGGTATATATGTTTATAATATCAAGCTAATGCTTAGATTTTTCTAGTTGCTTGCTCATACATATATTTTCATTAAACTGTAGAATGACCAAACTTTGAAAACCCCTACAATCTGACATTGATTTCCTCATCACATTAGTGCCAAAATGAGGCAATACTTTTTACACAAAGCAAACAACACTATAATGCAGAAAAATAACAATATGGCTGTAAAACCATCAGCTTCTTAGTTCTTGATACCATTCACAGGATTGTAATCATCATTTGAGAATTATTTTGCCAGATCTGTAGACTGAAGTTAAGTTTTAGGTGAATTTGTTTCTGGAAGGTTTCTCTAAGGAGAATTCTATGTTGGACAAACCATTACAAAATCAACAGAACATTTTTAAGACCCAACAGTTTAGTTCTTTTTGCTAAACTGAATGAATGGCATTCCTTTTATGGATTTTACCTTTGACAGCTCAAAAGACAATAATTTTGTTTTTTAGGGTGACTTTGTAGACAGAGGTTACTATAGTTTGGAAACATGGACAAGGCTTTTAACATTAAAGGCTAAGTAAGTTTTATTGGCTCAAATTGACTAGAGATATTTAGATGCATATGTTGAAGTAATATGTTGATGTCTTCATAAAGGGAAAAGTTAACAGCGTCAAAAACAGAATTAGAGCAACAAATTTCCTTACATGTTAATTTAATATTTATGTTTCCAAAGAAAAAAACATTGGTTCCTCTTTCTTTCCAGATGGCCAGACCGCATAACACTTTTAAGAGGAAATCATGAAAGTAGACAGATAACTCAAGTCTATGGATTTTACGGTAAGCTTTGTTTGGTTTTTGTGTCAGTAAGGTAACTAGGATTTTTTAAAGATATGCAATGTTGAAGGGACAGTGTCCTGATTTGTAAACATAGCACTACTTGCAGGGCTACTCATGTGTCTATTGGGTGAAATTTGCACCATTAAAATGGTTACAAATTGAAAAAAACAGAATGATGAAAAAATTGGTTTCAATCATCTTGCAAGACAGATTTCAATGATGCCTGAAAACCCTCAAACATATTGATAAGTCTTTGTGCTATGACACTTATGTTTGACTTAGCGTGAGGATGGAAACACTTAAAAAATTCAGTTGATGAGCTTGTATTGCAAGCACACATTTTTGTCTGCCTGTAAACTTATGTTGATAATAAATGATCTTTTTAAACTTGAAACCAAAACCTCTTATTTTTTGTCCTTGCACCCACTAAAGTCCATATAAACCAAAATTCCATCAAATTATATATTTACCTTCAACTTATAAAAACCATTATCCATCATGCGGAAATCCAAACACTCTGCTTGATGCATATTGATTTCCGATAAAGTTTGACCTCATTTGCTGTGGTGGATTCATCCTCATTACAGATTTGTTTTATTTGAAAATTACTCTGAAAGAGTTTCTTCACTTAGTTGACAAAGTTTTGTCTACAACTGGTACTATAGGATCCATTCTCTAGCATATTGACCTAAATAAAAACTAGATTGTATCAAACCATTTAGTTTTATTGACTTCTGCTTCTGGGTATTTCACACATCAATGAATTGGTCAAAGTTTTCCTGTATAATTGCTGATATTGATCCATTTTTATCATTTTAGATGAGTGCATGTCAAAGTATGGCAATGCAAATGCTTGGCGTTATTGTTGTAGAGTTTTTGATCTTCTCACCATTGCTGCAGTAAGTATTTATTTCTCTGATTGAGTGATTTTATTGAAAAAAGCTTGTGCTCATAAGGCCATACCTAAGCCAATTTGCATTACATTTAGGCCTAACTCATTTTGTTTACTTTCTGTATTTGTTTACTTTCTTTATGCTATTTGGTCAATTCAGGTATTTTATGCTATTTGGAACATTGATGAAGCGAAATGAGATTCTGCACCACAAGATCTATAAATTCAATTAAAAATACATGGTTCTTAAAGGCTCTCCTCTAAAAAAGTTGTTTTGTTGAAATAACAAAGAGTAGCAAAGTACAAAGTAAATATATATGTATTTTTTAATTCTAGATTATTGACGAAGAAGTCTTGTGTGTCCATGGGGGCCTTTCTCCAGATATCAGAACTATAGACCAGGTGTTGTTTCTTTTTAATGAATGATTCTCAATGAATTATTTTGAGCATTCTCCAGCTTCTAGAATTTTATCTACTTAAGAAATTTTCAATCTGCCAACGAATTCAAGCAAAAGAGATACAAATTATGAATTAGCAGTTAGGTTGGCAAGAAAAACTTTGATGCTCCCTTTTTCAAAGATTCTAAGCATGTTTCTCAATAATCTTCACCCTAGGCCGCCTAATGATCTATTTTGCTTACTTTTATTGGGTGTTTATTGAAATCTGATTTGTTAGTGCTTGAAAATTTCCTATGTTCTGACATTTTTTACCTTGAAGAGAGTCAGATGGAAAGCTTTATTTTTTTCAAAATGTTTGCTTTCTTCAAAGCCATTTTAAATTTTTGCACCGCCAAATATTATTTGCAAATTACTGGGAAAGTTAAAAATATGACAGTGCTTGGTCCAATCAAAGGTATATAGAACTTGATGCTACTGCTTAAATGTCTATGTTTATTATCAGTCTTAAAGGTTATACTAGATAAATGATACGAGAGCTGTATGTTTATTTATGTTGTGGGAAAACTTCATGATTCTTATTTCAATTTTAGATAAGGACAATAGAAAGAAATGTAGAAATTCCTCATAAAGGAGCATTCTGTGATATCCTTTCAGCATATCTTTGAATTTTTCTTTGTATGGCTGATAATTGTGTCAGCATTTGAATTATCTAAGTCTCTTTAATATATTTAAAATAGTCTTAACTTTTGTCTATGAATGAATTGAGAAGACAGACAAGACCTTACTTAGCCTATGTCAAGAGTAATTATTGATTCAAAGTAGACTTTATAGAAAATTTGTTATGTGTATTCTACTTGGCATCGAATCATAAACTGCAACAGTCCCTCCTATCCCTTCTTAAGTTTACCCAGCTCCACTTTGCTCTATTGTGCCATTGTTTAGTATACCATGACGTTTGCAATCCTTGACATTTGACACATTTGGTTTGGTCAGACCCTGAAGATGTTGAAACCTGGGCCGTTAGTCCACGAGGTGCTGGGTGGCTGTTTGGTGCAAAGGTAGCGAATGAGGTAGGTATTTCCTTCGTTTTTATCCAAAATTGACCGCGATACATGTTTTTCTTTGGATTTTGTATTGTTTCAAAGAATGAACATTTTAAAGAAACAAGCAACGGGAATAAAGACCTCGTAATTTTGTAGCAGTTATCAGAAAGTTTCCCCTCTTTTTATTTTTATTAAACAAAAGGCTCAGCCTTATCTTTGGAAACAAAATTTGCAGCATTTTTTGTCAAGAATGCAATTAGTATGTTAGTTGTAGACATGCATTACAACTCCACCTGAAAGCGTTTTAGATCTTTGAAATCTAGAAATAACTCTTTGAAGAGCAGTATAAAACGTTGATGATTGCGAAAGCGTGTGAATTTTTGATTGTGAAGCACGTTGATGATTGTGAAGAGCTTTTAAATGCATTTGATCTCCATCTTGAATTAACTCCGTGGTTTACTGACTTCTTTTTGTTTCAGTTTATTGCAGCGAATAAGCTAAGCCTGATCTGCAGAGCTCACCAACTTGTACACGAGGGTTACAAGTACATGTTTGATAGCCATCTGGTCACTGTATGGTCTGCGCCAAATTACTGCTATCGTTGTGGTAATATTGCGGCAGTCCTTGAATTCACAGATGCAAAAACCAGAGAAGCGAAACTCTTTAGTGCTGTTCCTGATGCAGAGAGAGTTGTGCCTCTCAGAAATGCTTCACCTTACTTCCTTTGACGTCATATTTTTTCTCTGTTTAGTGATAATGTGTAGAATTATTTACCTATTGTATCTTTTCCCTAATAGAACCTCCTGACAGTAGTGATGTCTTTGTTCCCTCAATGCACAGCCGCATGTCTTCAATATAGATATACCAGCCAGTAGTACAAGCTAACCAACTCTCAATAAGTTACTCTTTTGCTTCTTTTAGTTTCATTTTTAATCACGACCACCAGCATGGAAATTTTTGTCATTGTCATTTTCAGTAGTCGAAAGAATGGCTGTATTTTTCCTTACCAAGCAAATTTAATTGATAAAAGACCCAACATGGTTACCTGAAATGCGATCGACAAAAAAGCAACGTACAATCATGTCCAACCTAAACAAGCCATAGCCTCTTGCTTAAATTACTTTCTTTCTCCATATGTGCTTTAAAGCTTTTACCTCTGTTATGAGAAACTTTTTTATTTCTATTCATAGAATCTGTAAATATTCAGTAATCAAAACACGAGATCATTGACAATAACAATATTGTGTTTACTTTGGTGTCCTCTTCTTTTCTTTTCTTTTTGATCAATTTTATTTTGGTCTTGAAAGTGGATACGCTATCAAAGTATCTTGAAAATGGATCTGCAGTTTCTTTTATGCAAGGTATCTTGTTTCAAGATACACGCTATTCCATATTGAATTCTTGTTAGCGAAATGAGACTCTTAACATAGTGATCCGGTAGGGCATGAAATAGTGTCAATCGAATAAAGCGAATGATACACACGAGACTCTTAAATGCACATTTTTATGGAGAAAATATCTTAAAATGAAATGTTTAATCTTGACAAGAGTGCAAAAAATCTTTGTGATGTTTAAATGTCAAGAGTACTACAAAATTGTTTTATGACAACGTTCTGCAAACTCTTGGAAAGCACAATAGGCATTAGCGGCTTTTTAGATGCATTCTATATGTAGTAAAACAATCAGAAACGATTGCATGATAAGTAAATTGGGCTGCTGTGTGAAATGCAGGTGGTGTTTGAATTTTACATATCATGTGCAAAGAAAAAACTATCTTTCAATTCTTGACAAAGACATTCAAGATAAAATCTCAAGAATTTTTAGGGGTAACGCAGCATCTCCTCTTTAGATGCTGCTTTGAAATGCTCCTGATTTCGCAATGAAGCGCCGTAATTTGTCTGCAAAACGAGACTGTGACGTCACAGGAAATCATTCACAAAATGGCGGTTTAAAGTGAAATCACAGTAGACAGAGAAAGAACTTATTAAAACCTCTTTATTCAGATTTGTAATGCATGTTTCAAGATATCGGACCGTAGTTTACTTGCAGCTTTTTCTTATTTTCATTGATTTGTTCATTAACTCGTTTGGTCTCCTGTTTCAGAACAGGAATGTGGTCCTTCTCGTCATTTTTGTGTGAGTATAATTTAATCAATAAACATTATCACCAAGGGTTACCATTCCGTGCGTTGGCTTTTAAGTGATGCTCACATTAACGTTTAATTACCGAAAGCTGTAATTGCGATGAATAAAGGTTGACATCAAATAAATCTGAAATTTTGCTTTGCCATATTGTTATTCGAAAGAGCAAGCCGTGATAGACAGAGCAAAGGGCCTAGTGTCCTAGCAATTGGCTCATCATGACTGCAGTTTAGCTCGTACCAATCAATGCCGACATTTGTCATTGAGCCAGGCTTGTAGGAAAAAGATTACATTCAAATTTAGCTAAATTATAAATTAATTACAAATTAGCTATAATTCTAATTTAGCCTTTCACCCTTTTTGTACACCAGGCTGAAAACAAATATTTTACTTAGACCTGTTATGTACATTAAAGATATGATACATGCATACACATACAGTCAAAGTACTTGACCATTTGACATTTAAAATATGCCATATGACATCATATCCCATACCAATGTAAAATTTGCGTGGGAGCCCGATTGCACTAGCACTTGGAACATGACTAATTCATGACAACAGTAATCCCTAATGTCTTCTAAAAAGAAGTATTAATCTGCTATGTAAGCAGCCCAGTGCACACAGCGAATTTTATATTTCAAGGAACAAATATTTCTGCCCTGTTGTTTTTTACCTCTCAAGATAGGACTGTCAAAAATAAAGTTAAAAGTCACATAAAAAAATTAACAAAGAAAACAATAGGGCTGTAAGCTAGATCTAATTTCTTTGCTGGATCTAATTCCTTTTTACATTATTTCAGACACTTAATTTTCAAATTTGCAGCATTCAAGATGTGTCTCTTGTTTTTGCACTGATTGTCCTGTTCCTGGTCTTCTTCAACACTTATGTGTTCCAAGCTGGCTTAGTCTATCTGCTTGTGCGAAAGTTTAAAACAACCATCATTGTGACAATTTTTTATCTGGCATTATCTGTGGGACTACATGTCTGGACTGTGGTAAGTGTAATTTTCCCATATGGTTTCAATAAAATTTTTCAGAGATGGTCCATCCTTATAAATTTTCACAATTCAGAAGTAAAATTCATATTGATGCCTATACCAACCTTTTGACATCACAGAGAGAAGGAGAGGGACTAGGTTCAAAGAGACTTGGTTGTAATACAATTTTTTTTCTTAATTTTGCAATTTATTATATTTGATGACAAACCAAATTATAGAAAATGTGGCATATACTTGTGACATCTATACTGAAAATTGGAAATAACCTTCTCAAATATTTCCTTTAAAGAAATGTAAATTTTTACAAGTTAATGTGACTGTGTGGAACTATTATCATAATGATAGTTATGAATGTATTAATGTGAATAAGCTAAATTTTTCAACATCAAATCCCCTACTTGCTAATCTAAACTTTTTAGAGCGTGAGTCTCTTATGATTAGAGTTTTCTCTCAATATCATACCTGTTATCAAGATAATATAGCAAAACTATGATTGTCTAACTAAAACACCAAAATTTACTTCCCTTTTTGCATCCTGATTCTTGTTGGAACAGGACAGCTAGGTGTTTGATAGTATTTTGTTCCTGTAGACAAAAAAGTGGAATACTGAAAACAAATACATCTGGGAAGATGCTTTTCAGGCATTGTTTGTGGTTCAAAGAGTTGGTATGTCCGATAGTTTTCTTATCAATTCATTTATTCTTAACTTTTTTATTAAGATAAAATATGAAGAAATGTTTTCCCTTTTCCAATGATGATGTTTTATCCTTTAGGTTACTTATTATCTTTTTGCAAGGATGTTTTGCATTCTCTATTTCCCATGCAAAGAAAGTCTTAGGTAACCCTGCATTTCTGGATAAAATATATATATTGGGATTCTCAGTAAATATTTATATATATACAGTCTTTGTAATATGAAAATAGGCCGTGTGCGGCATTTCGCACGCCTTGGTTACTTTGCGCGTGCGATGGCGTGCGATGCGAATCGCTTTTTATCGGTTTTTTCTCATCCCTGTTGTCAAGAACTGGGTGCTGCTTTTAAGGAGACCTTTTGTGTTATAAACTGAACGGAAACCAAGGTAATTGACGGAGAAACTGTTCTTGTTCTTTTTTAAAGATGTTAAATTTAATTAGTCACTTAAAGAAATCTGGATTGAAAAAAAATTATATTACCCGTAGACCCTACTCAAATTCTATTACCTGTGAATATCTTAGCGGATATTCATAAAAAATATCTTACCGTTAGATCGGTATTCCTTTGGAATTGAGCTAACAATCAAATGAGAAGGTAGAGAAATGACACAAACGTCGAAATGAACACACTTTTTTGGGCACAGAAACAAGTTTAAAATAATTTGAAAATAAGTACAGTCACCGTCACTTTTCTTCATCAGAGCTTTCTTCAGCTTCCTCCTCCTTATCTAGCTTCGGTTTCTTCGATAAACTGTTGTAATTATCCAGCTTTCGCTTTCTGCTTTTCGAAAGATAGATCTCCGTTGCCCTTTTCAAAATATTCTCCCTTTCTTCGTCAGTCCATATAATGTCATTGACTGCGATGCGAAGTCTCATCTCCATAACCCTGTGTGACATTATCTGACAATAATATGCTGAGAATACTGAATGCTCTCTCTACCGATGAATTGGAGCCAGATATTGCAACCATTATCTTTGCCAGAATGCACAGGTTGGGGTACTCGTCTGCCCTGTAAGAAAGCGTATTTTTCCACAGCTTTCTTGCTTCAATCCCACAAGCATTATATTGTACGTATTTTTTGAATGACTTCCATTCCTTGAAAGCTTGAAAGGGGGGGGGGTTTGAAAATAGCTGCAAAAGCAATGATCTCTGGGACCCCGTAATCCTTGTTGTCGTTCCATTGCTTTCGATCAAACAACTTTATCGTACTAAACAAGCCATCAGCATCATCGAAGTAGCAACCTTCTTTTTCCGACTTGAAACCGAAAATTTCGTTCTTTCCTCAACCAATGAATGTTGCCAGCTCCACTTTCTTTCTTTTTGCCATGATTACCGAAGAACAGAATAATCAATCGAACAGTGAAAACATCTCTTGGATCGAAAATTTAAATTGCCGGGTTTTGACAGTAAGCACCAGGTATTGATTGCAGATTAATCCCCATTGGGTCAACTGTTAAGCGATCTTTTTGACGCTGTTGTTAAATCCCTTATTGGAATACTTTAACAACACCTTGGACAACGACAGAACCGACTTTGGCGACTTTGAGTTGAGCAATTTTAAAAAATTTTTGTGGCAAATTCTTTGTTTTGCGCGTGCGATGATTAGCACGCCTTGGACAATTTGCGATCGCACGCCTCATATTACAAAGACTGTATATATTAACTTATATAAATAGATTAATTGAAAAATATGCAGATATATGAGAAGTGAAATCTCCAAAAGATATTAAAAGGTACCAAAAGGTAGCCTATCAATTAAGCAATGAACAATATTCCTGTTGCAGGATCCGTGCTTTATTATTGCTTGTACAAAAGGACTATTATCAAACTTGGTGACCCAAGATATTATAGAGATTCTGTATGGATAAGGACAGAGTTTGCAAGAGTGCACTGAGATGCACCAAATTTTGTCATATTCATGACAAGACTCAACCTATGCTTTGTCAGAAGCATTCATAGGAATCAGTACCAAAGTAATAAGAAATTTGAGACCAATTTTGCGAATCTTTGGCACCTAGTGTGTCATAGATGATCTCAAAACACTTGCCACTGTTATTCCTATGATGACGGACATGATGTAGTGGTTTAAGCCAAAATCGGGGGCTAGAGGTATATGTGGAGAGAAATGAATAAAGAAGAAGAGACCTGTAAATGACACTGAATTTTAAGATAAAAATTTTGACTATGGGGTTTTCGCAATAAGTAAATTTGGTCATCATATTTGTTTTTGTTATTTGTATGATAGTTATCTTTGTTTATTTGGTAATTTAAAACTCTTGTAGGTTGTTAACTTATTCGTAACATTGTAACAGTGCTTAATGTTTCGTTAGGAAGGCTAGTTCAAGCTAACTCTTGAGTTTCAGATTAGTTTGTTCAGGATGACATCATCAGCTCCATTCATTTAAAAACAATTTTGGTTTATCACTGTTGAAAAGTTCTTGACAAACTTATGCCAATGAATGGTTGGATTATATTGTATTCAATCTCCATGAAACTTTGATGTTATTCAAAAATGTCTAAAAAGTCAGTAGAAACTGGATTATTACTTTGAAAATAAAGTTCTTCTGTTTTGTGCAAAGGGTTTGGTTTGTTATATAGTGATAAAGGAACAAATAAGTATATTGAGTTATTTAAGCTTTGATATTTTTGTGACCTTGTTGGTGTGTTTCTTGTTTCATTCTTTATGATTGCCACGTAAACTGATTTATGTTGATCTGATAATAATCAATAGAGCAAGACCCGCCATCTCAGAAATCAGTGCACCTGACAAAAAACAGGCATGATAGTATTTGCACATATGAATACTATTTTATTTCATAAAGTAATTAGCTAGTGCGAATTATTCATTCAGCTATTTTCTTCCAAACTGCCCCCTCTTTTTTTGTTCATAAACAAGGTGTTTATTGTGTCTTCAAATGTCTTGTATATTAAAAATGGAAAATCGCTAATGGGAATTATAAGACAAAATGAGGTAAGTTTGTTTAGTGCTATTTCAGATCTGTACTTGCAGCTTTGCGGCTCAAAAGTCATTCAGTTTGAACTATAAATAGGTGTATAGTTCTTAACAGGATGACTGTGTATATAAGAATTCTGGTGATTCTGCATAATGACCAGTTCCTGATTTGTGTTGCACTAATAATAGAGTTATTAATAGTGTTATATATCTTTCTTGTAATTAGCTGTATAAAATGTCTGATTACAGCAGAAGATTTATCTTCAAATATTTTGTTGTATTTCGGTCCTTTATTTTCGTGACTTCTTTCCCTTCTTCTTGTCCTTTTCTTTTTTCTTGTCCTCTTCTTTTTTCTTGTCATCTTCTTTTCTCTTGTCCTTGTCTTTCTTTTTGTCATCTAGAATAGAAGTTTTCTGAGATTATTTCTGGAAGTTGGAAAGTTATTATGCCTTTAACATCGATTTAGAAGGTCTTTGCACTATAGAAGGTATTTCTTTCTTAGTTGTGACATATCAGTGCAACAATTTTTCTCTTCTCAGTTTTAATTTGCTATAAATTGTACTAAAGTTTGTTGAAATACTAAGATTGAAAAAAGAAAGGCTATTCAAACGGAGACGATTTTGAAATAGCACTTCTTCATGATAAACAACCAAGAATCTCTTGTACAAAATGGCTGCCCCAAAAGAGGTGGGGCAAGAAGCTATTGCCTCAGTAAGATAAGTTGATTATTTCAAAACCGTTGCAACCCATGACAAAGGGCCTCCAGCTCAGGAAGGAAACTTCTCACAAATATATAATAATTATTCGAATATTGCCTGCATCACAATTAACCAGTGTTTATAGATTGACTACAAAAAATCAAGTTCTTTGGAGATTTTGCCACTCCTACCATTCAAGTCTATAGCAGGTGTATTACCTCCCAGCAAGTATGGTGTTAGGAAAGAGACTTGAAAATGATAATCTGGTGAAGCGATGTCACTTTTTACGGCTTTTTATTTCAAGTCTCATTCAACAACATATAATACTATGAGCTACATTGTTTATTCATGCTGTTAAGAACCTTAGTATTCTATGCCCATATATCATTGTGTTTGTTTCTACTCAGTGGCGGCGCCAGGGGGGGGGGGTAATTACCCCCCCCCCCCACTTTTTTCAAAACATGGTCTACATATTTCGTCTAAAAACGGGTTAAAAAGCACTAGGTAGGGGTAGATCATATTTCCTAAGGAAATTTGATCTGGTACAAAGCACTGAAACGAGGTTATTAGGGCGTGGTCTCACTGGCCACGCCCATTACCCTCTCACTCGGCAGTAGCTGGCGCCGCCACTGTTTCTACTCACCTTCTTTCTTATGGAAGGGGAATGGTGGTGGAAGGTGATGAGGCCAGTGATGTGGCCACCAATAATCGATATCAGGTGCGTGGAATTGATATTCGTGATGGTGAACTATTTGGGGTGCGTGAGCCATGTGACCGTGAACTCCGCCATGGCCCATATGCCCATGCATTCCTCCGTAGCCCATGTCACCATGAGTATCGACATGGTCCATATGCCCTGGTCAAGAGAAAATCCGAATGTATTACCATGATGGATAGGATGATAAAGTTCTTTTATGTAGCTACTATATTTTACAGACAGAGGTAGAGAACCAAATATTGTAGAAGAAGGTTAAAGCCGATGAATGAGATAAATTGTCACACCCTTCCTGTCACACCCTTCCTGTCACACCCATTGCAAAGATGAGTATGAAATTCGATTTTATAAAGTGGGACTTTTTTCAGGAAAAGGTCACATTTGGGTCATAGCCCCCAATTTTTGAGGGGTGTGCATCTGAAGATAGAGGGTTTCTTTAAACGCTTCCAGTATTCAACGCCCCAGACGCCTGCTAGTAAATGAAATCGTCGTGAAAAGATAAGGCCAGTAACGACAGGGTGTTTCAATGGATTGTTGTTCTCAATATTTGTATCTGTTTTATGTTTGATTTCTAATATGTACCTGTAACTTACCATGAGAATGCAAGTGATGCCCATACGCATCAAATTCATCCATGGAGGGACCGTGGTAGCCAAATTGTCTCTTGTATGCATTATCTGATTCCAATGTTCTCATATCCAATGCATTGCTCTCATAGTTTTCCACATCGTCGCTGTCTGACAATGGAATTGCATTTGTGACGGCCAAATGTAGCATTATGGTGTAAATGTACAAATAATTCATGTTTGTTTGTTTCTTGTTGCAGTCACAGCTAGCAATTCAAAACCACTTAATTTAGCATTTGAGACTTTGCTCATTGACTCGTATTAACGCAACCTGCGATTAACTGGTGTAGTACCTGAACATCCTAATGACGTCACGGTCGGTAGCTTGCTCATTGGTACTGCCCATGAAATAATGGATTAAAGCAGTTCTCGGTAAAAGGAGGCATAATTTTTGTTACTCCAAGGCTCACGGCTAGATATTTAAGACCACCTTTGAGTTGTCATTGGCTATTATGGTTACTGACGAAGCCATATCCACTTTCAATTCAGTTATTAAACTCAACTCTTTGCAAAAAGACTCTATATCGCTGAAAGGAAGTAGAAACCATCTTAACAGTCTATGGCCTGTCATTGTTTGAGAAACCTGAATTACCCCCATTTGTGAGCAGGAATAGATTAGCTTTCAAATTTATCTTTTCAAGACGAGCATTGCATGTTTAGACCAACGTTTCTACGACATGGTTATTCGCGAGAAATGATTTCTTCCTCACGGAAGAAATGACGAAGGATAAACCTATTACACATGCATTGTCGCGATCTACATGTGTTCATTCTGCATTAAATCATGGCATCTAGAGCTAGATGATTTTACGAGATCATTCAGAGCTGTAATGTAGCCTTGACCTCAAATCGCCTACAATGCCTTTTTTCTCAATGGTATCTACACTCTGAAGTTAGAACTTGGCTGAAAATGCTTTATCTCTTTATACAGAGAGAAGTTTATTTTGAAGGTCATGTAACAAGTATTGGAAGGAGCTATGCATAGAATGAAAGATTACTCCAGGAAGATAAAAGAAAATGTCACTGTAGCTATTACCATCTTCTTCTGCGATTAATCAAGCCATCACCTTCTTCATTGCTTTCCTCAGTTTATAGTCTTGTTAATGATACAGTGAAAGCATGAATGCTATTGTAAATACCCTTTGTCTAGCATTAACATATTAAGTGAACAATCATAAATGCTTTGATCTGAAGGTTCTTTAGTACTGGTGACCAGCCGTGAGATTTCCAGAAACAGAAATAGCAAAGCTCAAGCTAAATCTAAATTCAAACAACATTTATATACAGATACAAATACACAATAACCCATAAATTTAACAGCTTCGTCCAATTTTAAAATTGTCGTCTTTGATACAGTACGTTCAAATCGGAAAAGTTCTGAGCTCAATATATCGTCCAAGTTTGATTTTAGTACCAGAAAGGTGCTCCCCATCCGCCTCCAGTCCAACCTGGTGTGTATGCTCCCCATCCTGCAGAAGGAGGTCCGTAATAATGACAAGGGACAAGCTGACGTTTTGACTTCTTCTTATCATCCTTCTTCTTGTCATCCTTCTTCTTGTCATCTTTTTTCTTTTTGTCATCATCATCCTTTTCTGAAAGCAATGAAACATTACATTATATACAGATTCTGCCGTGGTACTATAATGCTAGAGGGAAACCTTTCTTCCATTAGAAAGCACCCTGCTATAGTCCATTTTGAAATACTTATATATTGACATAGTTCAAATTTACCCCTGTTTTTGTAAATCACCAAGTTAAGGTATAGCTCCTAGGCAGAAACAATTATCTCTCTGCCAAAACAAAAGATTCTTCCAACAATTTAACTCGCTTCCAGTTTGAAGTCAGCACTCTAAACATATCTTTATATTCTAAGAAATGACATTACTTTATTGATGGCTATATTTATTGGTAGTTGTATTTCCAGTTTAGTACAAAGAAATCGCAAGATTGGGAAAAAGAGCGGACCCACATCAGGTTAAAGCACTTTTTGGGTCGAGTATATACATCGGATAATGTCCAAAGGTAAGCAGAAAATTTATATCCAGATGTGGATCGAAAGAACCGCTCAGCTCTTGCGCGCTATATTCAAATACCAAAGGCTTATTTGGAAGTCACAAGACAAGGAATAGCAAAAGCTGTAACAAGCTTCTTACCCATGACACACATCGGCATTGCATATGGCAGAGGCATGTATTCTGGGTATCCAAAATGAGCGGCATGATGGTGTGAGTGATGGTGATGAGGATGGTGACGTTCGTGGGGGAAGATGATTGGCAGTGGAGACCCGTGTCCAGGTAGGCGATGCGTAACATGACCATGATGGCCCATATGTCCAATATGTGGTGCACCGTAACCTATATGATGCATATCATGACCGTACCCATGGAGACCTTCGTCCATTGGAAGACCAATTGGAACATGATGTCCTCCATGGCCATGATGAAGTGGACCAATCAAAGTACCATGCAAATGTTTCTTATTGGCCTTGTGGTGCTTTTTCTCGTCTCGTAACGGCTCCTCGGCATTATCTCCCTGCTCGATCTCTTTTGCATACATTTTGCTGATGACGGGATCATTTTCCCCAGTTTCTATGTCAACCTCTTGTTTGTCTAAAGGTAGACAGTAAATATTTGCACAAGCAAGCACCAGTAAAAATAGTTTGTTTATCATTTTTGCTCTTGGTTTTCTCTCAATATGAAAACACCCAAGATAGCTGTTTACAAGGATGTCCCATCAAGTGCAATTGAATGAGCCTAGAACTCCTAGCTAATGTCATTTGATCATTCATCATTTGATCTTACAAGCAAGCGCTTCTTCATGCATTGCGATTTCCATGGTTTGCCTAAGCAAGGATAACAGGTTCAAGGAGGAGCCGCTTCTTTACCTGCTCAATTACACGGATGGCGAATACACGCGTGAAAACACGCACATTTGCGCGCTTTTGTTTTACCCGCTAAACTCGAATGTTTACCAAACAGTACAAGAATGTTTGTACGCTTAAATCACACACAGCATGGATTTAGAAAACCTGACAAGCTAAGTTGAAAAAATTGAAACATAGTTATCAGCTAATAAGCTAATGTTTCTTGACAGCGATACATACTCGAATCAATCCATTTATATAAACAATAACTGCAGCACCAAATGAATATTTTACATTTCCTTGAAGCAAACTTTAGTTGTGTTCCCTCTATCTTGTGTGTTGCAAACAGCTGCTGAATTTACTAGCTATGAAAAAATAGATGACTTCTCAAATCCTATCTTATCAAATTCACTGACAATTTCCGTCCATCACAGCAGCTACTTTAAAGGTAAACATTTTCCTTTGGTTTAAAGGTAAACATTGTAAAGGTGAAGATATTTTAGATCAGACTTGAGCATAAAGCCATCAAGCCTTATGATGCTCTTAATAACTTCGTCCAGGATTATTTCAACTTAATTCACTGTTTTCTGCCATTTTCATTGAAACTTCAACGCAAATTGTTTTGATAGCACTCTGTCAAGCTAATTCTTTTCATGTCCAGCGCCAATGAAACAGGAGAGACAAACTCAAATTCTTGAATTAGAGATGTATTCTTTTTGTCTTTAGATTTGAATATTGTTTATACCTTTTTTTCGAAAGATCTTTTCTACCAGAAGTATAAAGAAAGTTTGCAGTGAGGAACAACAAAGGTTGTTTGACTATTAGAATACACATTTATGACTTTGAAGCTCTTGTATTAGTGCATTGAAGAGAAACAAGATTACTATCAGGCCTTTGAAAATAAACGACGACTTGAATAACCCTAAAATACTCAAATCATCTAAGAAAACTATAAACTTTTTTTACAAAATTTAAATATAAGTAAGCAATAGAAATGTTAAAAGTATAGCTTCAAATATTCAATAATTGTCTTTATTTACGTCGTGACACCATTATAATTTTATAGCCAATCCACTTTATGATGTCAAAAATAATTTCCGTTTTTGCTACCTTGGTCCTGGTTTCTTGCTTTTGAGTTTTTCCTTCTTTCTTTTCTCTTTTGCTTTTCTTCTTCTTTCTTTCAGTTTCTCTTTTATACTTTCTAATTCTTCGGCAAGGTATTCCTCTTTGCCTTTGCTATTGTGTTTTGCATGCACTTTTTCAGCACTTTTACCACGCTGCTTGCTTGTGTTCCAATTATAAGCACTTACAGTATTCTTTGCCTTTAACTTTCTCAGCAAATCTAGCCCAGTCGTTGCTTCGAAGGATAGAAAGGATAAAATATACACAACGAGTGCTGTTTTGCCCAGAACAAGCAAGAAATTCATTGCAGAATGCTTGAAACACTACTTCAAACTATCTCTATTTACGTCGTGATAATAACGTTAATAATAACGTTGATAACATTATGGCTTTTCACTTCATTAGTTCCCTGTGGAATCACCTGCAAATGTCACTACCCGCCCTTGCTTATTACAATTTATAAAATATTATCACAGACAATGCGTCTAAATTCTGGATTTTGTGGTCTGCAGAACAAATTGTATTTGTCAACTTGCAAAATTGGAATTTAACTATTTCGACTGCCAAGCGTTTCTTCCCTACAGTTACATCTTAGATTCTTAGATGCTAGGTGTTTCCTCCATTTCAGTTCGGAAGGAGAAAGTTCTAATCTAAGTTCAGTTCTCAGTTGTTTATTAGAAAAATAGATTTGTGAATATTCTCCGCCGTTTAATGAAAGCATGCAGGTCACCTCGCCGCTTGGTGGCATGTGAATCAGCCTTGAAAGTGACCCAATGCACCCTTGTAGAATCGCCTCTAATAAGACAACGCCCTCCCCGATATTTTCTATCAAATCAGATATATTTTATATCGAGAGTTGAGAAGTTTGTGCTTGTAGAAGCTTTTAATGTAATGCTCTTATCGTGAATACTTAAAATCACATCAGATCATGTCATATCATTTCTAACAAGCAACCTATTACTGATTGACTATATCAGGTACCACCTTTCTTTAAAGCATGTTACCACGATCAATAAGTGCATCATAACTGGAATATTTGAATATATATCCAGCGATTCCCCTAAGATTCCAGCTACCTAAAACAACTGCAAATTGTGATTTAAGTGATTGCACATTGCGTAATTGCATTCTCAACGGCAAAAGAATGGTAATTCATCAGATCATGATTACTGATCATTGAAAAAGATTTTTGATTGTTGTTCACCATTACCGATCGTTAATCGTGATTATTGATCGTTAATCATGATTATTGATCGCTAATGGTGATTTTTGATTGTTAATCGTGATTACTATTCTGACCATGGTTTTCAACATCTCTATTCATACCATTTACTCTGAGGATAGGAACCTGCGATCTTTTGCTCCTTCTGCAGGTAAACTGTCACTCCGTGTTTCATTTAAAGCAATCTAAGCTTACAAATTAGCTATTGTTTTAGAACTTAAAAAGTTCAATCTAAAGACAGCAGCGTTATATTTCCGTACACCGAGGATTTTGTATATTTTACTGCTGGTTACTGCGAAATCTGTTCGAGAACTTTTATATGGACTACGATCGTAATGATTCTCAAACATCTCGTTATCTTTGCACTAGTTTTTGGAATTTTAGAAACCATTTCAGGATATGGCATTAGGAAGCTTCATACGGAACTCGAAATATCAGATGAGCCCATTGATGAAAGTGATAGCAATGAAGGAGACCAAACCGTAAAGGGTTCCATAAATGCTCTAAAGCTAAATGAAAAGGTTGAAGTCGATGATAAGAATCCGAAACTTGCAGAATTAAAGAAAGAAATTGAGAAGAAATTAAAAGAAAAAGATAAACAGTTTAAAGAAGAAGAAAAGAAAAAGGAAAAAGATAAGGTTGTTAATTTAAAGCCAAAGAAAGGAGAAAAACCATGTGGGGTTGAAGAGAAATCAAAGGAAGATAAGAAAGATTAAAGACTTGAAACAAGAAACTCTATCCATATCAAAAGCAGAAGAAGTTTTCTATCAACACTGGCTTCCGATTAGCTCTGTAAATCCATCATTATTTTCTATCAAAATGTTTGAATATGTATAAATATGCACATTTCACTGCGCAGGATCTTCCTTTTTAGGTACATTAGCTGCTTGAAAAGAAGAGTTTGACAAGTCTAATATCTCTGTAAAGACATTCTGAATACTATCTGCCTCGCTTAAAGAATATTCTCTGTCACCAAGCCGCATGAGCCATTCCATATCACAATAAGAAGTTAACAGAAGGTTGCCAATCTGGATTTTCTGAAAGCTAGGCCCTGTTTTTATATAATAAGGGTAAAGAGATTCACCGAAAATAAAAGCATTCTCTAACTGAAAGATTTATATCACGCATGCAGACTGCATACATAGTAAAGATTGAAGTTTGCAATAAAACTTTATACCTTTTGGCAGAGAGAATTGACATCATAATGTATTCTCACATAATGTATTCACTTCATAATGTATTCTCATAAATTACACTCCATAATATGTTCTCAAAACGTTATTCATTCGTTGATCCGGACTGTTGTTTAAGATGTACTTCCTGACAAACAACAACAAAAATATTGTGACAGTTTTCTTATGTTGAAAATTATCATCAGCAGGATACTCTGTGTAGGAGCTCGTCAGGATGTTCGTACCTTTGCTCCTGTGTAGGGAAGTCAGAACTACTTTTCATCAACTTTGCACTGACTGTTGCCAGTAACCTGTAGGCCCTTGTAGAAATGAAGTAATATAATAATAATAATAATAATAACGGGTGTTAATAATGATGATAATAAGTAGACTATTTAACCTCCAAAACCAGTCAAATGTCTGGTCTCAAACAATTTTTGTTGCATCCGATGAAAGAAGGCTCTTAAAGGGACTCTTTTACAACATAGCCTAATCAAGGGGAAAAAACCTGCAAGGGCAAGCCTTTGTTTAAAGGGGAGTAATATAGCCTATTGTTTTAACATTGGACAGTCATTGGAACGGGAAGGGCAATTGCCCCTATTTAGTATTTTTAAAATGGCCTTGTTTCACAATGGCGTAACCAGGAAACTTATAATTGCGAGGCAGAATCATAGAAGGGAGTGAAAATATTTGTGGTCTCTCCATTTTTGACCCACTTATCTCTTGCATTGCTCATTCACTATCTTCTTGGATTACTATTTTCGAATTTTAACCAAACTTTGTTTTAACGCTCAGTGATAACCAACTGTACCGTGTAGATCCAAAATGTGCAGTCATAATTAAAAACATATCAAGTAATAAATTAGCTGTAAGACAATTAAAACGAATTATACTTCAAAAATAAGCCAAAAAACAAAATAACTCAACATAAATCATAATAATATGAAAAGCAATTCACTTTATGTAGGTCACAACTTTAGTCAATTGGTTGCTTCTCAAATTCACGTTTCTGATCCTCTTTAAAGATGTAACAATTTGAAAGTAAGTAGTCGTGACTTGCTTCTACGATATTTATGTAGCGATGCAATCCCATACTCCAACGGCAGCTTTAAGTGTGTATCCTTGACAAAGTTTGATTTTGTGATGGCTTCAAGTAGAATCATGTGATAGTGATTGCCTCATAGTTGTCCTGTATGTGATTTGGTGGTTTCTTAAATTCCAAATGATATCGTCACTGTTGTCGTGTTCTGGCCATAAAAATATACAAAACTCGTTGAATCAAACAATGTCCATCAAAAATATGATTGCCTAAATACCGAGAAAGCATCTTTAATATTGGCCCTGTTTTATCCGTAGGTCCATGTGTCGTCGCCATCAGTATCTGTTACATCAATTGTAGTCATGCAGCCATTATGGTTGCCTATGACACCATCTGTGTTGGCAACAGTATCCTGTTTATTTGCAATATTATTTCTTCTTGTTAAACCTTGCTCATGGTGATTTCCATCAATGACGTCACATGATAGATTGACTTCCCCCAACTGGTTGTTTTCCTTAGCCATCTCTGAAGTGTTGGTGCCTATAGCTCTACTTGATGAGCGAATTCCATGCTCACAAAAGTCAGCACCAAGCGATTCCTCCTCTTTTGAGACTCGCAAACCGAGCAGTTTGTCTGCTATGATCAACTGCAAGAAAATCTTATCTTTAGGAATAAGATAAAAGTTTGCTACAGTTGTAACTAAATGTAGTCATAACTTTCATGAAGGATACATGGATTTTAAAATTTCTATATAGAGCTTTTTATCTACCAGTTAAAAGTAAAGTAACCAGTTTAACTAACCAGTCGTACTTTTCCAAAACCACAAATCATTCTCAGGAAAATATAACTTAAGACAACAACCATTTACGTTCGTAATATCTAGATATCTTCAGACTCCAAGCTTACACCTTCTTTACACTTATGCTTTGATTTTGTCCTATCAACTTAACTTAGCTTTGAAAAGCATCCATTCACAATGGCGACAATTAATGGTAAAAGGGGCAAATTACCCTTAGAGCCAACCTGACTTCCCTGGAGGACTATTATTCACCAATATCAACAGCGAAATGAAGGGCAGAAATATATGACTATCTGTCTTTTTGCGGTAATCAGCAAAGTCATCACTATCTCCTTCCCTGATGTTTTCAGGAAAAACTGCCACTACCCACTATAGCCATTGATAAATATTTTCTAACTCGACTTCTCATCATTTTTTGCCTGGCTATTGGCTATGTGTTTTGGACCAAACAATGTCACAATTTTGCTCTTTGCTAAAGTCCTACCTCTATTAGATTTGTAACAACAGCCCAGACGGTGATACAGAGACAAGCCAACAGTTGAACACCCACAAGCACAAAGGAACCTCCTTTGAATACTCCAATTGTTTTTGAGTTTGTAGTAGAATCGATTGAGACCTCTTCAGCAAACAATCCAACTGCAACCATACCCCATAATCCAGAAAATCCATGCACAGGTACACAACCAACTGGATCGTCGATTTTCAACCATTCCAACAAATCTATTCCTGAAAAGGCAAATCACAATCGTTCAAGCGTTCTTTTTATATACAAACCTAAATATAATTGAAGGCCTAGTGCCTGTCCCATGCAATCTACTAACATGGAGAAAAAAAGTTGCGACTTTTATATGTGAGAAAGAAAATCTTAATAGCTCTCTTAAATATTATCACACCAGAAGGTGACATAGAAGCTACCATTGTGAGAAATAATAACCCTGCTGGAGAGAGTCATGAGAAGGGAGCTAGAAGAGATGCAGGCATGTCGTTATTGGAAAAACTATTGGTTTAGGCTGTGTTTCGATTTTCAATTTCGAAAAATCATACCAAAGATTCATAGTAACAAAGCTTTGGTGGATTCCTCAGGTCTTGATGTTCGTTAAGGTGTTTCTAGAGTTTCTAGAGTTATCACAGTTACCACAATCACTCCAGAAGTTTTATCAATTGCAGTGGCGGGTCCAGACTACCACCATTACCGCTCGAGCGGTAGTCAGATTATTCAAAAAATTATTAAAACAAGGATCATTTTCATGTTTATCCTACTACTTTAATTAAACCATAGTTAAAAATTGAAAATATTTGATCGCGCTGCAAACAAGCATTCTTTCCTAGAAGCCTGAAATTGCCACAGAGACAGAAATACTTTTTAGTCCTTATCGCTATGGAAATTGCGTGCCAATTGGCTGAGTCAAATGATTGCAAAAAAAGGCTAGCATGGGGGAATGATGAAATCATGGCTTGCTAGCTAGGGGGGTTGAGTCGGTGTAGAGCGGATTCGAGCTGAACTGAGCGGTAGTCAGCCTGCCTAGACCAATCAAATCATCAGAAATTACAGCCAACCTGGGGGATGCATACAAATTTTCTTGAGAACCAATGATCAACCGAGTTTACTACCATTCAGATGGGGGAGGGGGGGGGTTGAGTAGTACTGCCGCTCAACACGGCTCAAACGTTACAGAAAGATCGGGAGATGCCTACATATTCTGCAAGTGGGCAAACTGTAACTTCAAAGACGATGTGTATTTTGTATAATACACAAATATTGGTAGGAATATATTTTATAAGAATATTTAGACTCAAATATTCTAAAATATAAGAAGGCATCAGGATTAAACGTCAGGCCCACAAAATGCGACAAAAGTATGATTCTTTGTTTAGCAAAAGCTGCTCTCAATAATTGCAAATTTTATCTGGCTTTTTAAACTTATATTTTCCAACAGGTCTGATTTTCACAAGTGATTGTGCGACTTAATGCGAGGTTTAGGCGACATTCCAAATTCTGCCAAATGTATCTTTTTTCCTATTCTATGGTGTTCCTCGGCTAAATGCCGTATTTTTTTAGAATATCCATTCTCAGAATATTAAATAAGATTATTTGTTGCTTCTCAAGGTTGTTGTAAGGATACTTAAAATTTCACTAAAGCACCGCTTGTGTCTTAAAAATGGTCTACATAAGAAATTATAGAAAACAATAATCATTTTAAAAAACAGGGCGTGACCAGGAAATGGGTGTGGTCGACCCTCTATCTCATTTCGGCGGTAGTCAGATTTTTGGCTGGATTCGTCCTTGTGTCATTTCTGACATGGCCTGAAAATTTCATCAAAAGAGTCAGATATAAATACAATGACTTTGATAAAGGAAGCATCAAATGAAAAATACCAGACAGGGTCCAAATTTTTGGACATATATTTGGATAGGGGTGCATACCAGTACATATCACAGGCCCTGTTGCTCTTAAATACGCCCATGACCTCTCTTTATTGTATCTTGCTTCTTTTTATTTGCATCATAAAATCATAGACTTGGATTCCCCTTAGAATAAAACCTTGAAGCGCTGTGCTACTAATTACCTAGACATGCCATGGCGCTTCCAACGGCTCCAATTATTAGTGCCTCCCATGGCCTACAAAGTGTGCAAATTGCTGTGATTCCAACAAGCCCTCCAAGTATGCCAGAAGTAAAAATCCCAATATTGAGCTTTCTTTTGTACTTTCTGTTCAGCCTGCAGCTATAGATAATGGCCACGATTGCCCCACCAATGGAGCCATTGATTGTGTTTATCGCAGCCCTGGTTGCTAGTTTCCATTTTCCTAAAAAAGAAGAAAAGATTCATTATAGAAATACGTAGATTACGTTGAATACAGTAAATGAATGCAGAAACTGCATTTGTTTGGGACACAAACAAATAAAAGACTAATAATGTGTGAAAAACCCCCCATCTTGATGTTAAAGAGCATACGTAATAAAGACAGTTTCATGCACATGCTCTTTGATTCCAAAATTGGGGGCTGCCTAACTCATTAAAGACATTCTCGGGTTACAATTGAAGTGTCATACGTCCATATATCCGGAATCAAAAATTTATGGACTGTAAATTTAAGTGATGATTACAAATAAGATGACTGGTTATAGATCTTTCTTAAACTTATGATTAAGTCAGAAGTCTAGTTAGGATCAGATAGGTTTGCAGGACGCTTTGTAAATCTGAATAAATAATTTATAGCTCTGATAAATTGGCGCTGTAAGTGAACTCGTTAATAAGTTATAAGAACCGGTTCGTTTTTTAATGTTTGGTAGCTTTGGGAAAGATAACTTCTGTGGCCAGGGGCGTATATTGACGATTTAGGGTAGGGAGGGGGGGGTGTAAACGGGTGAATTTACCGACCAAAATTCAACTCTTGCTAGTCAATGTATGCACACCAATATACTATATAAATTCAAGATACGCATCTACCGACAATCCAAAACATTTACCGATCATCCGTAAAATTTACCGACCTTTCCAAAAGTGGGGAGGGGTGTACCACCCCCTCCCCCACACCCACACCCTCCGGTAGGTACGCCCCTGTCTGTAGTATACGAAAATGATATTAACTTACTGCTTTGACTGGTTGATCTGGTGAGCATTCTTTAAAGGTATGCAAAGATTTACTTCTGCAATATTGTTTGGCACATATGCTTCAAAAATTCATTTTTCGGGCTTGCTATGACTGCAGGTCGATGCCAAAAGAGAGGCATTTCTCAGAAATTCTATTCAATTTCATACATGTTACAAATTGTATGTTTTCTAGATTTTGACAGGACATTTTGTGTCCGATAGATCTAAAAGATGCTAGTTGGTGTCTGGTAGTTGCAAAGCATCTTATACTGTATAAGCTGCTCCTTGTTCGAGCAATAATATTTAGTTTTCAGGTATGATACGTTTTGAGATGTTTTTGCGAGATGTGAAAGATACAATTTCTTCATCTAGTAGATTTGCATTATGTTGTCTACGCCCTCATGAATCTGAGGCGTTCTGTTTTACATCCAGCAGGCTTAGCGGATGCTTTTTAAGTGAGAAATGCTGTTAAGTGCAAGCAGGTACTAAGGATGCTTTTTTATTTCAACGTCGCCTTAATGTAAACTTTATCTATGAAATATGAATGCCGAGCTAGTTGCTTGTATATGGAAAGAGTTTACAGACGCTTCTAATGTTTTTCTAACGTTTGATATCCACAAAAGCCGCCCGTAATCAATAACACTAATCTGCTGTGGGCAAAATAATGAATACAATATGATGGCGCTAACGCCGAATTTATAGATACTTGTAAAAAGGAAACAAAGGTGATGATATTGAATACTATTTCATTAGAAATTATTGTTTACCAGTTTGTCAATGTGCTCGGTGCCGTATGTACACGCTAGTTTGTGTTTATAACAGGACTGTTCTAAGTTGCTTCACCGAGCTTCAACTTAGAAAAAAACGTCATGCTCTATGATATTTTAAAGAACGAATGATATTTCATATGATTACATAGCGAATAACTGTTATATACTGTTTGAGTTAAGTACATAGTGAATAAGTATATGTTTACATAAATATATACTGAAATGGGTAATAAAAAGAAAAAGGAGAAGAAAATACTTAGCACGAAGAAGGTTATACATCTACAGAATAATAATAACAATAATGATAAAATAATGATAATGGAAACTTTTCATTTTCAATTCCTGTTAAAACTACAATTACAAATCTCACTATTACAAGGTAATTTGTAACTGGCTAGCCTGTGTTTACAAAATAAAAACTATTACATCGTAGTAATGAGAAAAGAAAAAAAATGTTAAAAGGGGAGTAGCTCTGGATTAGTCCTAGTTTTGTTTCTACAGCAGAATATATAGTATGTGGTGCGAATGGAGATGCTTGTAAGTTTGGAGATGAGGTAGCGTTTCTGTTGATGGTCAATGGACAAAGAGTCACACATGTCGATGAATGAGCTGCAGGATTCGCCAAAAATACCGAGTGAACTGATGGAAAGATTGACAAACGAGACTGACTTAAACTGACGTTTTAAGTCAGATACGAGGGTGGCATATTACTCTAACTTTCTGACAGCATTGCAAATAATAATGATAATAACAATAATAATAATTATAATGACTACTTAACCAAGATGCTAAGCAAAAAAACTGCCTAAAAACTGGTGTGTTGCCGTATTTCCAGGAATGCATCAGCTAAAGTCCGTTTACTACTAATAACTATTGTCCCAATAACTTTTTAAGTCTGCTCCTTCAGATATAATTTCCTCCAATTATACACGATATTGAACACCGTTTAATCACATTCTTTATATTTTCTTTACTTTGGGAGAATTTCCTCAATCCTTTCCATACGTCACTTTTTACACACCCAAGCGAACCAAAACAAAGAACAACCAGCTGCACTGAGAATCCATTTCTCTCTAGATAATCAGATAGCTCCTTATATCTTCTAACTTTCTCCTGATAAGCATTTTCTAAATATAAATCATAGCAAACAGTTATTTCCACTATTGTGCACTATTCCACTCTACGTCACCTTTAACGCACCCAAGCGAACCAAAACAAAGATAAACCAGGTGCACTGAGAACTCTCTGTACTAAGTTTACTAAGCCTCGCTTTGATTGCAAAAATTACAAGAGTATCACCAACTTTCCAATTATAATAGATCGAGTGTGACGATTTTATATGAATATTTTAAAGATTGAGATAACATCCTTGCACAGTTAATTCCTTTGCACCATCCGTTGGCCTTACTCCTCTCTTTTTCATGTCTAGCTCGAGAGATGACCTCGCAATATGCTTAAAATGCACGACGTCATGATTTAGCAATGTAATAAGAAAGGCTAAACGTGTTGATCTATAGGCATCAGAAATTCGCTTAATGCCAATTAAAACTTTTTTCGGGAGAGGAATATCACAATTCGTGTTGTGGACTTGTAGAGCAAAAATAGTTCTCGAACTGCGTCAGTTATCATATTGTCTAGCTGGTCCAACTGCTTCGCATTCAGTCTAGAGTTATAGAAATGGTGTAATATTTTTGCAAGAGCAGGTTGTTCATAGCACTTCCCTCCAGAGCTAAGGGTAAATCGGAAGCTTTGATTTTAGTTACCAGATCTTTATACGTGTCTATTATGTCTGTTATTTGTTTTGCATCTTCGCCGACAATTGACATTGATTTACCGAGGTATGGCTTATCACGTTGATACACAGGTAGACTTAATTTCTACTTCTGGGGTAGCATTTTCTTTGCCTTTGTACCAATTATTTCCTGAACGACGGCCATATAATACAGCACACTTCTCATGTTCAACCTGCAGACCAGCCTCGTCCATTTGGAATTCAGCAGCCCCAATCATATCACACTTACATTATTTGCAGCTAATACAATATCATCAGCAAATGCTTGACCTGGCATTGGATTCAGATACACCTTATCCCTTATATTCCTTTCTAAGATTGCAGCAGTTACCATAGGCTTACAGATACGATCAATTACCATGATGAATAGAAGAGCACTCAGGGGGTCACCTGTTTTGGTGCCCCTTACGATGTGAAACCTTTTTGATATCTTACAAATTACTTCAAATGATGAATTATAATAATAATAATAATGGAAACTTTTCATTTTGAATTCCAGTTAAACTACAATTACAAATCTCACTATTACAAGGTAATTTGTAACTAGCTAGCCTGTGTTTACAAAATAAAAACTATTACAATCATAGTAATGAGAAAAGAAAAAAGAATGTTAAAAGGGGAGTAGCTTTGGATTAGTCCAAGTTTTGTTTCTACAGCAGAATATATAGTATGTGGTGCGAATGGCGTTTCTGTTGATGATCAATGGACGAAGAGTCACACATCTCGATGAATGAGCTGCAGGAGTTGCCAAAAATACCAAGTGAACTGTTGGAAAGATTATCAAACGAGACTGACTTAAACTGACGTTTTAAGTCAGATACGAGGGTGGCATATTTCTCCGACTTTCTGACAGCATTGTAGTTGAGATTTGTTTCAGAGCCTATGGTTAGTTTTAAAACGTACAGACAGTTTCCCTTAGTTTTGAGAATAATACTAATCAAAATCATAAAGAGTGCATGATTCGTGCATTTAGGTAACTAACCTTTGCTTACTCCAAATGTACTACCGCAATTGAACCCAAGCCATCCCCACCACAGCATAAAGGTTCCGAGCACTGCATTAGTAGGCGATGCCATTTCAATCTCATACTCTTTGTCAAACCTCCCAGTTCTTTCTTTCAAGTACAGAGTGGCAATGAGTGCGGAAAACCCGCCGACCAAATGAACTGGACCGCCTCCGGCAATATCGATCGCTCCCATTCTTTTTAGAAATCCGGATTCAGACCACATCCAGTGAGCGGGCATTACGTAAGAAAATGTGTTTATAAATGAATACAGCATATAGGTTTCGAGCCTCGTTCGCTCCGCCATTGCACCTTTTGAAGAAAGAGAAACAGAGGAAGGTTAGAAAGAATGTTACAATCAATATAATTTGATTGCATGGTCCATTCTGGTTAATTTGATCTTCTTAATGTACCATTCTTGATTAATAAGACATATTTTGGAAAATCTTCATCTAAGTTGTCAGATAGTTCTCTACACACCTAAAAGATTGGAGCATTCTTTAATTTATACAATTCTGTAGAGAGTCATAGGATAATCACTTTAATAGTAAAAGCTTAATCTTAAAGTTTTGAGTTTCTGAACCTATGATGCTGTTACTTTACATACAGTGTATAAAGGGCAGTGCACCCCCTTTTTAGGTGATGTATTCTCACAATGCTCGAAATATCTTATTTTTTTCAAAGCAAAACAGGGTTTCTTAGCTCTCTTGCAAAAAGTAGAAAATAGATTCTAACCAGATACGATTGTTGTTGCTGTTGTTGCAAATGACAGTTGAAAGAAGAACTTTGCAAAAACATGGCCCATCTCATTGTGCTCAGCATCTGTCAAGAAACTGCCAACCCCAACAAAGCCATTTGAGCCCGAGTCTGTGCCAAAACTTAGTCCGTATCCAATCAGCCAATAAGACAATCCTCCAAAAATGACATCGGTCATATTCTTTATCATGATGTTACACTCATTTTTCGCCGACACCATACCTTAAAAATGCAGCTTGAGAATAACATTTGTGTGTATGGTTTCTATTCATAAACCAAATACAGTCGAAATAAATTGATTTTTTACAGAATTTGGTCTGACTTAGCTATTGAAACATTTAACTGGCATTCGAAAGTGAAGATAAATACATTTGGTTATCTGTTATTAGAATGAATACACTCTTTTTTTATAAGAACAATTTTATAAGAACACGAGCCTCAAAACTGGTCAAAAGTTAAGAACAAATTAAGAACAAGCTGAGGCTGAGCTTCTGCAAAATGCAATTTTGAACAACGTTTTTTCTCAAAATCGAGGATTTTTATCGATGTGTGGGTGCTTTTTTCGGTGAATATTCAAATTTGTCAGCAAATTAAGGCTGTCTCACTAACTTTGTTGGCAAATGAGGCCTGAACACCACCCTAGAGCAAAGAAGCTAGCACTCGCACTGCTTCCACCCCATTAGATTAAGAACAAATTAGGAACAATCCAGCCTCAGATTTTTGAAAAAATTAAGAACAGTCAGCCTGAACTTAAATTTACTGGTTCTTATAAAAAAAGAGTGTAGATTTGTATCACTATACGATAAAGTAAAGATAAAATTTAACAGTGTAGTTATGTAAAAAAAATTGCCAGGGAAGTTGTAAAGGAAACAAAATAAGCACTTTTTAAAATTAGGCTACTATGAATTTAAAGATAGTTAATACGGAATTTTCCTCTGCGATGTTCTCGTGCGAAAAAAAGTAATTATGTTTCTCAATATGCCAGAGAGCGAAATATTTGTGAGAAATTTTATACAATTGTCTCTGGCTTATGAATTATTCATTGTTAACTTTCATGACTTTCTTTGACAGAAGCATTCATAATTCAAATGAGTTCTTATGTTTTGTTTTTAGTGTTCAACTTCAGGCTGTAAACACAGGCGAAAGGCTTTTATGACATGGAAAAATATAGACAAATATTAAGTGTGAAAAAAACATAGACAGCTTTACACTTTAATATTGATGGAGAGCCAAACAAGAATAGTTTCCCTAGCGGGTGACGCCAACAGGGCTGCTGAGAAGTCTTGGGGGCCCTGGGGAAAAATCTAACGACGAGACCTTCTACAAGCAAAGCCACCAGAAAATTTTTGCATCCACGGTCTTTAGATTAGCTTAGAATACATCTGGGAATACCTTTTGCAGTTATTTTTTGCAAATCCTCGAAACATTAAAATGGATTTCATTACTTTATTGGGCCCCTAGACAATGTGACCCTGGGGCAATTCGCCCCCTGCCCCCTCTTTCAGCGGTCCTGGATGTAACTCAGTGAGTGAGTGAGTGAGTGAGCGAAATCTGACATCATTAAGCATGCTCTTTTAAAATATCTTTGCTTGACTGTCTCCCCATCACAATAATAATTTAACTTTGCTTGAATTCGCAATATTGTGCCATCTGGTCACAATTTAACACTTTGTTAATGTATTAGTTTATGCAAGACGGCCAGAAACAAGGGATCAAAGAGTTTTTGAAGGCAGTTTCGAGAATCATCTCCCCAAAATTACTCTTCAAGAAAAGCCAGTAATGACTGTATTGTACTGCATTGTATTGTATTGTATAAATTATTTTAATGTTAGTTGTTACAATAGTGGAAAAAACACTAATTCAGACTAACATAGCGCAATTTCCAGGATTCTATAAGGTAGTTCATTTACTTGTGAAGAATATGTGCATTAACTTTTCCTGGAACCGAAATTAAATCAGATTTTAGAATTCTTTCGAATTTCAGGCTGTTTTGATTTTATCTGGTAGTGAGTTCTAGATTTTTGACCCTTGGAAACTGAGTAATCCGGTTTCATGATTTGAGTTCTAACCTTAGGAATTAAAATGGAATTTTGCACACGAAGGTCAAGAGTCGTTGTATTTGGCTAGAAATAATCCCTCATAAAGATAAGATTTTGGTAAAAATTAGAAATTGATCTAAAATCTCTCTACCAGCTTTTCAACGTGCCTCTGTTTATTGCCAGCTCAGAGTAGGCAAAAAACAGTAAAAAAATTGGGCACAGATCCATGTTTACCAAAGTTGTTTTAACCATGTCCAAATTTCTCTATGCCAGAGGTGGGCATAAACAGTAGCAAATTTAAGGGGGCCAACTAGAGACAGTTGCCCCTCCCTCACCAAGCTGAAGCAAGTCTGGCGCCCCTTTTTGGAAACGGTTTGGCACAATTTATGTGAAAATGTTCCTTCAGAACGTGAATGGGGAGCTTCCTTTCAGTACTCTCGTCACCAATAACTGAACATTTTTCAGCGCCCCTACTACCAACTGCCCCTCCTTTAACTTTGTTCCGGATCCACCCCTGGGCACAAAACCATAGAGTCAAACTAGCCCTGATACACAGGAAAATATCTTCAAGCTCCAAAGAGTTGCCTGTCAGATTTTAAACAATTGAACTTGTTTCCTATTAAATTGCGCTAATTTATCTATAAATTTAAAAGGAATCTGACAAATCTTTGGTTATTCACATATGGAATCTTTTATCATGCAGTTGTAGGTAAGAAGTTGACTCAGTAGCGTTTGTTAAAGCGTCTACTGGAGACATTTTTCAGAATGAGGTTGTTGAGAGACGTGCAAGAGAAAGTGAGAAAACTCTCCGTTATTATTACGCACACAAGTCATTATTACGTACGTTCTCTGACTCCAAGACGGAGGGTGACCTAACTGATTAGAAGACATTCGCTCGCTCGTCTCCTCAACAAGAGGCTTAGCTTGTATAACGAGTAACCGCAGTTCGTATAAAGAACAAAACCTGCTTTGATGATTGTATGAAGCGTAAAACCTGTTATATAGACTAAAGAGCAGATAATATATTGTTTACTAAGGGACAGATTTAGAAAAAAATGTTTTCAAACTACATTTGGCTGGGTCAAAACAATTCAAATTGTTATTCTAACTAACAGTTTAGAATCCAGAAAGCATAACACCATGACTACAGGTAACTCCATTATGTTCTGCATAGTATATATTCATAGTATATGTACAGCATGCATATAATCATATAACTGTATAAAAGTTATGAGGATTCTCGAGGCCGTCGCTAGCTATATAGTACTGAAGTGCGACGTGATTATGCATATTTAGAGGTATTCTATGATGCTCTTTCAGGTTATGGGATCTAAAGGGAAAAATTCTAAAAATAGATTTTGTGACGTCATCACTTCGGTACTCTATTGTGCCCGAGGGGAAGTGATTTTCTTTTGCGAACATCCATACGCAAAAGGTTACATTCATTAGCTGTGTAACGAATGATGTAAAGATTAATGAAACACGTGATATTAAATCTGTCACTTCCGGTTAAACGCATGTACTATGCTAAGTGTTTTCTGAAATCTTGTCTCTCTCCTTGCCGAACCTTAACGCAACTGTTACAATTGGTGACAGGGCTGGGATGGTCTGGTCAAATTTGAGATGTAGGGCCTTATATTATACAAAGCAGGAAGCCCTTAGTGTTTATCTATTGCATCTCAGCATTTTTGAGTGAAGGGGATGGTTGCTAAGTTTTTTTGGTCAATTTTTAGATCGTATTGGAGTTTCTTTTTGTTGAATCGCAGAGCTGGTGCAGATCTTTTGTGATCGTTTACACTACCAGCAACATGCTTTAAGTAACTCCAATTACATTTTTTGCAAAAAATAGCGAAAGGATGGTAAATCAAATGACGAATCCCATTCCAAACTTCGATCATAGGAGCTGGGAGGGGTGTAGCACATTTCAATCAGGCAAAATCTTTCGTTTCAAATTCGACGCTACCAAATTCGGGGAAGATCCATACTAAGCCTCTTTTATCGTTTTATATCTGCTGCATCCATATTTTCGGTCACATGCAAACAAATTATATTCCATTTAGAATCGAATAAACCGTCCCCGTTTGTACATATCACGTTCCAGTAATCTATATTTTTCATGCTTTAAATGCAAAAAAAATAAATGTAGTTACTAAAGACAAAAAATTCTTGGTATAAAAGTTGCTACTACTACCCAGAAGTTTGTAAATGTAAACTGTCAATTGGATTGAAAAGTATTGAAGATAGAAACTATTTTTGCAAAAACTAGTTATATTTGCTTTGTACCTTCTAAACAGTTGTTGAATGAATAAGGTATGGTTCAGGGACCATGGAAGCGGGGGTTTACGGGGGCTTTAGCCCCCCCGATAGTTCCGAAATGTGCTTAAAATCATACCAAAAATTTAGTATGCTTAACCCCCCCCCCTCCCCCCTCTCAAAACGTTTTAGTCTCCTCAATCTGTAATGTGCTCCGCGGTCAATGTGGTTACAGTGTTAAAGATGAAAACCTGAAAATGCTTACCAGCTTCGAGTAAACCAAAGCCACTCTGCATGGTGAAGATAATAAATGCACTCGTAAGAACCCATGTTGCATCGCCAGATCCGCCATCAGAATGGTCTGTCTGTTTAAAAATCTTTGCACAAAGCTGAGTCAAGTTAGAAACAGTGAGGTTCACGATGCTGCATGCAGCAGACTCGTTCTTTGAAAAGTTCATTGCTGAGCGGTGCGTTCAAGTATTTTGTTAGCGTATATAGAAAGTTAGACAAGTTTGTGGTCTCACTGTATATATGATACTCATCATGGCCTCAAAAATGTTGTGATATGATTATTGTAAATGTAATTGTGTGAGATATAGGTGCAGCTGCAAAAATCCATAGCCCATCCAGACGATGTCGGCAACGATTGCACGAAGAACAATGAATTCATTACACCAGGCCTCAGTACAAGCACATCTGCTTCCGTACAAAATACTACGTCTAGAAATGGGATTGCCACCAGACCATACCTGCTACACAAGAATGAACGAGTTCGGTATCGCAAAAGTAGGTGCCACCTCCTCTTTAAGGCTCTCCTTCAACCATGCAAATCAATGATCCACCGCACAAATAGCTTGTACAAACATCAAGAAAACGTTCCTTAGTAAATACTGTTTCATTAATAATTCTAGAGAAAATCGTTGGAGAAGGACTTATGTTTATATAAATATAACAAATGTTGACATGATCGGCACTTGAATTAAACAAGCTAGTACCACCTTGCTTATACTGCAGTTATGTTAAAGAACGATTTGATAAAAGCAGAAAAAGAGACAGACGCTAATGATTCCGTTTACGGTTGTCCTTGCAAATTTCCACGTTAAAACTCGTTTTACCTTTATATTCTTCATATTAAAAAACTTTCTGTTGAAGCTTATCTCGTGGATGATCTTACTTTTTTGCTTAGGTTGTTTTTAGGGGCCGTCAAAAGAGGGGGATATTGCTTAGTGTTAGATAACGATCCAGTATTTTGGCAATAGAATAAAGTCAACAAATAAGAGAAGCAACAGATAGGTCTTCTTTCCTGTGCCCCCCCCCCTCTAAAAGAAAAAATAAAATCCCTTCCGAGTCCCTTGACCTTTGTAGTACAGTATTAAGAATAATACACTTTAGAAAGATCTCTCAGCCACTGCCGTTAGATGATCTCACGTGTAATGCATAATACATCAACGTAATATTTATACCAAAAAAGCTATTATTTTTTGGCTCCTTACAGTAAAAAAAACATCACAAAGATATTACTCGGCAAAGTCCAAAATTGACTGGGGATGTATAAAAATTGGGTGACCCCTTGTGAGGGACTTGCTGGAAGTGATTGCAAGGACATTTCAAATGACAAGTAATCGTTGATGAAACAGGGGTTTAAGATAAGGAGCGGGTGTCTTTAAATGGAAGTGGAACTGTTTATTTTCAACCCCAGAGTACGAGGAAAGAAGAAGACGAGAGAGGAAGTTGAACACGTAAGCACTTTATTTTTAAGCAGGAGCAGTAGAATGCTTCAATGCAAGTCACATGCCTGACGTAGTATGCCTTGTGCATCTATTTATCAAAGAGAAACATTTACTTTATAACAAAACAGATACAAAGAGCTAACTAAACACTTCTAACTTTATTGAAAGAATGTAAGTTTATGCTGAAAAGTTATCTTGAAAATGTTTACTCTAATTCTCAAGTAAGGAAAAAGAACGCATTCTTTCTTCCTTTGCAAAACCAGCGAAAACAAGAAAGCAGGACCCAGTTTGTGTAATTTTCGAGTTGAAGGGGTGATTTGAAATAAATTAGCTGTGATTAAACTAGTCGAAGGTTGTTGAATTAAAGTCAGTATTATGTTGTGAAATCTTGCACATCATATATGGCTGACTTTCAGAAAGCAGCTTAGTATTTAATAAAAATGGACCACCATTTACAGTTCCTATTTTCCAAATGCGTTTTTTGGACACTTTGGACACCTCTGAAATGGAACACAATCTACTTCAAGAGATCTTAACTGATATTCAGATTGATATTCGGGTTTAGTTGTTGATAGTCAGTGTGAGTCGCAGGATAATTATGTGTGCAGTCGAAAAGGTACGTATTATGCAACTGGCCATGTGCCACCGATTGTCTAGAAAGCAAGTCCTGTTAAATGTGTTATTTAAAGGTTTATGCCAGTTACATCGATAGAAGATTACATGGTCACGCATTGCCAAAATGTGTCAAGAGAGTACATGTGTCAAGAGTTTCAGCGGTAAACTTTGAAAAGGATTATACAAAGAAGCTTCCCCAGCAGTGATTTTAGCCTTGCTTTAAAAAATTATCTGTGGCCAGTTTTTAATTATATTTCTGAGACCAAATAATGGAGACTCTGGCGCCCAGGGTGTGATTTTATCGACCCATTGATTGACGACTTGGGGTATAATAACAAACCTCTTCGCACATACCCACGCATTTCCTGCAAAATCACAACCAAGGAGTAAAGTATGTGGTGACTGATCATGTATCACTCTCTTTCTTGGTGGCGATTGGCGGCTCCAGCCTGGGATAAGTGGTGGAGGGAGGGACAAAAAGTGTGTCAGGGACAACGCCCTTTTGGACCACGCCCTTTTCCCCTTTTTGAAACTTTTTCTTCCGGGGGAAACACCTGTTGTCTCCCAAGAAATGTCGTTTACATGTGACGATCTAGATAACGTACATACCCCCCCCCCCTCCTGAAGTTTTCTCATCAGGTTTGCAAGAATCGCAAGGGCCAACTTTCTTAAAAAATGGGGGGAACTAGTCCCCCCATTCCCCCCGTCGCTCCGCCACTGGGTGATTGTTCATGTTCAGATAAGTGAACGGTTAGATCTTAATATATATTTGTCTGAATTTCGCAAATTACGAAACGTATCGACAAGAGGGACCAACTGGTGGTAAACCAAGATAAGCACAATAGAGGAGAATTTTTCTCGACGACTATCAATCATTATTTTCTATCTGAAACGATACTATCATAGAGGTTTTTAACACTTGTTTATTGACGTTTGGCGACCAAGAACCGCATGTGTTGATAGATCGATTAAATGATTCGTTACTAATCATTTGATCACACTAATCAAACATGCAGCAACAGCAACATGCGTGGCTACGCAGCAAAAGAAGTGAACTGGAGGAAGAAGGATTTGTCTAAACATGAAGCTGATGAGTTGGACTTTACTGACATGTCTGCTGGGACTAATTGTTGTTTCATCGACTGGAAGAAGATCAAGAAGTAGTAAGATATTCTTAATTGAAATGAGAATATAATATATAACATTCATATCAGGCAATGAAGACTGAACAGTGCCGTTGGAATGAAATCATATTGGGGGCTGCCCATTGTTTTTCTTCTATAACAATAATTAGCCTCTTCTTCAATGTATCTTTGAGGTTGTCTTTATTTTGGAAGAGTTTCGATTTCTCTTAGAAATCTTCTTTCATACGTTTCTCCCACTGGAGCGTTATCCTTCCTATTGTCTTTATTAGCAACTCCATTATCAGGTTTGCTTTCATCAGAGAAAATATCTGGATTGATAAAATGAATATCTGAGTTTGAAGATTGTTTCTCTTTGAAATGCTAGAACTTTCTCTCATCGAACACAACATCTCTGCTGCGGATAAAACGCTTGACAACAGGATTATAGAGCTTGAATCCTTTCATCCCTTCAGGATAACCAACAAATATTGCTTTTGTTGATTTCACATCAAACTTCTTTCTCTCTTCAGGCCTAATGTGTACATAAGCAATACATCCGAATGTTTTCAGATTTGATACATTTGGTTTTACATGAAACATACATTCATATGGTGTTTTGTCCTTTAATGCCACAGAGGGACTTCGGTTCTTCAAATAAACAGCTGTATTTACTGCTTCTGCCCAAAATTCTTTGGGTACATTTGCATGATGAATCATTGATCTGGCAGACTCAACTATGGTGCGGTTCATGCGTTCAGCAAGTCCATTTTGAGCTGGATTGTATGGAACTATTGTTTCATGCTTTATACCTTGCTGTTTCAGATATTCAGAAAAATCATTTGAGCAATATTCACTGTCATTGTCACTTCGCAAAACTTTGACACGTTTTCCAGTGATATAAGTCATGACATTGACAAATTCTTTGAATTTACTCAAAACTTCAGATTTTTGCTTTAGATAATAAACGCATACATAATGTGAGAAGTCGTCGATAAATGTCACAAAATACTTTGAACCACCAATAGAACCAATGTTCATCGGGCCATATACGTCAGTATGAATCATTTCCAGATCATCAGATGTGCATGATGACAAACTTTTAGGATATGGCACTCTATGTTGCTTTCCCATAATACATCCTTCGAAAATTGCTTTTTCCGCATTTGAATGAATTTTATCCATTCCATCAACCATGTTACGATCTGACAACTTGACAAGATTGTCAACTCCTAAATGACCATACCTGCAGTGCCAAAGATCCAAATTTGAAATATTTTCAGCACTGTTTGCTTATTCAGAAGTAAAATGGTTTCAAGAAGTACAATTTGCCTCTCAATTCTCCAATTCCCAATACTTTGGAATTACCGGAGATCTTGCATTTGTCAGATTCAAATTTTACAGTAGCTTCACGATTTGTTAAAGCACGCACAGACAGTAAATTCCTTCCCAAATCAGGCAAATACAAGACATCATTAAGTGCAATTTTCTGTGGTTGTCCTCCGATATCAAAGGTTAATTGATAAGTTCCTTTTCCAAAAGCAAGAATGGTACGATTATCTCCAAGGATAACTTTAGATGGCTGCTCGAATTCAATAAAATCAGACAATGAATCTCTGTTGTAAGTCATATGCTGGGTGGCACCTGAGTCAATAATCCAAAACGATTTTGGTTCATGCGCATTTTCACCAGTGTATAAAGCTTCTTCATACATTGTTTCACTATTGCCTTTTCCTCACTTGCGTGTGCAGAATCAGCATTCCTTGAATAATTTCCAGGAAAATGCGAGCTCTTTGCCTTCTTTTTTGGGCAATCTCTTGCAAAATGTCCTTTCTCTTTGCAGTAGTGGCAAGTTCCAGTGAATGGTTGAACGGGAAATGATCTCTATGGTTTATTCTGTTGGAAACCGAAAGTGTGTCCTCTATTTCCTCTCCCCCGCCTGCTGTTAAAGGCTTGTCTTGCTGATAGGGCATCTCCTGAGTTTTTCAGTACTAAATTATTTGACTTTCGCTCATAGTCGTTTAACAACATTCCTTTCACCTTTTCGAACGATAAAGTTGTTTCGCCAACGGCATCTAATGCTGTAATCAATGGCATATAATCATTGGGTAGACTTGCCAACAAAGTCATGGCCAATTCTTGGTCATTTACTTCAATGCCCATTTCGCGTAACTGATCATGCAAGGATTTCAAGTGATTTATATGTTCCAACATATTTCCATTTTGTTGAAATTTACAAGAGTAATACTTCTGTCGTAATGTCACCTTTTGCAAGATTGATTCACACGCAAATTGCCTCTTTCGCTGTGTTTGTATCGCGGATGTGGATTTGTTGTGAGGGCTCAACAGCGAGACAAATACTCATCCAGGCTTTCTTTTTTTTAAACGAAAACTTCTAATTTCAGCTGCCTCAGCTTCAGCATCAGGAGCGACAGCGATACCTTCTGCATGTTTGAATATATCATTGCTTTCCAAATACAGTTTCATATTGAAAGCCCATGATCTGTAATTCCCGCTATTCAATTTAGCGAATTTCAGAACATTTCCAGCAGAGTCGTCCATAAAAGCCATTCCGTTATCAAACAAATTTCAATGATCCTTACAAACGTTATTCTGGGGCTTTTCTGGGCCCATAACCTATTAAGACAACAGTGTAAAGACAATACAACTTTTATCCGAACATAACATGAAGAAGCAATCAATAACAATACAAATTCTAGAGGTAGATTAATCATACAGCAAGTGTGAGAGTCACAAGACCGGAACTACGCAATAGGAATATAATATAACAGAACAATAGTAAGCAGCGTGATTAGTGATAAGTATATAGCGGTGATCATAATAGAAACTAATGAGTTCTCAACAAACATACTTGTGTTTAATTGAGATTTTTATGGACAAAGAAATATTACTTTTTTTAAATGTAGGGTGATTTCTAAAGGGGGCAGTGTGTCATTGCCCCTTCCATTTATCCAGCAATATATTTCGATAGCCAAATTTTAATACATGCTTTATCCAGGCACAGATCCAGCCAGAATTTTTACCTATGCAAAGGTTGTCAAAAACACTTGTGGTTTGGGTAACACCCAAATTTTCTGAATAAATTCTGTTTCACTGATATTAAGATAAGGGGTTCAAAAAGCAACTCAAAGGAACTGACCTACAAGCATAGTGTAGGGAATGCTGAATTGCTTGCAGTGCAATTTTTTATAATAGTATGTTCCTATTCTTACCCAAAATTGAGGTAGCAGTAGTCGTATTGCAGTTGAATTGCCATTACACTACCCAGTCAACACTTCAGCCATGAATGACTTAGCTTGAAGTTTCCAGACAGGGATGAGAAAGCAACTGTCAACCTTCATTTCATTTGCAACAGCATACCTTTGCACAGGTTCACTGTAAAAATTTCATAGGTCAGCTTAAATTCGATTCCTATTGGTTCCATTAAGTTCCCTTCTTCTTCCTACTGTCTAGGTCATGATATTTTGTTGATAAGTTAACATTTGATTTGTAGACATCTGTTCTGTTGAATTTCTAAACCTGAGCTGAGCAATTTTGTGGGAGATTAGGCCATTTCCTACAAAACTTTTATTTATGCAAGTCAAATTATACAAATACATAAGTCTTTTAATGATAATGATAATGATAATGAATATTTTTTTACTAATTCAGTTACTCAACAATTGCAAACCATGTTGTTTGCAACTGGCTAGCCTGGGTTTACAAAACACCACTACAATAATTGTTATTGCAAAAGAGAAAACTATAAAAAACAACCAACAAATGTTATTCAGGCTTTTGGAGAAATCATCCTAGGAAGGAAATGAAGAATTATCCTCCAACCAATATTTGGCATGGGCCTTTAGCTCAGGCCGTTATATTTAGTATTTTTAACCATTAAATTATCTAAGGTGGGCCTGGCACACTTGCAACTGAGACATGTTAAAATTGTGTCAAACCTGACCGCTGTAGACCATCACAGAGATTGTGACACCAAGTAAACATTAAATTATCCAAAATGGGCCTGGCACACTTGAAACTAAGACATTTTGCGGCAAAAAATTGTGTCGTACCTGACCCTTATAGACTATCTAGGAGATCATGACACCGTGACACAAGTGGACCAAAAACGGCAATTACTATAATGGCAGCCGATATCCTCCAGTTTTGTTAATTTCTCTGTAGCTCAAAGAAAGTCCATTGTTAATAAACATTCAGATTTTCATTCTAAAAGTATTTTTTTCTATTCTAAAGAAGTTTCATGGCTAAAAAAATAAGATAGCAGCCTCTAACCATCATGATTTTGCTGTTTTGCACCACCTGAGGAATTGAAGTTTGCTATAGAACAATGTAATTATTTCATGGCTTCACAAACTCCAAATGGTATATTGTACAGTGTACCCAGCAAAATTTGTTCTAGTGTCATCCTGTCTCTGAAGTGTCAGACAAATGATTTAATTTTTCGCTCAATTTTTCACTCGGCTTTTCTCTCATGCCAAAAGATGAAGGCATTGAAACGCAAAGCGGCTGCCGTGGTTATTGTACATGCAAATGTTCTTTTACATTCTCTTGACAAACTCTAGCATCATAAAACCCTGGTCATTCATTTCATGCAATAACCGTCACTAAATATTTAATTTCATTTAAGCAAGTTACTATTTTTAGGCATACTTTTGTTTTGTTTGATTAATTCCATTCTTAAAATGCAATTCATCACTTTAAAAGGTCCCCTGGACCTAGAGCCCCCAGGGTAGTATACTTGCCTGCCCCCTTTTGGCTGCCTCGCTCTCAAATATATCCCTAGCTCTTTTAAAAATAACTAAGCATAAAAGATGATAACTGGGCCTTGCTCACTTGACTCACTGGACAAGGTCACCAAATGATTCAATTTTCTTCAGACAACACCTTTCGCACAAGACTTTTTTGATAAAGATTAAACTTCACTCTTCATCACTCGACGCCATTTGACTCACTCAACAAGGTGGCGAAACGACTCAATTTTTGACTCGATTTCTTGTTGAGTAAAAAATCGAGTGAAAAATTGAGTCATTTGGCCAGGGCTTAATAAGGATGAACTTGTGAAAACCAAAAGTTGAAAAACCTTTTCGTGATTTCCAGTTCAAATGCTGGTAATCTCATTTCACATTGATTTGTTTCATTCAATATTTGGAACTGCTAGAAAAATCAATCTTGCCAAAGAAGAAAATTATAATATGATTTTATCATCTCACAGGTCACAAAACTCTTACCCCGGGCCAAATTCTGGCCCACCCCTGTGAGCTATAGTTAGAATTTAATTAGGAAAATTATTTGCTACCACAATCAAAAGGATTTTTGTCTTTCTTGTTAAGACTGGTTGCCTTTTGAAGAAGCCAGTTTCCTTAGCTTTATAAAATTCAAATAGTTTAAATGTAAGTAACAATGTTGATATATTTGTGTGGATGAAAAAGAATGTAAAAAGTAGCATAAAGATACAATAAAAAGTAATTTTAATGAATAGATTGATATTTTCAATGCATATTCTTTAAAGTATCCTGTTTTCCTTTGTAGGTAGATTTGGAGGGAAAAGTAGCAATGGAACACAGAAGCAAAACCCAAACCAGAGAATTCCAAAGAGGAAACCCATAGCAAAAGTGCCCCAGCGATCACAGTTTCATAACCATTCTGAATTTATAAGTACTCAGCCAACACAATCTACTGTGTTAGCTAGTAATGATTCGCTGACAGGAAATTTATTTGTTACCAGTTTACCAAATAAAACACAACCTAAATCGAAAAGTACACAATCAAGTGATTCTACTGTGTTAGTTGGTAATAATACAGCAAACCATTCACAACTGACAACAGTATCAACAGTGAAAAGTATCCCCACTAGCCACACTGGTGTGTCCCATATAAAACCCACAAAAGGGTAAGTGACAAAGAGATTCTTTGCTAAGTTTTTGCGTCTTAGTTTGTTTTCAAATAATAGAAAATATTATAGGAGTACAAAGAACGATATTGCAATCTGGAAAAGTTCTATAAAGCCCCAATGAGCCAGTTAATTCTGAAGGTTTAAAGAGGGCTTTTTAGAGATGAAGCTTATTTCAAGTTAGAGATGTAGCTTATTTCAAGTTAGAGATATAGTGGCTAATTGGTCATTATTCAATGGTCATTTTTTACTTTGCCTATTTCCCAATCAGGAAGCTGTTTTTTCAAATCACATTGATCAGACCCAGAATATTTGAAGATAGACTTGTTGTTCCCGAAGACCTAAAGCTTAATTCCAGCCTTGGAGAATGACAGACAAATAAGAGTCAGCTTTAACAACAAAGTTGTTAGTTTTCGAATGATTTTGCATATTAGTCAGTTTTGTTTACAGATTTTCTTTCTACCGACCTTCTGTGCAGCATGCTCGCTTAAAACTTTTCCCACCAAGTTTCTTGTTTACGTAATTTTAAAATGAACGCGGGAAAGCTCAACGTAAGGAGAGAAACAGGACCCAGGGTAATGTTTCATGTGACATTGAAATGATACAGTCTTTGTTATCATTTTGAGTCGATCCAGCTTTAAATTATGGAAAGGAATGACAGGTCACTTTCTAATGCCATACGTTTTATTCAGTCCCGAAAAACCGAACACACATGAATCGAAGACTGATGGGAGTGGAGCCGGAGGAGAAAACGTTGAAACGAACACAGATGGGAGTGGTGCCGAAGGAGAGGAAGTTGGAACGAACACAGATGGGAGTGGAGCCGAAGAAGAGAAAGTTGGAACGAGCACAGATGAAGAAAATGGTAGATCGTGGATAAAAAGATTCCATCCGGCATTCCCAAGGAAAACGGCGGGAAGCCTCTCGGTCCTGTTCTTGGTTGGAATTGTTCTGGTTTTGCTGTTCTATGCGCTGTTCCACAATAGACGAAGGGTGAGCATTTTCAGTAGGTCTTGTTTGATAAATTGTTGTTTTTTGTGGCTTGTTGACTGGATGTTTTACCCTGTTCATTCCACCGTTGTCTGTTTGTGTTTCCTTACATATGCACTTATTCTACAGACTGTGTAGCAAATCTGTATTTTGGTGTCATCATCACTGTGCAGTGCTGCAAAGGCAGTCCTAGGTAATGACAGTACCCATAGACAGATTAAATCTTCTCACTCTTTTCTCGTTCCCTAAACTTTTATCGGGTAAGTTTTTAAGCTTGTCTGCAAATCTACTAATTTTCATACCGTAAAGCAAATAGTTCAAACAAGTTTTGAAATGACCTTGTCATGTGACAGCTTCCCCTCATGATGAACCAGGAGCTACTGGTGCAGAAGTAGAATTAGTATGAATGAAAGCGCGATGAACGTTATGGACTGAGTCAAATCAACAGTTATTATGTAGAAAATATTATATCTTTCACCGGTCATGTCTCAGCCAATTGACAATTTCACAACTATAAACACCGACGAGCATTGAAAATTCCCGATGCTTTTAAAGGGAAATCGACTTAATAGTTTCAACAACCGCAGAGAGAGTAGTTTCAACAGTTCCCTGATTATGATATTAAGCGTGAAACGCGGAGTAGCAGCTTAGAACCGTCCTGTTCTATACACAAATAGCGGTTTTCAAGGATGGATGCATTTCCTGTCGTTCCTTCAGGTTGTGGTCCTAATTCAAAAATCTAAAAGCAGATTTGATTGAGGACTTAGTAACGTACTCTTAGGTCCCAAATAAGCGGGGGATGTCTAATAAGCGGGAGTTGGAAAATTTTTTAAAATTTGATAGGGGGGGGTCGAAATAAGCGGGGGTGGCAATTTGGTGTAAAAGGGTACCAAGCAGTGTTAAAGGAAAAATATCCGTATATATCAAGGATCTGCTAGAATAGGCTACTACTAATATAGAAACTGTTGAGAATGTAAGGTGTTCATTCCTTATCTGGGGGGTAAACTCAACCTCAGTTGTTCACCCTTTTTGAAGGGCTAAAAGCGGGGGGGGTCCTAATAGGAGCGGGGGGTCGGGAATTTCTTCGAACAGAAAATAAGCTGAGGGGGACGCTTATTCGGGACCTAAGAGTAAACACTTATCCACCCGTTTGCAAATTCTAAGTGTAGCCTGGCTCATTTAAATAGATCCTCAGAATCCTAGAAGGTTAAACGATAATGGTGATTTTAGGATTTGGCATCTTTTTTTGCAGTTCTAGATTTATACTTGTGCATAAATCAGTGTTAAATTATCAATTATAACAGCATTGAATTAACCTCTTATATTTAAAAATTTTCGTTACAGATAATAGGTTTTGTGGTAGAGGGGAGAAATGGCAGGCCTAATTCAAGAAACTACAAGAAATTGGAAGAAGCTATGCCTTCACTGAGAAGTATGCTAAACATTTTTTCATGGTTACCTTCGATAAATCAATAAATCATCGTATTTATTGAGTATAGCCATCGTTGGCTTCATTACTAAGTTGTTGTGTCTCGGATTATGAATGCATCCTAGAAACGTTCCTGTTATCCACCCTTTTTTAAGGGATCCCACTTTTAAGATTTTTTAATTCTCCAGTACTTCTCCCGTCCACTGGATAGGAGAAGGAAAAGCATAGTATTTATTATGAGTCAGTGATGCTATCATCTTTCTTTCTGTTGCCATTTTTATGACATACATGCACCGGTCCCATAGTTTCAATGCGGCGCACGTGGGCCACCTCTGAGAGTTTTGACTAAAACGAAAGACCCTTAAAAAGAAAGTTGATGACGCCAATGTATAAACACAATAACTTTCCTTTAATTACTATAAATGTTGAAAGAGATAAGGCCAGTGTTAAACTGGGGAAATAAAACCCTTTTTAAAAAGTACCTTTACAAGAACAATCTACCGCGTGAGGTTGTAGAATGCCGAAGATGTACGATATGAGAAAAATGCCAATAACTTAAAGACTAACGCAGGTCGTTGGTTTTCTACTCCCTTCGTGTTATTGGTGTGAAGAAGCACAGGTGTCAGGGTAACTGCATTCGAAGGATTTCCTTTTTTCTCTATATAAATGTATGAAATGTTCGCAACAATGTATGTACACCGAAAGAGGGGACTCAATAATTCTCAAGATTCCACTAAAAGTTCTCAAGATGTACTTGAAATTATGCAACATATCACTATGCTCTTGGCTTTTAGCATGTACAGCCCCCCCTCCCCAATTGCAGCATGCTTCGTTATTCTTAGGTAAAATTGTTATTTAATCCATAAAATCATCTGACCGTAGTTAAATAAAGGACAAATTCACCCTTATCTTTGTCTTGGTTGGCAGTTGTTTCCTTTTCAATAATTTTCTCCCCCCCTCTCTCCCCAAAAATCGAGGTACAGCCATTAGATTGTTGTTTTCTTTTTCCGCCAGGGAGTGGACGCACCCGCATGCAATGCGGAATATATTGCTGCTCAAACCACCCCAACTTCCAAATTGCAACCATGTTCAATACTTTATTTTTTCAGGGCTCTTCAAAGTTTTCGTTGTTCTTGGTTGCTTTTAATGCTTAGTATATTTTTTTCCAGAAACAGCTGCTTGAAAAAATGTTTAAGTCAGGCCCCCAGCATTATTGACCACAAAAGGACCAAAACAGCCTGGTGTACGAGAGAGTCCTGAAGGAATGCCATTTTCCGGTTGTTATGGGACGTAATTATGCCACCTTTATACTGCTACCGCTAAGATGCATTTATAACTCAAGGACAATTTCTACTTGCTGATTTTGCTTCGAATCAAAGTTTTTTAAGGCCATCAAAGCTGAAAATGAACATTTTAATGTTTTCGATATAAATCACTCTGTTATAAGCTGGTATTGTAACAAAGGAACTGTTCCTGTTTTAAAATGTCTTTCAAAAAAGTAAACATTTTACAACGTATCCTGGTTATGTTCTCGCGTTTTACTATTAGGACAGTTTCGATATACCTTAGTCCCTTCAAATTTCGCCTGCCTTTAATTGCTCCCCCCCGGAGGGGGACGAGAATTAAAGGGGGCGAATTATGGAAATCAAAGGTAGCGAACCTGTGCACAAAAGGGGGCGAAAATTAAAGAGGCGAAAATTTAAGGGAGCCAAAATTGAAGGTAGCCTAAATTTGAAGGGACTAAGGTAATTAGTTGTATATTTTGCAGCTTGATATTTCGATCCTGATTCTATGGTTTATACTCTGAGATATGTTATACGAAAAGCTTCAGTATATATGTTGTAAAATGTTTTCTTTTTTCAAAACCAATTTCATATTTTATTTCTGCTTTGCTGAACGATTTAAAAGGCATTTGACACAGGTAAAAGCTTACAGCCACTCGATCACGAGTAGTTGACCAATCAAATTGCACACAGAGAAAAACACATGAACAGTTCCAGCCTTTCTGCAAATCGGCGAAACCCTAGAGCAGCGTGCAGTGGTTTCATGTGAGCAGTTTCCAATCCCTTTCTTCTGCGCATGCTCTGATCAACTGGCCTAAGTTATTTTTGGATTTGCTGTACTTATGCACGTCAAATACCTATAAATCTGCTGAAAATATTTTATTTATTTGTTAATTAACGTCTGTTTTGTATGCTTGTAATTATTTAAGTATTGGAATAGATAAACAGATTTTTACATCAGTAATTTTAAAAAGGACCTCTTGTTAGACTGACGGGTGTGATGTTTAAATTTAAGGAAAAGAACTCAACCCTCGGTATTCTGGGAAGAGTATGCAAAGAAGTTGATATGTTATTTCCCGCCCACAGTTTCTGATTTGGCTATTTAAAATAATTGTCAGGTCATTGATCAATCAGTTGTTTTTTCATATTGTTTTGTCCTCTTAAAGACTTTTGCCTCCTAAATTTTGTGTCTATTCAACTCTCTTTAAATGATTTTTCTATTGTAGAACTTTTAAAATCGATAAATGAAACTAGATTTTTTTCATCTATTAGTATGCAAACCAAGATGGCCCTTAACATACTTACAACATTAAGCAAATTTAAACTAAAATAAACTTTTTAGCTAATTACAAAGAGCTATAAAACTACCAACCTACGTAATCTTAATGTAATAAAAGCCGAAGAAATGGAACATTCATATAGACGACTTCCATATAGAGGACTTTCACTTAGAGGGCATACGAGAATATTTGGAATCAACCACGAATGTTTTATCTAAATTGTAAAAAGCACACTATCTTGCAGATCTTGGACTATTCTTGCGTCTGCCACTTTCGATAAGCAATTATGCACAATTCTGCGCATGGAAATGATCTCCCAAAACAGAGGAGTAAGTGACAATATCCCTTGCATAGTTCGCTTTTCTTCTTTAAGGCAATCATGTGACCTACACGCAGCAATGTTCGAAGTCCTTTAGGAGAAATCCACAAAAAACAAGGCAGGTTTGATCTCTGCTTCACAACTGTATCGCTAATTCGGTTACAACGAAATATAAATGTTTCTTACCGGTCTAAGAAAACCTTAACATACAATGCCTGCCAAAAGTCTTGGAACACTGACATCAATTTCCAAGGTCAAAACCAATCATCCCCCTCTCCCCCACGGAACAATGTTGGTTTACTATCAAACGGATCAGGATTTTAGGAAGCACTTTCTTTTGCGCTTCTTTTATGATATTTCGCTAAATCGTCAACATTGTTTGAGGGGGAAGGGGGCGGAAGTAGCAATTTTTTTTCATGAAAGGAATGAAAGATATCAAATGCAGCGTAAATTGGTGGGTGTTCCAAGTACTTTTGGCAGGCATTGTAGCTCTTGTTTTCTCCCCACTCCTTTTTACAATCATTTTTCTCCTCCCTTCTCTTGCATATCTCTGGGTCTCGCCCCTTTATTGTCCTGTCTTCTTATAAAAATTGACCGGGGGTAAACCAGGGGGTGCTTAGAGCCCTCACAATCAGATCTCACTTTCACTTATCAACTTCAACTCTGAACACCATGACAGTGAGCAATTAGAAAATACTTATTGGGAATTTTTACTGCAGATGTTTGACTTAATCTTTCTTTGCATAGTTTGGCAGCAATATGCGGCCTCACAGTCGTAATGAGACCGGTTTGCTGCTATTTCTATTGTCTTATTTTCTGTTAATCACCCTTTCTGGAGTTAGCCCTTCTTCACTCACTATGGTGTAAGAATAATTTTAGGTTCTAAGTAGCTTTAATTATTCGGACGTTCGAATATGCAAAAGCTCTCAATCTGTGAGCCTGTATAATTATAATCCAGAACTTGATCTTGAAATATAATTTAACAAGATGCTAATTAAAGATAAATGCTTAACATTGGCGTTGAAAGCAAAGGGCAGGGAGAAGTTAGACAACTTTAGAGACAAGATTAGGCAAAATTAGGATAAATTTTTGACAAATCTTGACAATTAAGTACGAGAAAACTTACCGATTGCCATAGAAACTTTAGAAATCTTATACTCGAATATCTTTAAAGTGGCTAATTTTTCTAATGTACTCATTTTCAAGAATTTCGCCAACACGGTATCAATGTTACTGTAACTTAGAGAATAGGAAAAAGAATTTGATGAAAATATCCTTCTAGATGTGCTTCGTTTGCACCAAGCAATTTTTGCATCATCTTCAAAGAAATGCTAGCGTTAAGGTCCACCTGTCCCTTTCAAAGTGCACCTTGATATTTGGAGTAGACAGGTAGTAATTTTTATAGAATTTGATACAGAATAGATTCGTTCTTATTTTGAACTTTATCCTTTCTAAGCAGCCGTCCCGCTTACAAGACTTATGCTTACTTTTTTGATTTTATCACTGTTAACAGGGAAAATCAAAAAAGAAAGTACCCAATATATAGTATGCAACTAACCTATCAAGACTTCGCAATTCCTTTACCCCGTTCTTCATCCTTTGACTCTCTCAGGCTTTAGCACCCAGGATAGCAACCAACCATGCCAGGTTCTAGTTCATGACGAATTTCTAAGGAATCTTTCACTCAGCTGATGTTATCCAATTTGTTTTCTTTCTTTTTCTCTACTGTAACTTAGGTATTTACATCCATTGTCGACGCCTAACAATATTTTCTAAACTTCTGAGTGGATTTAATGAATAGGGAAAAATGTAAATAACTTTTTCGAGCAATAAAATATGGTTTCAGATGTTTCAAAACTGCTTACTTTTTTCAACTGTCTTGTCAGTGTGCTCAATTTGCAAATCAATTTTGTAGCTATTTTTTTAATCAATTATATAGGCTAAAATGGCTGTTAACTGCTTACAATACTACAGCGATAGCAACTATAACTTAGACGATAATTACAGCTTAGTACAACATTTAAACAAGTAATGGTTAGTCAGGTACAATGAGAAAGTAAATAGCATATAAAAATTTATGGAGTACCCGTTAACAGTTGTAGCAATTCTAATGCTCTGTTTGGATTATCAAATATCCACTAAAGCTAGAAGTTAATCAAAGTTAACTTTAGCAAAAAATTTATTCATTTCCATGACCATCTTTCACTTACAGCGTAATATACTTTATTAGAGATTTGATAATTTGTGTTTACCTCCCTTGTAAAGGCTACGGTATTGGCCTGCGCAGCCCCGCGGCAACCCGCGCTAAAGCACAGAATTACCGATTCATTTTGTCTGTGGAAAGCGAAGCAGAAAGATGGAGGGTCATGGGCCTGAGATATTATTAACTCTTATGAAGACCCAAAACGGCATCGAAAGATAAATCAGGCTTGCTGTGTTATTAATAAATATTACTTGAGGTCGTATTTAATCGAATCGTGACGATGGATAACACAGAACAAGATGAAAAGCTGAGAAATAAGTTGGCATTGAGTCGCCTGAGCTCGCAACTCAGGAACATGGCGCAGATATCCGCTACTAGCCCGAGCATTTCGAGCTCATCTGAAGAAAGTGATGATCTAAGTGAAGATGAAGGAGAACATTCAGGGGTATTATTTGTGATTTGAATTATTTTTGATTTCATGATGCTATTTTATGCAGTTTTGCAAACTTTTATATGCATTTCTTAAGGTGGCTAGCCTAACCAGGCAGCCAGTCCTCCGTCACTCAGTGTCATGTGTTTGAGGAAGGTGTTGCTTGTTCTTAATGCCATGAACAATTTTTCAAACAGCCTTTTCCGTCAGCTTTAGATAAGAATGAAATGATTTAGTTGGGAAGCAATATAGGTTAATTCTAAAGTATTACCGTCGGGTCGTTCAAGTTAAGATTTTTTAAGTTGGCAGACAAACGAAGATTACAGAATTTGTCAAACGAACCGTGGGCCAAGAATGTTAAAAGCAATTCATTGTGTATACAGTTAATACTCGAAATCACTTAATGTTTCTAGTGAAAATTAAAAGAAGGTTGCTACGGATTATCATGATGGACATTTCTTAGGTTATTTTGTCTTTTTCTCGTGACTTTGGTAGCCCCGATTTATATCTGCTATCCACACTAGGCACCATTCTGCGTTGAAGGTGTTCTAAATTTTTCAGTCCAATTTTCCCGTAATGAAAATTATCAATCACGCAAGGAAGACCGCTTTGTATTGGTAAGCTGTGCTCAGTGTCCTTTCGTAATTATTCACAAGACTGCACCATTCAGTTGTTCAAAAATACGTTGTCGGGACCTGGTTTACACTCGTGGTCTTTGGGAATATGACATACAGCAGTATTTTGCGACGCGTTTCTTCCAGACCTTTCTCTTATCCCTAAAACGTTCTGATATAATCGCCTTGTCAAAAAACTCAGCTTTTAAACAGGAATGTATTTTTCAAGAGCCAATAATTGACAGAATTTTCTTAGTAATTGACATTACACTCATTGATTAACAGAAGAGATGCAGACATTTTTCAATAACACCTAGTATTTTTAATAAGACTTCTAGAATGGAAACTGGTGTAAGTGCCAGCCCAGGTCCACCAATTGATGATGCAAGATATATAATTTCTCCCTCCCTCACAATAGCACAATTTGTACCAATAAAATCTTAATGTATTAAAATATGAAGAGCTTTACTTATAGATTGTGGGCAAAGACAGCAAGCTATGAAAGGAAATCTGCTTGATCAAGGGCAACTTCTCTTGCTTTTAAATGTTACTGGTTTAGCTGATTTCATAGTTGGCCTATCCACATGCTATATAATGATACTTAAATGCTACTCATGATAACCTCATAGCTATGTTTCCATTATATTCAAGCTTTAAATGCAAAGTTATTTTCATCCAACACTCCTCAGAGTATAACGTCATATAATCACCAGAGGTATGCAGAAAATTTTCCACTTAGAAGGAAAATGGCATCAAAGAGTCTAAAAATCTGAACACTGTTAATGATTATTTATTTTGCAAAGAATGAAATAATTTGTTATTATTTTTTCCTAAGACTTGATTAGAGGCTGCATCAAAATAGAGGCAGAGATTGAATTGCTTTGCTAATAATCCGTAGTCAAATATTTCCTAATTTATGGCCCCTCCACTCAGGGAAGTCAGAAACATTTCAGAGTTTGAAAGGTAAAACTAGGAATTGATATCATTTCTCAGGAAAAAAGGCACTTTTTCAAAAGTCTTAATGAATTCTAGAATGCTATTTCCTCTGTAAATTTATGGCATAATCCTTGTCATTAATTCTCTTATAACGGGCATTTCAGGTGCTGTAGTGTTTTTGAAAGTTGATTGATTAAACAGGCCTTCCCTGGAAAGGCATGCGATCACACTTGCATGCACTGGTACATGCCTCCCCACACAGAGGAGTGCGTTTAATCGCACGCCTATTTTTGAAATTGTTTGTTGGTTTTTTAACCAAAGCGCTGGAAACTAAAAATGTAACAAATCAATAAGAAATTGTTTTGTTTTTTATTTTGATGTGTTTTACCAGTCTTTTCCACTGTACTGGGTCAACTTAATCATTTTGAAGAGCTGTTGTGATGACACTTGAATGCAATCAAACACGGACCAAATGACCATAGCATCAGGGCTAGTAGTAGTCAGGACAGAACAAATTTTTTATCATAGACCTGCATTAGCATGCACATGTTTCTAAAATACCTTTTTAAATTGGTAAATGAAGTTGATATTTGATCTATACTCATAAATTTGGTGTCTTCAGCAAGTAATGTAAAGGGGTCACAAAAGAGCTCGCCATATTCCTGAAATGGGGCAACAATGGCATTTTAAGGCTTTACTATTTAGGTCCATGACAATAAGAAATAGGTTTCAAAAATTTGAATCAAGTTGTGTGCGAAATATCAGATGGTCAGGCATCCATCATTCTAAAAGGGTGCTGTTTTTTTGGAAGCCTTTGCCAATGGCCCCTTGCTGGAAAGCTCCCTTTCTGTGCACTATTCTTTTACGCCACTGATTTCAGTACCAGTTGCTACCACCAGCTATGTTAAAAATAAACGGAGTGACACAACCCTAAACAACTCTCCCCAGAAGGGCTTGTGCAATATGGCATATTTGTCTGACGAGGATATCCTGTTCTTCCACAAATTATTCAATGTTGTATCGTTTTTAAATGAAAGGGGAAACATTTGAAAAACGGCAGGTTGTGTCAAAGGCATGAAAATTTCAAGGGTTTTTGGGTCCAAAGATTTGGAATTCTTGTGCAAATAAAATAAAATCATCAAAAAATGCAAGTCAGTTGAAAGTTCTTATAAAAGATTGTTATTTCAAAAATCAATGCCCCTGTAACGCTTGCAGTCAATAACTTCCATAATGCAATCTTTTAGTCTTAGTTTTCATAATGCAATTGCTTCATGTTAGTGTTTATTAGTGTTCACACTATTGTCAGACTAACAGTAAAAAATGTATTGTCATTATTATATTATCATTACACTTGGAAACAGAAAGATAGCACTTTAGATTCAAAGAGAGAGAAATCTACAATAGAATTGTTCAGTTTCAAGCGTTTGTACTGAAATGTTTTGTGCTGTTTTCAAGTCGTGCCATTTTCAAATCGCACCATTTTCAGATCACACCATTTTCAGATCGTACCATTTTCAAAAATGTTTTCATATACCTTTCGATGAGACAAGATTGAAAGTTGGGGTCAAAATTTTAACTTTTTTTGAGGGTTTCATGAAGACTGCCACCATTGTTGGTGGCAAGAGGGATTGTCGGTAACGGCATCTAAAATACTTTCAGCATCAAATTTAGTAAAGATATCTGGCAATATCCTTTCCCTTCCTTTATCGTTTTGCCACCAAGGATTTAATTGCTAAAGTTGTGTGAAAACTGAAGAAATGACTAAAGAATGGGGTTCTAAGAAGGCTCAATATACTATGTAATTAAGCATTTGTAGAAATAGACAAAACACCAATAGCACTCCATCACACACCTAAAACAGCTTAGGGGTGTATCATGTAAGTAATATCATGAAAAGTTAATTTTTATAATTTTTTTCTCAATACTCAGATCTTTAGTGTTTCATGGGTTAAAAGAAACTAATTAGGTAAAAAGCTTACATGGTTGAATCTAAAAGAGGTTTGAAAAAATATGAAGGAACTTTTTTCTTCTTTTAACTGCAAAGAATCGTAACTGGCAAGCCAGTAAATATTTGCAGAGAAATTCATTTGATTTAGTGAAAATTGTACTTAAAGTATTTTGACTAAACGGTTTTATTTTGTGTGTTTTTGAAAGTGATCACAGAACATGAGGACACAAATTGGATGGATCATAACCCCTTCTAATACCAAATAGTTTACTTGTAAATGAGTGAATATGATTTTTATCAGTAGATTTACTAGGCAGTTGTCAAGAAGATAAAACTTTCTGTTCCCCTCTGAGATAAAGTAATAAAAACTGTTTCTCTTAGATTTTTTAAAAAGTTATTCAATATTTGATTTAAAACTGACAAAGGTCTAGATCAACATAACTGACTAGCTACAAAACAAATTTGAGTTATCTTAAATATAATTTTCAAACTGGGTACAGCAAGTCTTGGACAAGAACACTTATCTAGTATTTGTTTCACTCATGAAATTTTCAATACAAAAGATATGAGATGTTATAGAGTAAATGTGTATGGAATTTTATTTTACCAATGGCAATTTTTCTATGCAGATTGATTGCTTGATATCTGGGAAAAAGCAAGACTTAGCATCAACCTGCCGACTGCTTTTGTCAGATGATGAAGAGATAAACAGAGATTTATCAAACCTAACCCTTGTTGCACCTGAAACACAGGCACGACTAGAAGCATTATTGGAAGTTGCAGGTATGCTGTTTGCAATATTTTTTAATACACTGTACTCTAACCCACAACTTATTTCACTGAGGTACACAAGTTTCTTTGTAAGTAGTAATAAAATAATGAATGTGATGCTTATATATCATGAGATAATAACCTTACAAGTTTTTATCATATCTCTAATTTTCTTGACTCTATTTAAAACATATGTCTTATCTATGATTTGCAGTGAAGGTAAGCTTATGATAAGCTTTTTTAGCCATGTGCTTCCTAACTCTCTAATGCCTACAGGTCAAGCAAATCAGTAAATCAGCTAAATGGCTAGTTTATTAGGTCATGAGCAAGTTATCAGGTTTTATTTGAATTTAGCTGTTAAAAATGTGATGTTTCAATTAAAATTTTTTATCAGCTTATATTCCATTCCCTTTGGCATATTTTGCTCTTTGAATATGCAAAACATAGAAGCTGATCATCTCTAAAGATGCTTATTATTCATTTGAAAATAATATTAAAGCAGGTTATCACCTCTTTTTGGTGTATAGAACAGGATGGTTCTAATTTGCAGCTCCTAGTTTCACGCTTAATGAGATCACCAGGCTATTGTTTGATCCGTCATTATACACCAGGTGATGATCCTACTCAATATTAAGCTTTGAGTTGAAACTTACAAACATCTTGCTCTTTACACCAAAGTGTGTACAGCTCTGTCTTTATGGCATCCACCCCATTATGACAGACCAGCAAACAATAATTTTCATTAAGTATATAACTCTGTTCTTAGATACAGTTATCAATCAAGCAGCTAAAATTTTTTTGTTGCTTGTTGCCATAGGTCTTGGTTTGAACTCTTTCTTTATTGTTTCATTTAAGCTTCATCTATGGTCAGTTACGCTTTAATCTCCAGACACATCACACTGCTTGCAACAGAAACATTCCAGTTTGCTGTAGCACTCTAATTTGAAAAAATTACATCTAGCAATATTTTATGACATCTTTTTTTTCTTTTCCCCCAAGGTGTTGCTGCAGATGGGAAAGCGTTCACCGACCCAGAGGTTCTAAGGAGGCTAACATCATCTGTAAGCAGTGCTCTGGATGAAGCTGCTGCTGCCCTTACAAGAATGCGATCACAGGCTGGAGTTCCAGCTCCTAATCACATCCATGATCAAGGTAGGACTAGGGCTTCCCTTTGCTCAAGAACTGTTTATTTCCTTGTCTTTTATCAGTTTTTCTAACGAGTTGCTTTGTTTATGTCTTACTTTGTGAAGCCACTCTTATCAATTGGACTTTTGATTTTTCAAGTCAATTGGACTTTTGATTTTTCAAATACTATATAAGGATCTATGTTTTTGTCGATTTTGATTAAATTTCTTATATCAGGGAAGATTGTCTTTAAAGCCGTAATTATTTGGCTAAAATGCAGGGAATTCATTTCGGTTCAGTTTCTTTCTAATCTAGTAGCGAGTAATACACTGTTGTAAATGCCCTAATTATTGAATGTTGGACTTAACCTCACTACACTATCTTGACGGCAGACTATAACCTAGTTTATTGTACATCAGGTACAAGAAGTTTAGTTGAAGCATGTATCGAAGGAGACATTGCCGCCGTTCGCAAGTTACTTGATGAAGGAAGAAGTGTCCATGAACCAACCGATGAAGGAGAAAGTTTACTGTCGCTAGCTTGCTCTGCAGGTATGTATAGGCTGGGCCAAAGTATATTGCTTCAGAGATTTCTTCAGAGGTTATCTAGAAGTCAATTTGTTGGTATTTGATATGTAGGTGTTTTAGCAAATACAGTTCTGTTAAGTCTTGAATTACCATAGCCCTTAAACAGATACCTGTGTTATCTAAGAACTAGGCTTATATTTTTTATAGTTATCTTTTTTGTTAGAATGATATAATCTTTTAGTAAAGTTTTTGTTAATTGCATGAAACTGCGGCTTCCTTAATTGGTTTAGTTTGTTCTTCTCCAGTTACCATTCAGAAGAACTGAATCCCAGTTGAAGTTGGTTCTGTTTGGCTTTTCTTATGAATCAAGATGGTCTTTTCTCTTTGTATGGTCAATAAATCTAATTGTTACTTTTATATCTTTGTAGGCTATTTTGAGTTGGTTCAAGTTCTTTTGGCAATGAACGCAAATGTTGAGGACCGAGGGAGTAAAGGAGATTGCACGCCCCTAATGGAGGCTGCTAGTGGTGGATTTGGTGATATTGTGCGGTTGCTGTTGCAAAATCACGCTAACATCAATGCACAGTCTTCTTCAGGTGAGTTTATAAAAGCTGATAAGTGAAAGAAATTTTAAGATTTTTTTATGTTGTATTTACAGAAAAGGGAAAATGGCCAGACTACGGTCCTGAACTAATAGGTTTGATAGTTTGCACCAATTTCCCTGCTCCAGGCCAATTTTGGCTTAATGGAATATTTCTGCTATCAACGTCCAGAAATCTCAAATTTGAAAGGGCTTGTACTATATGTCTACTACCCTTCACATGTTTTGGCTTGTCTTTCAACAAAGGTGTTCAGGGTTGAAGTTCTTGGTTTACTCTGAATTGGAGACAACTGTATCCTTGAAAACACCTATCTGGACCGTTGTCATTCTAATGCATTTTCTGAAACTTCTTTCTTTACCATAACTCTTAGTAGCTCTAAAAATGACTATTTTGTACAGTGTTGGTAGTGTGTACTTAGATAATTGCTGCCAGAGACAAGAGCAAGATAGTAGTGACAAGAAGAACAATATAGTATATTGCTTTGGGCTTGTTAATATATCTGAGCTTGCACAGGTTTTCCGGTAGACACTTGCTCTTTGGATAAAAAACTCATTAGAAGCAGTAATGTTACCTCATTTTGTCTAGTAAACCTTAAACCAATGGTGTACCTAAGTGTGACGTCATTAACAATCAATTTGTAGAACTTCTTAATTTTGACCACATAATCTGAAAGAACAGCAAAAAATAGGTCTCGACAAGCAAAATCAGTTAGATATGGCCATAAAATGATTCAAAATTCGCTATTTTGAGATATATGGTAAAAGTTCAAAGTTTTAAAAATATATTTTTGTGACATCGGTACTCTTCTGCCGCATGTGAAAAAACTAGAGTTATTGTAAAGCCCTTTTGTAAAGCTTCTCGTGATTTCTTGGTAGGAAACACAGCTCTACACTATGCATCTTGTGGTGGATACGAGGATGTCGTCAGTGTACTTTTGGATAACTCAGCTGATCTCGAACACCAAAACGAGAATGGCCATACACCGCTCATGGAGGCTGCCAGTGGCGGCCATATCGGAGTCGCAAAATTGTTGCTGGACAAAGGGGCTGGTATAAACACCCACTCGAGCGATTTCAAGGAAAGCGCCTTAACGCTAGCCGCGTATAAAGGTATGGTTGTGATTTTCAAAATCTTATTTAGTCTTCCAACCAGAAATTTCCATGATTCCAACCATAGGAATGATTCCAGCTTATTAGGGCCTTTAAATAGCGAATTTCACCAAATTTTGTCATTTATTAGGTAAAATTATAAACTTTTCGTGTTAGTAATGTAATTTTGTGGTGATCGTGGTAACCACTGTTACGTCATTGACAAGGATGTCACATCAAATCGGGCATTGTTGTTACTTTCAATAGCTGTTTGCAATTGAATTCAATTACGATGAATTTCGTCAAATTTAAAATTGGCCAATAATCAAATCGAGCGTACACATAACGCAAAAATATAGACCCTCCCTGTTTTTCTTGCACGCACTGGAGTGCCAAAGTTGGATATGAAGTTCCAAGCTTGTAGATCTTTATTTCTCTTCATCACGGTTTTCTGCTTGCTCCAACGCCAGTCACAAACGCGTAAAATTTAATTTTCTCAGGTCATGTGGACATGGTTCGATTTCTGCTTGAGCGGGGAGCTGATCAGGAGCACAAGACTGACGAAATGCACACAGCTTTAATGGAAGCATCGATGGTACGTAATGAAGGGGCTTTATGCACAGCGGGGTGATGGGCGACATAGGACCTTGGAGAAGCAGAAGAAGTTTTTTTATGTATTTATATAAAATTTTTACAAAGCATACACAAATTTACCAGACATTACCACAGGGAGCATGGGAATATATAGCAACCCTGTGGTAATTTACATTCAACATATAAAACTAAATTAACTACAATTTAAAGATGCAAAAAGAACGAAAAGAAGAAATAGAAACTATTTCTAGAAAGAGGAGAGGAGAGGGGAAATATGTTGCTTGTATCACCAATTTATTCAAAACGTTTAGAGGCCCGAATATATTTTAGCGTTGCAGCGAGAATTTTCGAATTTGATTCGAGTGGTAATTCTTCATGGCCATAGAGGATGATTTTTAGCAGATCTTCTTTTGAAAGATTTATCACACCATAAGGCAACAATATCGCATTTACACTGTTGAGGAGATCATAGCTATCTACGTTATAATTATGTAAGAAGAAGTTGATTTAAGTCGCAAAAGCTAGCAGTGTTTTTAGATTGATAGAAGTTTCAATAAGGGACCTTGTCTAAAACATTGGTAAACAAGGGCAAAGGTCTGAAGTCGCCCCCGAAGTAAGCTAACATTAGGCTGTGGTCATACAGCAATTGAAAAAAGGATTTTGACTGTTTAGAAAGTAACACTTTTCCCATCATACTTTTGCAAGTATCAATGTCAGAGGCAAGGTTGTAGAAGTTTTTAGTACCCTGGATCTTTTTATCAGCGGCATATGAAAACTGAATTTTGTTTTGTCACGTTTGTAGGACGGTCATGTGGAAGTTGCAAAGTTACTCTTGGAGCATGGTGCACAGGTATACCTATTTTTGTAAATCATTTAAACACACTTTGACCGGCACCTCCAAGAAATGGACACCCCCCAGTACCGCACTCCTCCATGTAACAGACGTCTCTTTGTACCAAGCACTCCTTCTAACGAACTTTTCCTCCAAGAAATTCGAACAAATAATTTTGTGCCATAGTTTTTAGGCGGCCGAAGCTTTGTAGAATTCACTTCCAGGCACCTCTCTACAACTGATGTGAACTTAGGATGTCCTTAGCATTAATGTTCCACATAATAGTTTTAATTTACTTTCATCTCATGAAAAATATTGCTTTTGATTCATCTTGGTAGTACTTTCTTCTATTTTGAAATGGCTGCTGGATGATTCTATTTATGTTAGCACAAACCTTACATCCCCTTTCTCAAATCGTTTCATTTGTATCCTTACTGGGCCATTAGAAGTTGTTTACTAAAGGCAAATGGTCCAGCTTTATTCAATACCCATATTGCCTTATGCCATATCAGGGTAATCATATTCAGCAGCTGATTTTGTTTACAAAAATTTGAAGTTGCACCCATTCTTAAATGTTTTGAAGCTGTTTCGAAGGCCGGCCTCATGAAATCCCAGTTCTGGAAACATTGTCCTAAGAATAAGCATAGAGTTCGGAGCCATTGCGTCCTATCTCAACTATTGATCAACCTTTATGTGAAAACTTAAGAATTAGAGCTCTAGATTGATAATTTTTCCTTGTATTTTGATTCATTGTCTGCTCCGCAGGTAAACATGCCAGCTGACAGCTTCGAATCACCGTTGACTCTTGCTGCTTGCGGTAGTCATGTCGACCTAGCGCATTTGTTGATTCAACATGGAGCAAATCTCGAAGAAGTCAATGATGAAGGGTAATCAAGTTTATTGTGTTTGCAAAGGTTATCCCCTTTGTTTCAATGAGATACCGATGTTCCACAAATTTTAGCAGAGTAAAGAAACAGGGAAAGCTGAAAATTTGTGCATTTTTTTAACCAGTATTGCTGAGATCCTGAAAAGTGGCAGCCTGCGCGGCTGTTGACTCTGAAAAAAGTCTAAACAAGAACATTTCAGTAACTACACCTTTGCCACACGCCACGCCCTTCTCGTCGTTTTGGCTTGTTAGCCGTAGAACGGAGGAGCACTTAACTCTGATTATACTATGCTGTTTGATGACATAAATTTGTTGATCTTACCACTGAAATGTGTATTGAGATTATTCGAATTTCCTAAGCGCCCCTTGCCCGTTCTAGCACATGTATTATTTTCCTTGCTATTGTCTTTTTACTCCAACAATAGGTACACCCCACTGATGGAAGCTGCAAGAGAGGGATACTTGCCAATGGTTGCTCTGCTTCTCGAGCATGGTATGTGATTTTTCAACCTTAAAAAGAAGGTGAACCCTTAAAAAGAAGGTGAACCCTTAAAAAGAAGGTGAACCCTTAAAATAGAAAGACTGAAAGCTGCTCTAAAAGGAGACCTCGAACAAAGAAGCCATTAGATTGCAAAAAAAACTAGCAAGATTTCTCTACAAATATTTACAAGAAAAGCTTATAGAAATAAGAGAATGTATCGTTTTTTAATTGTTTTTTAATGCATGTGTCTCTCGAAATGTTCGAAGCTCGTTATTGCTCAAAAATGGCCTATCCTATAGGCCTTTTTTAGAATAACCAGTGAAATTAAATGCCCACTGCTGTTTGCATACTAGATTTGAGAAAAGTCATTCATTGTTTACCTGGTATTCAATATGCCTTATAGCTTTTATACATATTTCTTGCAGCTTGCAACATTAATGCACAAACAGAAGAGACTCAAGAAACTGCCTTGACACTTGCTTGTTGTGGAGGCTTCAAGGAAGTTGTGTCATTTCTACTCGAAGCAGGTTTGTACCTTTTCTGTGGTGTAAATAACATCACATTACCATCACAAAATTGAAATACGTTGTCTTTGCTACAATCTTTGATTTTTCTATCACCGTCTACGTTTTTTCTTTTTTTTAATTCTTCTTGCTATCATTTCGGAAAGTTTTCAAAGCAAATGTCAGTACAAACTGCTCTCAAATTGAAGAGGCCTTCGAAGGGAGATATAACAAAAGTAAAAGTTCAGGGAAAGTGGCAATAGCCAAGGCGTCTGTTAAGATATTTTCCGGAAAGGGTTCTTATCCTATCCTAGAGAATATTTAGTTGTTCGAACTTAGAAACAGTGTGGAAACATCCTCAAATGTTGACAAATTTTTAAATCAACTTTGTTTCAAAGAGAACAAGAAAGATGATAGCTATGCATACTGCTACTCAAATAATGCATTGATATCCATAAAATGTCACACGTCATTAATATATGAATTTGTTTTGGTAGGTGCCGATATTGAGCTTGGTGCCTCTACTCCTTTGATGGAAGCAGCGACAGAAGGACATGTTGATCTGGTCAAATTTCTCTTAGAAAAAGGTGCTCTTTCCCCTTTTAAGTTTGTCCATAATTTGACATGTGCCCGTTCACTTTTCCTGCATAATGTGTGGACAGTAATATCCTTTGCATTGTACCTGCCCTAGCCACACTAATATTTTTAAAGCTATCAACATAGATTTATTACTGCTAGGGACACCAAGATTGTAAGCGAGAAACTGTGAACACTATCAACGTACAAATTTATCCGCTACGATGAAAACGAGGCCATAATCCTTCTTTTTGTCACTGTTGTTACTGTTCAAACTTTTGCAGTCAAATCTGTTAATACCTAGATCATTTCTGACCCTTACTAAAATGAATGCAGTCAATCATCAACAATTGTTCTTCACACAAATCCAGTATATTGCATTTGCTCAACAAGAACTAGGTTCAACCTGTTTCTGGTTGGTTGACATGTCTTTGTCAATAGTAACTTTGATAGATTTAGGCCCCAAACTTAGAAATTTCCGACAAGGCAACGTAGGTAATTTTACATACCTATGTAAGCTTTTATTCTGTCTCATCTCTATTCGTTTTCAATATCCAAACTGTCACATTTCCTTTTTAGGCTCCATTAAATCAGGCTGCTGGGCAATTAGTTCGAAACCCTCTTTTGAGTAGTTATCTACTAGGCGTAGAAGGAGACTGGGTTTGGTTGCTTGATAAACATAGCCACCCAGTAGCCAAAAACATGGCCAAAGAGACAAGCAGCAACGAATTTTTTTAGTATCACAACAATCGTTATTGTTTCCTATAAAGGCTAATTTTCCAGCATCTAACGCCATTGCTCCAACAGGAAGCGGTTTTGACTTGTATATCACTTCTATCTGCAGGTGCGAAAGTTGATGCTGCCACTGCCACTGGAGACACTGCTTTGACCTATGCCTGCGAGAACGGGCACACCGGTGTTGCTGAAGTCCTGTTGGACTATGGAGCTGAACTGGTAAGTGCGCTGTTACAATTTTGAACCAGGGGGCAAGGATGAACTGGGGGTCATGATCCAAATGTTTATCCACAATTGTGGCGATTATGATCCTCGTTCATTTCAACAGTGCAGCCCTGTAGCAAAACCACAAGCCTCACCCTAGAAGAACCTCAAGATTTTGTTAACAGTTTTAGCCTTCTAGGCCTTATTTTCATCTGAATTGAGTCTACTGGATCAAACTATTAAGGGGGACTAGGCTCCCTAAGATCTTGATACCCTGGTTTTTACGCCGAAGTTGTGTATTATGACATTTTGGTATTTGGTTCCCAAGTCCAAAAAGTTCTTCTTCGGCCCTTCAGCTCGAAGTTGACGTGCAAAGAAGGAGGGAACTATTTATGATGAAGTGTCAGATATTCTAAGTTGATTTAATTTCACCGAATCCTGAATTTACTTGCGCAATGCTATGCTAGAAATAGGAATGCAACCGAGAAAGAGCAGAACTTTTCTTTGTGTTTTAAATAATTTTTTAAGGTAGATTGATCTTAGGGTAGCATTCAGCCATCGTGTCAATTTGTCAATTTGTGATTAACAGTCTTTTCATCTCAGTATTCCTGTCTACATGGCAGTAAAAATTAGTTTTCATACTTCGATACAAAACTATTTTAGAATAAATTTATTTGCCTTACACAACCCTTTCATTGAATAAAAGGGCTGTTTTGCAGTACCCTGGATTGTCATGTCCTGACCCAATGTTGCATTCTTTTTGTCTGCTTTTGTGCATAAATTTATCCATGAAAGTAGCAATATATGTTGGATAAACGAAATTATTTTTTAGGAACACGAATCCGAAGGTGGGAGGACCCCACTGATGAAAGCAGCTAGAGCTGGCTACAAAGAAACTGTCGAGTTTTTGATCAGAAAAGGTTTAAATTCATAGTGTTTTTTAATTTTCTATGAAATATAAAATATTATTTAAAGAATTAGTCGTAAAGTGTGAAATTTTTTGTTATGATTTTGAAATTTTAAAGAGAAACAGCTTTTTGGCGGTGCAGGATGTAAAAATAGTTTTGAATAAAACAGACTTTTACAGACATAAAAAGCTTTTCGTCTGCCACTCTTCCAACTCATCAAGACAACAGATGAAATGATGTTATTGGTTTTTTGAAAGCCGATCATTTTTCAATGAATTAATTTGTCGAGCATGTTTTATCAACTGCGGTGAACAGTAAAATCTAAGTTAACGAAAACTATTCAGTACCGACAAAGAAAGGACAGAAAAAGCCAGACATGTTGAAAGATTACCGACTCTCTGTAAACTGGTGAGTTTTTCCTCTTCCCGGCTGCCTTATCCTGGTACTACATTATTTAATATTTTGCTCCTCTACGCAGGCGCTAACGTGAATGGAGTTACGTCAGCTAAGGACCACAGCGTCCTTTCATTAGCATGTGCTGGCGGCCACACTGAGGTTGTTCAGTTGCTGCTTGCCTATGGAGCTGACCCTTGCCAAAAATTGAAGGTAATCATTGATTAGTGATATATGATCAGATATTCACGATTACTTTTAGCAATGCTAGGATGTCGTTAATAACTCACTGTAATCGTTAATCACTCTACTTTCTAGTTACTGATTAGAGACGGCTTGAATTCTTTTTTGGAAACTTAATTATTTCACCTATTTCACTTAATTATAACCCTCCTTCTTTTCTTCGCCTATGCAGTGTAAGAAATAAACATATTGAGACTGACATGACCATAGAAAATGCGTACCTATAATCGAATGTTTGTGTGAAAAGAGTCTCCTTGAGCTGTATTCCTCATACTACCTTGTTTTTAGCACCTGCGGATACCGTTATTTGTACAGTCACCCATTTGGTATTTTACACCCGACCCCGTATGTAATGAGCTCCAATGCTATTAGGTACCAGTGTGTAGAGTTTAGAGGTTCTGAATAATCGTCACTTTTAGTTAGAAATCACGAATCGCTTGTAATCCTTGTAATAATTCTTGCCTTGCATTCCTGGGTAATCTTTTTAGATCATACTCGGTCACTATGAAAAATCAAAACACAGGAATCAAAGTATCATCGATTTTTAGGAGTTTTTGCCGGTTGCAAGTGAATTTCATGTAAATGGTTTTATCTTGACTTCAGGGGAACATTGATGCATATTTCATCAGATTTTTGCAAAAGCTAATTTATTTAGATATATGCCACTATCTGAAACTACTGTTTACCTGTCTGTCATAAGGTGCTCGATATTTGCAGAGCTGTACACGCTGTACAAGTGTATATACCACCATGGATATCTTTTGTCTGATAGAGTTTTCTCCATTATTTAGGCTAAATTAATTTCTGTCTGTTGCAGGACAATTCCAGCATGCTAATTGAAGCTGCAAAGGGCGGCCACACTGGTGTTGCTTTGCTCCTTATGGAAACGCCTTTGCGATTAAATCTGATAGATAGCCCATTACAATCCGGCTTCAATACCCCTGTTGGCTCTCCTAACGAAAGCACTTTATCCATGCATCAATTACCATCATGTCAACATCAAAAGCATCAGCAGCGATTACAGTATCAAGAGTGTGGCCACGACTGCAAGCATCTACCCCCGGTCAAAGACTGCTTCCCTCATACGTGCAACCTAGGTGCTAATTGCGCCATGATGAGTCCTCCACCCTCAGTTGTACAGCCAAGCTCGATTAATAACCACCCTTTTGCTGGTATCCCAACGTCCTTTGCGGGCCAACAATTCGTCGGCATGGATGCCTCTGTGGGCAGTGTCTCTTCTGGCTCTGAATTCATTGTGCCTAACATTCCTGTTTCCTTGCCTTCATCACCCTTACCGCTTACCAATTTAACACCGGCTGATCTGCAATCCTTAGCGCAAGCACTCTCCTTTTCTGCATCAGTCAGCTCTTTAAACAATGCTGATGCGGTCGTTTCCACCTCGGCAACTGTAGCTGAAAACCTCGGCATAGCAGCGACTGTCAACTTCCCAGTGATCGACCCTAGTGTGGCCAGCATGCTGTCATCGTCTGAAATCCCTATCGGTTTAACGCAACATCTATCATCTGCAATGCCGAATAACGCTGGTGCAACTACGTCTGGCCGCCCTGTGACCTCAACGGGTGTCCAAACTGAGGATGCTATTTCGATGATCCACAGGTTGACCGACAGTGTTCAGCATCTAAGTGCCTTGCAAAACTTCGCAGCGTCGCACAATTTAGAACTTGTGAACCTTGGAGAAATCGCAATTCCTTCCTCACCATTTCAGACAAATGTTGGTCAAGAAGACGGTGTGTTAGTAGCGGAGCCAGCAAGGCCATTACATGACACGCTGGCAACAATGACAAGAGAAGGTAGGGACACATACACCCGTGGTATTTACTCTATTCTCTTGTAAACCTGCACTAAATAAAGCTGTATACTCAGATACAGAGCTGTGTATTTCAAAATAAAGCAGTATGTCAGGGTAGATACTTGCTAAATGATAACATATCTGGTGGATATTTTAAAGTAGATCCTCCAATGTAGTTAATCTACAACATTTTCATATTGTTGTGTATCATATTGTCATAAAATTATGTTTCTGATTTCTGTTTTAGACCCAGTTGGCGAATGCAGTCCACCACCTCAAGTGCAGGCGCTGTCTCACTCGCCCGTTTCACCCCCGTTACCTCCACCTGTTTTCTTGAACCAGCAGACAGAAAGTAACCATGATACAGCGCTTACAATTGCATGTGCAGGGGGTCATGACGATTTAGTCCAGCTTTTGATCGCTAAAGGCAGTGACATTGAACACCGAGACAAGAAAGGTATTGACAAGAGCCTCGTATTCTTTAGTTCTATGCTTGTTATTTTCGTTGTCTAGCCAAAAAACAGTTAGTGAAGTGGTAGCAAAAAGTGCTGTCACTGTGATTTTGTTAGGACCTGTCAGTTGCGTTGCATCCGCATTGGCGGAGCCAGTCTTGACAAGAAGTCCCTTACTTTTAATCTGTATTTTCAGGCTTATTCATTAGAAATATATAGATCAGTAACAGACGCCAGAGTCTTTTTAGCATTTACTTTTTTTCTTTGTAAGTTGAACTGCGTTTCCCAAAAAACCTTGAAATTTTGCTGTAGTCAAGCTTGTGGCTATATTCCAATTGTAAGTCTTTAAGCAGACATTACAGTTTGCCAGATCACGAGGAAAAGTCATCTCAATTGCATTCTCCCATTCCTTTCCTAGGCTGTACTCCGCTGATATTAGCCGCCACTGCAGGTCATGCAAGCACGTGTCGAATCCTACTTGACAGTGGAAGTGACATTGAAGCCCAATCTGATCGAACAAAGGATACTGCTTTGTCGTTAGCCTGCTCAAGCGGCCGCCAGGAAGTTGTTGACCTTCTCCTCGAACGGGAAGCCATTTACGAGCACCGAAACGTTTCTGACTACACCCCACTCAGCCTTGCTGCGTCCGGAGGTTATGTTGGCATCATCAAAGTTTTGTTGCAAAAAGGTGCCGAAATCAACTCAAGGTAGGTTTTTGTTGAGCTCAACTTATCATAGTTTTCATGGGGTAAAGGGGCTATCACCAATTTAATCCCAGTATCCTGATTCACAACATCCGTCATTTTTGCAAGTGTTTTGTTTTAACTGATCATAAGCCTCTAGTTTCACGACATTTCTCTGCCAATAATCGATCTAGATACGAACTCTCAGTGTAATAATGCGGTTTCATGGTTTGGAGGTTTTTTTTATTGAATTTCATACTAACTCAACTTTTTTCAATCATATTTACATTTTCAAAGGTTACATGGTGGTGAATTCGGCCTAAAAACAGTGTTTTGAAAACAGCACGAGAATACCCTTCCTAGACCTCTTTTTTGAACAGTTTTTAAATCCATTTTAAGTACTAAAGAACAAGGTTATACTTGCGAATGTTTTTATTCTACTGTTTCAATTTTTGTATTTTCTTAGAACCGGAAGTAAACTTGGGATTTCTCCACTGATGCTTGCTGCGATGAACGGTCACGTGGCAGCCGTCAAGCTTCTTCTCGATATGGGCAGTGATGTCAATGCACAGGTGCGTCTTTGTGTGATGCAGTTCTCCCTCTGTCATACTTCACTGTTTGGTAGTAATTATAATAACAGCTGTACCAACGAATACAACAGAAAGTGTTTCTTTGAATAATTTACCACAGATAATAGTCTACTGTGTGTGAAAACATAAAACATTCTGGTCTTACGAGATGAATATGCAAGTATGTACGCTACCACGTGGGTGAATGGGGTTGGTCCTTGCTGCTCAATTACGTCATTGAATTCTTATTGTAATTTTGCCAAGGTACCTTGGATCAACGTTGCCTCTCAAATCCATCACATATAACTTTGATCTTTGTTGTATTATAATATAACCTAAAATGAAATGGATCTGCAAATTGGTTGTTAGAAATAACAAACACATTATCAACATCCCCTAACTGTTTTTTTGTTTTCACTGTTGGCGTTTTCTTTGCAGATCGAAACGAATCGCAACACCGCGCTGACATTGGCGTGTTTTCAAGGAAGACATGAAGTAGTGGCACTTTTACTCGATCGCAATGCCAACGTAGAGCATCGGGCAAAGGTATATTTCTCTCTGAATCTCTGTTCACCTGCAGACTGTTGTATTCTTTTCAAATGAATATGCTTCAGATTAATATCTTTTCCTAATCCGTTGTTGAATTGTATTCCAGACTGGTTTAACGCCGCTAATGGAAGCTGCATCGGGTGGCTATGTCGAGGTTGGCTCTGTGTTGATCGGGCGTGGAGCAGACATAAATGCACCGCCTGTGCCATCGTCACGTGACACCGCGCTAACCATCGCAGCTGACAAGGGGCATTACAAGTTTGTTGAACTTCTGTTGGTGAATAGAGCATTTGTTGATGTGAAAAGTAAGAAGGGTTGTTCACCTCCGTGGCTAGCTGCAAATGGTGAGTATAACTTTGACTCTTCGTCTGCAAACAGGAATCTGCCAACAAAGTCTGTAATGAATTTATTTGCAGTATTTTATTTCACATTTTTATCATTGATACAAGTTTAAAGATTGTAGGAGGCTATTTAAAGATTAATTTCACCCTTCTAATTAAATGAGATTCTTTTGTCTGTATTGCTTATTTGAACACATAAATGTATCATTGACGAAAGTTTTCGAAGGCTTGCAAACCACAATTTACAATTGACACAATTAAAAAGATCATCTTTCAAGTTTTTAATATGTTTGGTTCTTGTTCTGTTATAATTATACTCCGAGAACAAGTTGCTTGAAAGATAACCCCCATATAGTTAATGTTTTTACACGGAGAACATCTACAGGTCTTTCTGTCTAACGCAGGTGGCCATTTGGAGGTGTTGCAGCTACTCGCCAAGAAAGGTGCAGATTTGGACAGTCAGGACAACCGTGGCATTTCCTGCTTAATGGCAGCGTTTCGGAAGGGTCATGTCAAGGTCGTTAAATGGCTTGTTAAACACGCAAAGCAGTTCCCAGCCGATTCGGATTGTAAGAGATTTATGCAGACTGTTTCTGACAAGGTTGGATTTTCACTGATTTATATATTAGACTGAATATAATTCAAACTGAATCAAGTAACAAGTCGTAAAACTGGGTTGTCATTTTATCCTTGTTGATACAAGTTGATTCATGGCTAGTTTAAAACTGCCCCTTTTCGTTTGTACGTATCGCAGAGTCCAGAAACGCCAGTACTCACAGATGATTCCTAAACAAATAGTACAATCTAGGCCTGGTTTGATTTTGTAGCTACAGTTATTATGATTAACTTTCCTAGAATCGTTAGTAGCTTGACCGCCACTTTTTCACGACACTAAAATGTTAATCTCAGAAGCAAAAAAGAACACACGTGTTATGGAGTTTTCTTGCATAACCATACTGTGAGAGGCAATTGAGTGGCCAAAAACCTCGTTTCTAAAACAGTATTATTGATAACCTATCGTTATATTTATTATCTAACCACTAAATTATATGATTATTTTTTCTGTTTTTCTTTAAGTATATAGTTCTTTTATAGTTTGAGGGGTGTTTTATGGTTTAATTATTCATAGTTATGCAATTATTTTGAATTTGTATATTTTAGTACGTAATTATAAACTTCTTTTTTATTGTAAACTGGAGACCTGCTTGTTCTTTTTCTAACTGTGAATGAATTTCCAGCCTTTGTTGTTTTTCTTTCCAGGACTTGTTGAAGAAATTACAAGAATGTATGGACATTATTATAAGCGCTAAGGACAGGCAAGCTGCGGAGGCGAATAAGTACGCCTCGATATTGTTGGAAGAAATCGACCATGAAAAGGAACGAGAGGAGAGGCGGAAAGTAGCATTGGCGAAAAAGAGAGACAAGAAGAAAATGAAGAAGAGAAAGAAAGCAGGGTTGGAAGATCAGGGCAATGATCATGTGAACATTGATGAAAACCACGATTTGATTAATGATGAATTCAGAGAAGATATAGCGAAAGAGGAAAAGGAGACAATCGAGCAAAATGGTGTGTTTTGTCATTACTTGTTTATGAAATTAAAGCAGAAATATTTGTGGGATTAATGTCGTTGTCTCTCTGAAATTATTTAAAAGTATCCCTTGCCCTTACAACGCCAATCTGGTTTATACATCCGCTTTTTCGTTCTAGCCAATCCTGTTTGTGCGTTTGTAGGAAAAATTTTGGGAGGATTTTTAATATTAGGTCTTTATGTTATAAGGATGATACCTGTTTCTTTCATATACTGTTATCGAGAATCTTTCCCAGCCATTTTTGCGATGAATTTCCCGCTTCACCGTAGGTCATAAGACACCGTAGGTCATAAGATCGTAAACATTTTGTTATTTAGTGTAAAATTGCCTTATTTTTGAGCTCTTTTTTAAGGAATTATAATGATTTCAATTTCAGAGGAAAAACCAGCAAGAGAAGAAGTTAAGTCTAAAGACAGTCCTAAGAAAGAGAAGTTGGGACGATCAAGAGTCAAGGAATCGCAAAACGAGAACCAAAAACTTACATCGCAAGATTATTTGAATTCCGTTGTTATTACCTCGGCTATATCTGCTGTTACCAGCACTAGGTAAACACCGTACCAAGCCTTTTTTAGCATGTTATCTTCCTTGTTACATTGGGCTGATTTTCTGTGATATGTTTAGAAGAGACGATACCGCTATTATACTACCATAAACGTTTGAAGGGGTTAGGATGAAAACATAGCTACTGAATACAGGGGCTATTGTGCTAATATGGGTAAAAACGTGGTAAATGATGCGAGTTTTACCCAATCCTTGATTTTCTTTGCGTTTTTTTCAGCTTGACCACAAGAGTCTAGCTCTCTAAATCAACACTTCATTTCGTATCTTCGTACAGAAGTAGGCCATAAAATTTTGCAGAGATTGTAACAAGAGAGAGCGGGGAAGGCAACCCTTTTCTTTACTGTTCGTAACCTAACATCCTGTTTGCATTTCAAAATATAAAAGCTACCAATACTGCGGTAGTATAACTAGGGGTGTAGAGCTAAGGGGGCTCAGGGGGACTGAGCCCCTTTTGTTAATGCCGAAAATTGGCAGATTTCTTCTTTTGCTATTGTTTTTCGCAACATTTTGGCAAGAGCACCCCTTGTTATTTTGATAGCACTACACCACTGAGTATAACATGACTTTTTTACCCGCAGGCCTCTTGAAACCCTGATTGCGTCAACAGTGGCTGAAATCACCAAGGCTGTCGCAACATCTATCATGTCCAGTTTCAAAGCTACCAGGCCGGCAGATTCTCGCTCCATTAGTTCAGAGGTGGCTGCTACGATGGCGACCGCTGCGGCCCAGTGTGCTATTGTCTCCTTCTCCACCACTGGGGGGAGCTTTAGCTCTGGAAATACAAGTCCTAAAAAGAATAAACGGATAGAGGATGGATGGAAGGAAGTTACAAGAAGGTTTGTTGTGTTTGGTTTGTCATAGAAATGTTAAGGAAAGGCATGTCATGTTTCAGTGGACACGAGGTTATCCATAAGCTTCTTTAAAATAGAGGAAAGTACTTTTACAATGAAAAACTGATTATCATTGATTAGCGATGGCCCTGGTTTGAGCAACAGAAGAATTTACAACTCTCGAAGATATAGGCCGCCATTGTATTTTTTGCGGCTTTTGCCCCCTTGAGTCTTGGCTCTGCGAACTCCGAGATGGTCTATCGAAACTAGGCTCTAAAGCAGATAAAGCTAAGCATTAGGAAAAATCTTTTTAAATACTTTATTTGATATTGTTTTAGGTCGAAGAAGATTCAAATTCCAGCGTCATTGATTAGCCGAGTGATTGGCAGAGGGGGTTGCAATGTGAACTCTATTCGAGAGTCTACTGGAGCGCATATTGACATCGACACAAACAGAAAAAAGCCAAATGGTGATTGCATGGTCACAATCAAGTAAGTAGTCTAGGAGTCTGGGAGCCTGTGACGACATACTTTTTCCAAGAACAAGGGGGTTTTTCATAGGAAAAATTATTTACATTGGTTTAGCCCTGCCCCTTCCTCCGCCCCTTCCTCCGCCCCTTCCTCCGCCCCTTCCTCCGTCCCTTCCTCCGCCCCTTTCTCTGCCCCTTCCTCCGCCCCATCCTCCGCCCCTTCCTCCGCTTCTTCCTCCGCCCCTTCTCACCCTGATAAGCAATAGCATGCTGGCCTTTGGTGCAGGATTATAATTCAAAGTATAGTATAGTACAAGTTACCGAAATACCCTGTTTTCTTACAGGAATTCATCAATGCTATATAGAAAGCTAATCTAATGTACAAGGTCTTATTGAATCACTATCTGGTAACATTTTCACTGTTTAGGGAAATAACTAAAAGACTTAAAGGCATTTTGTATGTCAAAAGTGAATTTCTCTGTAAATTTATTAATAAAAATTTTTTATTCTCGTTATACTTTCCTTGTATATGATTTGACTATTTCATTCTAAAGGGGTTCTCAATTGGCAACCAAGCAAGCTTACAACTATATAGACGCACTCATCAAAAACCCAGAAAGAGACGTCAGTGAGATACTTCCAGCCAGGACGAGAAAATTTGAAACATCTTCGATTAATCACATCCAAAAGCTATCTCCTCCAGCTTGCACCTTGAACTCGACCCCAACAAAAAACACAGCCTCAGTTACACCACTGAAGTCATCTCCCCTGTCCACGAGCTACCAGCAGTCAACAAAAGCGTCTACCGGTCCTGTTGTTACTTCCACAATTACAGTGAAATCGATCAACAGAAGCGCAACCCAGAGTATGCATAAACTGCCGCCAAGAATGGCAATGGCGATCATGACAACGGCGAGTACCACAAAAACAGAATCACCCGGATGGGCGGCCGTTTCCGCCATACCGTCGTCCCCACCTCAAAATATACCCTGCAAGAGAAACCTCAATCTCCAATCAACTGCCTCAGAATTCAAACCACCAACACCCGGTAAAACAACAAGCATCGCTAAGCCATCGAATGTTACGTCATCGAAAACTCTTCCTAGACCAATCGGCAGTAACCGTCCTCCTAAAACTATCGTTACCAAGGAAACAACCCAAACAACCCAAAGCACGAAAACAACCCCGAGTCCAAGCACCCAGCGAGTCACACATGCAAGCAGTAACCACTCTTTGTCGTCGCAACCGAGCTCTTCGTTAAACAGCTTTTTCTCCCAAGTCGCCACACAGGTACGAAGCCCAATGATTTGGAACGAGCCGGATTTGAATAATGATTTAGATGACGTCATCACAACTACTGGGATGTCACAAGGCTCTTTGCCAGTTGCAATCAAGTCCCAGCCCGTGAAAAGTACCCAGTCGACAATTATTTCGCAGAGTCTCGCTTCAACAACAGCCATCGCACAAGCAACCTCGCCGACGCCTTCCTTGTCACCATCCCCCTCAGACTCTGCATCCCCTTCGCCAGGTTCTACGAATGAAGACAGACCGCATCTCAATCCTATTGGCACAGAGCGAGCTCATAAGCGTGGTGCACCAAGTACTATTCCGAGTCTACACAGAGTCTCTGCCTTTCAGCAAGGTACGATTAATGTATCCTAGTTCGATGCCATTTATATATAATGAAACCCACCTTTAAGTGGAGAGTTATGAGGTCAGTGGAGGTGTCCACAATTCTTGGGAGGTGTCTATTCTTTAGGGGTTGCTTACTTTGACTGCAGAAGGAGATGTTTGAAGAATTTCTTGTTCACTGTTTGGAGACTTGATGTGCTCGATGTGTTTCATTGTTATTTTCCGGGGAGGTCCTGAAGGAATTCCCTTTTGATCTTCATCTATGACCATTCTTTTTTCTCTATGGTATTTCAGTAGTTGGTTAAAGACTTTTCTGGATCTGACTGAAAAGTGGAACGTCATGAAAGAACCTGTTGAAATACTGCTGAAAGTGAAAAATCGTTTGAAATGTTTTATCTCAATCAGTTATAAAATCAACAAAATAGGTTATATTTGAGATATGGCCAATGAAAGATTTGAAGTTTTTAGCGCATTGCTTTTCTTTTGGCTTGGTTCATAAAATTTTGAATAGAGACCAAATTACAGAGGTTTGATTTGGGAAAATCATGTGCTCTTGTTGCCATATCTCAGCCAATATCTCAGCCAATTTGTAATACCTTTAACTGATTTTGCAGATTTAGAGGTATTTCATGATGCACTATTGAGTTAATTGGTCTCACCCTGCTTAAAAGCTTTATTTGGTTTTTTGATTGATTTTTGCTTCTTTCAATCAAGTACGATTCAAAAATTATCTTTTTGTAGACGCTGACACTAACAACGTTTGGGGTTTTGGCTTCAAAAGTCCAGTTCCCTCGTCCGGTGGATGGTCGGTACCTGTTTCTCAGCATAACTCTGATTGGTCAAAATCGAACAGCGTAACTGGGGGAAGCAACCAATCATCGCCAACAAATGAAGCTGAAGATGACGTCATTGATATTGGACAAAATGACAATCTACAGTCAGTCTTAGAAAGACTAGCTCTTTCGGATTTTCTGTCGAACTTTCAGGTTCGTTTTATAGCTTCTTGTTACTTCATTAATTTTTTTCAGACCAAACAAGAAAAGACCTCAACAAATTACAGTGGACTCTGGTTATGGTCATCCCAAATTTCTGTTTGAAAATTATTTATCGCTGCAAATGATTTTAAGTTGAATAGTTTTGTATATTTGGGACTAAATTCTTTGTGGCTGTAAATGGTAGTGTGACTTCAATGCGGAGTGCCTATAACCAGAGTCGACTGCATGAGAATTGAAAACATTTCTTCGGTTTTCCTTGCGACATTTGGTCCTATCTAGGTGAAGGCTAGCCAGTGCAGAAAGTTATTAGATGAAATTCTTTTGCAATTGCAAGCGCAGAGTCATATCAAATGCTATTTATGTTGTTACCACTGCAGGATCGTTTTTCGAAAGAAAGTGCAAACGAACTAGAAAGTGCAATAGAAAGTTTTTTAGGCAAAATCTCAAAGTAACTTATTAGTTTCTTATTAACAATACAGGCTGGAATTAGTTTCTTAATTTTGTCGGTTTCTTTAGACTGAGAACCGTTTCATTCAAGTAATCAAATTTGTGAAATATTTTTGCTTTTGCAGAAAAATGAAATCGATTTGGAAGCGTTGATGATAATGAGTGAGCAGGATTACGCCGACATCGGATTGCCTTTGGTAATTAGAAAGTCGTTATCTTATATTTTTAGTACTGAAGTTTTTAACTTTTGGTTTGGTTTTGTTTGTGCTGTCTTGATTGGAACTTAATTGTTGGAAAACAAACGCTTGTTCCTTGAGGCCGTTTCTTTCAAGCTGTCCCTTTTTGTAGTTTCCCACTAATTTTTTATTAATTTTTTTGTAGTTTCCCACTAATTAGGGTAAGGGTTTTATTCTAAACATTCAACTTGAATAGCGATAAAACCAATATTTCCTTTGTTTTCTTTGCCTACTATGTTTCTACACAACTGAAGAAGAATCTTCAAATGTAGTCCAAAGTTTCGATTCAAATTACCTTTGATTAACCTACGGTGTAAAATAAAATATCTGCCCAGGCTCTCTGTCTAGATTTGTAGCACACTGTCTAGATTTGTAGCACAACTTCCATTTGTGTTTGTTTCTTTAGTTTCAGATTTGGTATTCACTCACTTTGTTCTTCTCTAATACATTATTCATTTTTATTCATTCGTGTAAAGTGTTACCAAAAATTTCTCAAGGCATTTTGAGAGAGAAGAAGAGGGCTTATACAGAGAAGGAGAGAGCTGATAACAACGTTGGGTGCACTTCTGTGGGGGCAGATGTTTCCATTCAAAAAATTTAACTGGTCTTATCACGGTTAGATGCATGCTCGTATTCCCACTTTTTCAGGGCAGGACTGACTGAACCCCCATCGCTCCCTTAGTTTCCATTCAACGAATTCACTTTGCTTCTTCTAGGACGCACGTAAGAAGCTGATGAAAAGTACACAGAAGTTTATCAACCGAAATATGAATGAGGCAAACAAGACGAAAGCAGGTTTAAACCCAGTCGTTGCACCAATGAGCAACGCGTTTGTGTCGTCAAATAACGTTGAAATCGTACATTCACATCCCCCACATCTCTGGCACGCACCACCCCTGATGACAAATGGCATGGTACCGAACAGACATACGAAAGGCATGGTTCACATTGGCCCAGCGCACAACGTTGAATTCCCGATGCATCCGCCCCAAATGATGGTAAAATACTCTCTACAATTTTACTTTTTACCACAACAAATGACTGATTAATGGTTAAAAGTTTCCGTTAATTAAGTTCTACAACCTGTGCCTACGTTTTTCAATTGTCGTAGCGGTATCTAGTGACAATTTTTATGTGTTTTAGCAAGCTCCACCATGGCGCCCTTGGAGTAGGACAGACCAATAACTATAAGGTGAGCTTTATATTAAATTGTGTTATATTATGCTTTATTATTTTCTATTATGTTTATATATGTTTATATCATATTAGGTTTATATTATATAAGGTTTATATTATATAAGGTTTATATTATATTATATTATATTATATTATATTATATTATATTATATTATATTATATTATATTGTATTGTATTATATTTATTATATTATATTATATTAATTATATTATTATTATATTATATTATATTATATGTATATTATATTATATTATATTATATTATATTATATTAATTATATTTGTATTGTATGGTATTGTATTGTATTGTATTGTATTGTATTGTATTGTATTGTATTGTATTGTATTGTATCGTGAAACATCCTGTCTAACCATCGTTATTTTACAGCACTGTATTATGTAATGCTTTGTTAAAGTTAATTCAACTATTTTGTCTTGAAATTTGCCTGCTTTCTTGCCTTCAATTTGCCCAGTTAATTAATTTAATCCTTTCCCTGTTCGTTTCAGGTCAAGAAGAATGAAAGTTAATCGCTTTGTTTGCTTTGTTGGAATGAACTTTGATCGATTGAAAATGTTTCTCGTTTTTTTCGAAAATTTATGATAAGTTAAAAAATTAATATGTTGCTTTTTCTTGTCTTATTCGCTTAAAATACTGAACCAAACCTTGTACAGGAGGAAGGAAATTAAAGAAAAGATAATCTGATTTGTATTCTTTGATTTTTTGTAAGCAAGAATCGCTTTTTGGTTTTAAAGAACGTTGAACTATGCATCTGTAAATGTGCACGCATTTGATTCCAGAAGCAAAGCTCAGCATAAGTACTCGGTTTTTTTATTCTTTATTATTTTTTCGCTAAATTATTCTTAGGGGTTTCTTAAATACCAAATATTAAAGAGTTACTTTTTAAAAGCACAAATTCATAGCAGAAGATAAAAAATAAAACACACTAATCAATCGCAAGGAGTTCTTTATTTTGTTATGTATGACAATTCAATCTAGGTGTTTAACTGAGTCATTGTCAAATCAAAGAGAGAAGGGCCAATGTAACTAGCGATCAGAAACTGTTAGAAACAATTCCCTTCACTAGAGACTCTCCGCCTGACAGTTTACTTAAAGCTTGCGTGGGTTTTCAAGTGTTTTTCGTTTCGGTTAAACAATCGCGCGTTCACAGTTGTATGCATCCTTAAGTTTTGGAATTTTGACTTTTACAAGCATGATAAATTGGTTTCTTAATTCTTACACAATTGCCAGTAATAGTGATCTCGTTTTTGAAACCAAATGTTGCAATATCTTTTGCTCGGTATAGTAGTGTCTCTATCCTTTCACCAATCAGCTACATAAAAACTTTTCCAAACTGAAGTCTATTGTAAGTACCACGACAAACTGAAGTCTATGGTCGATTTGAAAAACGTCCTAAGGAAAAGCAACACCTTTGAGCAAAGTACTCGCGTATTCTGGGTGGAAGACAAATTGGTCTCGAGCCCCTCAATATATATTCAATGTGCTTAAGTAATTGTCTGATCTTGGGTGGCAGCATGTTCTCAGACAAGCTCTGAACTCTAATGAAGCAATAAGCTATCCTTTTCGTGCATGTTTGACAACTTTCTTTGCTAAGAGCAAGATATATGTATAACTACTTTTCTTTTATAAGAGTAATTCAGTATAAGACCACGAGCCCCAGAGAGACAAGCTGAGGTACTGTAAACCATATAAACCATCTCACAGTTTTCTGTCAGGACTTAACCTGGGATTCTCTCTAAAGGAGTTGCTTTCTTTGGATCTAATCTTTTTAATTGATTGTTTACATCCACTATTGGAACGGGTGTCAATTCAAAATTCTGAGAATGATTAAAGTTTTCTTGTATTCTTTCAATACTTGGATGCAAACTATATTTTCTTACTGCGATATTAACTGGATCATCAATACCATCCGTTAATAATAAGTTCAAATCAGCGTCTGCAATGTCAAGAGAGCCTGCAATGTTTACAAAATAATCATTAAAGATATCAGCAACAGCCTTATCATCAGATACAACTTCGTCATTTTCCAGCAGAGACACACTAGAAGAAGTCTGGACCTTACCAGAAAAGACAGGCTTTACAATTTTCCAAAACCTTCGACTGTCACCGAAATTTTTGAGATCAAGATTTTGGTAACAGTTGCGTTTAGTTTCGCGTAGAAGTTTAACGCATCTGTTTCTTTGTTTCTTGAAGGCCCTCTCATTTTCTTTGGTCCTTTCCTTGTTGTACTTACTTCATAATTTCGTCCGCAGCATAACGGCTTTCCTAAATGCTTTAGTCACAAAAGGTCCATCGTTTGCTCTAACGTATTTCTTTGTTGCAGGGGCATGTTCGTTTAGCACTTTTTTGACTACGGAGTCGAAAGTATCATAACTCATTGAATCTACTGGGGTATGTTTAGAAAGTTCGATAGATACATCTTTTCTAAAGTTATTGATCTTGAAATTACGATGGTCTATAATTTATCAATTTTGGGCCCCTTTTCACAAAACCGCCTTTTAAAACAGTTACTATCATACAATGAACATCCGATAGTCCAGTTTCAATCGCATCTGTGCTTTGGAATCTGAATACTCTATTAGTAAGTATTAAGTCGATTGTCCTTGGTCTATCGGATTTAATGACAGCATCTTGTTCGTCTGTATTGAAATCCCCCATCAAAATTTTCATATCTAGTACCATAGGCATCAAGCGACTTCCCCATTTCTTCAAAAAAATATCTTCCATTTTGAGAAGGAGGACGGTATACATTCGCAAGAAGCCATTTTTTATTTTTTAGATTGATTTCAACAAAACCACATTCAGTGTTAAAGGCAATCTGTCTCGTTGTGGATTGGTTAACGAGAACAATAGCTGGAACAATAGCCTAAACACGATTCCAGCGCTCCGCCATATATTTTACAATGCGATAAATTAAAGGGGGACTGGAAACAATAGAAATCCCTTTGTTCTTATAACCAATCAACGTCGTGACAGATTGCCTTTAATCAAAATAATGGATTTGAGATTATTCTGTAATGAGTCTGTCCTGTTTTTGTATTCCGGCTGTCGTTGATTTCTAGAAATTTTTACATGTTATATGAATCTATCGTAGAAATTGAAATGCAAGTATCCAGATAGAACTTATTCATGGTGTTTTGACTTGTGTTATGTAACTGAATTACCAGGGATCTATTTCTTAACAAGAGAAGCAAGAGGAGGCTCTTGAGATATTCAAGACTGCTGACGTCAAAGGAAAGCATACTCTCTTTGTAACTGTCGCCTTTAAGAGGGCCCTGACAAGTGTTTTCAAAAGCTTGAAAGTTTCACAGTAAGTTAGTTTGTTGTAAAGTTGTAGTTTTTCTCTTATCAGATTTTCTTGGAAGGGAAGCTTGTCTCAGAGATTTATACCGAAATGCTATTCTGTAGCACAAAGAATGATGAATAATGTATCTCATTTTAGGCTTGATATAATTTTTTTCAAGAAATATGCATGTTCAGATAGTTGCTATGAAATGGCGTTAAAGTGTTGATGTCTCTTACTGAAAAAAATACAATCCTTGATTCTTTTTTATTTTTCTTTGATTTATTTTAAGTGGGAAGTTTTTTCAAGTTATTCAGCTCCAATCGATAAACTTGCTGATATGTTAGATACGGTGAATGAATCTCTGCAACATGATGCCACTTTACTGTCTGAGCAGGACTTGCTGCAGATTGTTATGCCACTGTGTGAAGACATCAAAGTTGAAAGAATTCTGAAATTGGAAATTTCGCGGCTTTTAAAGCATTCATTTGAGCTGAGCAAGGATTATTTAGTTTTCTTTATTTATCAAAAAACAGATGGAATAGTTTCATCGAACTCGGATCGAAAGCTGTTTTGGAAACTTTCAAATCGTTCACGGTTGTTAAAGATGTAATTTACCTGACAGTTTCTGCTGCCCCTGCTCTTATTTTAGTTTTCTTTGCATTTAAATAATTGCTTTATAATTTGATACACTGTATTAAAAACTTTTTACTGTATCGACAATTTATCCCTCAATCCCTCACCTTACTCATTGCTTACCTGGATCAGACGATAAGAGTACAGCGTCATGTTTGTCTCTGCTGAAGACTATAAGCATGTTTTGTATGATATCGGCATGTACAAAAGTGTCTAAGGCCTGCCACACAAAGAAACGTGAAACAGTTTCACAAGCAGCCTGTAGAGAAGACTGTTTCTGTAGCATCTGTTTATATTGGCCTAAGTTTACTTTCTCGATTCAGATAGTGGCTTTATGGGGTGGTCTGAGTCGAATTTTTCAGCTGGTGCAAACCATTTTGCATGTGTTTCGAGAATTCTTAAGAGAAATCCCCGTCATCAAATAGTACTTTACTAGACCAGCTCGAGAAATTGACAGTTCTTTAGCTTTGCATTTTTCGTTTTTTAGATATCAGTTTAGGACAAAGAAAGGGATGAAGACAAATTCTACCTGTTTTGGATGTAGTAAAAGAAAGTAAAATGCGAGTGAATTCAATGATATTGGACAACTGCTGTTGGTTTGGCCGGCTTCTGCTGCATCTGAGATGAAGTAAGTCAATACAATTTTTTCATTTCATTTTTTATTTTCAATTTTTTGGATAAGAGAATACCCTAGGAGGGTTATTTAATTTTTGGAAAGGGGAACCCGTTTTAATTTCAGTTTCTAAATTTTGCATCTGTTATTTATTTTGCTTGTTTTGTTACTTGAAAATCTTATTAATTCTTACTTATTTCCTTACGATATGATACTGCAAAAGTTCTGGATTATAAAGGAATCTTAGAATTCACTTTGGAATGGTTCAGTCGTTCAATGTGATATTCTAAGGTGAAGCTGCAAAGGAGTTTATGCTGTCACATGTTCCGTCCTTGATTAGTCAATCGATAAATTCAATTGCTGAACGTTGAAATTGCCTGATTGTGGGTTGAATAGGGAAGGTTTCTTTGCTGGTAGATTTTACTCCTGGAAGGTCACCACCTCTTCTCCTAGCCTGTAAATAAAAGCACAATGGGAAGATGTCTCAAGATTAAAAATTCATTGCCAGTCAAACAGTCCTTTTGTAAGTGACTTAAAGTTTCTTGTCAGCTGATAAGCTTCACATGCTATATGCAGAAAAACATTGGCGTAAGATAACGTCTTCAGGAGAGGACCCTCGTCACGAAATCCTTCATCTGAAGAAAAATGCTCATCTTTTTTGGAATAGTTGTACGATACCATGTGAGCATAGCTGGAAGCTTTCTAATTTACCTTTTTACCTTGTCTTCGTTGTACGTTGAGGAATTATTAACCGCTTTTTTCATTTTAAGGTCAATTTTGTTTAGTTGATATCGTTTTTTAGCTAAATATACTATTTTAAGCAAAAATGATGACCATATTTGGATGATATTGCTAGAAAAAAGTTGATAGAGTGCAAGGACATTTGGATATTTCTTGAACTGACGAAACAAACATTTCAAAAGAATACCTTCGAGCTGGAGGTAAAATTCTTAAAAAAGGCACATTCTTAAAAAAATAGATAACTTACAATTTGTCAATATTGTTCAAGGTTTGTTGATTCTTGCAGCTTGTATCGTTCAATGTCGTAAATGTGTCCATCGATACGTTACATTCATTTTTGTTGTTAGTATTTTTGCAACCTATACCGAAGTTTTGAATTAATCAAATATCAAATTAACATAGCTCACGATGACTCAGATGTACATCTTCAGCTAGAGTGAGATTTTGCTTCTCTGTCTTCACATAAAGTAAGAACGTCCTTTTCTGTCCTAGGATTCATTAGATGTTGCCACCCATATTCGTTTGTTGAAGGAAATTAAAGCAGCAGCTCGAGCTTGGGTTCCTTTAGGTCTCTTTTGAAATACCAGCTATAAGACGAGCAGATGATGTATGATTCTAGATAAAATAAATCATTTATTGCTTTTAAGATACTATTTAAAATGACTTTCATTTATTGATTCCACTAAATGTATGTGTGATCTTTCCTTAAATTCTGCAAGATATTTTTGTAAAAATGGGGATTTTTAGACTCTTTGTGGAACTTAATTTTGATTTTGTTAATAATTTAAAAAATATAAATATTTTTTACAGGACTGGTTCAGTTGGAGCAAATATTCACGTTATTTCGAAGCTGATAGCAAAAATCAACGCTGTGATAGAAGGCCAGAATCATTTAGGGGAAATGTTCACTAAATATACCACTAAAATATCATAGGAAGATGACCATAAGAAGATGACCAGAAGAAGGAAGAATCCAAATTGATCTTAAAGTACTCTTTGGCGAAAGCCTCTGACTTGGCCTTGGTAATCCTTCTTTCCAATATAGCCATTATATTTGGTATTCCTTTACACAACGTAACTAAATACATAGCGCAAGATAGATGTTCAAAAATTGCCTTACGATCGCTTTTTATTAGTTCGAAATCGGCAATAATATTTGTACAACGAATTGGTATGTCACAAGATGTAATTCTATTTGCAAATGCCCAATTGTAGATCCAGCTGAGACGTGTCAAAACTACTTCTTCAAGCTCTGACGTCTGCCAATGACGTCTTTTTCTTTAGTTGGTAATTCTAGGGAAGGCTCAAGAGCATATAGCTAAGCGCTAACAAGGAAAAGGGAGGAGGGATTAGGAAGAGAGAGAGAAAAGATCAGGCTTCTATATTTTTGTTTTGAATAAAGACAGGTTGTAAGAGTCTTTTGTAAGAATCCGATACGATAGATTAGTTTTAAAAATCGAAAGCATATAGCAACAATAAGGAAGCAGAATCACAGTTTTGTATTGGATTAGTTTCGCCTGCTTCATTTCGATTAACATGACAACCTAATAATTGCGAATGGCATTATCAATTGACATTAGTAGACATACTCCTAAATCTTGTACTTGACAAAAAGTTCTTACCTAGGTTTACATGCCGTTGTAGGCCAAGATGAAGACATGAGTGTTTTGCACCAGCACCGACTCTTTTGTGCCAACTAATTGAATAGCAAAGAAACCAGGTATTTATAAGCATATGCAAATTTGGACTAGATTCCCGCCAAATTCTGAAACAAAAGTCTCCTGTGCCAAAATTCATTCAAATTTCCCGCCAATGATGATCTCCTTCACACCACAGGGAACTTCAATAGGCGGAGGACGGGGGTGTGCCATTTTGTAATATGAAAACATACCTTAAAATTCATAAATTTTTTAAAATCCTACCCACAAATTTCGATACAATATGAAATATTCACCTTTAAATTTAATTCAAATTTGCAAAAATCCAACAACTCAATCAAGTAAACAAAACCCCCTTTATTTTCAAAATGATATCCCAAAATTTAAGAATATGCTAAAAATAAATCCCAAAATTTATGACCAGTGCTTTTAATGCGACCTTCAGTTTTTCTGTATATTTAGGTGACGTGGAGTCTTAATATTTCTCGACTCTTCAGGATTCGTTTGTAGGATCCCGTGAAAGATTGTACAATAACTCAACATATATTTATAATGGCCTAAGGACGTTGCATGATGATATTTTGCTTGTTTAAACCCCCTAATCTTTAATAGTTGTCAACGCGCTGTTTTATCAGTGTTTTGAAAAGAAATCGATTGGGAGTCCATCTTTTTGTCTTTATATCTGTACTGAAAAGAAGTAAGAATCACTTCACGTTTTGCACCCTCTGATACAACTTTCGCCTAAAAATCGAGGTACACCTCGTGGGACTTCTTTGAATGTCCAATTTCGCAATCCATATTTTTCAACTCTGGACCCTCTTTAGGGTTTTGGTTACTGCTTGTGTTGTCAAAGATTTTCACATTTTACAAAATCCGTGCACAAAAATATTGTTGGTTTCTAGTCTCTCTTTTTTCAAAAACAAGATGCAAATCGACACAGATTGGAGTCCGAAAGAAACAAAGGATCGAGGTTAATCCCTTAGTTCGAGTTACACTCTTTTTTTATAAGAACCAGTAAATTTAAGTTCAGGCTGACTGTTGTTAATTTTTTCGAAAATCTAAGGCTGGAATCTGTTGCATTTCGTATATTTATAACGAGAATCATCTATAACCTTTTATACTTGTTCTTCGATCGCCTTGGTTGATAAGGTGCTTTTCTGAACATTTTGCAAAAATATGAATGTGAAAATCATGACTGCTACATAACTTGAAATACGGTTGTCACTGTCAATGAACGTAAAATCATACTACAGCAAGTCCAGTATTTTGCTAAAATTATTTGTACATGGAACAAGAAATTTGTATTGTCAAGAAATATGTATTGTCTTAGCCTAAAAGGAGTAAATTTTTAATTATTCAAATGTGGTACATTTGCATTTTATGGCATTGAAGCCTGACTGCAGCTTTCTAAGGCTTGAGGTTATTTTCAGCTTATGTGACCAAAGAAACTGCATCCTATATAGAACTTCTCATTATACATCTATACTGTCCTAATTTTAAGTTTCCAAAATTTCTAGGTATCCCATATGGAAATAATATCCGTTGGACCCCTGTGCTTGGAACGCTGATCCAAAAGATGGACGACGGTGGTTGAAAATGGGAGAAATAAAGAAAGTTATTGAAAAGTATATTAATGATGGACTGCCGAAGTTGTTTGTTTTTGATTTAGATTATACGCTTTGGCCTTTCTGGGTTGATACACATGTGCAACCACCGTTTGTTAAGGACAAACATGGACGTGTTTCAGACGCCTACAGAAAAGAGATAAGACTGTATCCTGGAGTACGTGAAATTTTGGACAATTTGAAGCATTTTAAGTGTCAAATTGCTGCTGCCTCAAGAACTGATACACCAAAAGCGGCAAGGGATTTAATGAGTGTAATTGGAATTGATCACCATTTTGATTTCAAGGAAATTTATCCCGGAAAGAAGACACAACATTTTCAGAAGTTCCGAGAAAATAGTGGGTTTGATTACCACGAGATGGTGTTCTTTGACGACGAACACAGAAATATTGTTGACATCAGTAAACTTGGCGTCACGTGTGTTTTAGTAGAAGAGGGGTTAAGTGCAAAGTATTTGGAAGAAGCACTGCTTTCTTTTAAAAAAAACTTCATGAAAACCAAGTAGTGAATCTTCAAATTTACTTTCAAAAGAAATCCAAGGAAAACGTAGTTTTGTGTAAAATGAGATTTGTGGTTGACTGACCTCTTCCAAAGTTCTATTTGCTAGAAATTTAGTTCTTGTGGAGTGTGAAGCCTAAAATACAGCACAGAATACAAAATAACGTAAAGGGGTTTTGAATGTCCATTTCACATCCACCTTCCCTCCCCAAATCAGGTGCATTCTCTAACTGTTTCGTAACCCTATCTTTAAACAGAGTATGATTGTGGGAGTATTGTTTGGTACCTAGCTTCTGAAGCAAGGCCGTAAATCTGTCATGTCAATTGGCCAGTATTGATTCCATGACAGCTGCAGTCTCGAGAGATTTTTGCAAAATAATGGGTGCACTCTTGCATACCCGAAAGATGGGCGTGGTTTGGTCGTGTTTTTTGATGGGGCTCAAATTAGAAAGGTCTGGTTTTGGGCGTGTTTTTTTCAAATATGGCAAAATGACTTTTTAAATTTGTCCGCAACTGAGATTGGAAAAGAATGTTATCATTCTAAATTGAGTAATCCACTTTAGATTAGGGTCTGCAAAAAGTTTTCTGTGGAGCTGAGGCAAAACTGAAAAAGAAAGGCACTCTTGCAAGCGTGGCGAGCAGAAAATTATTGTGACCCCTTTTTTTAGATTGGCTGCAGACTACTCTGCAGAATATTGTTTGCAGTCATTTTCTTGCAATTGTTTCAATATTACTTTGTTTCAATTGTTTCATTGTCACATTTTACTATCATTTCCATTCTATAATCAGATTACTATCATTCAACTATAAACAAATATTAAATTCCATTCTTAAAATGGAATTCCTTTTTTATGAGGTTCCCTAGACATCAAGGACCTTAGGCAATTGGCCCCTTTGCCCCACTCTCCATGGGTCTGCTTGTGAAATCATGTTTTTGGTCTTTTTAAACATAATGCCTTTTTAATAATGATAATTTTTTTGAATCATCTCTTTACTTGCCAAATCTTTAGGAATTTTAATAACGGACACTGATGGTAGTGATAGGTAAGCATAGTTTAACTTCAAATAAGAATTCCCCAGAGATATGAAATTGATGTAAACAGGAAAAGTGCCAGACAAAATATACACCCACTCAAGAATCACTGAGAAATTTGATGCACACTTATCACAAAGGCACTCTTGCACTCCCGGGTAAAAGCTTGTGTGCACTCCGAGTTCTTGTCAAAAACTGCCATGAAATCTAGAGTGGACAATTAGGGGGGGGGGGGTATCGAATGAATATAAAGTGTGCAGTGGGTCATTGCACCACCATGCAATTTATGGTATGTGTTAAGGAAACAGTTTGAGGGGCAAACGACTTAATAAACAAAAAAAAGATTTTTAGATTTAGTAAGGTTTTTCAGCCCTATAGAAGGTATTTACAAATATTTCTTTGCATGTTGACTTTTTTATAGCTGAGTTGATAATATTTTTCAGAGACAGCTTGAAGAAATTGAACCTGGGGGCTGAGAATCATGTTTAGTGACGTAGGAGGACCCATCATGGTTGGGGCTGACGTGAAAGGAAATTTTTGAAATCATACCTTCTAAATAGCTATAAAAGCATCTCCCTGACCAAGTATAACAAAATACTATACCGTTCAAGATAAACAAATCAACGTTTCTCAGAAGAACACAGATTATTTCTGGGAGAAATTGGGAAGGGGAAGAGTCTAGTGACAAATGTTGGGGAAATGCTTAATTTCTAGTGACAGCCATTGGAGGGAAGAAAAAAAAGGTGTTTTCTATTCGAGAGCAAGTGTATTTTTTTCTTGAAACCATATCAGATTTGAAAAAATTAGGATGTATCTAAGAATATATTCGGGCTCCAAATGAAAATTTTCTTTAAAAAATTGAGGCTGGGAAAAATTTATTGCCTCTAATAATAAAGAGTTTAGTCATTGCTTCTCTCTATATTAAATGCAAAAGTACTTCTTTGTCGACATGGTACTTTTACGCAAATTAATTTTACTTCTTGCCCTCTTTGTTTTTTGGCCTTGTTCCTAGCTACAGTTAAAAGCAAAACTCATAATTTTTTTCTGTCTTTGCTATTATCATGTCACTAAATGTGCAGTTAAAATTAAGGAGCTATTATGAAGGTCTTGGTACCAGAAATTAGGAACTTTAGGACCTAGGTTTTGAGTTAGGATTTTTATAAAAAGGCATGTATGAAATTATGTGTAATATGTGGGTTTGTCGAGATTTATGGCAACTTAAACAAGAGTTTTTTTTAGATTTATTCAAGGGGTGACCGGTGGATAAGATATTTGGGGCTAATCCCTTCCATGGGCATCATCATCAACTCGACACCACTCTGCAAACATAAATATAAGCCATCTACAATAGTCAACTTGCGCTTGACAATAGTCACCATGACATAGTGGCTGAGGTATGTTGAAATAACTCAGCAAAACTTTGTTAGGTTCTAACCCAGCTACTGGAGGTTCCTTTCTTTAAAAGAAATTGACAATAATTTCTAAAATAAATCATTTTGCTCCAGATTTTTTTTTTGGGGGGGGGGGTCCTATCCCCCTGTCTCCCCGGGATTTACGGCCCTGTTCTGAAGTTAGGACACTGAAAAGCTATGCTTATCGAGCAGTGTTCTGGTCCTTCCTCTCAATGTAACCACACCTGGTAGTTCCTACGCCTTTGCGACTCTCCCTACTCTGAGGGAAATGTTTGGTCATGTCAGGGACTAGAACCTTGGAGCCATCCTCGCACCTAACAATTAACAGACATACCTTCCAAAAAACTCAGATGTTGACTTGAGGTTAATTTTATTTCAAATATATCTCACTGGCTTTGCATAAATCTAAAAGTATAAAAAAGCTTGGAGCAACAAAGTCTTTTTAAGTCACTAAAATTGGACATAATGTGTCACTCAAAAGCTATCTATAAAATTTATAAAATAGTAAGGCAACAATGGAAATAACAACAATTTAACAAATTCATTCTACTTCATTAAGTATTTCAAAGAATTCTTGCAGCCAACACAAAGAGAGGAAAAGAATTTAAAATCATAAACACAACACCCAAAGTTTAAATCTTTATTTTATAATATAATAATCAACAGAATATTTCCTGTTGCTTTGGGCTTGTAAAATTTTTATTGTCACTTGAATAAAATTATGGCCAACCTTGACTATCATTGACACAGAAAGGAACAAAAAAGTTTTAACAATATATTTAAATAATCAACTTAAGCAGAAATTTGGCAAAACAAATAGATATATAGATTGAATTTATAATGAGTTCATGTGTATGTCAGCAACTTTTAGTAACTGTCCAGAGAAAGGTGCAATTATTTAGCTAACAAATAGTACACGAGTGACAGTCTCCTTGTTGAAACAAAAACAAGAACAATTGTGATTCTTGACTTTGTAAATATATTGTTGCAGAACATCTTTATAAATGTTTATTCAGCTACTGTTTGTATGTATCATTACTTTGTTTCTAATAAACCTGTTATTCTAGTAAAGCTTTCTACAAAGTTGTGTCTTACTTAATTCAAGATGGTAACATTTGTTGCTCACAGTAAACAAATTTTAAATGCACCCCTAAAACTTGCCTAATTTCTTAATTGCATCTAATGGTGTGTAGAAATAACAAAACTCGGTTATAGCTACCACAGTCTGGATTCCTTACAAATGAATATTTACAAGTTGATGGTGAAAATTTACAGTTATCTAGTTTCTATTTGTATAAATTTTTAAGGCTTTCTCCTTCCGAGTGTATGATGTAGCTGTGCTGTTTTGTGGAAGGCTATAGTTGAAACATTTAAGAAAATGTTAAACAGATAGATGGGAGCATCAGTTAAAAAGTTATGAAAACAAGAATAAATAAAGTATTAGTAGCAATAATGATATCAAATATTTTTGTTTATTTTTATGCCAATGCAAGATATTCATGCATTCTCTGTTTTGGTTAATAGATCTGTGGTGGTGGCTTGCAGCGGTACTGGTAGTACCAGTCTAGTACCATTCTATTTTGAAAGCTTGAAATACTTTTGTATTGTATGTTTTGCTTTTTTCTATGACAATTTAATTAATGGCAAGCAAGGGAAGAGCAGCGGAATACACCATATCTTAATTCTGACCCTTCCTATCTTAATTCTCATTGAAAGATTGGAATTGAACAAGCCCTTTATGTACACCACGGCACTAGACCTCATTCGTCCAGTACTGCAGAAGTCTGTCCCATTGTCATTTGTGACTCAATGTAACATGAAAGTGTTTGTCTTTTGACAATCCAACAATGAAAAATCGTTCCCAGTACTAGATTCCACTTTCTAGTGATAAAATGCAGCAAGGCTATTTAACCTCTGCAGCTGGCAATATCGCATCGCCATTAAAAGACAATTTGGCCATATTAGCTATAACAACAAAAACGTTCCAGGGACTGGGCCCCTGTGTCACTCTTTCTCTAGCTGATTCACTCTGCTAAAAAAATGTTTGCTTTACTAGTACTATCCTATTTTCGTGCCAGTCGCCACTGGATTGAGTTCTTTTTAATTGATAAGACAAATTAATGTTACATGAATTTGATAACATATTATCACATAAATTTTACAAATATGAAGTACTACACTATCCTATGATTTTGAATAAATGTTTTATATGAAAAATTTGGCCCAGGGCAAGTTCAATTTGATTTAGAAACCTTTTGTTGAAATTTTGCTTATGAGTGGAATTTGAGTACCAGCTTCCTTAAAGTAAAATCAAATAAAATACCTCTTTCTTTCCTTTTCTTTTATTTCCTTCTTCTTCTCCTCTGTTAACTCTCCTAACTCTTCATTTTTATCTCTAGAAATTACAGCATATGAGTCAATTTAAATTTAGTTTTTCTTAATATTTCTTCAATTTTGAAGAAAAATAGTCCAATTGAATCACATCTGAAGGAAGAAAGATGAAAATTGTAAAATGAAGGTTAAAAGTTTAATAGCTTTGGTTATCTATGTAAATAACGACTTTTGGAAGAAAAAAGGTAGTTACTTGTGGTAAATGACACATCCATCATCCATAATTGCGATGGGGTATTCACTCAGTTTTGAGATGTCTGGATCCCAGTCTAACTCTTGTTCAATGTCAAAGACAGAAGACTGGTACGGGAAGTAGCCTTTTCCCTAAAAAAGAGCAATTTGATATTTGAAGCACTGCATGATCTATAAAATCTTCTTTAAGTGTTATATATTTGTACAATACCAGAAGAAAGTTTTATTTATGTTGAGGTTAAAAGAGAACAAGTACTTATAGTTAGATACAAAAACTTTATCAAATCATTCTTAGAATAAGTATCAAAAATATTTGGAAAAGCAAAATTAGCAAAACATGAAAGCAAAAGAGTCTGATAGACAAAATACAGTACATTCAAAACTATCATATTCTCCAAACATTTAAAGCCTATATAATAAGATATTTCAAGAATATTTTTGTAGTCAAAAGTGCCTATGAAATGAAACTTCACATATAGTTTTTTTATAGAAATTGCAACGTCTACATGTTATTATAATATAAAACGAAAATTAACTTGAAAATTTGCAGAGGAAAGTTTGTTTTGGGGGTGTTTAAAAACAATCAGTGCAAGTGAGAAAGCAAGAGAATCAGTGACGCCACATGTTTGCAGTTGGTTCAGTCTTCACAACAAACACACTATACCACCTAGTCAGGCCTGTTAGTCAAAGGATGATGCAAATTGTGATACCAGCATGAAATTTTGCAAAAAAGGGTAGCTCGATACGCTGAAAAAGATAGGATATGGAACCCAACTGAAAGTAGCGCCTTTTGGCTATTTCTAGACTGGGATTCTTTCCCCAAAGCCCCTAGCGGCGTTATTACAAGATCTCTTTTGAAAGTAGGTACAATAGCACAAAACTCTACAACAAGGGGCAGTTTGATACGGTACAAAAGATAGGATATAGAACCTAATTGAAAATTGCCTCCTTTTTCTATTTTTAGACTGGGGTACTTTGCTTCAGAACCTCTAAAGACGGTGTTATTGCATCTCAGTCTTACTTTAGTACTACGGCACAAATCTTTGCAATAGAGGACAGTTTGATACACTGATAAAGATAGGACATAGACCCCAACTAAAAATTTCCCCTTGGGCTATTTTTAGACTAGGGTGCTTTACCGCATAACTCCACTAACGACGTTATTTTGATACCTCAGCTGAAAGTAGGTACAATAACAGGAAACTTTGCAATAGGTGGCAATGTGATACGCAGAAAATAATAGGATGTAGACCCCATCTGAAAATTGCCCCTTTCTATTTTTAGACTGGGTTACACTGCCCAGACCTCAATAGACGGTATTATCGTATTTCAGTCGTACTTTGGTGAAACAGTATGAAACTTTGCAATGATTGGATATGAACCCTGGCTCAAAATTGCCTCCTTCGACTATTTCAACTGTAGTTTCAATAGCAACCTTCATTTTGCTCTATGTACCAAACACCAACTGCTTCCGCGTTTGCAAACTTTATGACGTCACGAAAAGCCCGCTTGGGATATGGGATATTCTACCTCAATTTTTAGCCGGTTCCGCAAGAAAGTAATCACCTTAAAATATATCATTGAAATCAGCAGATTTTGCTTATAAAAAGTCTGCCTTTATCTAAACTTGTCAAATTTCTTTTTATAGGCACTTTAAAGGATAAGATGGAAAATACCTTCGCAATTTCAATGTCATTTTCAGGTAATCCACTAACTTCTGAAAGCTATGGAAAAATAAAAATGAAAAGAATAACTAAAATGTTTGAGACTAAATCAAAGCCTGGGTAAAATATTTCCTGAAAATTCATTTACACAAGCAAAATGATGTACTTGGATGCACCTTTATCAAGGAATATCTTTATGCCTGTGCTCCAAAAATTCCAAAAACACAAGGAAATAAGGAAGATAGCAGGGGTGGACACTTGGCCAAATATTGGGGGCAAGCCTATTGTTTTAATAAGATGACATCACATTTCCCATTGTTTTAGAACAAAATACCATTGTTCTCTAAGGTATTGGGGGGTCGTTGTCCCCCTCATCCCCCCCAGGTATCTGTTATTGGAAGATATATAACCAATAGGTCTTGGGTAGATATGTCCTTGTGAAAATAGCCTATGTTTTGAAAGTCTATACATTTATTTATTATTTAGGTTTAAATAGTACCCTATGATTGCACAATTTAAACATTCCTTATCTATCCTTAAACAGCAAAACCATCCTACCCTTTTCTTCTTTTGCCATAAAAAGGCTAGTACATCAAGATTGTGTTAACAGTTTAGATGCCCGGTACAATTTGTGTTTAAACTTTTTTTTCAGTAATTCTTGGATGAAATCATTAAAGGAATTTTTGTGTTGCTTACCTTGGTTTTAAGACTCTTGATGGAGTGCTCTTCCAACTGAATTTCTTGGATTGGCTCAAAAATATACTTAGAAGGTAGCCATCTTCGTGTGTATATGCTAAGGATGTCTGAAGATGATTTTTGTAGATTTTCTAGAAAGATTATGAATACAATCTAATTTTACAGACTACTAGGTAACATTACCCAAACAGTGAAATGTCTGAAAATTGGTCAAAGTTTGGCTGCTTAACCCTCTAATGTATTGTCTTTGGAGATTAAAAAGAAGCCTTTTACGGGTTTATTTCTTCAAGGTCATTTTCTTCTAGGAAATTTCTTTAGGAATGTTGTTTACACAGAAAATTTAGCTATACACTAAGCAGTGTCTAGCACTTCAGTGTCTTTCATTGCACTGGTTGGAAAGAATTTTGAAAAGATAGATTCAATATGGCAATATAATCATAGCCAAAGAATTTAGAGCACTGATAATTAACTCTTTTCAAACAAAATATAGTAGCGTGTAAACTGGCAAAAAAAATATTGCATTAAATTTTATTTGCAACCATGGAATTTACCTACATAAATGACAGTGTGGGTAAAGAGGCAGTGGAAGTAAAGCAAATTTGAAGAATCAGGAAGGGTCCCCAGGCATGCAAAGGTATTTAGTGAGCATGGTTTGCAATTATCTGATAAAACATACCATCAATGACTTCAACAAAGAATTCTGAATTCACTGTAAGCTTGATGTCTTTTTCAAATTCACAGTCATCACTATAAATAGTGCTTGGGCTCTTCCATGACTTTTTCCTTAGTCGAATGCTGGAATGTACCACAATCATCAGAATATATACAAATAATGGGGTCACAAAATTAGATTGGCAAGAAGATACGTTGGCCACAAACCAAGTTTTCCTTTTTTAAAATAGACTCATAAAAAATAAAAATGTTTGTGAGTCAGGAAGACCAAGACCTTTGGTCTTCTGTTTGTGTTTTGGCAAGAAATGCTTAAATTAATATTTTGATTTTGTTTGACTGACTTCACTAGTTTTTACCTCTAAATTATAACATTTCAAACCCTATTCTCTTCGCTCTTAGAAGATTTTTTTTCTGATGGAGAATGGTGGGTCTGCATAACTTTGAATTTCCAATGGGCATGTCTAACTTACTTATATAAGTTATATAAAGATCAGTCAAAATAGATGTAGTATTATAGAGCATCTAATTTAGAATTATTATAGAGCATCTTATAGATAACCTAATTAAGGCTCTTTGAAACTTAATCAACGTTAATACTACTCGCATTTCGAAAAACAACTCATGACTGTCAATACTTTAAATCAAATCAACAGCGTGCACACTTTCTAAAGATGTGCACTTAACCGTGAATACTGCTATTGTCCTTATTATAACGCAATCGTACAACATTGTTCTATTGAAATTACAACACTAGGCAATGACATTAAAGAAGCAAAGGAAAAAATTCGAGTGCACATACCAATTGCTTGTTGCCTCAATTTCAAAACAATTCTTTAACTCTTTCATAACTTCCTTCTTTAAATGTATTATTTTCACACCCTCAGATACAACAGTCTCCATCATGAACCTGGTATGCTGCAAAATGTTTACTAGATAAAGTCAAGGAATGGTATGCTGTGGCAAAATGTTTTGAAGCAAAAATCTTGTTTAGGTTCAATAGCTTAGTGTATGCTATAAGGGTCATTCCAACTAATGTTAAGAAATGTCTAAGAATTGCACACTTCGAAATTTGTTTCTGTCGCAGATAGCCATATGTTTCAAAAGAAACAGAATTTGCACATAATTTACATTTTAAAGTTTTGAATTAGTAAAAAGCTGGCAACACTTATAATACCATATTGGACACATAAAACATCTAAATTATTCAATTTTAATAGAAAAACTGTGTTTGCAAAAATTTAAAGTTGCTGTGAAGCTAGTTGGAGTACATACAGACATAGAGCTAGAAGTATGTTTTAAAAAGTCAAGTTTGCATCATTACTCTAGCTTCCATGATATCTGCTTAATTCAAAAATTCCAGCTCAGATAAAGCAGAACTACAAACTTTCTACATCTGGTTGCCATTTTAAGCATACAGCTCTACCTTTACGTCATAGAGCACTTTAGGACAGCTATGGGTAAAACAGTAATATTCGGTTTTGTCATTTTAGACAACATTCCAAAACCTACTGCCGGCAAAAAAGATATGAAAAATCTAACCTCCTGCTTGTTTGGCTCAAGCAAATAAACCTTTATTCTTGTTTCTCCTGGTTTCAAAGCTCTCCCCAGTCTAATGATAATTTTTGATTCATCACTGTATGCAGTTAGTTGCTCACTCAACCTTGTTGTTTCATACTCTTGATTATTCGAGTACAGTCGATAAACCTGAAAAATAGAAAAAGGAAACCATTAAGGGCTTGGGAAGATACTTCAGGTTTGTTTATAGAATCTGCTTTTCTAACCCTTTTTCATCAAAAACCATTTTTCAACTTTTGTACTTCTATGTACAAACAAGGACTTGAACAGCTCAAGGATGTTTCACAATTAGAAGTATCTTTTTTTACTTCTATGAGTCAGTCACATTGAGCCTATAGGGAAGTGTATGAGAAAATATCAGAAAAAGGTGTAATCATAAGCAAATGTTGAAAAAGATTATCAAAGAAGCATTTAATGCTGGATCAAAATGAGAATGTGATTTATTTATTTACCCTGAAATTATCCGGATGGACACCAACATGTCTTGCAAGTTGTTCCTTCAAATTGGCCAAGGTGTTTCTCTTATCAATTTTGATGATAATCTCTGCAAGGGAAAATTGTTTCCAATTCCTGACACAAATTTAAGTCTACATGATACAAAAGGTGCGGCACTGGTAGCACTAAAATCTTAATAAAAATATGAAGATGAGAAACATGGGCATTTCAAATTCCAAAAGAATAAATCTTGTTTGCTGTGAGTTTCTCTATGTGGCATTCCTATATCTATTATGAATGAGTCACAGCTTAGATAACAAAAAAAACGATGAAGTACATATAGAAGGTACCTTTAGCTTGCTTTGTTATCTCATCACTATAGGGAAGTTCAACAATCAGGCTTATTGTATTTGCATGTTTCTCCAATACTTTCGCAAATTCAGAATCCTCAAAAGGCATCTTTGAATCTGGTCCTCCGGATGTTTCAACAAAAATCTGCGAAATTGATGGCTGTCAGGTAACATGATAGACAAAAAAGAACATGTTTTTGATAACAAAACTTTTGAATAATCTACAGTTGAATCTAGTAAAGATACCAAAATAACTCAGACTTTCACTAAGTTGGACTAAGTTTACTACCTTTTTTTCAAGTAAAAAGTCTTATCCTGGATTTGTCCAACATTTGCTATGTAAGACCATTTCCTAAACCTCTTAACATGATTCTTGAAAGTCTAGCTTAAGTGTGTAAGTTGATAATCATTGGCTTGATTATCTATCTATTCTATGATCAAGCGTCGCTTTCCAAGATCTGTATCTGTTTTTGTATTGAAAAGGAAAAATCAAATGCATAAAATTTTTTTCCAAGGTTTCATGATATATTGAAAGGTGGACACTCAAAAAATTATGACAGTGGGTTTTTATGAGCGCCATATAATGTTTATCATAGAGTTAAATAGAAAAACAAGTTTTGGCAAATAGAGTTAGACTCTTTGAACATTGTTTACTTCTGAAAGATTCAATATTTTCACTGATATTGGCAATCTTAAACTGCCAATGTTACAAGCTTCATTTTGTTTTGATGCAGCAATATGAGAAAGATCATGCAAAAATTTTGGCATTGCTAGATTTTGACTTCAAGGCCAATTTAGAAATCTATAGAACTGTTGAGCATAACTACAAACCTTTGTACTTTTGTAAAATCCCTCAGCTTTTAATGTCTTTTTTGAGTCAATCAACAAACGAAAGTCATTACTGTCTTTTCCAACAGCAATCCTCATAAGATTGGTTGGAAATTTAAACTCCTACAGAAAAGGAAAGCAACATACATTAATTTTTAACCTCTTTCTTAAATCCCGCATAGTATGCCAGGCAGAAGCCATTGTAACACTCACAAAAATCTAAAGCATGCTATATTGATAACATATATGGCAACTCAAAATATGGCGCAATGCCAGGTTTTCCAGGTACAAATAAAAAACTGCATTCTAATACATAGAAGAGCATTGACAACGTGATTAATTATTTTATAATTTTTGAAAGATAGATCCTTAAGGTAGATATTTATTTGAAAAATAGATATTTGAAACATATTTATCCTTAATGGGTTGAAAGACTAAAAGGTCATACCAACATAACTAAAAATCAAAACTATTAGCAGTTTATTTGATAATAGCATTTCACAAAACATATACTTTATAATAAAAAAATTAAAATTACAGACTGGCCCTGTGAAATTAAAAATCATTGCAAAGCAGATTATCAAAGAAAGGAGTGAGATATTTGCCATAAGCATTGAAAAGAGCATGGTTATACAATTCATAAAGGTAGAATCTCAGCATAGAAATTTAATCAAATGCAAACATGACCTTCCAAAGGATTATTTTCTTTCTCACACACCTATTTGAACAAAAAAATTCAAGAAAGCATGATGCTTTTTCAGTCTTATGTATCTTTGCCTACTTCAAATACCTCCCTTTCACAATCAGTCTTAACTGAAAACACACAGCAGACACACTGACTTCTTTTAAAGGAAACAACAAACACAAAATAGTAGTCATTACCTTATCCAAAGCCTTTATAAGATCTGATACAGTATATTCGGCTTTTGCATGCAACACTAATGGTTCACAAACTTCAGATTTTCTGAGATCTACCTTATGAATCTTTATAGTTGTCCCTGCAATGTCAAGTTTGGCAGGATTAACAATGCAATACATGATGATGTTTTAAAAACGTTAGATTCGCAGGTAAAAAGTGATGCCAGATTAATAATTAAAAGGCATACAAATGTTGCTGTTTATTTCAAAGAGCCAGCTTAGTTATAGCACACACTTGTATCAAGCTTTGCAATGGTCTTTACTTATTATTTGTACTCTTTTTGCATCCCCTTATAAAAATTAAGAGAGGTTTTAAGGGGCTCAGCCCCCTATACCAAGCCAGTACATGTTTGGTTGTTCACACTTAGCATCTCAACTTGGCCTTTATGAACATTTTAGATAATTACATATGCACAACAGATAATCTTTAACACAAATGCGAGAATATAGGATAAGACCATATGACCTAGATAGCTCCTTGTGAGTTCTTTTCATATGTCTGACAGCAAACATATTAAACATCAAACTACCTACTGTATGTAGTTTTCCTTTTTTGTAAAAAAAATAATTGTCGTTTGTAGTTCAAGTATTAAATACAAATGTAGTAGTTAATTATTGCTGTGAATGAAATGTTTGAGTTTGACCATGGGTGTGATCCTGGATGTAGCTTCTACAGCACAGCCCCCCTTCCTAACTTTTTAGGATGGCACCCCTGTCTGTGGTTCGCAATGCTAACCAATGAACCATCCTCTCACCTGTAATAATATACTATAAAATATAATCTATAAAAATGATAATAATAATAATATTAAAAAAAAAAATAATCCCTGTCCTGTAAAATTAATGTTGAAGTTAGTATTAAACTGTCTATTTTTTTGCTGGTACAAAGCCCAGCTTCCATAGCTATAGTGTAGTAAAGGAATAAGGTATTAGCTATAAACTGTGATTTTTGAGCAGGAGGTGAATCACTGAGATATTTCAAGTTAAAAACTTGACACAGGAAGGGCTGCCTGAATGCATGCTACAAATTCTTCTTTAATTCCATTGCTGCCAAGACATTCTCTTGTAATAATAATTACAATATAAGAAAAAATTCACAGAGTACCCTAAAACAGGCTTGTCCAGCGCGTGGCTCGCAGGACACATTGTGGCCCCCGGCCACATTGTGGCCCCTGATGTTGTTTAATGTGGCCCGTGCTTGGCTCAAAGTTGATAAAGAATTGCATTGTATTTATTCAAGTTGTAAGAGAGAAATTGATTCAAATTATTTACAAGATTATTATTTCATATTATTTACACGCACGCACACTTGGCGACTTCCAGTTCAACGCAGGGAGCCAAACCCTCTATTTTGTGCCCAAACCATGAACATGCTGCGCTTGTTTAAAAAGTTCAAGATTGGTACAAGCCATGTTTCTAAAAAGCGGGGAAGAGGGAGAGATAGTGAACTTGGTAAACGCAATTTCAAAATTTCGCGGACAACCGATTTTTCCGTTGCTCAGCAAAATGACTTTGTTAGGTATTTGATTTTTTTTGAAAAAATCGCAGCGCGGAGGAATACAATATTGCTAGGAATACTTACATTCATCTTATGATAAGCTGGAAGGCCAGTTACATGTTCATTAATTAGAAGTTTCTAGTCAACAATCTCCAAGGAAATCAGATTTTTTCAGTTCATTTCCTGGAATGGGACGATATGAAACGGAACGGCGCTAAACAGACAATGCAGCGATAAACATATAAATGGCCCCCCAGTTACTGCGTTATTTTGAAAGTGGCCCCTTCTTGAAATAAGGTTGGACAACCCTGCCCTAAAACTAGTGTTCATAATTGGGGTTTACAATACTCCTATCAATTTCATGTACAGTAGAGAATCGCTATTAAGGAAATCCGTTGTACTAGAGGTACTGCTCATTGTTAGGAAGTGTCAGCTGTCCAGAAGATACTTTCCAAGGCTTTGACATTGAAGAATACGTTGCTGTTTGGGTTCTATCAGCTGGTGTATGTTGAAATAGAGTTTAATTCATAGATTGGCATGACAGCTTATCCACAATCAATAAGATCAGAAAGGAAATGTAATAGATGATACATTTACCTCTTAGTTCATATACGGGAAACTCCTGTTCATCACTTTTTGTTTCCAATAAAAGGTCAAATGAATATGATTGTTTCACTCCACCCAATAATATTCCAACTTCTGTACCCTAAGAGAGTGGAAAATGTTGCAAAACTGGAGGTGTATGGCTAAAATACAGTTGTAAAAGGCATCACACTCTTTGAAGATAGCACAGAAAAAGCAGAAACATAGCATATTAAAGTAACTTTCATCTTACTTTGCTCCAATGCATAAACTTTGCATAATGACCAAAGGTAAGCAGAAAATTCTACTCTCAGGAGTGTCAGATGAAAAGCACTTTAGTATGCAATGTTTCCACTTTTCTATGGTACCAAAGGCTCATTCAGAAAGGACGCTCTCTGAAAGCCTAACCATAAGGATTTGGTTTTTAGCATGCCTAACAGGGGAAACTTTTTTGGAAAATGAAAATTTTTTTTGACTCCAGGCCGAGCTCTAGAGCAAATGGGGTACTGGTGGGAGAGTTTCCCAAACGTTTATCTCAAAACTTTAATTAGATTCTCAAAGATACTTCATTTGTTTGTGCATCTAACATAGATAACATTGGCAACATTAGAAATGCTTGTTCTGCCTATCAATAGGCTGTAGGATAGTACTAAGGAGCATAACTGTCGTTTGTGTGGCAATAAAGAGCATAATAAGAATAAGGACAAACGATTTTACCTCTTCTCCTTCATAAGATCTTTCAAAGCTGCCATAATAATCATCATATTTAACAAGACGGCAATTTTCAAGCTTGATACATTTATCAAGTTCTAGGAGCTAAAAAACGAAAAATAAATATGCAGTTGTGGCTTCACGACAATAAAAGTTTCGGGGACATATAGAGCTTGATGTTGTACAACGATTAATTGTAGACACAAAATTGTAGAATATCCAACCTATCCTATAAGCTACTAAGTGGGTGCGAGAGGGTAAAGGGGACTTGACAAGTTAGATATGATTGGTATAAGTTTTTAGCAAGGTAATAAGGGGAAGTCATCAGTTATCTGCCTAAAGAAATGAGCTACAACAGGGCCCGCGCCACGAATTTGAAAGTGGGAGGCCAAGACTAAAAAAGTTGGGGGCCAAGGCTTCCTCCCTTCTTTACTGCAGCTTTTAAACTACTTGCTTTGCAGAAAAGTGGGGGGGGCATGGCCACCTCGCCCCCCCCCTGGTGGCACGGGCCCTGTACAAATTTTCTGTCTCATCTATGCCGAAATTCTGAGAGTTTCTTTTAATGAGTCACCAAATTTTATTTCAAAAAGACAGATTTATAAAATTAGAATAATCCTGAACGACTTATATTATTACTTTCCAGGCTGTTTCTGTTGCATCCTTCAGTGTTTTCCATTGTTCAACATGAAGCTTTTTTTCCATCCATTCGCCAGTTGTTGGATGCTTACAAAACAGACGAACCTGCATAGCAACCATATATTTTCATATGAAAACATTTTCCATACAGAATATTAGGTTTATGAAAAGAACTCCATTTATCGATTAATCAAAAAGTGATTGATGATGTGTAGGCAAAGATGTACACATTTTGGTGCACAGAACCGTCCTGTTGTTTACACAAGTGGATTTTATGACACACAAATAACACAGAGAACCTTTCAAATTTTAATAAGCCTTGTCCATAAAGTGAATTTAAGCCCACTGACAACAAGTCATATATGAAACATCTACTAAATGACTGGTTCATCTCCATCTTGATACCAAAGTGCTTTAAATCATAAGAAGAGCTGAAGAGGCTTTGCAGTGGAGCTAGCTACCAGGTGAAAATGTGAAGGACATTTTCTTTCAAGGTATTAAAAACAAAGACAATAGTCATTGAAATGTCTTTATATGTCCTCCGCATTTGTTCCTAGTAGATAGTTCCTTTAAAAAGCCTTTTCAGTTTTTCTTTTTCCTTGAGTTCAGTAGTAGAAATGAATCAGACTTTTTGACCACGGCATTATTATCTAGTTTCTTTAAAAAATGGTTGTATCAAACTAAAATATGGTTTAGATAGATTACTGTAAATCTAGCTTTTGAGGATAGAAAATATAAAGAGAATATTGCAAATTTGCCTTTATCGAGATAATCTGAAAACTGCTTTACTGAAGGTTGCTTAAGTACACCAAATAAGCACACACAACTTCAAGATCAATAACTGCAGTTTCTAAAACCTTCTTTAATCTATTTCATTTAATAATAATAATAAGAATTATATTAAACCAGAATAATGATTAGTGAAACAGAATCATGAAGATGTGAAATCAATGACATGATTTTCATAAATAAACTGTTTTTTCAAGAAGATCATATGATCTAAAAACAATCTACCTTACAGACATCTCTCTCCTTGGCTTTCCTGTCATTTTCGTTATCTTCTTCTCTTTCAAGGCCTCTGCGTAATGATTTGATGTGATCAGGCCAGCTAGTCGGGTCATCAAAAGTCTCATTGCCATCTTTTTTTCGATACATCAACATATAAGCGTTGGTTGAGCTGGAAGAGGAAGAGTAACAGTGTAGAATATTATAAAAAAGCTTCTCTACTATCCTGGAAAAGCAAATTGCTTATAGTTGATACTGTTTTTAATATCAACATGTCATACCAAATTTTTTTTAGAAGGCTGGTCTTCTGATAGAAAATCGTTAAATTTGGGTTTGTAAACATTGTAAATATAATGGCATGTTAAGAAATGTTGCTTTTTTATGACAGTGGTCGTTGAGCCTATTAAGCTGGTCAATTTTTACAGTAATCAAGAAAGCTTTTGGGGTTTTGCATTGACTGTGCAGTGATTAATGATAGGTGGGTAGTATGGGGTAATGATGTGTAATCACCAAAATGATGGTACATGACTATGATAATGATGATGATGTTTGGTGATGATGATTCATGATGATTGGTGATCGATGGTGATTGATGATTAGTGATCGGTGATTTATATTAATGACTGATTATGAGAATCAATGATTGATGAAAACTGATGATTATGATTGGAAATTATCGGTGATTCGTGATGGTTGATGATCGGTGATTATAATTGATAAAGACGTACTGATAAATGGTTATCTATGGGAAACTGAAAACGAGAAGAGCAAAACCAGATACCTTGAATACGTGGCTGAGTAAAAACCACGTGCACTTGCATCCAGTCCTCCGTACGATTTCTCAATCTCACTTTTAGAGATCTGAAAAAAATTACAGAACAAAATCAACAAACAGAGAACACCAAATTTAAAAAGTTTAAGAATTTTAAAAAATTGCTATTATAACATTGGTTTAAAAGCGAACAAATCACGACAAAAAGATATTTTCTTCTCCATTAAATTGAGTTATGGCTTCCGTGCTGCATTACTTTTGGTGGACCAAAGACAGGTCACATGATGCCGCTTCGCACGGATTTGAAAAGCAGGTTCTCACAATGGCTGCCGTGGTCATTAGATCATAATCAGGGCCGCCGAGAGCGCAGCCGGGCGCCGGGGCAACCAATAAATGTGGGCCCCTAACTTGGCAATGAATATAAATTCCAGAAAATGGAAATTAATATAGACTCTATTATTACCGGTCCCAGAATCGTTCCGGGCCCCGGAGACTTGCCCTGGCTACCCCTCTCTGTCGGCTGTCCTGATCACGATAGAATTGGCCATGCCAGAAGCAAATGATTCGTATTTAGAAAATGGAAGGAATTTTATGACAAAAAATGCCCACGCCATGAATTTGAAAGCGGCAAGGTTTCTTCCCCTTTTACTGCAGCTTTAAAACTACTTGCTTCACAAAAAGTGGGAGGCCATGGCAACCCCGCCCTTTCCAGGTGCCGTGGGCCCTAATTTCACCTACCTCATGAACATGCTGATCATTAAAACAATACCATTTTCCATTCTCAAATGACCTGGAGTAGAAAAATTTTATCAAGAATTATTGAGCCTTACTCACTTTCACTTTAAGGTAAAAATCAGATCAGGGAGGTACATATAGAGAAACTAAACGCAACCAGGGTTGCTAGATTGGCCTTTTTCAGGCCAAATTTTCCAATCTAGGCCTCTTTTAGAATGAATTGCCTGGAGAAATTCTTGGTCAAATTCAGTTTGGATTTCTTGGCCTTTTTCAGGCGAGAATTTGTGGACATTCCTTTGTTTATATAAACTTAGCAATGCTACCCAGTGAAGATTCAAATTTAAAATGTTACCACTTTAAAGATACAAAGGTAGTTTTGAAGGAGAAGAACGATCAGGTTTTATTTGAGTTTGGAAAATAATTTGAAAGGCACATGCTTGGAAAAATTTCATACGTTGGCACATTGTATTGACGGAAACGTGCTTGATTTGGCCTTTTAATGCGAATTTGGCCTGAATTTGTAAAGTCTTGGTCTGTAAACCCCATCTGGCAACCCTGATGTCAACAGATCTGTTTTGAAATGGAACAGCCAAAATAACAAAACTTACTTTATGTAGGCATAGTAATGGCCACCTAATGCATTTCCAGAGTGAATCATAATTGAAAACAGCTCGTAAAACTCTGAAGACTGTAAAATAAATCCTTATTTGCATGAAATAATGAATAAACAAACTGGATTTTTACAAATTCAAACATAATTTTAGCGATGGTTTAAATCTATTGTGCTCTAAAAAGGACGGTATTGAGGATATGGGACACATATTGCCTATCTATCATGCTTATGATACAAAAAGACGTCATCTTGTCGAGAGTGTGCTGGCAATATCGCGGCCTTTTGGATTAATAAACCTTTCACATGAAACTCTACTGGAAATTCTCCTACATGGCCAGGAAAGGTTATCTTTAGAGTTAAAGACAAAAATTCTCGCGGCAACATTAAAATAAATTCAGGCCCCAGAACGGTTTCAATAAGTTGTTGTTTAAAGTATTCTCTCTTGTGTAACTTGTCTTTTTTACATTTGTTCTGTTAACATAAACTTTTATTTGCAATATTGTTAATAAGTGCTATTTGTTGCTATGTGACTTGAACGATTAAAGTTGAAATATATAGATGTGATACGAGTTTGAAATCTTTATTTCTTATGTTTTTGTTTGCAGTTGCTCTGTATTTCCATCCATGCTGTGGCATGGTCTTGTAGTATGATATTTGTAAAATTTTATGGGAATATATAAAAAATTAATGAAGCTTGAAATGTTTAAAATATTATAACAAAAGCAATCAAACTACTGGCTGATTAATAATTTTAGAAAAAACTAGGCAAGAGGTGAAAAATCAAGTAACAACCAATGGCATTAAAATTTCAAAAATCAAATGATCAAGTAAGCTTGGAACAAAATGATACACGGTATAAACTGGTACACACATTTTTAATATGGTTGTCTGTAGCAGAATTTGATTTCAATTCTGCGGCCATTTCTTTTCCATTGATACAGTTGTCACTATCTGCATCAATGCCATTGGCAACTTTTTCTTCCAAAGGGTGTGTTTTACAACTAGAAGTGTGGACTGGCTTCGTCTGAAAAGTAAAAAACCAAGAAAGGGAATCTAGAAATTGTCTATCCTTTCTACCAGTCTCCCAATTGCAGGATTTCTAGATTAGACTTAAGCAAACAAAAACCCGTCCAGGAAATGAATCAGATACGGTGCCGGAACAATTTAAGTTCAGAAATACAACTATACGAGCCCAAGCATGAAGACCTCTTTAACTAGGACTCGAGTAGACCGCTGATTACAGAATGATACAGTGAACTGCTTTATTTTAAGTTGATGTTTTGCTCTGCTGAGGCCTTATATTGACACCCATTTGGTAAAATACGATCGTTCCAGGTACATATTACAGCTCGCGGTTCTTCAAGACAAACTCTGGTATCCCCAGCAACGAAAATGCTCTACCTTAATATCCTCTTCTTTGTGAAGAAATTGATCAAGCCAAATCTTCTCAGGAAATACGACTCTGAAACAAAAACAGAAAATGTAAGCTTAAAGAAAGAAATAAGGCACACTTTCAATTAATGTCTTGGGGTGGGGGGGGGGGAGTGGGGTTAACTACGCCTAGTTTTGGATGAGAACGTGCCATTTTAGTTCAAAATTTGGAACCATAATTCCGCAAATGTTTGAAAAAATGTGACCAATAATTAGATGAAGAAGACTATACCCACAATTTCGCAAGGCAGTAAACATTTTTCAAAGCACAACAAAATTATGAAGCAAATTTTCTATATACTTTGTCCCAAAATCTCAATATTACACATATTTTATCATTCATTTCTAATTGGGCATTCATTTTGTAAATGCTAAACTTCCAACCTAATAACTTTTCCAAAAAATGTACCCATTTGCAATGCTTTCCTAAAAATGTACCCATAATTCTGCATGATTCTTAAAATGGTACCCATAATCCCGCACATTATTCAAAAAGTAATACCGACAATTCCGCACCCTTCAGAGAAAAGGTACCCCCTGAATAAAGGTAACCCCCCCTCCCCGAGATTGGTGTTGACCTACTAAGAATGAAAACAGTTTTACGACCAGTCTAGTTTGCATCATTTTGCTTTTTGGGTATTAAAAATATAACCCTTGGAAGCGTTTTGGAAAAAACTAAGAGAAATCCGTGCCTTGAGCAGTTTTGAAGCTTTACTTGTAATGAAATTTCTATGTTACAGGATGTTTTGACAGCTACCCGGCAATGGATTAGATTTAAAACTTTTGTTCCTGCTTGGAACCAATACAAAGATTGTTTCTCTGGCTCTTGTTGGAACTTTTTTGTTTAATGCTAAGTAAGCTACTGCAAAACGCTACCAGAAATATCAACAGTAAAATGGTATGTCACCTATCGTGTAGTTTGATCCGCTGTCCAGTTTTATAGTCAAATGTGAAGCGCTTCAGTTGAATTGTCAGTAAATATGGAAAAGTGACGAATTTCAGACCCTGTGAATGATAGAGATAAAAACTTATAAGCAACAAACTTAACCCATAACATAAACATCTTATAACATAAAGAAATTGTAATCTTAGGCAGCATTTTTCAACATCTAATTTCAACCTCTCCCCTTTGTCGATTGTTTCTAACCCTGTGGAAATTTTTGAAAACAAAACAGCACTAAACTTCATGATGCGGTTTTACTGAGCTAAGATTAGGTCCTACAACCAAGCGTCTAGTCTTGATAAAATGTTCAGCTATATTTACGGTTGTGTTGCAGGTTTTAAGACGAAAAAAGGATTTGAACGCGAAAAATCGTCCAGGCGAGACTTTTCTCTATCACAGTCAAGTCCCTCAATCACTCTAATCACGGTCAAGTCCCTGAAGCACAGGGATGTAATGGTAGGGGGTTTAGGGGGCGCAGCCCCCCTTGCTGAAATTTTCGAAAAAAGTGGCTGTGCTTGGACATGCAACGCAAAGAAGGCTGTGAAGAATTGTTACTTCGCCACAGGTCAGCTATTTACGATTAAACCAGAAAAGGAAAAAAGAACAACATACAGCTTTAAAAACATTGCAAACTTATATGCATGAAAATATCCACAAAATTGGACATATATAGACAGAAAAATCCTGTTTTGTTAAAACAAGAGAAAATGTGTCAATTCAAAATCCAACCGATGGGTTATTAAAAAAAGATCTTCCACACGATGCTATAAATATTTTATATGCATTTTCTGGCCACTCTTAGAATATCATATTTCAAAATTTTCTCGCTGCCAACCACTAAACCCCTGAGCAATATAAAAATTTGCCCCTCACTTGCAAGGAAGTTTCCCCCCGGCCCTTCCCATGGTATCAATATTCTGATCTCAGCTCCCCCCTAAAAAACAAAGTACCTGGCTCCTCAACTAATGATCGGAAAGAACATCAACCCTCGTTTGTTCAAATTACAAATATTACATGACAAGAAAGAACAACTTAGAAATTTGATAGAGCCCCCCTTGTTAAATCTTTACGACTACATCCCTTAAAAATGTTTAAATTTATATCGTCATAAAGCCAGGGACAGATGTCAAATGATTAGGGGGTGTTTAATACTATTTAGCCCCTACACCCCCGCCAAATCTGTCCCACCATAGAGCCAATAATGAAAGTAACAGCTCGGCTAAAATTCTGATCCTGAATCCGAGCCTGATATAAAAAATTAAGTGCAAAGAAAATTAAAGTATGTTTCAAAAACGAGGCAGTAAATTGAATTGGTTTTTTGCGAAACACCGTGAAATTCTTTTGCTAGTTACAAACAGAAAATTAAACCCTTACCTTGTGTGCATCTTGCTTCAGATTGCATTTTTCACAAAAATACTAAAATCATAAGACATTAGTTGCTAAAACTAAGAGACATTTTACGGTAATGAGCCATTAACTGAAGATAAAGAAGAGTTCCCGAGATTCCCTGGCTAGGAATCATCGAGTACATTAAAAAGATTAATTCTTATGCACCAGCTCAATCCTAAATTCGATAGCCAGATAGAAAAATATCTACAAATCAAATCGATAAGTGAATACATTTAATGTCGACCTTAAATCACGTTTTACTATAGCTGATTGTAATGCTGACAGCTGTGGATTCGAATCCGTGATTAGGACAAAAACCTCCTGTCAAACCAGCGATTACATGCAAAAGACGAGATGGTTGATGAAAATATCGTTAAAGGAATATAGATGTGACTGACAAGATCATCGCAATTTTGTTAAGATTCTTTGACACGTGTACAACTTGTTCTTCAACAAGTTAAGTCTTACAATCGAAAAATGTTTGATGTAGATTGTATTTGCATTCATTTATGAAGCACGAAAAAAACAGGCATAAACAGAATTAACAAAATATTAACAATCCATTCTTACTTGGTTGTTTCCATTAAGAATTTCTGGAGCAATGAACGCTCTCAAGGCATCTTCCTTGATTATCATGAAAAAAATAACAACGAATTGCAAACAGAATACTACCAAATGAAAGACAACTAGGAAAATAATTGGCATAAGAATAAAGGCCTGCCCTTTAAAGGGAAGTTAGACCAAAATCGCATAACGAATGGGTGGCATATAAATCTATCTGTGCTTGCCGCCCAGAATGTGCATAGGCAGATGTCTTAGCAGCTGTGTTGAAGACTGAAGGAGTTCCTTCTGTTAATATTAGCCAAATATGAGCACGTAATATAATAAAAAGACTTACAATTTTCCCAAATGACTCATTTGATCCAAAAGGGCGTATTGATAGAGGTATATCAAGAAACATATCGGTTCTGGCACTTTCGTGAGAACACTAAAAAAAACACCGCACACTTTAGTTTAACTTTAAAGGAAAACTTTAGTTTAGTCCGTAGCCTAGGTGAATCATGGGCTCAGGTAGGTTAGCGCCGTTTAATAAGGGCTGTCATTGCAATCCACTCACCCGCTGCCTTTTACTTCGCAAGTCGGGTATTTATTCACAAATGCGTGCACCCAGCCGAGACTTGAGCTTTTGCTAAAAAAGGTTCATCCATACCGCTACCGATCATGTACTTATAGACAGTAAATAGCAATACAAAATAATGCAAGCCATCATTTGAATGGAATGAATAGGTTTGTTAAAGGAGAAAACAGCAAGGGCTTGGGGAATCATGATGCAAAGGTTGCTCATCATAAAAAGATTAATAAATTATCTAGGATTGAAAAAGTAACTCAACGTGTCTTTTTGCTGTCTGTCTTATTGCAGTTGAAAGTCAAGGAACAAGTTGAAATTGGAGATTCAAACAATAAAAGACTCTTTATCCATTAAAGTCTGCATCTATCTAGGCGTAGACCGACGGGATTGACTTCATGGCCTAAACTTTACATAGGAGAATTTACATATGGTTCAGCTTACTTACGGAAACCTGTACTCAAGGAAGGCACCAGGGCAAAGCGCCAAGACAAGGGCTAAGCAATATTAAGAAAACGAAAATTGCCAAATTTAGTAAGGTCAAGGGTTGTCACTACCCCCACTGCCCCACCAAGTTCAGACATCCATGAGCTGACTCGCGAAGCATCCAGAAAAAATTTTGAGCCCATAAATAAAATCCTTTCGTGCTAACTTGATGTACTATCAGTATAAATATCAAAAAATCTAAAATTTGGTAAAAAATATTGCAACTTAAGGCGAAAAATAAGATTAGCCGACAAACAAGGTATACAAATCTGCGCGAATGTGTGAAACGAAGTATAGAATGTCAAAAAGAAAAAATCTTACTTTGAGGCATTTCACATAGTCTTTCAATTTCCCTTGGTATAGCTGGTTTATCATATTTGCCTATAAAGGAGGATATAAAAACAGAATTAAGGCTAAATGAAATGACATGCTTTCCGAATGAAAGAGGACCGGAATCCCAATATCGCCATGAACTGGATACCACCTGGTGGAAGACGTAAAATCGGACGACCTCGGAACACCTGGAGAAGAACGTTGGAGAGTGACCTGAAGGATCTGGACGTGCCATGGGAGGATGCTCAAGAGGAAGCCCGGGATCGACATGGATGGAGATTGCTTGTTGCCCGATGTGCAGAAATGCACGGGCAGAACTTGGTCTAAGTCTAAGTAAGAAATGACAAAATGTTATCTAAAAAATTAACCAAAACTGGTAACTTATAATACTTGTTCAGATATTTAGCTGTCTGTTATCACGTAAGGACCCCTTACCCTATAGTTTTAGTAACCCGTACCCCTTGCCGAAGTTACCCCTACCCCTTACCAAAATAGTTTTAATTAGACGTTTCATACTAAATAAAAAATGATTATGACGCAATATATCAATGTATAAAGTATATAATGGTTTTATAGATCTATAGGCACTCGGTTTGTGTAGGCTTTATTCTGAATAATACATCACTTTCTCGCAATTTTCATACTAAACTTGAAAACCATTAACACATATATGAACCTAACATGAGATAACATAAAATAGAGCATCTAGAAAGTCACTTTAACCAGGATTACCGGTAATTACCGGGAAACCCAAATTGTGCCAAAAATACAATTTTTTTGCAACATAACATAGTCCGGTCTAGCACTTTTAGAACACATCTAAATAAAATGAAAAACCTGCTACTGGTAAGCGGCACTGAATGGGCAACCTTTTCAAAATTGTGCAATTGTTTCTTATTGCGCTAACTCGATCCACAACTGGGTATATATAGTTCTAAGCTTAGAATTTTCCTTACATTTTATACCCTGAAGAGTGTCAGACAAAAGGCATAACGTCATAACAACTTATTTGGTCAAGTATACTGACAAACGAAAAGATGACATCACACAATCACCCGTCACTATAAACACAGATACGTTCAGGTATAGTTACTCCTTTCTTTGTACATTGATCTATGCAAACACTAAAAACTAGAAGCAAATAAACAAAGTTATTGAATTACCGCAAACCCTCGAATTAGCCCCCTGGGGGCTCTTTTATCTTTTGTATTTTTGGATGGGGGTTATTCGAGGGGGGCTTATTCGAGGGGGGCATATAAAATTATAGTAGACGTTTAGAAGACATTAATAAAAAACTCCTATATTTGAATAGCAATTTCTTTAATTGCAAGAGTGAAGGAAAAAGTCATAAAGATAAAACAAGACGAGAGCTCACTTTTAAATAACTTCAAAATTAAAACAACCTATGATTTTGGACAAATATACTAGTTATTATTTTATTAACTAGTTATTAACTAAGGTTATTATTTTGGATGGATAAAGAGAAGGAGCCTTCGTTTTAAGTTTGTACAAAAATGAAAGGCAAGCATGTCTGGACTTGTCTGGGTACAACAATTAAGTTTTTGGCCGGAAGTCGATAGGAACTGAATCTGAGGGGTTTTCGCGGAGTTTCGGAGTCTCAAATAAAAAAACCTCTAGCAAAATGCTTTTATTATTCTTTGTTTAACTTGGAGGCCATAACAGCAACTCGTTGAACTTGGTAACATTTTCCATAGGCAAACGGCATTGATCGGACAATCTTACAGTCATATGCTAGCGTTTCTTCCTTATGAAAAAGAAGGAACAGTCGGTTTAAGTTTGTTTTAGAAAGGTTTGTGGAGACATGAAATGCAAACATGCCTAGACTTGCCTTATAAAAACAATATGCTTGGTCATTTGAGCAAAAGGGAATTCTTAACCTCTTCTACGTCAATAAACCTCGAGGTAACCTCTAGTGCTTGAAGAAGAATTAGACATGGCCGTTGACAAGAAAGTTGCGTTTCATAAAAGCGGTCCCACTTGCATTTTAGTGGCTGTTATATTATTGCTAGTTGCTGAAGCATTATTCCTACATTTAAAGATATACAAAACGGACAGTGTGCTGACAAAAAGAATAGATGAACTGGAAAGAAAGCAAGAGATAACTGAACGGAAATTTAAAGAATGCCAAAGCAAAGCTGGCGAACAAAAGCAAAAGGACCTGAGCTACTATTCACAACTTTTTAACAGAGAATTTAGGAAATTAGAAAGACTAAAACGAAGATCACGACGCCATATTGAACCAAACCTGGCTCTCATATTGCAATATCTAAAATTTGGACACAAAGATGGTGGGTATTGCGGCAATGTGACATTGGTATGCGAAAAGGGTGACAGAGGTGCAAGGGGAAAGCCAGGCCCGCGTGGCGCCAAAGGAGATGCAGGACAACGAGGGGATATCGGTCCTGTTGGTGTGATGGGTCCTCCAGGTCAAAAGGGGGACAGGGGGCCTAAGGGTGAGCCTGGGTTACCGGGTCGGTCGATTTCAAAGCCACGAATTGTGTCAAAGTTTCCAAATATAGTCTACAAAACAGTTGGTTCAAATTTTACGTTGTTATGTGAAGCCGACGGGAATCCTACACCAAAACTTGTCTGGAGCTTCGGGTCAAAAACGCAAGATTCAAGGTACAGTTTTCCAGCTCCAGGTGCCCTCGCTATTTCAGCAATACAGGAGAATGACAACGGTGTAATTAAGTGTGTTGCAGAGAATATTCTTGGAACAGATGCGGTTGAAACTGAACTGTCTGTCCTAACAAAGCCTAAGGTATTCATCAACTCCAAAAAAGCCACTGGAACAGCTGGGTTTCCTTTGGAAATCAACTGCAGTGCTACTGGTAATCCTATGCCAAAGCTTAGCTGGAGAAAGGCTCATGGTCTGACCAGTGGCAAAGAGGTTCTTGCTACTGATCAGAAAAGCATTTCCCTCAAGTTTACAAAAATTGTTTCTGATGATGCAGGGCACTATATTTGCGAAGCAGAAAATGACAATGGTTTAGCATCACAGTCAGTTTTTCTTGACGTTGAATTTTGGTCAGACTGTCTGTCATTGAGGAAAAGCGGGCAGTCGAAAAGTGGAATCTATATAATAAACCCAGACAACGGCATAGCTTTCTCTGTTTATTGTGACATGGAAAATGAGGGGGGTGGCTGGACGGTGATTCAGAGACGTGTTGATGGGTCAATAGATTTCTATCGAAACTGGGAAGAATATAAGACAGGCTTTGGGGATTTGAGAAGTGAATTTTGGCTTGGAAATGAGAAAATTCACCGCCTTACAAAGCAAAAGGATACGAAGATTCGGTTTGATCTTGAAGATGTGGATGGCAACAAAGCTTTTACAGAGTATAATACCTTTTATATTGATGGCGAAGATAAACAATTTACAGCACATGTAAGTTCTTACTCAGGAACGGCTGGCAATTCATTTTCAGATACAAATGGGCGTAAATTTTCAACCAAAGATAAAGATCACGACACGAATCCAGGTGGACGTTGTGCTGTGGAATATCATGGTGCGTGGTGGTACGATAACTGTCATTTATCCAATTTAAATGGAAGATATCTAAATGGTCCACATAAGTCGTTTGCCAATGGGGTAAATTGGCAAGCGTTCAAAGGTTATCACAACTCATTGAAAAGAACTGCCATGAAAATAAAGCCGCGGAATTAGCCAAGAACAAAATTTAACAGAAATGGCAGCTATGCTAGCAGTTGTAGAAAATAGTTAACAACTTATGTAACAGATAAAAGATTGTAAACGATGAGAAAAATGTAAAAGAGTTGTAGCTTATAGCATATGTTAGAAACATATAAATGCTTAAATGCCGCTTGGCCCTCCTTTATATTTGATTTCTTACAGCCAAGGGATACAAAAAGCGACCTGCGAACAAATAGCCTCTACCAGCTTGCTAGCATGAATGGATTAGCTTACGGGATCAATTCATAATCATTTAGAGGGGGTAGTTTGTGGAGCACCCTATCTGAGATAACAAAAATTGCCCAAAGCATAAATCAATTCAGAAATTTTGTTAAGAGCTGGAAGCGAGATTGTTACAGGCAGCCATTTACAGAGTATCATAACTTGTGTATGCCCCGCCATATGGGACAAAAGTCTATTATACAAAATATATGATGTCATAGTAAATATATCGTTTAAATCTATTATAAATCTGTTGTACAATTCATATCGACGTTATTTCCTCTAACTTAATGCGTGTCCACTTGACATTTATAAATTGTTGTCAGAAATTTCAGATATATAAGTTCTGAATTTGTTTGCAAATATATAAGGTCTGAATATGTTTGCAAATATAAGGTCTGAATTTGCTTGCAAATATGTAAGGTCTAAGCGCGAACAATGTGCGCAGTGACATTTCCCGCCAATTATGAGCACCAGAGGCAAAAGACTGGCCTAAGCAATACCAACGAATATTAATTATGTCGTTCGAAGTTGACTTTCAACAGTTTCTGGTTGATCTCCCTCGACAACTATCTCAGGCTCGACGACAAGCTTTCAGTAGTAATTTGAATATGCTCGAATTTTGGAATAGACGTTTGCAAGACTTTTTACATGTTTTAAGCGTTTTCATTAGGAGGTGTGAATGTGCGACAGAAACACCTGAAAGTTTGTGTGTATCTAAGAGAGCTTTTTGTAGAAATTTGTAATCTACACAATTTAGTTGAGAGTAACATCTTCACTGATGAATGCTACATACCAGAAATGACCGCACACTCTCTTAGGTGCCCTGAAGAGCACAATGAAGGTGCCTGTGGCAGACCTAGAAAATTATTAGAGAAGGAAGAAATTGCGAACCTGTTTGATATACACAATACATGGCATACAATAGCTCAACTATTGGGAACTTGTGACTTCCTTCACACGGAATTTACTTCTACCGTTGCCATTCTGGGAGCTTGCGCGACGACTTGCCCGAGAAGCTGGGCGAGTGTATGGGGTTGCGGGCACAGAACTAGGCCGTCTGATGCTAGTACTATAAGCATTGCGCCCAATATTTCTCCCACGGAAAATCTTTGGCGGCTGTCTAAAGAGTTTCCTCGTCGAAAAATTGAGGAAAATTATTCTTGCGCGTTATTAAATTGCTGCCGGTCATTCAATATGGGTCTCGTCGGAGCTGTTGGGCTGGAAGCTCCAGCACGAGCCGTTGCTACTTCAGCAGTGGAAGGCAAAGCCCTAAATAAATTATTTAAAGTTTTCTGAAAAGAAGGATGGGAAATAATATTCCCAACCAACTCGTCAATGTTCCTCGCAGCCATTTTGTGCAATGTAAAATGTGTAAACTGTAAAGCGAGACGGATTTGGCGGGAAATGTCACTGCGCACATTGTTCGCGCTTAGACCTTATATATTTGCAAACAAATTCAGACCTTATATATTTGCAAACAAATTCAGACCTTATATATTTGCAAAAGAAATTCAGACTTATATATCTGAAATTTCCGACAACAATTTATAAATGTCAAGTGGACACGCATTAAGTTAGAGGAAATAACGTCGATATGAATTGTACAACAGATTTATAATAGATTTAAACGATATATTTACAATGACATCCTATATTTTGTATAATAGACTTTTGTCCCATATGGCGGGGCATACTTGTGAATGTAATGTTCACATCTTTAGTATCCCGTATGTACATTAAGTCCCGTATGTAATCTGCCCATGTAATCTCGTACACACGTGATTTGTTATTCAGTTCTTATGTATGGAGTTCATATACAGTTGGTATCTTAGTAGTTATATAATCATGGACATATCTCTATGATCAGCTCCTAAAACATTATAGTAAACATCGTAATTATAGAACTTGAGAATAGGAAATTAAAATGGTCCCATTATTAAAGAAATGATGTTGAAAAATCACGAGATATATTAAGAGTTGCATATTAACATTTCCGTGTAGCCCACCTCCACAAACTATCCTGTAATTTGACAAACTGAGTTTAAGTTCCCAGTAATGCAAATTAGGAATGGCGGCTAAAAGCAAGGACACATAGACTATACATGGCCTCAGACGCAAGTTGAAAAGTGGGGGGCCAAGGGAGATTTTAACAATCAAAACAAAGAAGTGGAGGGGCCAGGGCGCCCTCGCCCCCTCCCCCTTCGTCGGATGTCCTGCTATACTGGTAAGCCCCAGTAAACAAGGCCGATTGAACGGATAGCTGAAACTTACAAGCAATGTCCCATGAATAAAAAAATGTCTTGTTCCAATTTCTAGGGTCTTGACCACGCAACACATCAAGTGATCTTGCCCCTTTACAGGTGTAGGTTTGGTAAACTATGCTAGCGTTTGTTAATTTTGATGTATGAAAAAAAGGAACAGTCGGTTTGAGTTTGTGTTAAAGGTTTGAAGAAAAATGAAATGCAAACATGCCTAGACTTATCTTATAAAAACAATAGGCTTGGTCATTTGAGCAGAAAGGAATTCTTAACCTCTTCTACGTCAATAAACCTCGAGGTAACCTCTAGTGCTTGAAGAAGAATTAGACATGGCCGTTGACAAGAAAGTTGCGTTTCATAAAAGCGGTCCCACTTGCATTTTAGTGGCTGTTATATTATTGCTAGTTGCTGAAGCATTATTCCTACATTTAAAGATATACAAAACGGACAGTGTGCTGACAAAAAGAATAGATGAACTGGAAAGAAAGCAAGAGATAACTGAACGGAAATTTAAAGAATGCCAAAGCAAAGCTGGCGAACAAAAGCAAAAGGACCTGAGCTACTATTCACAACTTTTTAACAGAGAATTTAGGAAATTAGAAAGACTAAAACGAAGATCACGACGCCATATTGAACCAAACCTGGCTCTCATATTGCAATATCTAAAATTTGGACACAAAGATGGTGGGTATTGCGGCAATGTGACATTGGTATGCGAAAAGGGTGACAGAGGTGCAAGGGGAAAGCCAGGCCCGCGTGGCGCCAAAGGAGATGCAGGACAACGAGGGGATATCGGTCCTGTTGGTGTGATGGGTCCTCCAGGTCAAAAGGGGGACAGGGGGCCTAAGGGTGAGCCTGGGTTACCGGGTCGGTCGATTTCAAAGCCACGAATTGTGTCAAAGTTTCCAAATATAGTCTACAAAACAGTTGGTTCAAATTTTACGTTGTTATGTGAAGCCGACGGGAATCCTACACCAAAACTTGTCTGGAGCTTCGGGTCAAAAACGCAAGATTCAAGGTACAGTTTTCCAGCTCCAGGTGCCCTCGCTATTTCAGCAATACAGGAGAATGACAACGGTGTAATTAAGTGTGTTGCAGAGAATATTCTTGGAACAGATGCGGTTGAAACTGAACTGTCTGTCCTAACAAAGCCTAAGGTATTCATCAACTCCAAAAAAGCCACTGGAACAGCTGGGTTTCCTTTGGAAATCAACTGCAGTGCTACTGGTAATCCTATGCCAAAGCTTAGCTGGAGAAAGGCTCATGGTCTGACCAGTGGCAAAGAGGTTCTTGCTACTGATCAGAAAAGCATTTCCCTCAAGTTTACAAAAATTGTTTCTGATGATGCAGGGCACTATATTTGCGAAGCAGAAAATAAAGTTGGCGTAACATCTGACTCTGTCCTTCTTGAAATACAAGAAAGAGATTGTTCATCGTGGAGGAAAAGCGGGCAATCAAAAAGTGGAATCTATATAATAAATCCAGACAACGGCATAGCTTTCTCTGTTTATTGTGACATGGAAAATGAGGGGGGTGGCTGGACGGTGATTCAGAGACGTGTTGATGGGTCAATAGATTTCTATCGAAACTGGGAAGAATATAAGACGGGCTTTGGGGATTTGAGAAGTGAATTTTGGCTTGGAAATGAGAAAATTCACCGCCTTACAAAGCAAAAGGATACGAAGATTCGGTTTGATCTTGAAGATGTGGATGGCAACAAAGCTTTTGCAGAGTATAATACCTTTTATATTGATGGCGAAGATAAACAATTTACAGCACATGTAGGTTCTTACTCAGGAACGGCTGGCGAATCATTTTCAAATACAAATGGGCGTAAATTTTCAACCAAAGATAAAGATCACGACACATATCCAGATGGAAGTTGTGCTGTGGAATATCATGGTGCGTGGTGGTATGGAAAATGTCATTCATCCAATTTAAATGGAAGATATCTAAATGGTCCACATAAGTCGTATGCCAATGGGGTAAATTGGCAAGCGTTCAAAGGTTATCACAACTCATTGAAAAGAACTGTCATGAAAATAAAGCTACGGAATTAGCCAAGAACAAAATTTAACAGAAATGGCAGCTATGCTAGCAGTTGTAGAAAATAGTTAACAACTTATGTAACAGATAAAAGATTGTAAACGATGAGAAAAATGTAAAAGAGTAGCTTATAGCATATGTTAGAAACATATAAATGCTTAAATGCCGCTTGGCCCTCCTTTATATTTGATTTCTTACAGCCAAGGGATACAAAAAGCGACTTGCGAACAAATAGCCTCTACCAGCTTGCTAGCATGAATGGATTAGCTTATGGGATCAATTCATAATCATTTAGAGGGGGTAGTTTGTGGAGCACCCTATCTGAGATAACAAAAATTACGCAAAGTAAACAGCATTTCAGAAATATGGTTAAAGACAGGAAGGGAGATTGTTACAGGCAAGCCATTTGCAGTATCATAACTTGTGTACATTGTAATTATAGCACTTGAGAATAGGAATGAAAATGATCCTATATTATACAAACAATGTTAAAAAATTACGAGATATATTAACAGTTGTAGCCTATAAATGAAACCTCTCTAGCCATGAACTGTAGCATTAGTGTAACCCACTTCCACAAAAATCCTGTAATTTGACAAATTTAGACTACAGGTTACGAATTGCAGCTACAATAACGGACAGGTAGAATATAAGTTTACACTTCTTTCCTGCATGCCTACTATAACCTGGTAGCCAATGACCGTTGTATGACCACGCATGAATGAACCACAGATCACGCGTAGAAGAGGCATGGTACGATCCCAGCCCTATCCAACAAATTTAAAAACGGCCTAGGTTGATTGGAACTTTTTTACACAAAGTTAGAAAATAACCTTGACCCCTGAACAAAAAAATATGTGACAATGTGAGAATTCCTTGTCAATAACAAAAAACACTACTGGTGGTGGGGCAGCCCCAATAAATTAGATTCATTGAACAGCTTGCTAAAATTGACAGACATTGCCCCATGAAAGAAAGAACATCTTGAATAAATTGCTCTTTCTCTTGGGGTTTCACCCCTGCCCATGCTGGGGTCAAGGGATCTTGTCCCTATCTGGGTAAGCTATGGTAAGCTAACAACTAATGGAGAGTGCAAAACAGCTTATCTGATGATAATAAATAATTAAGAAGAAAAATATGCCTCACCTGGTCTGTATCCTTCAACGTTTCTTCCAAAGCATCAAACATCACTCTGCAGAGCTCTTGCACGTCATGCTGTTGCCATGCTACAACAGTGAAGACTCGATACATCTCCTTCTTTATAGTTGAATTTTACTGATTGGGCCTAAGTTGCTCAATACTGAACAATATTTCCATTAGACAAGGGAGAAAATATACTTAATATATGCATTGTAAAATAAAAACAAGGGTTGCTCCAAATACTTTTAGAGATACTTTTATATTTTTCTTTTACAAATGCTCAGTTAGAGTACTTTCAAAATAGCATTTAACTTTTGTAATTCTTTTAATGCTCCCTGAAACCAAGTTTATGAGAGTGTAGTATCTGAATATTTTTCAAAATAAAAAGAAGCATAGTTACAATCTAAAAATTAAATTTATTTGAAAATTTCTACCTATAGAAAAGAAGAGTAACAAAGTAATACAAAAACAAAATATACATCTATGCCTTTTTGTTACCTTCGCTGCTATCCCACCCAAAACTTTTTGTTAAATCAGTCGTCTCTACTGCTCTTTTTTTGCTTGTCTTTAAAATTTAAAAGAACACATTAATTATATCAGAAAATTTCATCATAAAAAGAAAACAATTAACACTTTGCTAAGCAAAGGTCAGTCCATACAACAATCACCATAAGCACCATCACCGTCATTTTAATTCATTGATTAAAATTTTCTATGTAAAGGTGAAACATCAAAAATTAAAATGTTTCTACAACTTTCATATTTACTGTCAATATTTCTATATCTTAATTAATATATCTTAATATTTTACAACATATTTTCTTTGAGGTTTTCAGCAGCTGCCTCCAAAAACCAAAATACAATGATCACTACTCACTTGGAGTTTTAAGAAAAGCCTCTGAAGTTGGTATGGGATACTTTTTGATGCCTCTGCTGCAGTTCCTGCGAACTTCCATCTGTAGAAGCAATGGTAGAAGGGTGTTTGATGTTAGAAAAGAAGCAACTTTAAATAAATTCTCATTATGAGTCCCAATACAAACTAAGATAACTCTTTGCAACCCAAAACCCTAGCCCTTTTAGAAAATGTGGTTGGTACATGCAAACTCTGTGCTCTTACTTGAAGTACCAGTGGCCATTCATCAACAACTAAACAAGGTTATTAGTCTTCTATACAAAAAGGTGAATAAAATAGCAATGACATGAAATTAGCTATTTGTTTTTAAACTTGTTTACCTGTCATTCTCTTGCTTATAAGATTATTTATTTCTCAAAAAGGCAGATTTCAATTTAACCATATTCAACATAGAAATTATATTGATCTAGACATAGAAATATTTTGCATTTGGGATATACAGGCCTTTGACAAAGAGTGAAATTTGTGCTGCTAAGGAAACAACTAATTTAACAAAACCTGATATGGAACTCATGTAATTTCTTAACCTTCTGGAAAGTTACTTTTCAAATGTGTTGTGTATTAAAGTAATGACTTCTAAATTAAGCAAAAGAAATGTTGCCTTACTCAACATCATCAAACAGAAAATTAATTATATAGTTGATAAACTAAGGCATCTTTGCAGAAACACTTCCAGATTCTCCTAGCAGTTACTTTGGGTCAAGTAATTATATCACCCATCTCAAACAGCCAGGCTTGCTTTGGATGAAAAATGGAATGGTCTTTTTGTCAATATTTCAACAGGCACTTACAAATTCACAAGAAATTTCATACATGGCATGCAGGCATTATAGAACAGCGAAAATGGAATGAAATGGAAAAGCACAACAGAGCAAAGTGAGAAATTCTATTTGTTTGCTTATCTAATGTTTTGAGACCTTTGGTAGTTACAAAACTGGTAGAGAGGAGCATCCACTCACCTATAAAGTGCATTTCTAAACTCTGGTGTCATAAAAAGTGTCTGCAAGAGGCTATTCAAGTAACATGTCATAGCTTGATTGATCAATCCAACAAAACCTAGAAAATAAAACCATTGGTTTAGTCGTGCAGAGTTTGATTGGGAATCTATAAATCTTGATCATTAGCATTTCATTGTCTTTCTTATCTTAACAAACCAGCTTTTTGCAGTCTTAACAGGTAAATGTTACAGGAGACCACACCTTAATGCCTGCTTGGAGATAAAATATGCTGTAATGAGTTCAATAAATATGGTGTCAAAAGAGTGGGAAAAAATTTACAGTCTGGAAACACTTCTTTTGTGTTCTTTTGAATGTGATAGGACTGTGAAGTCAAACACTTGAGATGGAAATGTATTTGTGTCTCTGTGCCATCACTATATCAGTCATGAGTGAAGACACCAATAAAAAATAATGATAACTTCTTTGTAACAACAAAACGCAAACTGAGGGAGTCACTTTTGCTCTGATAAAGCCCCGTCTCCTGGGGCAAATTATTAGTTACTATTAATTTGCTTGTGTCAATAGTTGTTTGTACTTGATGTGTTAGTTTTTCTTATTATCTACATTTTTATTGACTTTTCAACCATAAGAATTCCATTGGAGTGCATCAAGCAGCCTGCTACCACTGCCATTCCTTGATTTACATAAGGGAGTCATTGTTATCTGTATCAAACAACAGTTTAATTTTACTGGTCTGGCCTACTTTCCCATCAAAATTAGGCTCTATGTGAAATTAAAAAGTTCAACACCCCTTATAATAATCAGGGGCAAAACTTCACTATTTTCATTAGGGGGGTATGAAGCTTAGTTGCCCGACGAAAGGGCGTGGCATGCTTGATGAAAGGGCGTGTCCTACATGAACTTCATTTTTAGAGCACATCGCCTCAAGGGCTGAAATCATCGGGAAGCCCGAGAGAGGGTCTTTAGACTTAGGCTGTTTGTTTTAAGTCAAAAAATATGCCTCTAGTTTTTCTGGTGTTGGCTATAAACATTTGTTTCCGAAAAGCAAGCATTTGTAAGGCCTGTCTTTTCTATAAAAGAAAAAAGTCTTCACTTTCTAAATCACCTAGCTTTTAACAGAGCAATTCAAAAAAGAGATTGAAGTAGGGTCTCAATTTTATCAAAGTGGAACACCAAAACACAGCTTTGGAATTTCGGAATTTAGAAACAGCTACGCAGATTACAATGTTTCAACAAAAAAGAGCTTCAGTTGCATTCTCTGAGTTTCATTTTCAATTTTCGGTTGCTCCGGAAGCAATTTCAATATTTTTAGACACCCAAGCACGAAGTACGTATATCCAAATTCACCATAACAAAATCCCTCAAGCAAAGAAAAGTTTTTTATTGGAGGTATTTAACAGGTATACCTATCATCAAAGCTCAGTTTTCATGTTTTCGTAATCATGGATATTGTTCAGAAATAGAATAAACTCGAAAGATTTTTGCATTTCATATCTTAACTACAATTTCTTGATAAATTTTATATCATTTCCCGCTTGAACTGATTAAAACTTCCTGTTACTTGTTATGGTTATTCAAATTTTTTAGTTAAAAAACTTTGGCGTCTGTATGACCATTTTCTAGCGAAGGGTGCAATACTTTCGACCCGTAAGTGTAAAACCTTTAGAGAATTTTGGGGCATAACTCCTTATGGATATGTATTGTTGTGAAGGAGCAGCACGCGGTTAATCCTTCACTCTTTCCTAGACCTCGAAGTTGCATTAGTCATTTGTTCACGCCACGTTGTAATGAAAAGGTGTTCACGTTGGATCTTGTTTATTGTAAATAGTTTTATTATGTTCCTGTTGATGTTATGAAATGTTTAAAAACCCAAATGATGTCTTCTTCAAATGTCCTGACCTAAATCTCTAAAACATGTATGATTTCATGAATGAAAGTTTCATACATTTGGAAAAGAAAATATTGATTGATTTTCTCAATAACGTATTCCGAGATGGTATATCCTCCATGCTTTGATTCATGATGCTTCTAAAACTGTCAGTGTTCTATGGGCTCCGAGGCAGGATGGAACGTTGGGGGGGGGGGCTTTTCAAGGGAAAATTTAGAAATCACAACAAAAGATTTTGAAAAAAGCTCACTTGTTTTGCAAAAAGTAGGGGGGATGGGTATGCACAGTATTCATTTCCTTCTCGCATCAAACACACTTTACTTTCCGTCTATACTTTTGCTGTCGATCAATACTTCAGACTTCATCTCAAGGCGAAGATAAACATGTGCGCGTTGAGCTCCAGACGAAAGCGCTGATCGGTGGAGGACGAAAGACAGAAATGTATATATGTTGCTGTTCCTTGCCTCGTTTCTGTTTTGTTTTCCCAACTGGGAGGAGATTGAAAAAGAGATGGGGGAAAAGACCATGAATTAAAAAACCAACCTAGGGCAAAAAGTAGCAATAACAGTGCAACCTAAAGAAAATTTCCAGATTTGCCCGACAGATACGCTGGCAGCCATAAATTTGCCCGACAAAATCTGCTTTTTTGAAGATTGGGGGGGTGCAGCACCCCCCCCCATACCCCCCAGTAGTTTCGCCCCTGATAATAATGGCACTGATATCAAGCAAATCAAAACCTGGAGGAACAGTACCTTTTTGGAAAATTTCTTTAAAAAATTTTAAACCTCACCTGATTCAGACTTTGCAACAGTTGGGATAGTGAAACTTGTCTCAGTCTTAAACAGGCTACTGACTCCTGCATATGTATTTCCTTCAGAAGATTCCTCTGAGTCCTGAAATCATATGATTTGGTGTATTGATTCAGGCACACATCAAGGTTCTCAAGTAATAACCAATTAAAAAATTCCTGACAGGAAGAGGTGAAAGAATCATGACAGGAGCAGAATTAAAATGATGGGTAACAAATCAAACAAACACTAGACTTTTGTGCGAAAAATATAGCAGGCCTGCTAACCACCACATGTGTGGTGGCGTGTGACATTTTTTGCAAAAATTCATGAAAGATCTACGCAGAAATTTCCAACAGGAAAATCATGACAGCAATTGTCTCGATGAAATTTACTTGGCTGAATTCTCAGCATCTCTACTTACTTTTTAACAAAAATGTGTTATTTCTGAAGACTGGAGCAATTTTCTAAACAAGTATAAACTGAGCTAATTCAATATATCATCAAAAACATGGTATTTCAAGTACAGAAAAATGTTTTTCATGTCATATTAAGCAGTTTTCATCAACTTAAAAAATGACTCATTAGCAGATTCATTAATGCTTTGGCGCTCATCTGGTTGTAATGGTTGTTTTTGCGTGTAAACCCGTGCCTGCAAGGGCCCTCTGTTAACAAGCATGACAGCTATTTTATGTACTGCACTAGCCAGATGTTGTATGTACTACTTTCGCTAAATTATCGATCGCAAATGAAATCTTGTTCACAACACTTAATGTTCCTCTTAAATTCGAGGACACAAATGTCTGTTGTAGTCTTTTTGTGTTTAGATTTGTTCACTGAAATGTCTATGCTTTGAAAAAGTGTTTGCCAATGCATGTTTGTTAATGTGTGTTTTGCCGATGACAATAATGATACACTGGGAATAAGTAGACCAAAATAGCAATAAACATTTTTAGAAAAGTTTGTAATTTCGAGGAAAATTATGATCAAGGGACCCACAATTAGATTTGTAATGATGAGAATTTGTTATATATGGGATTTGTTATTCCTAGGTAATTTGTTATACCTAGGTAATTTGTTATACCTAGGTAATTTGAACAGAGTTAGGCAGAATTCAAGGGGCCAGAAATTTTTTATTAAACCGAAAAATTAGTTATAATCCTATTTATTGGGATTCCATTGTAGATTAGTCCTATGATTATTTCAAAACTTTTCATTTATTCCGCAATCCCAACAAGGTGTCAAGACTTTTTAAAGTGGCATGTTAAGTAAAAGTACCAAGTAAGGATTAACATTTTAACTTTTCTCAAAAACCCACTAAACCAATAATTATGAAAAATCAAGAGTATATGAAGATACAAAGAATTTAGTAATAATATTGAGAACACAATGTATTCATGGTTTAATGGGATCTTGACTTTTTTGTAAACATCAATTTTGTAAAGCCAAAATCTAAAAGAATAAATATGTAGTTTATAAATGATAATAATTTAAATGCATATATATATATATATAGCTATTTGTTACCGTTGGATGCTGTATCCTATTAACTGGATTTTTGCCATTCTTTCTTTTTATCAAAAAATTACTTCTTTTCCCTTTTGATTTTCCAACAACTTCTGCCAAAGTAGTGCAACTTTCGTTTTCAAGGATGACTTCTTCAAAACTCTTTCCATCTGAGGTAGGTTTCAAAAACACCAAAGAAAATGACTGTACGACATAGCCAACTGTCTCTGCAATAAATTCATAGAATTTCATCACTGAGGTATCACCGCATAGATTTTGAACTATTTCTCTGCAATTTCCATCTGCATTTGTTTCATCTTTAACAACGCAGACAATCTTCAGTTTACTTTCATTTGTTCGCTTTTCAAGTGGGACTAAGCTTGACATCAAAACGTTTTCTTCCTTAAGGTCCTTTTTGCCGGGAGCCATTATTTGTAAAAAGATCAGATAATTGTGTTCATCGTCCTTTCGTTTTCATAGCATCTTCAAATAGCTTGCCAACTCAATTTATCGTTTAAGGAGGACCGAAGTTGTGGACAGAGAACCTCTTTGCTGAAGTTGGGTCAGGCACAAAATTGGTTACCTGAAGTACTTAACAGCCTAATCGATAACGAGGCTACGGTTGTATAAATTCATCAAAGAAAATTCCATTAGAACATTTAGAGAAAATTCCATTCTAAAATTATTTCGCTAAGTTCATGTTCTGCCCAAGAACGTGGCAGGGCAAGCTTGACTCCCCCTACCCCCCAATGACTTAAGTTGGCTTTTTGTTGATATTGATACCAAACCTCTCTCAAATTCTCTAATAACATCTAATAACTTCATAGATTACTTATTAAATAAATCGAAATAAATCGATACACAGACGTAGGAGGCATATTAGTGCGTTTTAGTCTCATAATGCTGTCAACTCGAGCCCAGTAATGTGATTTTGCTGCCCCTTCCAAGTCCGCTTGTCAATTTAACTAGAATATAATTCTTCAAGACTTTCTGTGCACCATTCAAGATCTGAATTATTTGTACAGCAAAGACAGAATTATTTATTGTGCACCAAGCTGTGCACCAACAAATTATGCCACGCTTATCTTTCCGTACTGGCTGAAAGGTGAATGGACACGTGTCTTCCGGTCCCTACTTTGTCTATGACAGGGTAATTAAAGGGTTACATGCTCAAAAATGTCTTAAGAAATGATCTTGTGGCTTTGTGTGGGTGAAATAAAGTGAATAGATCCCCTTCCCAGAGTGGTTTCATCATAGTAAGTTGTTTTTGCCATTTTCTGGGTTCATTTTCTGGTAGAGAAAAATCAGTCTGATAAATCAAATCATTCTAGATCTAGGAGACATTGCTACTGCATTCCTCCAGATCTATGTCGATTTTAAAAAAATTAGGGCTTAATTTTATGAGTAGAATATATCAACAAAACACTCCAGGGTTAATTATCTAAAAGTATCAATCTCATTAAAAATTTCAAACTAATTATTATAAAATTATATACATTTTTACTAAAAATACAGATACATGTAAATACTTTCATGTATATTTGAGAAAATGAAATTGGAAAAAAATTCAAAGATAGAAATGGAGAAAAGACTTTAACCTTAGATATTTGCGGCATTTCCAACGTTTTGACGCAAGATGTATTTGATGTAGTTACAAATATTGGGTTTCATGTTAAACAAATTGAATAAACAAGGCAAGAAAAAATTAACAAGGTCAAAATATTGTTGCAATAATAAACGATTAACTGAAATATTCAACTGAATATATGTATGAAAATTATATTTCTTTGATAAAATTTGGAAAAATAGCTGTTTCACGTATCATGGTAAATTCAGAAAAGGAATTACGAAGAAAAGTATTTCGCTAGTCAAACGAACCTAGTAACACAGGGTGGAAATAAATTGATGACCTTGCGAGGAAATTTACCGCAGCAGAATTAATTGGAGGATGCATCATCTAAAATTTCTTAAAAATTACTAAAAATATACGATAGAAACAAAAATTCGTCGATAAAAGCAAAACTACTTTGTTTTAAAATGAATGGACTGTTAGCTAATAAAATAAAATAAAAACAAAACAGAACATTTAAGCGTCAGAATAAAACCGAATTTTAATAGTGACTACACATACCATACACTGAAAGGTTCTCCTAGGCTTTTGCATACGAGCAAATTATAAAGCGCAAAATAATCTTGAAAAATTAATAGCCACTTATGTCCTGTTTCATCCAGCTCATTTCACAATACCAAGAAACCCGAATATAAAAAGCGGAATCACGCCTGCAAAACTACACTATTACTGAAACGCAGCAATTGACAACATTGTGTAGCAGGCGATCACGGCTAGGGAATCGTTTGGCAGTCTGAGTTTCAGCGAGGCCATCAAAATATCTATATTATCTTGATCCAAGCTTGCCGTCACAAATCGTAAGGCGAATTCCTAAAAAAAGCCAAAAACAGGTGAAGTTAAATATGAAATATCCTTACGAACATGTTTCTGTAATTTTAAACCATATCAGATCGATAGAATTTTGTGTAATGTCGCTTTATATCGTCAAAATGAAAATGGCAAAAACAATGGCAAAAAGACAATGGCAAAAACAGAAGTTCAGAACACTTCTTGAGCAGTTCAGAACGAAAGGCCATTCAATTACACGAGCAGTTTAATTACATGTAATGGTGTTGTCTCGTAAACACTTGGCAAACAATTTTCACGTTATTGAAATATGTTTCAATCAAAAGTTACAGAAAAACGAATGAAAACATCTTCCTACTCATTCAACGCTATTATCAATTGACAATATCTGATCAAGTTGAATAAGGTTTTCTAAATCTGCCCACAAAAACATGACACATTATACGGTCTCAAAGCTAAACATCTCTTCAATGAATTATGTCTAAACACTCCCAATATTAGGCTCTTGGTATATTTTAATCTTATTGCAGCTGTTAAAAAAAGTGCAATTTGCGGATTGCTTAACTGAAATTAACTTAAATCTGAACTTAAAACTGTACTAAACTTAGTAGAACGATTAGGAATTGAGTCATACTGAACTTACCATGAAAGCATAGCACAAGAAATTTTCTTTATTACATTATCATGCTTAAACTCATGCTGCGGTTCACTTTCTGACCGACTATTCTTGAGCTCCGCGTCGTCGATAAATTTGATGAAACGTGGTCATTACTTGGTTTTGTAACCGCATTCCTGGCCTGCTGAAGCTCCCTATGAAATATGAGAAAATAATAATTTCTCAAACTTAAGGTTATGTACCTTATAGTTCAAAACGTGACGAAAATTGAGATAGCAAAACGTTAAAAAAACTATTTCTTACCTTGATAGGATCTCGTTTTTAAACTTTTCAGCGTTCAATTCTTTGCGCAGTTGGGCCTAGAAATAAAGACAGAAACATAAGTGCAAAACATAGCAGAGGCAATAATTTGATGGTAGAAATTTGGCGCTGAAGGATGGATATGCTGAATGTTGCAACTATCAAGACACTGTGACTTTAAACTAATACAACTTATATTCATATTTCTAGTTGTATACCACTTCGGTGAAATTCACTCATGAAACAAGCCTATGTCACGAGCTTTTTCCCATCAGCCAAAATTTTTCGAAGCCATAAAGAAGACATTCATTCTGCTAAGTCATCTCCCCCCTGACCGAAGTTTACAACCATATACCTTTGATTTGAGAGCGTTGGGACATAACGTCGGATGTGAAAGAAGAGAGGCTGCCGAAGGTCGACTGCTCGGGTCTTTGTTTATCATAACCTGTTGGCAAAGACACGAGAAGAAATAAGGAGGATGGAAAATATCCAACATTAATGTAGGGGTGAAAATAGTCCACGATGGAAAAAGGAAAAGGTATTCAAGTAAGGAAAACCAAATAAAGATCTAGTGATTGCAGATGAAAACCATGTTCAGTGCTTTACTCCTAAAATAGTGCATATGGTAATATTGCGTTACCACTAGATGTTCCTTTGTGCAGACTTAAGGTTCTGGGCGGAGCAACTCAGTGGAACGATCTGCTGTGGAAAGTTAGGAGTGCAAAGAACATTTGTACAGTCCTAAGAATACTGTATTTATAGCAATGTATTATTTGTTTTTTAATGATATGTCTTTGTAACTAGCATTAAAACATTAAATTTTTTACCCTAGCATGGATAAAGCTTTGAAAAATTGCGAAAAATGGTAAGGTTGATAAATAATCAATTGTATCTCTATAAAGGAGAAAAAGTAGATTATGAAAAGAGAAAGAAAATTGTAATTCAACAAAGGAAAACAATAAAATACAACTTCTAACCTTTATTAATTCGTTTAAATTCAAAGAACAGTTTGGCAAAGTTAGCAGATTTCCATTCCTAGCGAAAAAGGTAAAAGTTAGTTTTAATTGTAGAGTAGTTATTGCATTAAAGGGAATAGCAGAGTTAAATTTTGGTCTGCTAAAAATTACTCTAGATTCTATCAAAATGTATAGGAACAGTTGTATTTTGATTGGCCCTCTTCCTAGAGACATGGCAATTGTCATCTTAAAATTGAAGCTTGAGCAATGTAGGTCTGTCATGTTCTACTACTCAATAAATCATATTTTCTATTCTTAAGTAATGAAGTGTATTTATCTAACCATAATAAAATAAACCACAAACATGTTCTTACACATAAACATCAATTTGCAAGTTAAGATAATTGAGATAATTGTTTTACCTTATTTCATGCCACCAAGGACCATTTTTTGGCAAATCAGGTCCACCTGCCTGATAAGTTGACATGATAACAAATTAGAACATTATCAAAAAAAATTGTTAAGATTGATAAGCAAATCTCAATTCATAACCAAATTCAGATAGAATTCAAGGTTGATTCAAAACCAATCATATTTACACAACTTATATATATAAGGGTTTTGTAAAGTATTGCAAAAATCCATATAACTTTTCTCTGCAAAATAAAATAATAAATTATTGCTGATTTTAGATTAACAGCCAAATGGTTTCTTAAAAAGAAGAAAGTTCACATGTCCAAAATACTTACAGCAAGGTACACAGTCAGTCCAAGTGCAAAAATATCTGCTTTGGGAAGACTTGTATAGTTCTAAAAAAAATAAATGTATGTTCTGAATTGCAAATTTCCAAAGCAGCCATTTGTAGTAATATCAGTGCACATGAGATTTTGAAATTCTAAAAAAATGCCTGAATTATATTCACATAAAGCATTGGTGAATATCTCATCTGTTGGTTTAGAATTTGCTAGGAGTAAAGAAGATAGGAAATACCTTTGGACATTTTCTAAGCCTAACAGACCAGGAAACTTTTCTATAGATCAGATATGTTTCCTTAAATCTAGAGAGTTAGATAAAACAAGATATCTATAAGCTACAGATTTGATACAAATGAAGTGAAGATCTCCAAGCAGATAAATTCAGACCATTCTCCGAGGCCCAAGGCTATAGCCTGCGCCCGCACAAACCCCATGCAAAATAAATTTGTGAGGGGTTTTTTCTGCCTGCGCAGTTTTTCAAACCAAGGTCCTCATTTAATGCATGCAGTTTAGTTTTCCAATGTTTGTACTACTTACCGTTCATTATCAGGGGGTTAGTAAATAAAGAGAATCAAATGGCGTTATAAATAGGAGATTGCTGTTTCCTTACATAGCACATGTTAACAAACTATTGTATTATCTTCTAAAACTTGCAATGGAATAGGAAATATGTTGTTTTCGCATGAAATGAACAACATATAGCCAGCATGATTGATGCAACAAATAATGAAAGTGAGAAACGTTACACCATGCTGTCAAAAACGAAACAATTTCTTTTCAAGTCACAACATATAATCTAAGCTTTCCCAAAAACACCACATTTGACTGGAAAAACCTAACAGAACTTTGCTATATTCCAAAAAAGTTATATTCCTCTTTTTTCTTGTTTTAAGGAGTGGTATTACAAAATTTAAAGGTAGTACTATGCACAAAAATGCCTAAGGTGAATAGTGTTTAAGAATTTGCAAAGATAATGTATTTTTGCCTTTGTAAACACTAAATATAAAAAAATTAACAACAATTCTGCAAGGGCTAAATAGCCCACGAAGCCAAACTGGCAAGGGTTGTTTACATCCCACATTGCTTTTTTTTCCGAGAGGCCTGTAAATTTATATATTTGTTAAATTTCATACAAATTTGGCAATGACCGGAGATGAATGAAGTTTTCCCATAAACAAAGATTGAAAAAAACAGTAAACAAACACTTAATAGGCAGTGTTCTTTGAAGCAGGAATGTGTTAAACAATGTTAATATGTTACGGTTTGGAGAAGTAAAATTTGTGTTTAAAATCTATTTGTTTTCATGAAAACAATAAACTCACATCTTGAAGAATTTCATTGGGTAAAAACCTGCAGTCACCTTCTTCTACTTGAGGGTTGGATACTGCTGATGTCACATGTCCTAAGTCACCTAAGAAATTTTAAAAGAAACAAAGATTCAAGGAAAATGAACAAAGGAGTCCATTATATATAAATAATGTTAGCATGGTGGGAATGATTGCAAGTCTATGATTGCAAGGTATATTCAGTTGGTGTCTGTGAGAAAGAAACTCAGCGAAGAAGAGCACAATGAAGAAAAAGGACATATTATAAAATAAACCTATTCCAAATCTTTTCAGTTTGTGTTGCAACCATTACAAAATTTTGTATCTTGGTAGAATTTTGAGAAATCGATGATTTCATTTGCCAAAAGCTCATACTTTGGCACACTCCAGTAGATGAGAGGTTTTAAATAATAACTCTAAGAAGGAAAGATACTTTAGCTAAATAATAGCATCAACAAACCAATTTTGTAAATGACATTTTGAGAATTCTTGTTACTGAAACTAGAATCGACAGGGTCTGTTTCAAGAGGGCTGAGACAGTCCATATCCTCATCTTCATAGCCATCATCACTACTCAGCTCTTCAGTGTTACAAACTTTGTGAATGAATATGTTGCCTTTGAAAAAAGCAAGATAGAATAAGAAGCGCTATTAGATTGTAGAATAGATTTATGAAGCTGTAAAGTTTATTCAAAGTACTGATATCACTTGTAAAACCTTTTTCTTATGCAAGTTTTCTTGTTCTAGTAATCAATTCTTATGCTAATTCCATTATCACCAGAACAATCTCCATTAATTGGGGATAGAAATGTAGTTCTTATCTGACACTGAATGGAGCATAATATTGAGGAAAATATCACACAAATTGTGTTGTAATTTATATTCATATGAACAGAAACAAATCATACATATTTGTTGATGTTATAAACTGGAGCTGGCATGGTTAAGTATACCAGTCACATGATATGAAAGTGTAAAACTAACTTGGTTTTATGTCCATATGCACCAAATTTTTTGCATGGATATATTTCAACCCCTGTTAAAGTAAAATGATTCACGTTTTATTAATTTATCATAAAAGAGGAGAAAAGTTTCTCTCTCTATAAAGTACACCATCACAAGAGTCAAATAAGGTCAGTTTTTTCAAAAGGTCCTTTTCTTTCTAGTGACATCTTTACAACACCGGGAAAAGTGCAGCTTTTTTGGTGGGGCCTTTCTCAAGCAGCCTCTCCCCAAAGTTTGTTTCTCTTTGTGGATGGCTTCTGTCCAAGAAAATACAGTTTATTGCTGGTTCCTTTCAACTTGACAAAATAAATGTTCAAAATAAGATTCATCTAGCTATCATACCCTAAACTTGGTTAATAAATTCCCAATGTAACTTTTGCCCCATGAAAAGGTGCATTAAAAAAGTTCAGGGCATTATGCAGAATGAGGCATACAATTTTCAATTGCAAATTTGATGTAACAAAATTATGATACTAACTTACCCTTGCAAGTTGAAGTAGCAGTTGTTTTAATTCTTGTTCTGACATCACAGTATGATTAATCTTATTTTTCAAAATTATTTCAGCCAAAGATCCACCTATAAAAAATGAGCAATTATATGGTTTTTTCACAGCATTTAAAAAGTAAATCCTTTCCAAAAAAAATACAAGCCACTAGAAACAACAGTGAACTTGATCACCATTATTTATTTTTCTCAGTCCTACAGGAGGGGAATGCGATAAAAATGTCCTTATGCATTATTTGTTATGAGGTCATCATACAAATGTTCTCAAAAACTTTGCTAGCAGCTTCGAAAGTTTCTGAAAATCAGTTAATGATAATCTCCCATCTTCCTCAGAGTCAATGGATATCCCCTTGGATCAATGGATATCCCCTTGGACATCTTCTAAACAAATTTGGACTGACTTTTTAGGTGCACAAGTAAATATTTACATGGACCGTATTTAATGAACAAAATCTTACCATCAATTACACCCGTCAAGAGACCCACTCACAGCAAATGTTTTCTTTGTTTGACATCAGGGGCTTAAAAGGGGAGGGCTTAATAGATAGGGGGGCCTATTTCAAATTTTTGCTTGATAAGGGCAGACTTAATAGAAAGGAGGCTTAATAGTATGCACCTAAGCAATCATAAATAGATAGACTCCGCCCCCCCCCCCCCCCCTAAATATCAATGATTGAATTTAAGAAAGACTTTGGCTAACTAATTACCATTGCAGTATTCATTTTGGATCAGCATGTGACTATTTTCAGCCCAGGCAGAGAAGTAGCGTACAACATGAGGATGGTGACCCAAAACAGCATGTGCATAAACCTCATTCAATGCCATTTGCCTATTAAACAAAGAAAACAAGATGCATAGTAATATTCTAATGAACTGAAAAGTGTAATCAGTCTTTTAATTTGTGAGTGATTACTTTCATTTGAGAGAATTATATGCCCTTGCATAAATGGTTGTCACCTACGAGGGACACAACACAGAAATAATTTTCTATCAAATTGAGATCAGCTTTAATTTGCTACTTATAAACAATTATTGCTAAAATATTTTGGTTATGTTGCATCATTTCTGCATGACTGACATTTGTTTTAATCTTGAATATTTTTTCAAACTGAGGATAATCAAACATAAGTAAAAACTTAGGGCCAGAGAATGTGGGCGAGAACCATACCTAGATATTTTCTTTAAAATCTCTTACCACCAAAAATAACAAATACACCTTGGTTCCATAAGAAATAGAAATTTGCAATGTCTATTCAGTTATACTTACTCATCAACTGATCCAGCAATAGGTTTCTTTGACTTTTTGAGTGCATAAATACACCCATCTAAGAAAAAAAGTCTAGTCTTTACTTAATTATTGAAAAAGAACCTAAATACATACATTCAATAAAGAAAAGCTTCATTATGATAGGTGGTCTACAAGAACTTCTTATTGTGTCTGAATTAAATCTGATAACAGGGTAATTTTAGTTGCCCTTATAGCAAAGGTTATCAAGCCTTGATTTGTACTTCAAAGCCCTAATTTGTAATCAACAGATCTGTATTTAAAAGAGGCTTTAGTGATCTGTCAATCATAATTGGCCAATCAGTAAGCATGATACCACCCAGGCACTTCTTGATAGGCCAATAATAGATTACTGACAGATTACTTAAACCACTTTAGCATTCACTGATTGCCATTAAACTTTGACTTTATACCGGTGGTATTAATAAACATATATTTCTGAAATCAATTTATATGAATAAACTAAGTGTACAGAATTCAGGGCATGATAAATTATATTTCAAATAAAACAAACCTAATCGATTCAAGCATTTGAAAACTGAGCCATACTGTCCAGTGCCAATTTTTTCCAATTCAACAAACTCTGCTTCATATCTTGATATGTTAGTGTCTTTCAATGCCAATTTCTGTGGAAATGCATACAAATCTTATTAGAAAATTGATCGCTCTCAGAACCAACTATGCTTTTTGAAGTTCAATTTGTCATAATTAGATAGTGTTACTTCGCTTCCTTGAGGGAAGTACATGTTTAAAGCCCAGTCTGCATTTGAGACCTATTTTGTGCCAGATCTGCCCAGGGGTGCATAATTTGGTCTCCCACCCACCTGGGTAAACTGGTTTTATCGCACAAAGACTGCTTATTGTTACACAGGGTAACTGCTGGGTGACCACAATTTTACTAGGATTGTTCACCCTTGTTGCCAGATTGCATTTTGGGAGACCACAGGCCATAGGCAATCCACAGAAAAACTGATGGTCATCCACCAGGAGAATACCTCTTTACTGGAATTTTCCACCTCTGCTGCCATTATTTGCTTGTTTAAGAAAAATTTGTTTATGAACTAAGAATTCAAGATAAAGATGTAACCTTTGTTGGGTTTCCATAAACTTCAGCTTCCATTTCAAAACAGTCTTCATCCTCCTCATTGCCAAGCACTGACTCACTGTAGGTAAGTAATGAAAAAGTTATATTGTTGTAACCTGATATTTCTACACCAAATCAGGTATAAATAAAAGAAAAGTTTGCAAATGACTGTTTGAACTAGTAGAGATTTTCACTTCATAACCTGTCATTCTCAAGCATGAAACTTGATAAAAACTTATATATTTGTTTATCAACAGCAAATTGTGTCCTATTTCGTTTAAAATATTCAAAAAACTGTACCTTTGAGGCTGGATTCTCGGTCGTTTTGCTTTAATTTGAACTTCTGAGTTAGGTGTAAAAGGGTTGAAATTCGCATACACAATATTTTTCTCGGGCCTTGGGGCAGTCTGTGGTCTTTTTCTATCTTGAAAAGCAAGTAAATCTTTCCTTATAAATTTGTCTCTTAATGCAGTTCTATTTCTTAGATTTCCTGGACTTCTGATGCCCTTTTGCTCTTTGTGATCGTCAGCAAATGCCTTTTTTGATTTGGTAAAAAGAGTCTTCGGAGTATGGGGTGTGTCAAATAAACGTAGGTTCAAAATTCCTTTATTTAAGCAAGGTGGAGAACATGAGAAGTTATTATTTTCACCATTAGGTGAGCCAGTTTCTTTTACTGGAGAATTATTTGGTGATGAAAATTGATCCAGACAATCTATTTCGTCGATAAACGAATCGGAAGACTTGGGGCTCGCTAACTCTCGAGGAGAGGCAGGAGACATCAGGTTTGGAACAGAATCGTTGAACAGTTTTGAAAAATTCGGCTTTGGCAATGAACTTTTCCCTTCAAAATTGAATTCACCCAGCAAATTCTTTGCAAGAGTATCCATTTTTCACTTCCGTAGTTTAAGAACTCCTGAGCTATAAATCTTTGAGGTGGTTGGAACTTGAAGTGGAATCGCTCAAATGTGGGCCTAAGGGGCCCTCTGTTTCAAACACTAGATTCGAATTGCCTTTTCCTTCACCAATAGCTAAGAGTTTTCCAGTAGTTTCAATACTCCACAACCTCCTTGAGCAATGCGGCAGATTTTCACCTTTAATTAACAGTAGCAAGACAAATAAACAAACAGCACTTACAGCATGATACACAAATCTAAACTGTCTTCCGATTTGAATGAGATGACTGTATAGCACGTGACTAATTCGACCAATCGGTGAATTGATACAAAAATTGGCGGGTAAACCATGAGAAACCGCTGACCATAAAGGCCCCATGAGTCAGTGATGATCAATGAATATAAACAATGACGTAATGACCTAAGACATCGCTTTTTTAATGATTACGGATTTGATTATTCGCATTTGCATTTAATTACGGAGAATTAGAGACCTCTGAAATTGTTTGTAAAGGCTCTTCAATTTTAGCATCTGAAGCTTTATGGTAACCGGCATTCAATTATATTGAAGGCCGACTAAAATGATGTTACGCTAGATATAATCATGGCTTCCAGATAAAATTTCTGTGCCCCTTCAGCCCTTCAGCATACAATGAAGCGGATGCTGCTTGTTCTTCTAGAGATTTTATTCGATAAGACTTGACTCATTTTTCTTCCCTACCCCTCTATCTGAGCCTTAAGGCCGGGTTACACGATCACTTTTTACCATCACTTTTTTTTCGATATTGGACCAACATGCCGAAAAGTGATCGTGTAACATACTAAAATCGTCCATTTTCGCGGCATAATTTAATGCGCTTATCTGCTGTTAATCCTCTATCATTTGGAAATTTTACACTGAACGAAAGCAGAGTAAAATCGAGTTCATCACTTTTTTTCAAAGGCGCCGACAAATTCTTACGTCACATAGTGTTTTGATGAGAAGGGAACGGCCTAGAGTTTCGAGAAAAGAAGAGAAAGACGTGAATTGTGCTCAGAAACATAATTATTAGCAGAAAACGAATATGAATAATGATTTGGAGTAAATCGAAGAGCAGCCAATTACAGAAAAATTAAATGCAGTTTCTTAGTTTTAGTGTTTCTTAGTTTTAAGGGTATTTGAGCCTTCGAAATAAAATTGAAAAGGCGTGTACTCTGTCAAAAATTGGCTGATTCTTGTATCTCTACCCCCTAGGCCCTATCAAGAGGTGGAAAAAGGACACACTACGATTAAATTTCCCTTATTCACGATTAAATAATGAATCGATTCGTTATCCACCCTCATAAATAGTTCTTGGCCAAATGTCGAGCTGAGTATACTCATCATCAAGATCGTTGCTTTCAATCCATTTCACTCTAGCACTTTCTGTACAAAAAATTCCTTCAAATCTAAGTTTAGGGTTAGCAGCTTAAATGATTTCCCAATCCTTTATGCCTCCACTTTATACTCTCGATATTTCTATCAAATCGTATAAAGTGTCTTGATATACAATCAGTGGGCTTAAAAAACAACATGCCCGAACATGCCGACAAATAAATTCTTGTTTAAAAAATTGAGGGAACCTTGCTTAAATTTATCCTTTATTTTTCAGCATTATCAATCTAATATGCTTGACAATTTTTGATTGGTCAGTTTTAACTGTAAAATGTACAAAACGAGTAGTAGATGCATTGAGAAGTATCGCAATGTCAACAGTTTTCCTAAAAGTTTTAATTCACAATGCATACGGGGCATCACTTGAGAACTTTTTGGCCGCGGATCTGCAGCCCCTCCCTCCATGAAACACCATCCCTGCCTAAAATAACAATGTTTTTTGTGGATTCCCATATACTTAGAGACTGGAGCCTGGAAAAACTTTCGTTGAAAGGAAACGGTAAACAAAAACAAATTTAGTAGCAAACGGTCGCAATTTTCTTTTGTTTATAGAGAAACATAACATTCTGAAACATTAAGCTTAAACTACTCTACAAAATTAATACTCTTTAATACTCTGCGCTTTATTACAAAAATACGATACAGTTTCTCTACATGTGGAAAACTTGAGAAAAATTATTTCCAATGAACAAGACGAGTGAGAACCTGAGGGTGTCTGCTTGAAGCATCACATAGGAGAAGGGGAAATATTTGGCTTACCCTCCCCCAACCATGACAATGACTATTGCTGTAAATATTAAAAAAGAGTCCTAGCATGAATGCTATCGTTTAATTAATGTACTAACCAGACAAACTCAAAATTTTCAGTAAGAGACATTTTTTGAACTGATAATAAAATTTTGCCTTCGGGATCAATCTATGCAGACACAAAATGGTTTTTTCTTTGCTAGAATCTCTTTACAATAACCAATGCTTGAAGGAATTTTCTGAGCGATGGAGAGCAGGAAAGTCTGCAGACTCCAGGATTTTCAATATCCTTTGTAAGAACATCCAAAGAGCTGCATTAAAGATACCCAAGCCATGCATACAGTCGCTAACCCCAGAATCCCAACGTGATGCTAACTCTCAACTTACAGCTAAGATATTCTATACTACTACTTCAAAAAAAAAGCATAACAGACGATCATTAAAATGATCATCAACAGAACACATATTCTAATAAAGTAAGTTCTCAAAAATGCAAAAAACTAGAATTCTTCTGTAGATTAACATTAACGATGCCGGAGAGTCAGAAAATCGAGCATCAGGCTGATAACGAGGCTGATAACGAGCGTTCTCAACGATGCTGATAATCAAAATTCAGTTTCAACAAATACTTCATCTGCACTTGTGCAATATCGTAGACAATGTATCTGTATATATATTAAGGAACGCGATTTTACATCAAAGAGTGCAATTTTGCTAGCAAGATCATGTTATTGAAAAGTCCTCACAAAGTGCCACACCCAAACTATTTTACAGAGGAAGGTTTTCAGCGCTTAAGAGTATTGTTCAGTGAAAGGATAAACATTTTACTCGACTCTTGATCACCTTAACTATTGCTTTGCTGTAAAACTTTCACTAAATCGTCCCACTTGCAAAGATTGGGAAAAAAGAACTAAATAGATACATACATATTATTGGGGGCGTAGTTCTCGTGGGGAGAAGGAAGTGCCGTTGTCTCACGAATTCAAGCTATTTTTTACATTTTCATGTTTTTCAAGTATAAAAGAACAACATTGACAAATTTTAAAAGAAAAGGATACTCATTATAAAGCAAAGAGCCACCTTGGGCATTTTGATCGACTCCTTTCCCAAGAGGAACAACAACTCCATCCTGTAGAACGCGGTCTTTTCCAGGATCAGGAGCAGTCCTGCCCATGCCTGTGAACACACAATAATGTCAATTTCGACTGAGAACTGATAAATTAAATGCATATCTTGTGCATAGGTATATCTTGTGCACAGAACAAAGCTATGACATGAGAGAACACGCATCACACCTATATCATCTACAGTCACCGAGAATGTGAAACTCAGAGGATTTAGGGCATCAACTTGTAGTCCATGATTACGGTACTTAGAATTTTTGTTATGCTTACCTTTAATAGCTGTTTTACATACTAATAGTGACTTGCTTTCATAACCTTGATATCCGGTTATTTAACATGCTAATTTATGCTAATTATACAAGATAACACCAATTTATTTACGAATTATTTAAATAAAAAGTGAAAGTGTACTCACCCTTGCAGCTATGTTTCCCTTTCGGCAACTTTGTGATTCCTTTTGCATGAAGTAGCTCGTACCTAAAAAAATAACATCAAATCAAATCTTGAACAATACTTAGTATATATAATCAGAAAATATACATTTCAGGCCTCTTTCTCTTTTTTAACAAACTAACTTCAATATCAACTTGCATGCTATCAGAATTTCAATGGCAGATCTGATTCTCATTTTCAATAGAAAATCAATATTGAAGGATTTGATATCTATAATAACAAACTATGTTAATTAAATATGTCTTTATGTATTTTCACCTGCATTAGCAAAGACTACTGGCAGAACAAAGTCCAAATTGTTATTCTGATAGTGCTTACAAGGGTTTATTTTCTTGCTAAATTTTTCTTTAAACATCAATAATATTTCTTTAAACAAATTCAACATCACTATTTTGTGCGTCAAGAAAAATTCACTAATAAGACATACAAATACATTAAATAGGTATTTTCCCTATATTCTAGAAAAAATTATGTATCAAGAGAAAACAAGATAGGAGCTAAATAAATCAAATCTTAAAGTATTATAAAAAAAGTTAAGCAAAACGTTGATAGGAAAAATACAAACATGTTCCCAAGAGCAACTTCACACAGAAGCATTAGACCAGTTGGGTTTGAATAGCTTGTATGGCAGTAGTTGGCGGACTAAACAGAAATGATGATACAAAATTACATGCGATTGTTGGAAAAAAGGATTGGCAAACAAGATATTGGTGTCAAATCTGGGATGGAAAGTAATTCACTGCAACACAATCCAAAACCAGATTAAGGCGACTGCTGATGGGAAGGAGGGAGCTGAAAGAAGCATCGAAAGGGGGTAGGGGGTAGGGAAAATTTCTGGAGGTGATATAATTTTGATAAAGTCTGCCTCAAACTTAAGTGTAGAAAGATAACGATTGCAGTTTAAGAAAAACTATAAGACAAAAGGATACTTTTTACGCTTTCAAGGGAGTGGCAAAAACATCCGCGTAAAACTCTACAATCAGAGGCCCGTGTTTTTCTTCTTTGCGATATTAATCCTCTATCCTTACATAAAGAATGAAATTTATAGTTTTACATCTTGTTAAGCATTATTCACTATAAAACTGGAGAATGAAATTTATAGTTTTACATCTTGTTTAGCATTATTCACTATAAAACTCAGGAAGGCCTAAACCCCTTACACAACGTCTATAGTCAAACGGAAAGGAAAAATGTAAGAATTCCATGAAATAAAAAACATAAATCAATAAAAAGGAATGTACAAAAACAAGAACGAACCTTTGAGACCATATCTAGAAAAAAGATAAAATAAACGCTCAAGCTAAAAATATTTCAAAAAATCGTGAGGTCGTTTGCAACATGCAAGAAAGTTACGAAAATTATAATAGCTAAACTTTAATATAAAAAGACCAAAATATTTTTATAGCAAAATATATATGATATTTCTATAGTAAAAAGACGAAAGTGTCTAGAATAAACCTGTGCAAGATGGCCAAGTCCAGTTAAATAAGTTTCGATAAGAACAACTACAAACAAATTATGAGATGTCAAAAACCATTATTTAGTATCGCATACGTTATCAAAAATTCGTCACATGTCATTAAAATACTGGTTCGTTACCGGTTTTATTTTATTCTCAGGGGGATGAAACAAAACTTCAAGAGGTCTATTTTAGCAATTCTAAACATCTTCTCAAAACGTTATTTTCGAGTTCTTTGACTAACATCTACCTGAATGGTAATATACCGAGCAGGGCAACTGATATTTCGCTGTTTTGATATTGACTGATATTTCGCTGTTTTGATATTGACTGATATTTCGCTGTTCTGACATTGACTGATATTTCTTTGTTCTGACATTGACTGATATTTCTTTGTTCTGACATTGACTGATATTTCGCTGTTCTGACATTGACTGATATTTCTTTGTTCTGACATTGACTGATATTTCGCTGTTTTGATATTGACTGATATTTCTCTGTTATGAATGGACTACATGTTCTGATATTTCCAATGGACTTTAGTTTTAAAGAATTTACAAAATTACCTGCAAAATAGATGCCTTTGCCAAACATGTAGCCAGTCTAAAGTGAGAAAAATATACCAAAAGTAAATAACCTTCGTGATTCAATTGTTTAGCAATATTTAGCACACTGCAAATAGTCCCAAACTTGCCAATTTTCCATCCATGATGTGTATTTGTTTTATTAAAACAACAGATTAGCTAGGAAGAGCTCAAGCATTAAAATTCATATTATATTATCTAAAATAATCAAATGATACTTAAAATAATATGATCAAATCTTATCATTCGTTATGATATTATCCTATTATTCCATCAAATAACAATATAACGAAACACAGTACATTATAGTATGCTCACATAACAATAAGTTACATTACACAATATTATCTAAAACTGATTATATTATATTATATTATACTGTACAGTATTGACAAAAAAGCAAACTTACAACTGGGGCTTCTGGTGGCGCGATACGAAGTCCTTGTGAAATGATACCAGCATAGTTACTCAGCCTCGAGCCATGCCATAGCAATTTACGGTTATGCAGCTCTCTAAATGGACTGTATCGCGCTTTTTCTCCTTGACGATCGACTTCAAAAGCCTGCGAAAATTCACAATGAACGTGAGGTTATATTTGGTGTAAAAAGGAGGGATATAATGACAAATCAATGCAGATTACACCTCTAAAAATATGGAATCCTGCAAGACTAAGGCACATCACTGTAAGGTAGAGAAACAAAATCATAGGCTACTAGGGATAGTTGATAACCAAAACACTTTACAATTGCAACTTAAACGTTATCAATATTAAGGATAGACAACGCGTTTATCAAAGGTTATCTATATTCCGCAATTTGTCTAAAAAAGAAATAGTTTCAAATAAACACTTCTTTTCATGTAAAAGTGAAAACAGGCCGATCTTTAACAAATGATTTCCCTTTCGATGCAAAAAGAAACAAAAGAATCTTCTACTAAATAAACAAAGTATTCTATATTGAATGAAATACCTCCTCTAGCTTGAGCGAGTAATGTCGGTGTGTTGATGCATGTGTGTTCTGCACATACACCTCAAGCATTGCAAATTCTTCTGACTTTTTATCAACGACCTTTATATCTGCTTTTAGACTATCATAATGCGCATCGATTGGGTCTTTGTCTTTGCTGCTCGTCTTCAGCAAGTTGTACGCGATTTCAATATCCATCAAACTGTCAAGCATATCTGTTTTTTCCTTAAAAAGAGTCAATTAACAACCGTAATGACGACAGTAAAAATAAGTCGACATTTGAGACCATATCAAAGAAATAATCAGAAAGATCGACCAGACTGGTTGAATTTTTCTTAGCTTGCATTGAATCTTTCTGAGCATTGGAAAATACTTCATATGGGACTGAATTCCAGACCTCAATGCATTTATACGGATATTGTTGGATATTTACACTTGTATTATTTTACTTCATTGTCTTGAGGAGGGAGTCTTACGAGCCAGTGCTCTGGGTCCTATCCTAGTGCAATTCTCTTAATCAGTGGTGGAAATTATTTGACTACACAATAAACTACACAAACACTACACAAACGACTACACAAACACGAAGCTCCGAAAATTCAAGCGCTTGCCCTACCGCGCAAGAGGCCCAATTCCCTTCCTCAAAACCAAAAAGCTAACATTGTAAGAAAAACTAAAGCATTCCGTCCGAGAATAGGATATATTCATACCAAGATGTGGATATATACAGAGAATAGGATATATTCATACCCAATTTTATTGCTCTATTGCCCAATGTTGGCTACGTTTTCTATGAGCTGCCATCAGAAAAATTTTAAGTCAATTTCAACTCAAATTTGAAGTCAAAAACATAATTTGAATTCAAGAATTATCAACGGAAACTAAGCTCACTTTGATCATTTCAGACTTGTTCAGCAGTGGTGGAGCCTTCAACCCAAAGTCATGTGGAATGAGCGTGTAAAATCTGTTTGAAGCATCCAATATTTTCGTTCCTGTTTCGTTGTTATCAAGGCACTGTTAATAAAAAACAGTTCCATCTGTATGCTATTTAATACTATAAAAACCTGGAAAGGCATGCAAAATGAAATTGAATACCGATCGCAAACTCCAACATTAAAAAAGGCAAAGTGAAAATAATTACATATAGGCCTACTAAAACTGAACTGAAATTACTTAAAGTTGCGGCTACGCAGCATCAACATGCATGCTCATTATATTGCGGAGTTCGTTTGGCCATCCCGTTTATTTGATTGGTGATTTTGAGCGCTGTTCTGTACTTTTTAAATGGTGTTAAATAAAAACAAGAATCATCCCATGGATCAAGGCTGCAAAAGTAATGGACCAAAGAACTAGGTTCCAATAAAATCAATCTGTTCAACATGACATCATTAAACAAATTACAATATATGTTATTAAAGCAAGTGATATAATAACGTTCATTCACTCGTTCGTTTTATTCACTCTGATGAAGCCCTGTACGCCGGGGCGAAATATTAGTATTCGTTCTATCTAATTTATTTTGAAATTTTCTCTCATTGGATTCTCGTGGCCGTTTTGCTTTGTTCCTGAATCTTATCTTTGTATCTAAACTCATTGCAAGATTCACAGAATCCGGCGTACAGCGTATCCAGCGGTTCTTCCTTCTAACACAAGTGATATATTGCCTTTGAAATAGTCTATCATTCATATACAGTTGAAAACCCATACTTAATTAAAAAATTTCCTTGATAGTATTTCTTTTCATTTAAGCGGAACAAAATTATGCAATATTCTCATCTAGCAGAAAATGTTTCTCTTGTTCAATAGACTCCCAAAAATGGTAGCCATGCAATGGATCATCAAACTTTCCCAATGTTCTTCGTGATGCTGAGTAAAATAATGTACTCAAAATCTTCAGCAAAGATGTCGAGCAATATAGACGTTTATTGAAGGTCATTCGATAAAAAGTTCAACTCATTTGGCCAAGGCTATGTATAATTTTCACTTATAGTGAAAACCCTGAAAGATCTTTCGCAAACCTGTTGCAATTCTCCAAGCACTTGATATGCCTTTTCGATCTGACTCTTTGAAAGCTTGCCAAGTGGCATTTTGTTCATGTCGATCTGAAAAGAAGAGAAAATGCCAATTTGTGAAACTGGAATATAAACAGGGATGAAATTAGGCTCTCTACACTAGAAGGCGGCAGTAGTCAGGGTGTATCTTTGAAAACAATCAGCACCAGCTTTATTCTTATCCATTTGATGTACATGTAGACATTCAAGAAAACATTTCTGAAAAATAAATCATTCTTGATCTGTAGGGGCCTCAAAATGTGATTACACAATTTAAACAATTAGTGCAAAGAATATAAACAGTTTCATATCACTGCTTAAAACACACTTTTTTAAAATAGCTTATAATTCATAATTTTTAAATATTTTTGCTTTTGTACAATCCTTACAATATTGTTATGCACTATAGTCAAGGGTTTTCTGTAACCACACGTAATATGGAGAGATATGTATGTCAACACGCTAAAAATATCAAAAATTTCATAGCCAACCTCAAACTCTGCCATTGTCTTCTTCATCAAATTCACATCAAATATCATTGTTATTAATTTCTGCACTTCCATGGGCAATTTTGAATCTTTTCCAGCTTCCAATTGCTTAAAGCTGTCACCTTCCTGTTTCAAAGAGAAATAATGGAATGAAATGCTTGGCCTCATATCGATATATTTCAAACAGACTAATAGAACAGGCTTTTGAGGCAACGTTTTTGCAGTAGGATGTTGTAACTAGAAAATTTAGAGTGCTGATTGGTCAAATCTAGCCCAATATTTCTTTGCATCAGTTTATTTGATACGAAATCGTAAATAAACTTTATGAACTCCTGTCAACATTCATCGTCTTTTGAGTGGAATTAGTAGGAAATATTGGGTGAAAAAAGCTTTGAGGGAAAACGAGAATACCTTTTCCTTGTTATTCATAAAGCAGCTATACAGACCTTCCGAAAAAATAGTTTGTGAAAAACAAGAAATTAAAAAAGACATAATCAAGCAAACTTTACATTTCCAAAATCCACTTCTATAGGGTAAAACTTGTATGGATGTTTCACAAAATCTTTCCGTCTGTACCAACTGTTTCCTATAGGAGATCAAAAGAAAAGATTCCAGTACTTGTATTCCTGTTTGTTGAAGACGCTATAAAAAGTAGTTGAAGGCAATCAGCATAAATTCGACAATATTCTCTCTTACTGCCTACTTTTCACGATCTGTCAATTTAATGTAATTAAATTTGGCAATGTTCAGAATGCAGAACTCATTCCTGTACTTCGAGGTCAGTTATTTGACATTTTCAATCTATTGAGATTAAGCAAATCTATTCGATTTGAAAATTTTTAGGCCATATATCATATGCTTGTATTAGCGTCAACATTAAGAGCTACTGCTTCAATCTATTCGATTAAGCAAATCCAGATAATTTCAGATCCAGCTTGCATGCCAGATCTTTCAAGAACTGAATTTGGCAGAGAATTTATTGCCTAATGGTGAAACGAGGTAAAAAAAACTATAACTTTTCCAATTCTTGAAAGCAGTTTTCCTCGCATTGTTTGCAATTGCTGTTTAGATAATCCCTATGAAAAAGACAATGTTTCCTAGTTCTATATTTACAAAAGCCTCCCCCTTGCCACTCCTCCCCCTAAAACTTGTAATTCGACTAGACATTTTCATGAAATTTTTATAATTCACCGTACGTAATTTCTGCACTGTTCCAAAAAGGTAGAAATTAACGTGCCATTTTGTCCCAAAGTTGAAAATGTGCCATTTTTAGACATTATGGCCTATATCTCTGCCGATATCTGGGGTACCTCAGCTTGCTATAGCTCATCTTTAAGGGCATGTTAACAACTTTCTCTTTAATTTAGTTAATTTGGCAGTAGATAAACTCAACACGGGGGTGGGGGCACGAATTTTGAATTATTTTTCACTACTTAAAAATAACATATAAGTTTGCACTGTTATAAATACAGAGAATATCTTAAAAGTAATAACAAAACTTAGATTCATCAGAGGACAAACCAGTCTTCTCTTCGAACAGTTCGACAAAGTTTTCAATAGCTTCTTCAAGTATGTCAAACCCCTACGATCAATACAGAATAACATTACCTCCAATACTCTGCAAATACTTAAGATCAAAACGAATCCATTAATTTTTTCAACAATAAAAATGAATTTTACAACGATTGTGAACTGATTAGGCAGGGGGTAATGGTGAATGCCTGTCCAAACATACAAAAAAACGATGCTGTACTTGGTTTCAACTTTACAATCAAGAAATACTACGGAGACAAAGACGAAAATCGCGTCATCCTTTTGGGTTCCAAAATGCCATATTACAGATGCAACTAAAATCTAGTTTGAAAATGCTAGTTACAAGGTATCAATAAAAATTAAGGGTGAAATGTTCAAAAACTGCTTCGCAACTTTATTTCTTTTCTTTTATTTTAGACGTTTATTGTCGTTTCTTCGACCTTTCAAATGCTATAAATTTGTGTTGCAGCAAGGGAAAGGAAAAAATTAGAAATGAGGGACCAACCTCTAACTTGTTACCCCCAATTGTCGTGCCAACTCTTCCCCACGACCTGTAAACATAGTATCTGAAAGAGAAAAATAACTGTTTGATGGAATAACAGGAAACAGAAGAAACAAAAGACGATCAAATTTCTAAGCGGTGAACTAAAAACGATTTTTATACACAGTTTTGCACAATTCCACGGGGCTTTAGGAACTTTCTCAAAATTCTACATCTACAAATCTAAACCATGTTTGCGATAAACTTTTGACAACAAAATCAAAAATCTTAGGGTTTCGAGAAGGATAACGTAGATCCTATCACCGTTCTAATCTGGCGAAATTTTGCTGTTGCTGGTGCTTTGCAAAAATTTTTCAAAATATTATTCAAGACTTTATATCGCCCAATTAGTAACGCTTAAGCCTATGCTGTCACTAGTCAAGATTTTCCGAGATAATTGACCATGCCATTTGCCTGAAATCTAATCAACTTCGCCATAAAGAAAATCTCAGTTGCCATACAGAACAATAATCTCATAAACATGAACTTGACAAACGTGATGATACTCAACTGTTTAGCGTGATCGTGGACAAGAACCTGCACTTTGTAGTAAGAATTCGTTCCTCTTGCCAAATCAACCATACCAAGAACTGCACTGTATATTTCACCATTCTTCTCATGAACATGACAGCTATCTTCAAGGCCTGGAAACATTATGACATGACATCAATGGCGACGCCAGGACTTGCAGAGTTAGATGGCTATGCAACTTCGAGAAGAAGTTTTAGACTATACTATTTTCATATTGGAGAAACAACAAATTTTGAAATGTGAATTTCACGTCCTCTTAAAAATTAAGATTCGTAAATGTTGAGAAATATCACCTAGCTTTACTGAATAAACTTTCAATGATCTTTTGAGAACAATTTGATAGACCATATTCTAGGTAAAGTGGAAAGGGTACTCTCCAGTATCTTCACTGTATGACTTTACCGCGATCTATCTTATCACGTGACCATACCTAAAGTGCCTCACAAGTTCAAAACAGAGAAAGCGACCGTGCGTTCGCACGACTGACAGGAGTTGTTTACAAAGTTTACAATGAGTATAAAAAATACAGAGCCAATCGTATAACCCTTTGTCCTGCCAAATAATTATCAATCAGTACCTGAATATATATTACCATTAGTCTTATGATGAACACCCAGCGTTAAATACTCTGCAGAGTGTTCTGTGAGATTGCTTAGATAAATGAGCAACTCTTCAATGCTTCCCCTTTAGCTCAGCTCACAACACAAGCCCTTCGTGCAATTTAGAGCTAAAACATTTACAGCTTCACTTCCACCTCCTCCCTTCACCAGAAACCAGTTAGTAACACGAACTTAACCTATTTACCCTTACAGTTTCCAATTGAAAATCCTTGCCTTAGGCTTGAAACCAGGATTTCATAAAATGGGGGTCCTTTCCTTGTTAAAACACCACTTTTCTCACGATCACGGTCAATGCTACTTCATATTTACAAAAGGTAAAAAGCGATGGAGTCCAAGGTATAACTACACACCCCGTGCTGCTACAATCATGGCTACCTTAATCTTTTTATTAGCAACAACAACATTAACAACAACAACAATAATAATAACAACATCAACAACAACTACCATATACGAATGAAAGGACATACCCGAATCTGGGTCCACGACCGCACCACCTTTCAGTAGCAGCTTCTGCTTCTTGGGGCTCTGAGTTGACGCTGAAAAGCAAAATGCATGCTTAAAAGACGCAAAATCGTGATTTTTTTCATTAAAAAGAAAAGAATTATCCAAGGCATAAAAAACAAATTATTGAAGTATGTTGAAGTTAAAAACGTACCATTAGCGTTAGCCTTTTTCCTCTTTTTAGGCCCATCCACAGAGTCCAACTGCAAAATAAAATAGTTGCCTTTTATTAGAAATCTATAAAGATTTGTCTCTCGTTTTTCTTGTGGGTTGTAATTTTTTGAGCCCAAAGAGTTTTTCAACAACAAAACCCATATGACAAGGAATCGCGATTGAGGAGTTCACGAATACACTAAACAAACACCTTTCCCGCGCTTATCTGCGTTTTCTGTTAAAATCTGAATCTGAAGACCAGGGCACTCGTTTTGTTTCATGCAAAATTCCTTACAATATGGCAAAAAAATTCTAAGATTTCGAGAAAGTGTTTAGATTCATAAATCCTACTGTTCTTGTTTTATTTGAATAAGTTTTCATTCAGTACCATCACGTCGAAAAAAGAGCTAACAGACTATAAACAATCTAGTTTCAACTAAACATGTGTGTATACAAGCCATTTTGTAATATGGACTATCACAACAGTACAGAATAGAGTTCATAATCCTATTTCATGCCTAATCCTATTACTAAAAATATTCTTTAAAAAAGTATAAAATCTCTAATTGGTAGGAAAATTTCGCAAAAATGAGTACCCTGCAAACAACTTACCTTCTGCTTTGTAGGGACGATTTCATGGCTTCGGATGCATTCCTCCAAATTTCCTTTTTTCACCTCGAAAACAAATCCCTCGAACACAATTGGCACACATAGATCCATCAGTTGAGTAATCTTCTTGCTTCCTTTCGTCACCTCAGCTGATAAAATATATTGTAGAGGTTGTTAAGGCAATAACTTCGACTGCGGTCGAAATATGATGATGATAATGATGCTGATATTGTCACAGCCAGCAGAGTTATCCTTGCAGATGTACAGAGATTTCCGTTTGTTAACCATGCGAGATAATAAGGGGAGAGCAACAGCGCCTAGAGCCTCCATCGACAAATTTGAAACAGTACCTTATATGTACATATTTTTATGATAAAAATTTCAAATACCAAAATCCTTATTTGCACCTTTTTATTTCATTTTCACCCCGCTCAGTAGAAATGGGCAATTGTGGTGAACTGGACCTTTCCAGTAAATTCTTAATAATGCTAACAAGAAGAACACGTTAGAAAAGTTGACTTAAAACAATTGTAGAAACCTCTAGAATTAGCCTTACGTAAGATGCTGTAACTTGCTTATTTAAGATTGTATTCCTCCACACCTGATATTGTACGAGTATATTCTAGAAATTTCTTGTTGAAGAGTATATAAGGGTAACGTAGCTTGCTGTAGGTATTCAGTTTTTAGTTGAGGATTCGATGGATACATAAACACGACGCATTGTTGATTTCTTTGGAGAATAACTATACGGGCCTAAGCTGGAAAACGTACCTTATCATAGCGTTGAAAGAGACGCACTTTGTTTGTGAATCTATTCAATGTGTCACAGGGAATAAACATTTACACCAACGCGGCCTTGGATTCCCCACACAATAAAAGGCAGAAGAGGGGAAAGGAAAACTGTAGAAAGGCGTTTATCAGTTCTGCCTGCGGATAGGGGGTAGGGGAGAGAAAAAAGTTGTGTTTTATGTTTGGTTGCGTCAGCTGGGGCTGTGGTCTTTTGTTTTCCTCGTAAAAAGATCGATAAGGGTGACCTTTCTTACACAAAAGAAAATTATATTCAGAAATTTGGCAGTTGAGTAGTCTTAACTACCTTGAAACTTTATTGAAAGATAATACAAGAAGAGAAGATCTTCTAGCCTTAATCTCTCCCAACTCTAACACCCCTATCCCTAGCAACTTGAACTCTATACTATTCATGAAAGATAAAAACTGAGAAAAAATAATAACAACTTTTACCTTTGGTAGCGATGAAGCAAAGCAGATCACTGGCAATATCTTTGACGACCATTCCACCAAGCTCCTCAATTTTTTCTGCAACTCCTTTCTGCACAAAGAAATAAAAATAACTCACAAAAAACAATATATAGATATATAAGCAAAAAATGCTAAATTTGTTTAACTTTTGACCCATGTGCATGTGTAGTTTCTTTATTTGGTTAGTAAAATTGAGCAACGTACTTTAGACTTTTTTGCTGCAGTCGAAAGAAGTACTTTTTTCCCTCCTAACGGCTTGTCCGGGTCCCTAGTAAGAGAGAAAATGTTCAGGCAAAGGTGCTACAATCTTCAGAAACTTGATAAAATGATATAGATAGCCAAATTAATTGCTTTGTTGATTAGGGAAAGACTCGCATCCTTACAGGGGTGCCGTAGAGAGAGGGGTCAGGGGCCTCAGCCCTCTTGTTAAAGATTACAGACATTCTTTTTTATGCTTATAAAAATTTACAGACACTACTCCAAATACAGTACTATAACAATACCACAGATGGCATGGATCTTCATAACAACTCTGTGGCCATTCATAGTTATCTCAAAGCCTGTTCCAAAAATGATGCAGGCAAAACACCCAGGGAGGGTAAATACATACCAGGCGAGACAACAAGGAGAGTTTGCAAGTTTAATAGCTTTCTATTGGAGAGATTCTTGGATTCTATAGATTCTATTGAAGAGGGGGGAGGGGGGGCTCAGCTCCCTCTTAACACGTGAGCACGTTTGTTTGGATGAATTCTGTGTTTGCAACCCTTTAGTATACGTGAAAAACAATTTCCTATCAGTCTTTTTGAATCTGTTAATAGTTTGAATGATTTCATATTCACAACAAAGAATCTTTAATTCGAATGAAAGTTTATTGGGTGTGATCTGGGCGTGGTCTCTAGAAGTTGTCTACACCACAGAAGTTGCATGAGGATGGCACCCCTGCATTCTTAGATATAAAATCGTCAAAAGTGGTTCATAAGGCTTACTTACATTGCATTCATCGATTTTGGGAAAATCCTGTTCTTAACTGTAGGCTTGATAGTTTTCCTGAAAAAATATCCTAAACCTCTCAGTTTCAGTCATTTAAACACGGGCCCTGCTAAAATAAAACTCGTTCTATGGAAATATAAACTAGGCTGGTAAACGCAAAGTTGGATATAATTTGCATTTAATGCCATAAAGAAGCTTGATAGTCCTCATTAGTATCATTTTGATGACAGCAAACATAATAAGTAGTAAATGTTGGTGGTAAAATCCAATTATGTGTTAAAACTATCAATAATATACTGCAATACTGCAACAGGCTGCAATATATAACGAAGGCAATATATTGAAGTATACAAATAGGAATAAACTTTATTACAAGAATTCGCATTCATCCTTGCAGTTTGCTGTAATTATCCACTTCTTCCTTGGCGGCTTAAATGTCTTATAGAGACATTTTGTCCATGCGGTCACATGCCCAATGCAGTGATACCCACAAGAGCTAAAAACAGAAAAGATATTTACTTGGCGTTAAACAGCTGGCGGTGGAAGTGGACAAAAAGGGGTGGGGTGATATTTTATGAAAGAGGGGTGCAAATTGGGTAAGGGGATTTAAACTGATTTTGAATAACTTCCTTTTTTGATCTTTGTGTGAAAAAGAGAAAATCAAATTAATTTTGATATTGTGTAACAACTTATAACATGAATAAATATCGTTATATAATAAAAAGTTAAAATACTGTTGGAGATAAATGCTGCTCTAACAAAGTTTCAGCATTCTAGATGCTACGTTAAAGATACACTTGTGTGAGACGGTGAATACAAGTACATGTTCTTTGTATTCTGTTTGCTGCAATTTTTAATTTATAACTAACATGAATAAAGGAAAGAACCGGGATCAGTCAGTCGTAAGTTCAACCATCATCCTGTTGTCAAGCAAATCTCCGTACACGCTTCTTTATGAGAACAACACTTATAAGAAACATTAAGCTGAGATTTGCCCAAAAATTAGAACAAGATAACAAACAAGGCAGACTATAGCAGACAAAACTCAAGAAATAACATGCTAGCAAAATTGAAAAATGAAAGAATAGCAACCGAATAACAGAAAGCGATAAGCAAAATAGCATTGAAACCACAGTCAAACAAAGTTACTACAATAAAATCAGTTTAACACCATCGATTTCAGTTTAAGATAGTAAACAAAATTAGAAACACGCGAGACTGAAATTATGCAAAAAAATAAGAAACAGCAGGCTGAAACTGGAGCTAAGTATTCTTATAAAAATCATTTGCAAACCATTCTTAAAAGAGAATAACATCTTGTTTAAGATTTACTACAAAATTAAATGCTTCATAAAAACAGGTTAAGACAATGAAGCTAAGTTTTGAAGACATGTAGGAGCGAATATTGTAAAAATATAAAAGTATCAAAGGATTTTTAAATAACCTCTGTAAAAAAAAATTTTTTGTAGTAAAGTTTTGAAAAGTTTAACATGAAAAGTCACATATTCTTATACTCGGTACATTTGGTTCCGGACCTACCTGTAAAGAAGCTTTCCATGGTGGCATTCTGGACAGCTGCCAGGGACACCGAATGCGATGCCATCAGCACATCTTTCAAGCAACTGAAATACCAACAGGAAAAATACTCACACTTCAGCTAACCTTTATCAACCAGCATTTCAACCACTTACCCCATGGCTGATCAAGAAATCAGCTAAAACCTATATGACAGAGAAACATAATAAAGGATCCCCAATTCCGAATTCACACACCCCCTCTCCCCTAAAATAATTGTTGTTTACTACAAAATAACGAAGAGATTAGGGAGTACGGTTATTCGGGTTACTTCTATAACTTATGTTTGAGAAAAACATTGTTTGGAAATGGTGGGCGGAAGTAGTAGTTTTCGAGAAACACAAGAGAAGCTTTCCAAGTAATTTTGGAAGGCATTGAATTTTCGGTTGGTTGAAATAGGTAACGTAAGCTGATGATATCAAATTAGGCAGGTGCAAGAAATACCAGATGAAAGGCATAGTTACATCATTTTCACCCCCTTTTGAAGAAGTGTGATTTTCCTCAAGCATAATTCGAAGCAATGAAGTACTGCAATTCTTTTTCAAATCGTCATGTAATTTCCATAGCAGTTGGCTTTGCTCCTGCAAACAAAATCATCAAAAAATGTTATGAGCTGTACGATAAGAAGAAGATTGATGAAAATAAGGATATTTTTTGGTTGGAGGTCAAAAAAATTGTAAATAGAGCACTAGGAGGAAGGGATTTCCCCTCTAATTTTGTGTCGTTCGGTAAATTTTGCTCCGATTTAATAATGCATTTATTGGTGGTCAGTAGTAAAAAAAATTGCAATATTTTATCTTCATTACCTTGAGGTTGAAAGCTGAATTTTTAAAATGGGCGTGCCCACCTTTTTTCAGTCACCTAAAGGGTGTGGTACCAGAATCCAATCATAATATACCCCCCCCCCCCTCTTTATAAACACAATACCGTCTTTTTGCTATTGAATGATTTTGCTGTAAGAGATACTTAACAACAGGCCCCTTGTCGTTTCATAGCATTACACGGACTGTGCCAGCCTATTTTAAACAGAAAATTCAATGAACTCCTATTTATCATGACATAGCATAGATTCAACCTTATCATTACCACAAAAAACAGTAAAATTTTTACCTTGAGTGCAATTTCATCAGGATCTGGAATAGCAACTTGCCCAGCAGACTTTTCTGATGACTTCTTCTTTGTTTTTTTCAATCCAAGAACTTTTTTAACAAGGGTTTTATCTTCATCTTTGAGTGCTTTGAAGCCTTGAAAAGTTTACAAGAAATACTGTTACCATTTGATTGACTATGTTGCAAATCAATTAATTTAAATTGTTTGCTATATTAAGCAAGCATGACTTTCCTTCATTCTGGTTATTTCAATTCTCTTGAAGAACAAACTGATAAATTTTTGTATCTAATCAACTGTTGCATTCTCAAATGTTCAAAGGAGAAAAATCCTTATTTAAGTATTTATAACTTGAATCAGCATTGAGCATTCAAAAGACTTTATGGTGGAGTGTCAGACGAAAAAGCTTTTAGTCAATATGTTGTAAAATGCTTGCTTTTTTCAAAGCCATTTTCAAATTGTGTACCGCCAAAAAACTGTTCACTATAAAAATAATTTTTAAGTCTTCACAGACAAAAAGCATCTTAGGCCAGGGCCTAAGTGGGTGAAAACTTGCCAACAAATGAGGTTTAGTCATGAGACCTCCTTTGGCATTTATTTTGCATATTTTGCATGGTTATTGTGTGCCATGTGTTTGCTGGAAATAGGTGACTTATTTGATTTCATGGGCTGTTAATCCTGACCTTGATTTAGAGCTCAATGCAGTTTCACGGAAGCAGTTGTACCAGGATGATGTTTGCATTCTGGAAAAGGTTTTGACAAGTGAGCTACTTTTCAAACAAGCCATCTTTACATTTTCATATTTCGTCTTTACATCTTTTGTGTTTAGAAAAGAAAAGGCAAAATCAAATAATTGAAAATGAATTATCAGGCCTGGCCATTTGAGGAGAGCCATAGCTCTTGCGCCCCTCCGGGTTCTCCTCACTGGAGGGGAGCTAGAAATTGCTCTCCTATATTTTTCTAAAAAGCAAATTTGCTCTCCTTGAAATAAATTTTTTCTTTGTTTCTATTCTTAAGCTCACCTGAATACTATTAGGAGAGCTGTTTACTGCTCCCTTGTTAAAAGTCTTACAGACAGGCCTGAATTATGCATGTTAAAAGGATGCCAAAAGGGACTTCCAGCTCCTAAGCTATCAAACTGTGCTCCTAATTTTGGTCAAGTTGTCAAAGAACTGAAAAGATTAAACTGAAAGTAACATGGAATACAAGGTCCAAGATAGTGATTTGCATTTGAAAATCAGGAAGCATGTATATTTTCTAAATCAAAGGATCAAATGATTATTTACCAGCAAGGTCATTCTCTGAAATATTTGCAAGCTCTGGCTCACTTTTCTTCTTCTCAGTAAAACAATCAAGATGGTGCCAGCTTGGAATCTTTCCTGATGTGTACTTTGAATCTCCATCAACCATTATAGCCACTCTTACCTCTCCTTTTTGTATCTTGTTGTCACAAACTTTGCATGTACTGCGGCTAGATTTTGCATACTCAACTTGGTAGTCTGCCAAACTTCCATCAATTTCATCTGCCTTTGAGCTTGCTGCTGATGCACTAGGTGCTGAATCAGATGCTCCAAAATTTGATTTAATTTTCTCTTGGTCTTCCCAGCGTAGATTACCAATACCCTCAATTTCTCCTATCTGCTTTGGCTTATTCTTCTTAAAGAAACAGCCATAGTGAAACCACATTGGTTGCTAAACAAGACAAAAATATCTTTAATGACTTAAAAATTCCAATCATGATACGTTTATTAAAAAAGAATGAGGTAAACATGATGAGAATGAACATTAGATAATCATCAAACATGTGAATAAAGTGATGAATTAGAATAAAAACTTGGAAAACATATATTCCTTTTATGACAGCAGTTTTCTAAGTGCAACAAATTTTTCCTAAATTTTGCATTAGTCATGAAATTCCACTGAAAAAGTATGAGTTCATAATGTTATAAATACAAACTGTATTTATCTAATAGCAAGCTATGGCTTTTTTATTTTTGGCATGGTTTTCTATGGTTGACAAACAAAGGGGCCTATGTGTCGCTTTCAATTTTTTATCCCGATCCTGTCAAGCTTTCTTGCTTCCTTGTACCTAAGGGTGTTAATGATGATAATACCATGCTGAAAAAACTGTTTGTGGTTGAAGTTATTATGTCTATCTTTTCATTTAGGAAGTTTTTGAACATTTACAAATTTCTGCAACTGCCAATGCAAGCTAAGCACCTCTGCATGGTTTTGTGGGTGCGACTTGTAATCAAGGGCAGCTCATAACAAGGGGGGCTTATAATTGAAGAAATATGGTAATGAATTTCATAAAATTTGCATAGAACAAAATTACCTTGCCATCAAAGTGTTGAGACTGCAAAAAAAATAAAGAAATATTAGGCTAAAGTAATTCAGAAAGATCCAAAAGGTATTTTATCAATAAATGAGCACTGGATATGTAGTTGAGCTTCCTCCAGATAAAGTGTTTGGTGAAGATCCCCTTGCCCTCAGCTACCTGCCTTAAATCCTTGGTTACAAAAGGTTTCATCAAATATGCTTTATACTTCCCTAGGTATCTTTGGTGTACAAAAGAACATTAAAGCTACATATATTTTAAAATACCAAGCCCAGTGGACAAGATCAAACTAAGTAAGTCATACTTTTTCAAAGTACATTACCATTTCTTCTTTTCTCTGACTGGAACAAGTTTAAAGACACAGGGCTGAGGGGAGGAGGTGCAGCTGGAAAAATATTTGGCAGGATTCCAAGTTGTGCCTAATCCAGACATCTTTGACTTTCTGTAGACATTAGCATAATAAGAAATTCTCCAGAAAAATATGCCGATTTTGTGAAGATATAAAAATCTACAGGTACATAAATTCAATGGTTCTAGCCACTGGTGATTCTTATTGCAAAATTTATTGTTACCATTGAGGTCACTTCAGTTATAAGAATATCAATGCATGAGTCCTTTTAGGCTAGGAATTTTCGAATGTGCACCAGAAACCTCGGGCAAAGATGCTTCAGGGGGTTTGATGAGCAGATAGAGAGGCTCGAAGTTTCTTTATTAACTCGCAGTTTATGGAGATATCCGAGCTTTATCAAGCTAGGAAGTGTCTATTTTCATACCTGGACCATTTTTGCTAGTCTGAGTGAATCCTTTGAAATTGTCAATTTGCATCCTTTGCATGATGCTCTTCCAGATTTTGCGTATTCTGTTTTAAAGGGAAGTTCGTCCGCCATTTTGAGACACTTCAAATGCAGCACGAGTGGGATGTTGTTGCTGTTGTCTCCATGGGAAGTTAGTTTTGGCTATTGGGAAGTTCAGTCTTCCATAAATTGGTTGCATACAAAATAAAAACGAGAAAAAGAACACAAAGAAAAACTATTCAATAGCTAAAGCTTAAAATGAAAATAGATAAAACTAACAATAGAAATGAGTAGCGGGAACTTAAAACCAATCACAACAGCATATTATTTTTTTCATTCTTTTGTTAAATAAGTATTTTATAAACATTGAATAATAAAGATATATTTGTTTTCATCGCGTATTCGGGTGTCTTGTCATAAATTATCAAAATTGGTTACATCGTCAAGTTGTTGAAAGTATTGTCATACAGTAATATTTTGGCAAATGTCTTCTCTTATCCAGTTTTTCTTTGTTTATCTGCAATGACACAATGCTCCATACATTTATTCTTCTATCATCTAAATCCACATGTGTTTCAGAGACGTTGTTCAGTTCAAGTTTTTATTTCCAGTTTGTGATCAGAAAGTCTTGATTTAAATTCGATCAGGTACACCATTCTAGCTCGTACCTATAAATTTCCTGACCTTGTTAATTTTTGGCTGCTTTTAGAAAACACGTACTATTTTTCTCAACACTTACAATGTCAAAATGACTGGGAACGCCCAGTAATTTGCGTTGCTATTAATGATTTCTCTTCCCAAATACTGCTTCAACCCCACCCCATAACAATGCTGATAGTCTAGAAAATAAAAATACAAGCCACACGAAAAATCCTACTCCATAATAGCTTTCATTTTTCTATAGCAAACCAACATTTTTCCTAAGGGGAGAGGAGGGGTATGGCTGAATTTGCCAAATTGAATGATAGTATTCAAAGACTTTTGCCAAGGATTGCTGTTTGGTCAAATTACTCAACTCAAATCAAACTAGTACTCAAATCTACCTGCAGCTAATCATACACGTCGAGTGATTTAGACCACCCCGCTGTCCGTTTTCCATCCTAAATGTTTACTGCTTGAAGTGAAAATAAGTACAACATGATGAATAATGACAATAAGGAATCATTTCGGAAAATCCAGGAAAAAAGATCAGGTAGCTCTGTAGCATATTATATAGGCATTTTAAGAAACCTCTCTTAAATTGACAAAAGGGGTACGTTTTCACCCTTGAACCCCATTGGTAATATTCTAAATAGGCAAGTAGCACTGATGTGGCAAGCTTTATAGTCATGTGCTTGCATTTTCTGGCTGGGTTACATAGACAAATACCGTAAATCCTCGAATAAGCCCCCGGGTGCTTATTTGCAAAAATGAATTTTTGGTTGAGGGCTTATTTGAGGAGAGGGGGGGGGGCTTATTTCAATGTTTAGTATTTTCCTCCAAGGTCGACATAAAAACGACATATTTTTTCTAACAAAAAACTAACAAATAATTTAATTTTTTATCATCACAAAAGTCGCTTTTTGCATTTTGGTCTCCAGTCAAAGGAAGTAAGTAATCCAATATCTATTGTCTTGTAGGCTTTCTTGAAATAAGATATTATTCTGCAATTATGCTTCCCTCGAACAAGCCCCCATGGGGGGGGGGGCTTATTCGAGCATGGGGGCTTATTCGAGGATTTACGGTATACATGTGTTCCACATATACATGGGTACATAAATTTCTCAGCTTAGGATTTTCTGTGATTATTCTAATATTTCATACTTTGAAAACTGTCAGACGAAGTACTTTTATAAGTTTAAAAATGTTTGCTTCATTAAAGGCAATCTTGAAATTTTGTACTACCGGAAAAATTCTGTGTTGGTAATCATTGGAAACTTAACAACGAACACATTTCTTAAAAAAACTTCTTGAAAAAGCGTTTCGTTCGGATTCTGAAGAAAATAAGTGCTTTCATCTAGCTCGATGTGAAAAGTGCTTAAAATTTATTTTTTGGCGGTACAGAACTTGAAGATGGCTTTGAAAAAAGCAAAAATTTTACAACATTTTTATTTACAGAATTTATTTATTTTGATTTGATGTTTGAAAAAATATAAAATAGTTCCTCTCTTTTTGCCTAAACAGGATGGCAGGTGAGAGTCGTGGCTAGAATCTATGTGATCCGATGATTACGTAGTTGATATAGATGAAAAGATGGCAAGACAAGACCCAACTATAGAGAGACAACAAAGAGAATAAAAAGCACAACTTAACTTAAAAAGGAATAGTCAAATAACATCGAAAAAATTCATTAAAATATAATCACTACTCCAATGCTTTTTAACGATTGAAAATTATCCCAATCGAAACGTAAGTATTTGCTTTCCAGACAAACCCTGAACAAACATACTTATTTTTTGAAAATTTATGTTTAGTTACATTGTCAGAAAATGCAATACAAAACCTTCGTTTTAAATTAGTCTACTTTGTCAGACAAAAAAAATTCTATTTAATTCTTGGGAACATTCTTAATCGCCATCAATCCCTCTAATAAATAACAAAAAGTTATTCCAAAGCACAAAATAACACTCTAATTGTAAATATATTACTTTACAAAAATCTCCTTTATTAATTACATTTGTTTGTAAATAGCAGCTAATATAAAATCGCAAGCCCAAAACAAAAACATGGTAAAAATTTAATATTTTGAGGCTTTGAACAAAAATATTTACTTAAAATAATGGATCGTGGACTGCGAAGCAGGTAGGCCTGGTGAGACTATAACACACAAACTTTAGGGCCACTTAAAAAATTAATTTTTTTTCATACAGGCAGATTTTTGAAAATTACTCAAAACTTAGCAATATCTGCAACTCCTGGACGTCGAATTGAAATTGGAACTTGGCAAAAAACACATCGGGAGTTTTGCGAAGCAAAAAGCTGAATCACTATCAGAGCCAAATCAAAACATAAAGTGATAAATTGCGATTGATCTTTATAACGGAAGCAAGATCTAATTATAAGTGCAATATGGTGTCAGATGCAGGTGTGATTGCTTTTTCTACGTTATTTCAAAGCTTCAAAATATAAGAAAAAACTGAGAAATCAAATCGAGAAAAATAACAGCCTAAACTAGTTCTTTTCGAGGCATAACAGTCCCTGGAAATCATAAATCAAGCTTATTCAGGGGCATCGAGTATGTAAGTTCTGTAAGCACAGTTTGTACTATTACAAGAGAAATTGGAGTTCTTCCAGAATCGATGCAAGTACATAACATTGTGCCCACAAGACATCACAGAATCATATCAGTCGATCCATGCCCAGCTCCTCAGCTGCGAGAAAAAATATCAATTTCAGTTTGAGTCCTTAAGGGGTAATTTGACAACAAATCTACAGTATAGAAAAAGGATACTTTGGCATAAAAACGTTGCCATGACTAGCAATATGTGAGCTATCATCGTCAGGCCTATCTGAAAAATACTTAAAGGGTTTAAGAGGGCAACCAAAAGTAATTATAAATAATTGAAGCACCACGACACCCAGGATTTATAATTATAGGTACTAAAATTTTATTCTAAAATACCTTTGCATGCTAATAGGTCGTGGAAATTCTTGTCTTCTTCCAGTTCCCTAAAATACAAAGAATACATAGAAACTAAGTGTTCAATTCATTTCTGATTTACGTGTAGGCCAGAAATCAGTGGCAGATTTAGAAAATGGTACAACAGACGTGCACCCCCCTCCCCCCTATTGTTGCCTACTGCAATCTTTAACAACAACTTCTCTTAAAAAAGAAATGTTATGACGTAAAAAACCATTTCTTCTAAAAAAACTCCCTTGCATATATTACAGTATCCTTTTAACTGGCATCACCTTTCGCCCTGGCCAAAGAATCTTGCATGCTAGACGCAAGCAACTTTTCAAAACACGACACGTAGTCACGCAAATTACAAAAGAATATTTGCAGTTACAAAAGAATCTTTTCGCCATCATTTACATGTTTTTGATTTACTAATATGAATTACTTATGACAGGAAGATTATGTCTTGTTCTGTTTACATTTTCATCGATATCATTAATCTTTTTGCTTGATTTAAATCATAACCCAATGAACAAGAGATAACAACTTTTTAAGAATATGACATCAAAAGATATAGGGTACGTGCTAAAGTCAAAAGACATTTTACAAAACTGGGGCACTCAAGCAAGGGGTTTCTCAAACAAGAGGGGTGCTTGTTTTAATCAATAAGCCAAGAGGGTACTCAGTAGAAAGAGTACTCTTCTGTGCAGGGTTATTCGAATGCTCGTTTTACTTAATGAGTCAAAGGGGAGGGGTACTCAGTGAAGAGTGTACTCTTTTGCGGAGGCTTGTTGAATCGAGTAAGTACAACACATCGTCGCTGTCTTATTTGATACAAAAACAGCGCAAACCAATGCAATTACTTTTTTCTGACAATTCGTTACAAGAGATTTTGAAACTCCCAGGATCATGCTAAAACCAAGGTTTTAAGATTAAAAATAAAATTCACCTTAGTCTATCTTCTTCCAGCATTTCCACGAGATTATTTCTCTCCTCCACAGTATCTACAAGCTCCTTCGTAAGGACTTGAATCCACTCTTGGTCATCTGGATTAGGATCTAGAAAATGAGTTGTGTTTAATAATAAAACATGTTCGTAATATATATGTTCATTAATGAAAAAAATAATACTGATAGGTTATCAAAACTGCGTATTACGTAATCACAGTACTTTGATTAAAGGGCCGTCTTGGCCTATTTGCTTGCAAAATCCTCATTCTTTTACTTGTAGTTGAATTTTGCAGATGGTATAAGCTATTGCCGTCTCTGACTTCACGTTTATTAGTGATTTATAATTTCAAAAAACATTAAGAGCACTCTGAGACCACCTTAAGTCAAAATGGAAATTTTGAGCTACTTCTTTCTTCTAAAAGAAATATTGCTTGACAAATTCCTTTACATACTCTTACCGTAAATCCTCGAATTAGCCTCCTGGGGGCCTATTTAGCTCTGATATTTTTGGATGGGGGCTTATTCGAGGAAAGCTTATACGATGGGGGGAGGCCTATAAAATTATTGTAGACATTAAGAAGACATTATTAAAAGACCTCGTTTATTTTGATAAGAATTTCTTTATGAGCATTTAATTAATTACTACCAAAAGTATGAATTTGTTGTGGTCATTCAATAGAACGCCACACGCAACCTCAGATGGCAAAAATCATCAAATTGAGGGGTCCAATTCGATAATTTACGGTAGCAGTGGGGGCTTATTCGAGGGGGGGGGTGTCTTATTTACAATTTGTAGTTCTAGGGTGGGGGCTTATTCGAGGGGGGTGTCTTCGAGGGGGGGCCAATTTGAGGATTTACGGTACTTATTGCAAATATATCCAATATTTTTTCAAATCATTAAACAATACAAAAAACAGAATAGAGATATAACATACGATCTGAGGTAAGAAGTTCTCTGATGTCACTTTCAAGTCTAGCCTGTCTGTCTTCTAGCTGGATACTGTTTGCTTGAATCACCAACTCTGATTCAAATCTCAGCAAAACATTCTTGTCATTAACAATCTGAAACCAGTCCAGCATCAGTGTTTTTTCTTCTTCCGGTTTAACTGGGGGTCAGAAAAGATTTTGGCATTATCAAACAGGCTTTCTCAACTTGCAAATTCACCATAACACTACAAAAATTGGGTTCATATTTTTCTGATTGGCCTTTTTAGATCCACAACTGGGTATATACATTTCCTAACTTGATATTTTTATTCGTTACTCTGATGTTTATACCATAAAAAGCGTCAGACAAAAAGCTATAGTATGTCTTTAAATGTTTGCATTTTAAAAGCCTTTTCTAAACGTTGTACCATAAAAATCTTTCAAAAAATAAAGTATTCAAATAGGATGTTCTGCCAAGACCATTTCCTAGCCGTAAACCATTCTACCGTAACATTTGCCATATATAATTAGTATGACAAAAAGGAATATGTTCCACATGAATAAGGTATAGATTAGATAGAAGCAGTACAGTGATAGTGGTACGTCTGACATTGCAATATTTTAACTTCCAATCCAGACGGCTTTTGGGTCAACGCAGGGGTGTCAGAACCTAATTAGGCCACTTGCCTAAAAACAAAGCTAGCTGTAAACCAAGGGGGTAAATTTGGCAAGATAAGTATTCGTAAGGTATCAACACGTAGCACAATATTTCAAAACGCCACTCCTAGAAACAAACCAAATTTTAAAAAGAGCTATATAGATAGCAATCGCAAAAGTTGAAAAATTTGGAGATAAGGGCCAAGGCAGACTTACGGTAAGGTCTTCGTAATTTTCTTTCGAGAGTTTTAGCTCTTTCGTCGAGTTCAACTTGCTTAACCTCGACTTCGTTTAATTTTCTCTGAATTGATTGCGCCTCCCACAATCGCTTTAACCTTCGTTCATTTGCGGCTTGCTGTATTTTCTTCATTTCTTTCCTCTTTTGCTTTCGTTCCTCCTCTTTTTGCTCTTCCGGCGTTTTTTGCACGGCCTAAAAAATTGATAGGAGAATAAGCATGGATTCTGCTGCGTATATTTCTAAGACATAAGCTGTGAAGGCGGAAAAAGTATCAAGTGGCGCGCAAAAGCAGCAAAATACCAAAGAAAAAATAATCCGATTCCGTGTCGTCATCACTGAAGAAGCGCCGCATGCCAAAGCATAATTGAAATATTTCATGAAATTCCTGCCAAACTGTGGTACTTTTGCTATAGCATATCATATAAGTGTTCTTGCAACCTCGTGGTAGACCTCAAACAAGATGGTGGACGGGAAACAATACTGGGAGAAGACATGACCTCCACTTTTGATAGCAAAAAGGCATTTAGGCTAACAAAGAAGCAAGTGAAACTAGCGATTTTCGGAGAAGAAGGGTGAAAAGATCAAAAGTGGGATATGCAATTACGTCAAGCAAGTCAAGTCATGTACCAGTTACTTCTATTTTCGTGCAACTTCAAAAAGATTGGGAAAATCGCTTTATTTTACAACATACACGTATGTTTGAATATTTAGGTAGATGAAACAGACAAAAAAGAGTTAGGTAGACAACACTGAGGAGCGGACTGGGAAAAACTTTGTCGCCATGTGGCCCCTGACAAGGTACCAGTAAAGGTTGCACAGAATTCATGACAATGAACAATGTTGAAATGGTGTGTATTTCGTCTATGGATTTAAAAATTCTGCTAAACGGGCTTCAATGGCTCCCAGCTTAATTACCTAATAGAGTATTCAGGGTGTGCTAAGTGCTAAAAAGGCATGAAAAATCAGCAAGAAGGGGTGGATAGACTGTGACTAGAACTTCATCAAAGAAGCTTGAAACTAAATGGTCTCCGAAATGCAATCACAAGCACAAAACACCTCTACTGAAGTGTACCCACTGAATATTTCAATAAAGTTTCAAGATTGATAAACTTGCACCTGGTGTTTTCAAAATCTCACCATTCAAGAAGCAATTTTGGTACCTTAAAATCAGTATAAAATACTATAAAATGGATGCATTCTTTATACGTCCAAGTTTAGCTGTTTATAGCTGTCATTTCTCTAACTGTTACCTGATGATCACATTAAACGTAAAACTCGGAGCTGTCCTGTTCTACGCACAAAAAGCGTGGCCAACTCTGCCTAAACGGCATTAAGCACTTTATAACAGACAGGTAAACAGTAATTTTAATTGCATCTATCGTAGACCACTTGTGTGACGAAGTACAAAAATTTTTTCTGATCCTTCCTTACATTGTCAAAACATAGAATCAGTTAACTCACCTTTGGTTTTGTTCCAAGAATGCTAGAAAAGAGTTTATCTTTCTTTGGTGTTTGTTTCTCGACGTCACTAGCCTCGCTATCATCTGTTGATAGCCTCTCTCGAGGACCGTCTATGACGTGGCATTCGTTGCTTCCAGCTACAAACAAAATGTTAAATAATTTGGCTTCATCTGGTAAGAATGTCTACTGTGTATTTTCAAGTTTTGATATTTAAGGCAGTCAAGGAGCTTGAGCTGCTACAAAAGCAGGATCAGTGTTATCAATCTCAATAGGAAGATTTTGATAGCCAATTTTAACGGAGGGTATGAAAAATCTTTTAAGCTGCCAACCACCGTGCTATTGACCAAACGAATGCCTTAGTTGGCACAATTTAGATAACTACATAATTTAAAGCATCGATGTTTGATGGGAAAATGATAGAGGGCATAGATTCTAAACTTGGGTTAAATGATAAAAGCACAACGTTTCTGAAAAATAGATTTATAATACCTACATCTTCCAGATAAGAAAGAGCAGGAATTACAAATTTCAGGTATGGGAAGTCCGAAAAATTCGTTTCCTCTCAAAATTGGACATCCTATGCTACAATGTCTTGATAAAGTTGGTCAATTCTTGATTTCATTCAGCCTATAAATTTTTACTGTCATAAATCATATATTCAGCAAACTTTCTTACATACGGTGGAGAAAATGCTCCCTTGCAAGAGCTCCTTTAAAGCAACGTTCAAACTACTCTAAATAAGCACAAACAAAAACAATGAGAGGAAAGTAGACTCACGATTGAAATCAACAACCACCCAGTCAGATTCATTGTCACTATTTGACTTTTTCTCTTTCTTTGTCTTTTTCTTCTCTCTTTTGGCCTCCTTCTTTTCCTTTATCTTACTCTTTTTCTTCTCCTTCTTTAACTCTTTCTTTTCCTTTTCAATTTCCTTTTTGCTTTTCACGACCTCCTTCTTCTTCTTATCTAAACTGATCCCTGGCATTTCAACATCCCTCTCGGTGTCATGCGGTAATATCTCCAAATACACCGGCTCATCACCTTCATTAGCCATGTCCGCTTTACCTTTAGGTAGTTTCTCTTTATCAGCCACAGAAGCAGGGACTTCACTGGTCGTTCCTTTATCCGAAACTTCTGCAATAGAGCTTACTAGCGACCTCTTTTCCCTCACATCTTCTCCCAAAGCATATGGAATATTGACAGGAGCCTTTTTCTCTTCGGGTGAAGACAACAAATCCTTCTCCTCTGGAATGACATCTTCCGCAGTCTTTTTTGGCTTTTTCTTCTTCAAAACAAACTTCTTCTTCTTTGGTTTGACCTTCCCGTCTTCAAGTTTGTCCTTACCAGTTGACTCTTCTACTTCATCTCCTATATCGATATTTACTGACACTGGCCTTAGCTTCATCCCTGCATCTTCCTTTTTGAAATCTTCATCCAATTCCAATCGCTTCTTAAACTTAGGGCTACTAGGCTGGCCTGGTACAATGACCTCATCAGACAACAGATCCCTTTCAATCGACTTTCGCAACTCCATGCTCGGTTGCAGTTTTCGCAAATGCTTACGTCGTTGATTACTTTCATCCTTGAGCTCAGCTCTCCTCCGAAGGTCTTCACCGAACTCATTATCCTCGTTCAATAGCTTCTGCAAAGCCGGCGTCGACACTGCATGCTGTATTTTTGTGCTTGGTGGGTAGGCCTTGCTGGGAGATAAATTCTTCGATTGCATTCTTGTCAAGCTTGGGTGTCGAACAAGAGTCTTTGCCTCAAATTTATCATAAGGACTGGAAGAACGCTCTTTCAAATCATTTATGTCACTAACTCGTGTTTCCATAGCGGTGTGAGAGCGATCACGTGGTATTTCACCTGGCAAGGAACTTTCCTCTGGAGCAATGATTTCTGGGAAGGTCTTTTGAAGGGAAGATGGCTGTATAATTTGTGTAACGGGTCTTGCTCGTCTTGAACGACCAGGGCTGGCAACCGCTGAAAATCATAATAAATAATAAATACAAAATGACATAAGAAATATATCAAGATTTAAAAGATTATAGATACGGGAAAAGTCAGGCTTTTTCATGAGATTTACATACCAAATAAAGGCACAATACAGGCCAAACATAAATAAAGTCAAACCTGAAGATTAGTAGTTACAATATTAAATCGTTAGAAGAATCTTTAGATTGACTGAAACTATTTCGATTGCCAGAAACTCCTTTACAACACCAGTGAATGGCTAGTCATTGCAGCAAATGGCTGGCTTTTGCTCTTTATATTTACGAAAAAATACTAGCCCTCTTGAATCCAAGCGAGGAGACATTGCTTGTAAAACATCTCCAAAACAGTTCTTAGTTATCTTAAAGCTTTGTTTAAAAAGAATTCCTTAAAGCTTGCTCAAGATTCACTAAACAACTGAGAAGAGTTTTGATTCATTGATAAATTTATTGAAAAGGTTTAATTCATCTAGCAAAAACTTGTAAAAATTCTAAGAATAATACTGCCTTAGAAAGGTATATATTAAACATACATAAGGACACTGACATAAATTTGAGAAACAAATGCAGTAAAACGTGAGACTGTGGTGAGAAAATATTCTAAGGTGCTGTACAAAAAACTAAGCTTTATCCAGCAAAAGTGAATACCGTGCTTCATTAAAAGAACCAATTTGGAAAGCCCCAACACAGAAGTGCGAAGCATGTCTGGTAAGCAACGAATAAACTGCAATTGAACTGATAGGGTCAAATCTGCAAATCATATAGACACACTACACAAAAGGCAAACGCGATGCTTTTAGTTCAGCGTTCGGATTTTTAGTGTTCAATAAAACTTGTTTCTCTAAGCATGGGTTTCTAGCACTTTATTTAAAATCTACCGAAATCCCCTCGTTTCACATCTTGTACATTATCTTAAAAAAACCATAAAATGTTTAGCAGCATGAATCTGATAAAAAAAATCAAAAAAATATTGACCTTCCTTTTGCTCGTCTGTAACTGCCTTGGGTTTTTTGTACAAGATCCGATTGAAGTGCATTTTGCAATAGAAGCTTCCGTTTTTGCCATCATCATCATCATCAGCATCAAAAGCATAGTTTCCAAGCAACAGGTTGCATTTGCACACGTTGCAGCGGAAGCATTGTCGATGAAAAAACAGACCCTCAGCAGACATTCTCTCCAAAACATAGACTCTTCGTTTACAGAAGAAGCACAGCTCACTTTCTGATAGCTATGAGAGAAAAAGCAAGTTAATTTGCGTGTAAATTAGTACCTGGAAAGATGTTTTTTTAGTAAAGATACAATACTAAATTGTGAGTCGAGAAAAAGACGTAGCATATTCGGAGTCGCGTGAAAGGTAAGAAAAAACTAGCTGGTCAAAACAAGACTAATTTTGATATATAGACTAAATTCGGTTAAAATTCTCGATTCCCCCTTGGCAAAATTATTGTTTTCTTGTGAGGACTCTTCAATCACGTGAGACACTAGGGAGCATTGATTGGTCAAGACATGACCAATCCAGTTCATCTTCTTTCTAAGTGGCTCTTTTAAGTACAAATTTGGAAAGATGATAAGATTCTTCGCCAAAACAAACGACTTTAGGCCTAACGTCTGAATTGATGATTTTGGCTTTGGAGTAAAATTTCGTTTTTCTGTTTCTCTAAAAAGCAAAGCTTTTTTCTGTTCACGAAAAGCGTATTTTGCTTCTTTTTCAAACGTTCAAATAGAACTACTTAGACAGGATTGCGACCGGAAGCAGCCACGTACCAAATTATTACTGAGTTCCAATTCATTGTTGACGCGAAGTTAAAATGGAAATTTGTGTTAGTTCTGTTCTGCTCCATTGTAAAGAGAAGCAAAAATTGCATCTAGATATCAAATAAATGAATCTCTTTATTACTCAACTTAACAGGGGATTTAGTCGCCCTTTGGCCCCTACATATGCTTTAATCCTATGAGTGTTGGACGGAGAAATGTAATTTAAAGCAAGAAATGCAATCACAAGCCCAGAAAGAGAAGGCAATCTCATCAACATGATAGGATGATCCAGAAAATCACCTCACGCCTTTTTCAGATTATAATTGGACTTACAGATATTGTACAAACATGACAATCACTCATATCCTACGCAGTGCCACAGAAGGACATTACTGTATCAATTAGACCTAAAGCCTACGTCCCCTGTGGTAGCAAATACAGACGCCTAAACCTCCTGCTATGCTAACAGAAAGTCGGACAAAAAATTATGGAATCTTATCGAAGAGTGACAGATCCGGTAAAACATTTTACAGACTAGATTTCTTTCTCTCGACACACCAAGGGTATTTTCAAGAACCCGGAAATTTACTAGACACCTCCCTACTTCAGGCCTATTTCCCGACAAACAATGCATTGCAACGCGGTTAAGATTGTCCGTGGATCTGATAGCAGGGCGAGAAGAGAGGATATTGGACACTCTGATGCGACCGCAAAATAGTATCCCATGAACCCTTATATCCGACAACACAACTGAAATATTCTTAACGGTCCCGACACATGCGACCAGTAGGAGTTTTCACACGCCAAAAGTGAGATTCATTTCCACACAGAGGAAAACGTTAAATATGTTCAGGCGCTGCTATAATTTCTATATCAGCTTTGAAAATGTTTCAAACTCTTTCTTTGAGAAAGTTTGATATTGAGGCAGCCGCAGAATTCAGGGGGGGGGGGAGCTCCAGCAGATGCTGTGGTGAGGGCATTCGGATTAAAAGGCATCTTAGCTTAAGCTAGTAAGGTTTGGATATATAGGAGTATACAGATCATGAGTTATCGCTCGAAAATACTCTTGCAAATGAGAAAATGATATTGCAAAGGAAATTGAAGAGAAATTTGTCAAAAGGAATTGAGGATATGTCTTGACAAATTTTAGTAAAGTAAATGCAAATAGGGGTTCCGATCCAAAATCAAGTAAAAAGAAGGTTTCTTCACAAACAGATAATAGCAATTCCTCCTAGAAACTGAATAAATATTCAAACCAAGAAATATATTCCAAAAACGGTAACTTTCTTAAAAATATTTCTTTAACATTTTAGACAATAAACAGAGTCACTGAGATGTTACAAGCGGCCCCTAGACTGCTTGGATAAGTGGAACAATTGCACCGCTTCCCTCTAGTGGGCATCACAAATCATTAAGGAGCATGCCTTCTAGCCATCTTCCTGAGTTTAAGAATATCTATCGAGCTATAGCAGAAATTATCTTAAATTAAAAGCAGAATATTTGAAAAAATTCAAAAAACTCACAGTGGCTTCAGCCTCAGCAACGGCCTGCTTCGTTGGAACACCAAAAACACTTTCAGCAAGCATATTAATTTTGCTTGTTCTTTTCGACTGGTTTTGAATGACGTCAGTCTCACTCTCCCCTGTTTGCACGCCGGTTATAACAAACACTGATTCGCCAGAATCATTTCGAGGCCTAGACTCGTCTTGAATTGATGGGAGAGCAGCCTCGTTCTTTTGTTGATTAGCCATTGGCTGCAATATCTTCAAAGGCTTTTCGACTTCTTTCTGTTTCTGCAAATATGGTTGGTGTTCCGGTGAGGAATTCACATCACTTTCATCCTCTAAAAGTGCTTTTTTCTCGAGTAATTTTCCACCTTTCTGTCCATCAAACCTTTTAAGATTTTTGTTTCCAACAGCAGCCTGAATTCATAGGAAAACAAATGAGAGCTGGTGAAAAATATTAGTGGCAAATCATTGTGAGGAAAAAAGGTGTCTTGATAAAGAGGAATTTCCTGTTAGTGGTTCATCTTTATAAACAGCACAAGCAACAAAAACAATGAACGCAATATCCGCAGAGGACAATCAAATACCTTATTTTCTTTGTTATCTGATCTTTCTTTTGTTTTTCTAGACTGCATGTTTCTAGTTTTCTGAAGGAAGAAAGAAACATGAAAATGCGAAAAAGTATTATGTAAACCTTTATGTAAATATAAAATTCATAAATGAAATCCAATAACAAGATAAAAATAAGCAACGATGGTTATTGACAAAATCACTGTGAGGTGTCAATCAAGAAAAGGTTAGAGGTTCTAGGATTTGAGCTCGAATTGATAATCAAAAAGTTAGACGCCAGAATCAGAACGAAGATTAAAATATGATAAATCGCGATGATTTATCAATTTTTGTTGCATTGAAAACAATTTACGAAATATAATTGCAAGATGCTCGAGTTTTCGGCATTTGTTTGACAATGTACAATAAAATCAAACGGTTTGGAATAGACATTGTTACTTTCAAAATCTTATTTTGGTTGACTTAAGTAGAAATGGCCAATCTAATATGGTCGTTAGATTTTTAGTTACAGTAAGTAACAAATTATCTTGAAAAGCTGGTTGTAGCAGCCTCGCAATGAGCCAGGGAGGTTGTAGCAGCCTCGCAATGAGCCAAGCTCTAGCATACTCAAAACTGATCACATGTCATTAAATGTCAAAGAAAGATATGCAACGATCCTGCGAGGAGTGATCTCAAGTTGAACTGGCTCAAAGTCACTAGCGTAAATGGAAAACTGCAAACCTTTTTAGACTTTCTTGACAGTCTGGCGATAATTGTGTTTTTGTTCGCCTTCAAAGGAGATTTTCTCGGCGATTCAGGTCCCGGTGATGGTAGTTTTGACTTCGTGTTTGTTCCAACAACGGCTACAAAGACAACAAGATTCTTCATCTACAAGTAACTGTTTATATTGTGCTCGTTAGACCTAAATTCGAAAACCTCTAATTTACGTGCTTTAAGCATTTTATTCCGAATTTAACCATACGTTGGTGTGAGATTCATACAACCAATATTGAAAGTTTAGATAACCAAAATTGCTTGATAATAACTTGACGGTCAAATTTTTAGGTTTTAAAACCTTATAGATGAATACTACTTACTTTATATTTATAATGTATTGTGACTTGGTTTTTGGATAATATATTAAATATATTTGGATTAAAGATATGTCCCTTTTACGCCGAAAAATCCCAGATTTGAATCATTGTCAAGTAGATTAATCTAAAAGGTTACGTAGTTTTTAATGACAGTACAAAACATTTTTTTCCCAAATAATCTTCCGAAAACTTTTTATAAAGATCTCATGTTTACACTACCGTGATGAGGATGACAAGAATGCGTGGAAAATTCTCATTGGCACTGGGCATGTTGGGGATGACCCTAACTTCAATCACCTTGTTGGTATGGACTTATCTGCAGATACGCTCAAAGGTATTGTGGTTTCATTCCAATTCAAAAGAAATACTTGATATTTGACAAAGAGTTTACTATAACCAGCTTCTTTGCTGCAACAAAAGTTGTAAAAATAAAAAATAATGGAACCATTTTTTTCAAGATTAGATGACGGGCTAAATGGAGTGGCTAGAAGACGGGCTAAAAGTACACCTTAAAAAATATCCTTAAGCTTTTTGCCTGACATTTTTCAGTGTATATAACGTCTGAATAATGAGCGAAAAGGCCAAGAAACATATTTAACAAGTTATGGGTCGACAAAGGCCAATTAAAAGAGCGAGACTGTAAAAGTTGCCCAATCAGTGCTGCTTGTCTGTTATTGGAAATATTACCAATGGAATCCAAGGGAGAAAAACTCCTACTGTCCACACAATAACTGATTGCAAAATGATCGTACACCTGCCAATTATCCGAAACTTTTTGCGATTATAGCTTTTGTATTTTTTGATACAATTTGGGTTCTCGAAAAAGATTTCGATCGTTAATCTAACGTTCTATACTCTAAAGAGTATCAGATCGAAAGCTTGAGTATCTTTTAAACTATTTACTTTTTTCATAGGCATTTTTAAACATCGTACCATCATAAATATTTATAAATTATGGCCTTCATTATATTCTTATGAAGTTTATAACTTGAATTTTAATGTGGTTTAATTTAATACCAAAGGTGCGTAGTGTGTTCCAGAATAATACTCGAGGTTTTTTCGAAACTTCGCCATCAACTTCATCTGTTTCTTGAGAGAGCAAAATATCATAATGAGAATCAGAAGTAATTAATATTATTCTTTGGAAAGAAAAAGATATTATCAAAAACTAATTTAATAGTTTATAGTAAATGTAATAGCATTTGATTTAAATAAATGTAATTATTAATATAAGAATTATGAACTGATCACTTTAAATGCTTTATCAACGGAACAAGGTTAAGTACAAACCGGAGGCTAACAGAGCAAAAATAAATGTATGGCAAAAATCAACGTGCAAGAATAGCAAAAAACAACTTGAAGAATGGCAATTTCAATGTGCAAGAATGACAAAATCAATGTGCAAAAATGGCAAAAGCAAGAATGGCAAAAAACAATGTGCAAGAATGGCAAAAACAATGTGCAAAAATGGCAAAAGCAAGAATGGCAAAAAACAATGTGCAAGAATGGCAAAAACAATGTGCAAAAATGGCAAAAGCAAGAATGGCAAAAAACAATGTGCAAGAATGGCAAAAACCAACTTGCAAGAATGGCAAAATTAATGTGCAAGAATGGCAAAAATCGATGTGGAAGAATTGCAAAAAATGTGCAAGAATGAAAAACATCGACGTGCAAGAATGGCAATAATCAATTTGCTAGAATGGCAAAATTCAACCTGTAAGAATGGCAAAAATCCATACCTGGCAGTTCTCCCTTGAAAGCATCGTAAAACAAAGACAGGTAACTAATGACTGTCAATCTGTCTGGAACGGCACTGCTGGTGAAATCTTTACCAGAAGTTTTTGGAGGAATACCAAGATGTTCATCTGCTATATCAAATGCCTAAGAATCCATAATTATGATGTTAACATATTCATCTATTATTATCCAATAGTGAGCAATTTTAAATGCCAGTTGTAAGCATAAAATTGACCGGCATGGACAGAATCAAATATTTTTTTATACAACTGATTAACTCTAATGCGACAAAATAAATTTAAAACCTATAAAAAGCGTTAAATAACGTATTATTGCCATTGCTTTTCCCTTCGGTGGAAAAAATATTGGGACAAGTTTTAGGTGATGCTTTAAAGTTTTAAGAGAGTCATTCATTCAGATGTTGGAAATAACCCTTTCACGCATTTGATCCCGAATGCACGGACAAGGATGACAATAATACTGCACTCGTTAATTATTGAATACAGTATGATATGGGTAAAAATTTAAAATAGAAAAATAAAATAAATGTATTTAGAAAATTAGCAGACATCATTTAAGAACAACAAAACATTCTTACCAACTGGCAGTTCTTCTCAGCATCGTCGTCATCCAGTTCAAAGAAGTTCCTTTTTAAGATTAAAGAAATAAGGGCTCATTGAAAAACTCAAGAGCTTAGCAATTAGTGGAGCAGATAAAAACGTGGTACGGTGCTCAGAATATAGTATTTGGTCTTTACAAACATCTTGCTATCGGGTGCTTCTATTCTACAGGAGCACAGTGGCTGGGGCATGGAGGAGGGAAGGGGCGGGCTTACAGCTCTACAGTTTTCAGAAAATTTCACTTCTTGTAGCACTACAATATTAAAAAATTGCCGAAATTCTGCCTATTGTTTTTAATTTACGGCTTTCTGGCTTATTGGGGGAGAATATGTGATCACAAAACAAGATACTAACATACTTGAGAATGTAATAGTGCTTTATGATAAAAGAAGCAAAAAAAAGTTCCAAACAGTTATTTCTTAGAAGAGGATAATTGAGAGGCATGCTATAAAAAGGTACTTTCAGGGAAGAGACAATAACGGAAAAAGACAATAACAGGAAGAAATTTTTCTGTTTTTCCTTAAAGGTGGTTTTGTAAAACTATTGTTTAAGCATCCAATTATTATCGCACAGGTCAGGAATAAACAACAAGTCTCAACTTGCACTTGAGCTAATAAATAGCGCAAATATTCGCAAAGACATCTGCGAACTATTCTATAGAATAGAGTATTAAAAGATTGTTGGTGTATGAAGACCATATTGACAAGGGAAAATGCTTGAACCGTGGGAAATTTTGAAAGAGTTCTCTAAATTGAAATACAAAACAGAATATCGCTGAGAAAATTCAAAACAATGAGAGCATTTCAAAATCACAAACACATACAGGTACTCCTTCCACCAATATTACAAACAAACAGGTGCCTAAAAATAACAACAAAATGAAGTAGCTTGCTTACAAAAGGTCGGGTCGATATCGATTAATGATGGCACAAAATCCTAAACCGCTTTTCCACGAAATAGCCAAATCAACTATTTTCACTCCAGGGTAAGCCTTGGTCTGTTCCTGGCACCAACGTAGTAAACTAAATGCATCTATGTTGCTTTCTCTCTCTGCTAGAATAATAAACAACAAAATTACGTCAGTAATATTTCACAGGAAACAGAGAAAAGGTTAAAATGTAGTTTTCTAGCGAAAAGCGTTATTAACCAAACAAAACTATTTCAAATGCACAAAATAGCATGAATGGGTTGATAAGTGATAAAACTCGATCAAATTCCTTCAAAATATGTTGAACTTCAATATTCATTCTTCAATGACAGCTACGTCTGCAATGCATGTACAGTTCTGTCTATAAAGCAACTAAGCACCATTTTGACAGAAAATGATTTTTATTTCCTGTATGATAAACGCTTTTTATCGCAAAATTTGAGGCAATCCAGGGGGAACACTGTCTAAGACCTTGGAAAATGACCGTTTTATTGAGACAGGGTGACCCTTCCTTTCTGTCGCTCTCCAAGGTTCAATGCTCCTGAAGTCTCTGGATTTAAATGCTTCAGTAAAGTATAATTAATTAAAGAATAAAGTATGACAAATAAAAGTGAAGAAACTCGCCTTGTTTTTTAGGAGAAACAGGCAAGGCTGATTGCTTTGACATAGTTTCATAGTCGATTGTTCTGAAGGGGATGTTTGACTTGTCATACAAATGTCTCACAGCTTCCTTCTTTATTGATCTTGCATTCAAATTTGGATACCTGAAGGAAAGGAATATTCCTTTAAATATGCCATTTTAGTTGAAATATGTACTGTGTCGCTTTTTTGTTCTAATACTAATAAAAAATCATCACTTTAACCAATCTAATCAATATAAATTAACCCATCAATCCTGACTTCGCAACATTCGCAAAAACTATATGAGTGATGTTTATGGAAAGAAAATCTAGGGCTTTTATACCTTTTCAAACAAGAGTGTTCCATTTTAGTATATTTAATTTTGGTATTTATTTTTGTATTCATTTTTGGTATTTAAATTTGGAATTAAGACAAATTGAATTTGATTTTTCAAAGCCATTTTTAAATTTTGTACCACCAAAAGGTTGTTTACAGATTGAATAATCAAAGATAATATAAAGTGTAGTTAAAAGAACCAGGAAACCTTGTTGAAGGATCAATTGAGTATTTCTGGTGGTCTGTAAGCATATTTCCAGGTTTTGTTTGAGCCAATAATCTCAGAATACTTTCTCTCTCCTGGATAATATCCAAGGGCTCCTTGCCTAGGCCAAGACTTCTAACAGCCCATGCTGCATCAAAAGCACTCAGGAAGCCTCTAGCACAGCCTGATCCAGTTGGCCAAAATGGCTGCAAATAGAACAATCTTAATCAATACTTAAAAAATACAGCATTACTTTGACATAAGGCCATGTCAATATAAATGCTGGTTTCCATATTACCAGTAAATCATTTCTGCTGTAAAGAACACCTATCCCCACAATCCTCTAATGGTTCTCTCTATCCTCTTTCTCTCTATTCTGACTAAAAAAATTCCTGCATGCTTAAAACCTAACTCTTATTGAAATGAAAGCAGGGCCAGAAGCCAATTTTAACATTTGACAGATGCACACACAACATATGTGCAACTCTACTACATGCCAAAATCTAGAATTTCATTTTCTGAATTTAAAATGTTCTGCTAGGGAGAAACTTCTGCTTGGTGCATGCATAAGATCTCATTAAGTCGGGAGTATTATTGCAGACTGGGTCTAGAGCTCGGACAATAACTTGTAGCCTTTAAAAACATCCTTATCCTTCCATCAAATGCTCTTACAGGGGCACAGGGCCTGGGAATGGGGAGGGGCTTACAGTCCCTTTAAAACATCACAATGAATCAGAAACTTTGCAACCGGCTTAAAAATTCTAGCTTTCTGACTACTAAGAGGAGAATGCAGCTTTCATGGAGTGGGAGAAAAGGCTCTCACAAACCTCAATCAAGGTATCACCAACAACTCCCATCAAAATTCTTTTTCCTTTTCTCTCTATAATTCTAGAAGCGTTTTCTGCAGCATGCATAGAAGTAAAATCAAACATAGCAACATCTTCTTTTCCGTAATGATTCATTGCAAACTCATGGTGAGGTAGTTTATAGTTTGTTGAAAAATCAACAGCCTGTGTTGCATATTTCAGCAGTGATGGTTGATGGACATTTTGTGGTGCAAGGAGTTGATATGCATCAGAATTGTCCTAAAAATGAAACAGATCTGAAGTATCAGTATGAGCTAGGAGAGCGGTGTGCCACAAGATGTCCCTAAAAGTTGCAAATACAGTAAAGAAGTTATCCCACAAAATAACAGATTGGTCAACTCTCCTTGTTTTTCTGGGGGATTCCAATACTTGTGTGCTTCCTCAGGGTCTCCTGGCTTTTTAAATGTTCTCGTTGCTTCTTCATTTTCTTCTAGCAGATGCATTCTTATAATAAAAATTACTTCAATGACCTTCTTCATGAAAAATTAGTGTTCACAAATTACAAAAACACTAAAAATCATTATGAAGAGGTTTTTCATTTTCAGAAACTGTTTGTTCAGCATATGATTTTTGGAAACAATTCAACAAATTCTTTACGTTTTGGCAAGTTTAGTGAGACAGGTCACAAAATTACTAATTGATTACAAAATTGATACTTGCTTGAGCTAAATCTGTCTCAAAATATAACATTTACCTAAGTCAACATAATTTATTGATGAAATGGAAAAATGGTTTCCCCTTCTCACCATCTGAATCTACACAAATTAGTGAAGATGCAATCTAGCCTGTCAGATGCTAAATCAGGCCTTGCCCGGAAAGGCGCTTGATCGAGCGCGCGCGCGCCTAGAGCGCACCCAGAAAAGGCCTTGGAGAGCGATTTATAGAGCCCCTCAAAACGTAAAATCAATATTAACACGAAGCAAAATAAATTTTTGGAATTTGTTGAATCAACTTGATCAAGCATAAACAATCTTCCCAACAGACCGCAATATTATGATTTGCGTAAGATAACCCTTTGAGAAAAAATTCAGCAAATTCAATGTTGGGTTTTCGATATCATTTTAAATCTAATAACCCTCTAATAACCATCAAGGACACAGGCCATCAAGCGTATTCTCCGGCAGATTTATTTGATTTTCGAGCAAGCGTTAATCTTCTATTGAAGTATATATTATTTTCTGTTTTTCTTAATAACTTAAAATCGCCTGTGCAAATCAGCGATCACGTTTCCGTCCAAATGATCGCATTGCTTTTCATTTGCTTTTGCGAGTAGTAGATGTTCTAGCGTTTCTGATAGAATGGATAACATGAAAAAAGGAAACAATTTTTAATGTTCGATTTAAAGCCATGCCTTTTGATGAAGCAATATGTGAAGCTGAACATAACAGTAGTGATACTGACACTGATAAAAGCTCATCAAATGATGGCAACTTACATATCTAGAAAAATCTGAACAATTTTGCGACTTTGTTTTATTATATTTCTATATTTATATTAACATAGTGTTTGTTGCATATTTTGTTTTTTCATATTATGGTGCTTTCTGGTATCACCATTGAATTTCATATTTAACATTCTTCCGAAGCTTTGGTATGAAGCTCTCGATCTCCTAAAGGTCTCGAAGGATGCTCTCAAGGAAATTTACTTAGAGGTGCGAAATAGAGCGCCTAGAGTTTCTAAGGGGCTCTTTTTATGGAGCACCTTCATTTTACTTAGAGCAAGGCCTGGCTAAATGTGTCATACAAGTGCATACCTCTTTAATGACTCCTTTATCTAGTAAACTTCTCTTCTTTGCAGTCATTACAAAATAATGTGTATCATCTTTGTAATATACAATATTTTCCAGATCTATCCCTGTTTTATCTTTCAGTTCTTGAAAAAATTGTTGATTATAAATAAATGCAACACCACTGATTTCTTCGATAGCAGCCTCCACCTGGGTGTTCTTGTTGACAAAGTTCACTGTAATTCCAATTGCTAACTTTCCTCTGAACTCCTTTCTTTTAAATCCTTTCAATAAATTCCTCCTTCCATCAGCCCCTACAATAGCATCTATATCCGTATTTGCAATGTCAGCATGACTTGGTGATGTTTTTACCCTCCACCCATGGCCTGGAGATAAAAAAGGTATACTTAAATTTGGAAATTTGAATAAAAATAACACAGTTTTATTGCATGCTTGAAGCAATATATTTTTTATCAAATGGTGTGATTCGTAACTTCCTGTTCAAATCACACAGAAAAGCAGTAATATCTCAATATTGGATTTTTAAGCTTTGTGGCACCAAAGAATGATACAAGTGTTACAGACACCCATAAAACATCTAAAAATAAGTTCCTGTTTGCAATGGTCACAGAGGTGATGCCAGTTCAAAGTGGTTCTTTCATCACAAGCGACCAGCACAAAAAGTTTCCACTTGCTTACCAGGCATATCGAAAAATGCGCTTCCCTGCATGATGAATGCTGTACTTTGAAAAAAAATCCCAGAGCAAGAAGAAAATGCTTCTGTTAAAAAACAAACCTAAATGCAAATGGATGAGATGCTACTTTTTGGGAAGCAGGTGCGTGACAAATTGCAGTCACACCTCAAACTGAGAGGCCTGATGACAGTATATGAAATTGCCTGATGCCGATTTCATGACAATTTATTATAGTATATCAAACAGAGTTCTTTGCAGGTTCACCAAAGAGTACTTTCATTCTACAAATACTGATGTCATCACAAACACCTGAAATTTTCCTCAAATTTCTAAACCTCAGTGGTGCGAGGATGGTTCAGTCACAGGCAACAGATCCAAGGGTCTGGTGTTTGAGTCTCTGGCATGACCAAACTTTCACCTAGAGTGAGGGGAGTCACCAGCTCCCTGCAATTCCAGGTGTAGGAAGCACAAGGCGTGGTCACATCAAGAAGAAGGACCAGGGCACTGCTCAATAAACAGCTTCTTAGTGTTCTTCAAACTACCTCCAGATGCTAGGTAAATAACAAATAACAACAAACGACAAATAACAAATGCAAAATGCATCTGCAGCTGCTGAAAGAGTAAGGGTTTATTTATTTTGAATTTTTTAACAGCCTTGTCATTTTTCCAATACTCAATATTTCAAAACAACAACAAAATTGCTTATAAGTAAACAAATTCACAGGATACCTTCAGTTGGTTCAAGTAACTCATCAAATGATGTTTGTGCATAAACCTGTACACCAAGAATCAGGCAGACTTTCAACAGGATACATTGGAGTTTGCGTATACCTGAAAAAATCGTCAAAAAGAAAGCTTATTCTTGTGATCAACATAAACCCCTTTTAGGATAGAAAATTTTGTAGAAACCGGGTACTATTATTAAATTTATTTTAACTTCAATTTTATCCTTATATGATTTAGGATAGGCCAGACATAAGCAACTTCTTCTTTCAACTCCCTGTGCCTTTTTTCATTGCCTCTTTAATTATTCTAACCATAGTTTCATTCTTATCTGATTTCATCTTCCCTAACTTCTCTTTTGTTGCTTGCTTTCTTTCATTCTTCTTCTCAGTTTTCCCCTTGTAAGTTTAGCTCTTATATGATCCCTTTCCTTCTTTTTTCATATATTTTTAGTCAAAAGTTTCAACTTTCAACTAAGAAATCAAAAGATCCTCAATGCCATTAGACCTTCTGTTTATATCAGGTATCTAGCAATAAGCTGTAAAAGTCTAATTTGAGATGTCACAATGAAGTTTCTATCCAAATCTTTTAAAAGAACAAAATATTGTAAAAAAGGAAACGGGTACTTGCAGAACAATCATTTTATCAATATCTCTTCCTTTTGACCAAAATTTGTTCAACAGGGTCTATTAAACTTGCATTGAAAGGAGCAAATACTGATGATTCCATTATTCAATTTGCAGGTACTAGTTGTAGTATGTAAACAACGGTATGATGATGAGTTTATGATAAGCTAGATGCTGATGCCAAGCCTAGTCTATGAATTACTATATTTTTGCATGTGGAAGACTTAAAAGGCTCTTGAGCAACTAGTATGCTTCAGTAGCATGCCACAAAAAGGGAATTGATTGCATTTTGTATTTCTCTTGGTGACCATATTAGGCCAGTTTTGAAAATTTAGCAGCATAGCATGCTGTATGGGCAAGAGCCTTTACTACAGTAAATTCTTTCATTTAAAAAATCTTACTGGAAAGAAGGAAGTGGCTAAACTTACAATTATCTACCAATACCTTTAATTTCAAATGCAGGTAATGATTCGGTTTTATAGACTATATGGAAATGCCCTATTTTGTCTTAGTACCGACTTTGGTTCCAAAACTAAGTAATTACCTGGTTCCAAATAGGACTGATGTCTTGGGAAGAAGGTGTGAGGCGTGACACTCTATTTTTCAAATTTTTGGTGCAGAAACAAGGTTTCATTTGCTATACAGGGGTGCTTAGTTGGCAAATTTTAAATCTATTTGGCAAAATGGCTCACCTCTTTTGTTGGCAGATGAGACCTGAAAACCTCCCTGAACATAACATCTAGCAACAGCCGTGGTTGCAACATACCTGGTATATAAGTAGTCTTAAATTCTTTATTCATTGTATTTCTTAAGTGATAAAATCAATTAAATGGTAAAATGTAAAACATCCTTACTGATGTGATCCAATGAGCCAGCACAAAATTTTCCATAAAATATCTTTGCGCCAAGACTTTTAAGATCCACAATAAGGAATGGCCATAAATGAAGTACATTGTTTCTTGAAAAGCTGTCCCTTTTTTCAATAACAATTACCTCAGCTCCTAGCAGAGCAAGTTCGATAGCTGTTCGCAAACCACAAGGTCCAGCACCAATTACTACAGTCTTCAGTCTAGCACATGGCTTATTTTTATAATCAGAATGTTTGGCCCTTTTCTCAATTTTATTCCATAAATTTTTGGCCTTCCAAAATGTGAGTCTGGCAGCTAAACTTTGAAACACTGTTTTATAATTTCTAGGATTGATATCTAATGACTGACATAGATGATGGAAAGTCTGAACAGTTTCCAACAAATCTGCACTTTGTGTTACAAACTCTGAAAATATTTGTTCACTAGTCAGCTCTTCTTTAATGAGAATTTCGTCATCATCACCAGTTGGACTAAACGAATTTCTTCCGGATTCCATTTTTAACCCGAAGCAGTATTTCAATATCGCAAAATTTCAGCGCTATATTGGCCTAATTCAAAGGCAAATTGCTCTTTCAAACATTGATAATTGATGTTAATATTTCTTTGTATTCATTTAAACTTTCTTATCATGTGATACTGTTTCCCATTCAAATATCTTGGAGTTTTCTCTGCTAGGAAAAAATAAATAAACACATTCGCTCCAATTATCTCCATCAATTTGAGGCCAAGATGCACCACTCTCAGCAAAACAAAAAGCCAGTTCCCTACAGTACTAAATTGCGTTAAAAATAACACGCAGTCTATTGAACAGGAAAACTTTTCTTTACCCACCCAGTTACAACATTAAGATTTACCAATCATATTTCAAGATCTCGGCTAGCCGGAACTGATGTGATATGTCAATTGTTACATACTCAGTTCGAAAGGTGCAGTGGCCTGACCGACATCCAAAAAAGATTATTTCGCTCAAAAGTGCTTTTTTGAAGAACTGAGATCATTGACTCCAAATCCAACTCGAGAAAGGATAATTTCTGTCGTGCACAGTTGGGCCTATGAACACAATAAAAAGCGCTGATCCAAAAATGAACTGCAAAGTAAGCAACAGACTGAGATTACTCCAGATTTAGAGCATTCTGCTTCGATGACGCAATTATTAAAAAGTACTATTACAACACCATACAGTGTTAAATCGGTCTCTAGAAATAGGGAACTCCATTTTTGCTCTCTTGTCAGTCATCTTTATTCAACGAAAGTATTTGTTAGTTTTCAAACAACAACAGCAACTTGAACAGCTTTTGCTGCTCATTCTCACAGTGCACACTTGGAAGGAAATTTCCCTTTTTTAGAGGAACATTAGTCTTGGGAAGAGGAAATGAGAAGGAAATGAAAAGTGAACAAAACCCTCATTTTACATCATCGTAGGGTCCCTCAGAATTTTCCCCAAACATGTTCTTGACAAATTTGACATTTTTATAGTTTGAGTCAATTTCGTACGTGAGTCGGTCCAACTTGCCCTGACTGACACCCCCATGAAAAATTGTTTTATTTGTGACCCTGTGCTCACATGAGGGCCAGCCTATCCTTGACAGACAAGGTTAAAAATATAAGAGCATTACCAGACGGCCAATCTTTTCAGAAAAAGACAATAATGTTGGTTATCAAAGGTAATTGTTTCCAGTTTGGTTCAAATTGTGGCAAGGCTAGCAAAAATAGGGGGTTAAGGCTTCTTTCCCATTTTACTGCAACTTTAAAGCTAAGTGGGGGGCATGGCTACCCCAGCCTCCCGGTGGCATGGGCCCTGGAGCCTGAAATTATCAAGCTTTGGCAAAAAATGTTCTTATCAATTATAGGAACCAAACCAATTAACCACAGTTCTAAATGCAACAATAAAAACTAACTGTCTACACAAAACTGCAGCTAAACGTACTCAGTAAAAAGTTTCAAGAACTTTTTATCTCAAATTCAAACATTTAAAACAGTCAGTTGCCAGTTGTATCTCTTTTCTTTTTCTGTTTTAGTCGTCAATGGCTGACCTGTGGTGAAGCAACAATTATTCACAGCTTTCTTTGCGTTACATAATTCTTGGCTTTATCCAAGCACAAACAATGAAAGAAACAAGCGGATGTGCGCCCCCTGAGCCCCCTGAGCCTGAGCTCATCACCGCTACATCCCTGGTGCCAAGGAAATATACTTAAAGAGACAGCAACTGAGACAGGAAGATTATATCGCCATCTATTTACCCAGTCCTACAACAAGGGAAATCTTCCTTCTGCATGGAAGCATGCAGTTGTTTGTCCTGTGTACAAAAAAGCATCAAAAAGCCTTCCAGCCAACTATAGACCGATACCCTTAACAGCCATCCCCTGTAAACCCATCGAACACTGCATTGTACCCAAGATATGGTCTCATCTTAATAAATATAACATTATTACAAATAAACAGCATGGTTTTCGGTCAGGGATGTCATGCGAACAGGGCCGTAAATCCCGGGGGGGACGGGGGGGGACTGGACCCCCCAAAAATCTGGAGCAAAACGTTTTTTTGAGAAATTATCGTCATTTCCTTTTAAAGAAAGGAATCCCTAGTAACTGGGTTAGAACCAAACTAAGTTTTGCTGTGTTATTGCAACATACCTCAGCCACTATGCCATGGTGTCAAGCGCAAGTTGACTATTGTAGATGGCTGTTATTTATGTTTGCAGAGTGGTGCCGAGTCGGTGACGATGCCCATGAAGGGGATTAGCCTCAAATATCTTATCCATCGGTCTACCCTTAAATAAATCCCAAAAAGCATGTAAGAAAAGAATCGTCGCCATATGTCTCGACAAACCCATATTACACATATTTTCATACACGCCTTTTTACAAAAATTCTAACTCAAAACCTAGGTCATAAAGTTCCTAGTTTCTGAACCTCTATTAGTCAAATTGCGGTACCAAGACCTCCATAATAGCTCCCTAATTATAACTGCACCGGAACAAGGAACAAGGTCAAAAGACAAAGAGGGCAAAGAGTAAAATTAATTTGTGTAATTTACGCTAATTTTTAATCTGCGTAAAAGTACCACTTCAACAAAGAAGTACTTTTGCATTTAACATAGAGAGAAGCAATGACTAAACTTTTAATTATTAGAATGCAATAAATTTTGCCCAGCCTCGATTTTTTTAAGAAAATTTTCATTTGGAGCCCGAATATGTTCTTAGATACATCCTTATTTTTTTTCGAATCTGATATGGTTTTAAGAAGAAAAACGCTCGCTCTCGAATAGAAAACACCTATTCTTTCTTTCCTCCAACGTCTGTCACTAGAGTTTATGCATTTCCCCAACATCTGGCACTAGACTCTTCTCCTTCCCAATTTCTCCCAAAAACGTCGATTTTTCTATCCTGAACGGTATAGTATTTTGTTAAACTTGGTCAGCGAGATGCTTTTATAGCTATTAAGGAAGTATGATTTCAAAAATTTCCTTTCACGTCGGCCCCAACCATGGTGGGTCCTCCTACACCACTTAACGTGATTCTAAGCCCCCAGGTTTAATTTATTCAAGCTGTCTCTGAAAAATGTTATCAACTCAATTATAAAAAAGTCAACGTGCTAAGAAACATCTGTAAATACCTTCAATAGAGCTGAAAAAACCGTAGTAAATTTAAAAATCTTTTTTTGTTTAATAAGTCGTTTGCCACTCAAATTGTTTCCTTAACAGACTCCATAAATTGCTTGGTGGTGCCATGACCCACTGCACACTTGATATTCATTCGCCCTGCTGACCCCCCCCCCAATTGACATGACAGATTTACGGCCCTGCATGCGAAACACAACTAATAGAGGCTATGAATGACTGGACATCCACATTAAATCAGGGCGGTGGCCAAGTGGATGTTTTCCTGCTTGATTTCAGCAAAGCATTTGACGTTGTCCCACATCACCGTCTTTTATGCAAACTTGAAATGTATGGCATCTCGGATCTAACTTCCAAATGGATAGGTGAATTCCTAACCGGCCGAACTCAGGAAGTTGTTGTAAATGGTACAACTTCTAGTATTGGCAAGGTATCTTCTGGAGTGCCTCAGGGTACTGTTCTGGGCCCTCTGTTGTTCTTGATGTATATCAACGATATTGGGAAAGCTCTCCATAACACAATACGTCTTTTTGCTGATGATTGTAATATATATAAAAGTCCATCAAAACGAAAGAAGATGCGCACCTCCTACAAAAAGCCCTTTTTAAATTACAACAATGGGCCATCACCTGGCAGATGGCTTTTAACGTAAAAAAGTGCAAAATGCTCCGTATAAGCCATAAAAAAACTAAAAAGATCAACTTCGAGTACAAAATGTTCCAGTCATCAGCTTCACAGTAAAACAATGCTTCTGACGAAGTTTTTAAATCAGCCAAATCTATATTTGATGATGGAAATATATCTAAATTAAATTTGTACAGCTTGGAGGAGACTACGTCTGAACGATACCTTGGAGTGATTATAGATAATAAGCTAAATTTTAATGAGCACGTAAATTACATCTCAAACAAAGCCACAAAATTGTTAAACCTATGTCGCCGAAACTTGTACATGTGTCCCCCAGATGTTAAAGCTACAGCATACAATGCAATTGTCCGTCCCCACCTAAATTACGCATCAGCATGTTTCAAAGAAGAACATTGACAAAATTGAAGCTGTCCAGAGACGAGCTGCAAGGTTTACATAAGATTATCACGTTTATGGCACAGACACTCAGTTGACACAGAAAATGAAATCATTAAACTGGCTACCACTACAACAGCAACACTGCATCCATGACCTTCAAATCTTCAATAAAATTCGAAACAACATGCTCAACATCTAGTTTCCAGAAATTGTCCTTTCCTCAACCAGAAATCCGCTCAAATATCAAACAATTCAATGCCTCCACTCTGAAGCTTTCAAAAATCAATTCTTCGTAAGAACAATTCGGATTTGGAATAGCCTACCGTCAGAAATTATGAATTGCGTGAGAGAAAACAAATTCAAAGTGTCAGTGACAGAATGGTTGCGTCCACGTCAGTGGGTGAAGGTGGCCTCCACCAACACCTGGACCCTAGTATAGACTTATTAGAGACAATTGTTACTCTTTTGTTAGCCTTTTGTTATCCCTTGTTTATGATTAACACAGCTTCCACTCTGGCAATAGCCAACCTTTGCTTGGATTTGTTGAACCAAAACCAAATGCAACATTTTGTAGAAATCAGCAAACTGGAGCGCTGGGTGGAAATGGTATTAATCCTACTTCTAAGTTAATTTCCCTTTTCCATTTTTTTTTCTTTTTAGTCCAGATTGGTTGTATAGCCTTTAGTTGTTAACGATTTAAGATTGAGGATTTCAATAACAATAATCACTTTTCAATGATCACCAAGCAACGCAAAAGGTACTGAGCACCAAATGACCTATGACATTTAGTGCCACCACCTTTCGCCTGGGCGAGGCCTTGTTTTTTTCTGTAAGAAGGGAAGATGTCTATCATACGCGAATATCGCATACCACTGCCTTTAACCGTTGAAGAATACCGCATTGCACAGCTGTACTCTGTTGCAGAAGCCAGTAAAAACGAAAATGGCGGTGGTGACGGCGTGGAAATCGTCCAGAATGAGCCGTACACGAATGATCCGGAGCATGGAGGGTCAGGGCAGTATACTTTGAAGATGATGCATATAGAGAATAAAGTTCCAGCTCTCATAAGAAATCTCGCCCCGAATGGTTCCCTGGTATTGGAGGAGCGCTCGTGGAACTCTTTTCCTTACTGCACAACGGTTTACACAAATAGCTACATGAAAGAACGGTTCAAAATCGAAATTATTTCGTGGTACAAGGAAGAGAGAGTCTCCAAGAACGACAACTCAAACAAACATCACACTTTGACTGAAAGCGAATCAGCAAAGAGAGTTGTAGAATTTATTGATATTGTAAATGATCCAGTAGATCCGACTGATTACAAAGTGGAAGAAGACCCAACAAAATTCAAGTCAACAAAGACAGGGAGAGGACCATTAGGTGGAACAGAGTGGTATTCAAACTGTGAATCCTACATGTGCTGTTACAAGCTATACAAAGTAAATTTTGAGTGGTTTCAACTTCAGTCAAAGGTCCAGTCTCTTATCCTGAAAGTTGTAAGGCGACTGCTTCTCAATTTTCACAGACAAGTCTTTTGCTGGCTTGACAAGTGGCATGGATTGTCAATTGAAGATATCAGAGAAATTGAAGAGAAGACGAAGCATGAATTAGATCAACAAAGAAACAGTGAGGGAATGTGCGAACATTAGTAAATTATATCATCAAAGACATGAAATTTTTTTAAAAATATTCTAACCAAAATGAAACCCCTAGTGAATTTATTTACAACAGTCCTTTGCATCATCACACATTTCAAAACATTCTGATACGAAAGCTGTAACAACAATATATGTGCAACATTTTTTGCAATTTTTGTTAGAAGAGACAATACAGTTCATCTATTTCTACAGCTAGGAACATCAACATAGCAGATTCAGTTATATCTATTTTCAAACAGTAAATCTACATGTAAAGAAAATTTCTTTATAGCCTCAGCATATCCATCATTAGCTCAGGGTAAAGAGCTTGGTGTAACAAATTAACTTTTTCAACTCAGACACCCAGTTTTCATTATTTGGTTTCGATGTGGTGGTGTCTGTTTTATAGTAAATTCTGACAAATTTGAGGTTTGAGTCCAGAAAACAATCTGACTGTAATAGGCTGGAGGGGGGAAGGAGCTACATCACAAGAAAAACTTTCAGACCACTCCCTTTAGGTTGGCAGAGGCCTTTAGGTTGCTTTTTTTAGATTACTTGTCAACTCCCTTTAGGTATTTTGTAGACTTAATCAATTAGTTAAAATAAACTGATGCGAGAAGATGCATGATGCGACTGCTACTGTAAACACCACAAGAAATGCAGACTGGTCAGGCACCAAACCCACTTTAACACAATTTTTACCAACATTGCATAAAAAGACCACTATTCTTAGCATGGATGGATTTTAGAGAAGGATTGGGGGTGTGAAACAATAATTGGAGTTTGGGACCACACCCTTCAGGTATCTGGAAAATGGTAGAAACGCCCATTATTACAATAAAATTTTCAACTATAGAATAAAGAAGATAAGATGATAAATAAACTGGCCATACCAGGAATAAATATGCAGTGAACCGCACTCCTTGTGCCAAGGGAAAATGGGGTGCTATTTGTATTTTAGCATAATGAAGTATTTATAAACATTTATTATAGAAAGTAAAAAATTTGAGATTTTTACCCATTTTGAAAGTATTCAATTTTGCACAAGAAAATTACCTTTTTTCAAAGCTATTTGGCATATGGAATGTAAAAATTTTATTAGAAAGCCAAAAGTTACACAAATTGGAGGTTTTCAGAATTCTTTCAAAAGTGGATATCCACAAAAATGGAGGTTTTTGAAAATGCTCCAAATGAACCTAAAAAAACAGAAAAATGCACAAAAAAGGAGTACTTTTTACTCTGTTTCTGTCGGCAGTGTGAACACACAAAAACAGGGGTTTCTGAAAACACACAAATCAAATTTCAAAATGAAAAAGTGTCAACGGTCAAAACAAAAAAAACATATCTTTATTCCGTTTATGTGAGCATGGACCAGAGTGAAAGGAACCTATTGCCAGGCGCAGGAGGGCTGGGGGGTTTTCTGCACAAGATTCTAACAGCCTTCACAACAAACGAAAAGTTTTTTTGTCTAACACTCCTCAGAGTTTAAAGCGTCAGAGTAGGGGTTCAGAAGAACACAATGAAAAATATATACCCAGCTGTGGATCAAAATAGGCCAATCAAAAAAAGTCAAGCACCATGACTGTTGCAGTTGTTCAATCAGTGCCACATGCCTAAAGAAAAAAACAACTGGAGTCCAAGAGAGAAACAATAGCGGCTTTTTTACTTGTATGTAGATCGATTCCAAAACTGCTAGATGAAATGACAACTGGGCTCTGCCAATTATCAGAAACATGTTGTCATTATAGAGTTTCGCATAATTTGGGTTATCTGAAAGATGTTGACCGATGGCAGAATCATTTGTTTTAACAGTGTTTTGCACAATCTGGGATGTCTAAAAGGTGTCTCCGATGGCAGAATCACTAGTTTTCATGGTTTTTTAGACCAGCTTTTAGCATGTTGTGAAATGTTTGCTTTTTTCATCTGTTTTCAAGTTTTGTACTGCCAAAGAATTGTTCAAACTAGGAATACATACACATTCCATGATACATAAAAATATGGTCTTAAATCAAATAAATTACCAACATAAATGCTTAATAAATAATATCAATTTATGCTGTAGTCTGCTTTTTTTACTTTACCTTGGATGTTCAGTTCCTCAGGGGTAAGTCTTTCACTTTCAGGCAAATAATAATTTAAAGTTTGCAAAAGTACAGTTGTTTTTTCCATGTTTGTGCTTATTCTACTTATCAATGATTCAACTTCAAAGAATCTAGGCATATCAACAAGTATTTGGTCCATTTGCTTGTGTCTCTCATTGCATTCTTTGAACACTTTGGCTGTAAACAAATCCACTTCCTTAATTCTCTTGGTAAGAGCATTCTGATCAAATGATACTGCTTCTGCACATTCAGTTAAATGATACTGGTACCTCAACAACATTTCTGTTAAATGATCTGGGCTTAGACCAGGTATTAAATCCAAACCTTCAATAGGGATTCCTGAAATATTTTTTATGACTGGATATGTTATCCTCAGTTTTTTTAGCTTTTTTAATGTGCTATCCATATTATCTTTAGAAGCATCAGGTACGTCTTTAACTACTATTATATCCTCTATTTTTGCTTTTTGTTTCGGTGTCAATGATGGCTTGTGTTTTACTCCAGATGCTTGCATAGGGGGTTTTTCTTTGTCAGCGAATTCTTGGCTTTGTTCTTGACCCATTTTCAGCGGAACTCTGAAATAGATCAGAGATATTACAATCCTAAAAGTTTCAATTTTGAAATAATAACCCTTTTTTAAAATAAAATAACATTGATTCAATGTATCAGCTCACTTTCAGTGAAAGTAGGTTAAGAATCATCCTTGATTTTAAAGCAAACAATGTTGATATATAGATATGTTTTATTGTGTAAAACCAAAATAGCCAAAGGGCCAATGAAAAAGGCAAAACAATGGCAAAATGAAGAAAATTGCTAAATTTTGTAAGTGGAAGGGGGAAATCACCTCAACCCTGTTTCCCATGCCACAGTACTCTGAGAGTAACAACCAGAAAAACTATTGGGTAGTAATTGGCAACACATGCCTGAAAAAAACCCAGCAAGTTCTGTCGATGCTTTCCCCTAACTGATAAAATTGAGCAGTTTGCTTATGGAAGACTACAGGCAGTAATAATAAAAACAAAATAAAATAAATAGGTAAGAATGAAACTATTTAAATAGATAAATAGGTAGATGCTGAAAACAAAGTAAGAGAATAATCAGATGATTACCAATCATTCTTAAAGATAATGCTATTAACAAATGTATTAGAGAAAGTACGGTTTGCCTTTTATTAACAACATTTTTCAATTCTTTTGTTTAATAGCAAAGATCAGCACTCACCTGTAAGTGTTTTCTTTTATTGTCCTGCGTTGACAAAAGATTTAAAATATAGACACTGTTACAATACAGATACTGACTTAAGTAAAAAACAAATTTGATAGAGAAAAGGCTACCTTTATCAATTATATCCAAACCTTTGCCAAAAATTTCAACAAGTAACAAAGCTCTGACCAAATCAAATACACAGCACTTCCTCCTAAGAAATTTTGACAGCCAATTTTTGACTTCATGTTCCCCTGTGTACGAGCGCTCCTGCGCAAAACAACGCCCCTGGAATCAACTGATCCTTGATGGAGGACAAAGTACCCGGGACTGGGATATTTTAGAGAGAATAATGATGTTTTCGGAGGCAGAGGCGGGTAGGATTTGCAGCAGTTTGCCAAATGAGCAAAGCCCATTAACTTGTAATAATGCTGAAGATGAAAGTAGTCACATTGAGATGATATTTGTGAGCAAACGGCCCAGTGATAATGATGACCGAGGGATCGAATGTATGGAGATCTGTAAGGAAAATGAGCAGCTGGATGACGAAGTACTGAGGGACCAAGAGGGAACGACAGTTGGAAAGCACTGCAAAAGATGCCACGTACCAACTTGTCTAAAACCTTGCCTCCCACCTCGTGGACTTTTTGCTTATTACTTAACAAGAGGACTGATATGTTTTATTGCTTGGGCTACGATGTGGGCTGTATTAGGAGACGAGGCCTTGCCAGGACATAACTTGTTTTCACTCTTTATCTTGCTAGTTTTTGCATCTTTAGCTGGATTTTTCGTTAGTAAAATACCTTTTGTAACGTTCCCACCTCTTCTTGGCATGCTAATTGCAGGATTTTTGCTCAGAAACGTGCCTGGAATTTCTGTTGCCAAAAGCATTAATAAACAATGGTCTGCACACTTGAGGAACGTTGCTCTTGTTGTAATCCTGTTACGATCTGGACTGGGCCTAGACATCAAGGCCTTAAAACGATTGAAATGTACTGTGTTAAGGTTGGCATTCTGCCCGTGTTTAGTAGAAGCCCTCACTGTTGGCATTATTTCACACTTCCTGCTTGGGATGCCATGGCTATGGGCATTAATGCTTGGGTATGTCTGGCTCTTTTTTATTTTGTTACATGTTTTGTCAATGTTTAAGGCTGAAACCATGTATTTCACATCAAATAATCATGTTGATGATCATTCACATCAAATATAACTACTCCTTGTGGCCAGTTCATATTGACAGGCTAAGAAAAAATGTTTAGATAAAGGCAATTTGAAAGTACACAGAATGTCTCTTTCTCCATACTGGAAAGTATGTCAGCGGCACATTCAAGACTTTACACTCACTGAAATTTAGCACATCTGTCATGGACTCATTTTTGTCGAGGAGCTTGACATGACAGGGTGACTGCTTCATCAAAATCAATACTTAGAATAAAATCTACTGAAATGGAATACGTTGGTAGATTCAATAAAATAAAATACTAACAGAATGCAGATTCCCACCTCAGAGCAAATAAGACTGCTAAGTTACCTATATATTTTATATAGAAAATATTGTCATCCTATATAGAAAATATTTTATAATTTTCTGAGTCATTTAATGTATTTACAGAAAAATTGACTAATTGACTCTTTTTTCAGTTTCATTTTAGGTGCTGTTTCACCAGCTGTTGTAGTACCTTCAATGCTAAATCTTCAGTTGGTTGGTTATGGTACAAAAGAGGGCATACCTACCCTGGTTATGGCTGCATCCTCTTGTGATGATGTCCTAGCAATTAGCCTTTTCAGTGTCTTCCTTGGTATAGCATTTTCACAAGGTTAGAAATCCTTATCATATCCTTAATGTACCAAACCTGTTTGAAGGTTTAGATCCAGCTGAAAAACATGTTATAATTTCATCAACCTGCAAAACAATCTGTAAGCTAAAATTTGGCCTTGCTTGGAGACTCACTTTGTTTTAAAGATAAAATTCAAAACTAGTGTGTGCAAGACTCTGTTTTTACTGCACCATTTGGCATCACATTGCAATGCAATGACTCAAGCTCCACTTATCTTTTTTTTCGACAGGTAACTTGATCTTCAACATTTTCAGAGGGCCATTAGAGTTATGCCTTGGAATGGTAATGGGCTTGGTTGTGGGTGTTCTTCTTTGGTATTTACCAAACAAGGCATCGGTTTGTATTTAGAATTTGAATATTTTTAATCATAGAGCTCAGAGCTACTGATAGAACTGAGTTCCTTCTTATATTACATTTTCATGGCCAAAAAACTTACACATTACCTCTCCAGTATATGCATGTGGGTGGTTGAATTTGATACTAGCCAGTCACTTGTTTTAAGCTCCAAATGTTTTGAGAGAGCTATTTGATTAAATAATTTATCATAATTTTTCTGGAATTATCATAATTTATCATAATTTTCAACTTACCTGGTATCAATGGAAAGCAAAATGTTAAAATTTCAATCTCAAAATCTTGGCTTTTCATTTCTCTGATATTAATGTCTAGAAATGATTTTTCTCAGAACCTAAGTATCAGAAGGGTTGCTGGATTGAAATATTTGATGCTTAAACAGTATGTTACTTCTGAAATTTTAATAGCTTTTATCATGTGACTTTTAGCATGCTTTTAATGTGTTATCCAACAAGATAAAAAAAATTTCCATATAAACTTTTATTTCATAAAAAGTATAATTTTTTATTTCAGAGACATGCAGTGAAAAACAGGTCAGTTTTGCTTGTGGCATTTGGTCTTCTTTCCCTTTTTGGTAGTAACCGGGCAGAACTCTCAGGGGCTGGAGCACTTGGAGTTCTCACACTGGGGGCAGCAGCTGGTGCTGGGTGGAAGGAAGAAGGAAAGGTAAAAAGTAATGATCATGATATACACACACACTAAATCTGCTTACACACAATATTCTGTCAGTCAAAGTCCTTTTATAATCTTTCTTGTTGCTTTTATGGCTGAAATTTGATTACTGCAAGATTTGTGGAAATGACATTCTCTAGCTATCCACAATTTCATCTAAGAAACACCAACATCAAGCTAAGCCTAGGTGTTTCCCTTTTGTATTTTTTTCAGCCTAAAATGTTTCTAAGCTGTCCAATAAAGTTTTATCATCCTTAAAAGATAATTTGGTCTTTTGAAAACCCTGAACAAAAAACAAAATGTATCTGAACTGCTTCCGGGATGATAACATGGTTTTCTTCTGATCAAAGGAGCTATTGGTACCAAAAAAATAAATCAAATTCTTCCCAGTTGTAATAATGTTGCTGTTTTGAGTTTTAAACATGCAAGAACAAAAGGGATTATAGACCCCCCAAGAAAGGTGGTAACCCTGTAATGTAAAGTGGTATCCTTAAATATGTTGCATTTGCTTTTAATTAAATTCACAGAATTGACTTGTTTGTAAAAAACTTCTTATCTAGCTATGTTAAAATTGCTTCATCTTTCTTTCAGAGACCCATTGAGAATGTTCTAGCAATCCTTTGGACGTTTTTCCAGCCATTGCTCTTTGGCCTAATTGGTGCTGAAGTCAGCCTTGAATACCTAAATGAGAAACTTGTTGGTAAGTAAACTGATGATTGAAAAACCGTTATGATTGATACTTTAATTCTGATTAGCATAATGGCAATATCAACAGAAGTGCAGCCAATAGAGCCCAAAGACTAGTTAGTTGATATATTGAGAGAAAAAGAATAGATCTCAAAAGAAATACAAAATGTATGATGCCATATTATATGTAGCGAATATTTCTTGAAGCCTTCAAGTCAAGTCAGCATTTTTGCTGCAGGTCGTGGCCTAGCAACTCTTGCTGTGGGTCTTTTGCTACGAATTGTGGTAACATATGGTGTGGTTTTTGGAAACAAGTTAAGTGTCAAAGAGAAGGTTTTTATTGCTCTTTCATGGCTGCCAAAAGCAACTGTCCAGGTAAAAATTTTCTAACGTTTTCAGATTTTGCTTGTATATCTTAAATTTCTCAAATCATTCTTTTTCTCCATAGTTCTTAGATGTACCATTTAATCATTGCTTTATATTAATATCATTTTGTTCAAATTTTTTCAGAAGACCATTTAATGAAATACAACTTCCTCTGGGCAATATTCTCAGGCTCTAAAAAACTTTCCAATTTCAGGCCGCCATTGGGTCTATCCCGTTGGACACTGCACGGGAGCGAGGATATGCAGGTCAGTTTCAAGAAGAGGTCGGCATACAAATTGTTACTATTGCTGTTCTAGTCATCTTGATAACAGCCCCCATAGGAGCTATAGCAATCGCCATTGGTGGGCCCAAATTGCTAAAGAAAGAGCGAAAATCTCTGTTATTGAATGAAGAAGATCATGATTATAACACAAAGGGAAATATCTTTGGATTAAATTGTTTCTCAAAATAAAGCAATGAATATGAGGATATATGTAAACGACACTGATTTGTATCATCCCGACAGCGGAAAAAAGAAATTCGTTTACACTATTTTAAAGCACTCTCTAATTCAAGGTTTGACTGATATTAATCTGACCGGGGGTACTCCTCGAGAGCTGTTAGAACCAAGGATCGAGATACCAGGGGGCCGAACTCAAGTACTTAATTATTAAAAACTCAACTAGAATAAATAAAATACTTTTATTTGGTAAAATATAGCTGTTGTTACACTTATTTATCAGGGCTGCCCCCTTCCCTAATTAAAAAGTTGTATCTTGGTCTTTGGTTGGAATACCTTTCATTGACAAATTGCTATACTTGGTCATCGAAATGTATTTCCCAACGAACTCATATTTTTTTATATGAAATCTGTTAACATGAAACATATTATTCTCATCAAGATGTTATCGATGCTCAATCAATGCTTTTAGATTAGAATGAAGTTTGATACTTCTAACACTTCATAGTGATGTAGAGGGTACAGCTAAATACGTCGAGTTATGATTTAATTGCTGCGATACTATTGGTAGACCTAGGATAGATAACATGTTACCTCGCACTGATTCTCAAAACAGGCCCTGTAAACAATCAGTTGTAAGTATGGCTTCTGAGATCACGTGAACGTATGTTTATCAGACAGTCAGCACATGACCCCTTGCAGAGGGCTCCTATTTCCCATGAATCGATGTTTTCCCAATGAAATAGGAAAGATCCACATGTTCTGCATGTCCAATCAAGCCCAATGTGTATTTTTACGAGCACTTGTAAATTATTCTATGTATAGATACCAAGCATAAATTCCAGCAGTTGATTTGTAAATAAAATAAGCTGTTATATCAAATCCTTTGATTTAATGGCTGTCTCTCTCTCTCTCTCTCTCTCTGTGATTTATTTGTTTTAGATCATATACACTGCCCTGAGTAGGCCTATTATTATCCAGTGTTATTTTCATGTACGAAAAATGGGTAAATTTTCTAATTTGTTGCGGATAATCTCAATTCTTTGCAACTTGAAATGTCCAAGTAGGCTATTGCTACTGAAAGATTTGGAAATAGCGAAAAAATCAAAGATTTGCAACTTATGCTAGGTGAAATGAAATTTTCATAGTGATTTGCCCCTCGATAGTACACTATGCTCAGAGTATGGTTTGTTGGTAACCACCAATGGTAAGCAGAAATTCATATCTAGCTGCCGATCGAAAGTAACGTAACATATGGATTAAAGCGTTTGATTGGATACTTAAAGGGCCTCTCCAGCCAAAATTTGCAATTGCATTTTATTGGCTAATCTAAAGAAGTTGAACCTGCTGGTCACGAATTCGTTATTTGTTTTTCGATATTTTGTACAGTTTGTGAGATATAAGGTCTTGCATTTCGATAATTGAATTGAATTAACCGACAAAAATTGTTCGGTTTGGTGACACTGTGACGCAATTTTGACGTCACAGTGTATTTCGTTAGTCTCGCCTCAAACCGAATCGAACGTCGGCGATTCGCAAATTGAACACTGCAATTGTTGGTACTCTCAGTTCTGTTCCACCGGCTTTTAGTTTGAGCATTTCAGGTATCAATTCTGAAGCCTTTAGTTGTTCATCGTTTCTGGAAAACAACTGAAGTGTCAATTTCGATTAATTATACGCGAGGGAAGAGCTGGAACAGGAAGCCGTAGCTTTGTGGGCCTACACAGGTGATCAAAACAAAGTCGTGACCCAGCATGGACACATTCCGACCCGCAAACTTAGAATAATTGTAAACATTTAATATTTTTCGATCCTAAGACCCCGTTTACACTGTCCAGTGCAAGTTTGAAACCGTGACAAAACTGTCGCGGTTCGCCCTTCCGTTTACACTAGCACTGTGGAACCGTGATATTTTGCTCTGCTATCCGGAACAGTTTGGACCCTGCTTTGAAAGCGAACGAATTTTGTACCGTCACGGTTCCGTTTTTGAACGGGACAGTGTAAACACCTATCCGAGACGATTTTGTCACGGTTTCACAAGGAGGTCTTTTGTATGGCTGTTTGAGGAAATCGAGGCTTTGATTGTGGCGTAATTACGTTGTCAAATTCTGAAGAAAAGGAAATTCTGAAGAAAAGACGACCACAGAAAAGGCTTGTATTGTTTCCCAGTCCAAGCCTTGATTGGACTTTGCAGTTTTGTAGTCTAAAATAACACTGAAAATTAAAGCCACCTTGTCATTCGTCCAAGTAAAGTTTTTATCGGCCTTCCACTGCATTTTAACTCTCAATAAAAATTCGATTGTTGACTTCGGCGGCAAAATAAAAGCCTTGGTTGACTAAATACAGCTTCTTCTAAACAATGTTCTGCCATTAAATTCTGAAGCCATTACACTGTACCGGTACAGTGTAAACGGAACGGCTAAACGAAACAATTTGAAACCGCGACAGTGTAAACATTTGCGAACCGTAACGGTACAAAATTGTCCCGGGGCAGTGTAAACGGGGTCTGTAGATTTAGATGCAGTTATCAACGCGTGACCATGACTCCTTCACGACTCGGTGGAAGATATAAGAAATTCATGACGAACGAGAGCCGCACACTGTGACGTCAGAATGTCATAAAACTGATTCGGCTTTTGTCGTTATTTTCTCGGAAAGGTGCAACTTTAAAGCCTATTAACTTCTAAACTAATTGAAACTTTGCAAAAACAACAACTTTGCCATAATACACGCACCAAATGCGGGCCCATGACCCGATTGATATTCGAAATTTAATCTTTCAACAAGGGATCAACAAGCTGGTCTATGATGAGGACCTTTTCTTGTTAAGGTTTTTGATTAAACTATTGATGATACGATCATAATATACTTCTCCAGAAGCCGAAAAATTCGATTGCACTTACATATATCTACTTTTAGGTCAAATGTTTTAGTTATTCCTTGTGTGGACTTCCTATAAACGTAAAACTAAATCTTCCATTCACGGCGTACACCAGAGAAGAAGCACATGCGAAGAACCAAGACAAATCCAAACGCTATAAACGTCTTTATCAAAATCACTAAGCGGGATCACGATCCAACCAACCCCTGCGATGTCAACTTACAGGCACAAGTCTGGTGCTCAGAAAAGGCAGGAAAAAAAGATACGAGAAAAAGAAGCAAAGAGGGCCTCTCGCACATTGTTTGAGGTAGGTGCTTACAAAAGAGACAAGGAAGGTAATTCAACTTTCAATAAACCTGGCGAAAGCTCTGTTCAAAGCATTGCTGAAGAAGAAGAAGACACAAACGGCTTGGCTGCTTCGGTAGACCATGACACCATAGAAAGTAGAGAAAGCCCTACTAATTCATCATTAAATCAAGATACTGTTTATAGTGGATCATCTAGTTTTGATGTCGGCACATTTACCGGATTTCCAACGATAAAGGAGTTAGAAAAGGTTGTTAGAACTGGTCATTTGCCTCATCCTCCAGAGTTTCCCAAAGATTGCAACGGCCACAAATTTCCAAAAACGGTCCTAAATGTAAAGCAGCAAAATGGGGAGGTAGTAAGATGCTGGCTTGTTTTCAGTCCTACAAAGGCTGCACTCTAATGTTTGCCATGCAAAAATCAAAATTGACTTCTTCTGATTGTTGGGGAGCGAACGACAGCTGGAAAAGATTGTGTGAAATAATTAAGGATTTCGCATAAGGAAAGCAAGAAAAGATTAAGGATTTCGCCATAAGGAAAGCAAGAAAAGCAGTTTTTTAAACATTAAATTAACTCTGATTTTTAAACTGATTTGTTTTAATGATTTGTTTTCTATAGTCACTAATTACATGTTCTGTTGAAGACCTTAAAATACAAATTCAAGTGTTTCAGGGGCGTTGATTTCAAAATTCATGCCTTTTACAGTCCATCTAACTGCATTACTAAGGGCGTAGCCCAAAAAAGGTTTTTGCAGCCTTCGACGGTGCGGCCCCATGACAGTCCCAGCCCTGGGGCCCGGCCCATCTCTCGACGGCCCTGCTTGAAGACAATTAAATAAGCTATTCTGACCAGCGATAGACGATTTTACTGACATAGTAAAGATTTTGTAGAAAACCTGAAGATTCAGCGACAAACTCATCGAAAATTTGGGGGTGTCACACTCCCTAACACCAACAGCGGTTTTGGGGAGTGCAGGGCCCGAAAACATCTACGGGGCCCTTGTTCTTTACAATTTCTATCTTTTTTCTTAGGTGTGAGGCCCCTTTTGGCTACCATAAGTGCGGGGCCTGAGGTCATGGCCCCCTGGACCCCCATTGAGACCGCCACTGCCTAACACCCCCTACTGGTAACATCTATAACTGTCTAAATTACACCCAACGTTTCCCATATATTATGAATGAAAATTATTCATAGCAGCTTTAAATAAAGACAGGTTCACAAATAGAAAACAATGTGGCAAGTGGTTGTGTTGTAATAAGAACCACACTTTGAGAATGGATCAAAATTCAAAAATATTTTTCTTTGCCTAGTCCTGCTCATAGAAAATTTTTGAGGAACCCAACTGCATGAGGCAAATTCGTTAGAATCCTTGATTAGAATTGAAGGTGTCACCTTCGCCACCCCCTTTTAATTAATTTTCCGTTCTTTTCTGGAAACTTTGTCAAATTATCAAGGACTAGGCCCGGTTTGACTAGGCCCGGTTTGACTAGGCCCGGTTTGACTAGGCCCGGTTTGACTCGGCCCGGTTTGACTCGGCCCGGGCTGACTCGGCCCGGGCTGACTCGGCCCGGGCTGACTCGGCCCGGGCTGACTCGGCCCGGGCTGACTCGGCCCGGGCTGACTCGGCCCGGGCTGACTCGGCCCGGGCTGACTCGGCCCGGGCTGACTCGGCCCGGGCTGACTCGGCCCGGGCTGACTCGGCCCGGGCTGACTCGGCCCGGGCTGACTCGGCCCGGGCTGACTCGGCCCGGGCTGACTCGGGCCGGGCTGACTCGGCCCGGGCTGACTCGGCCCGGGGTGACTCGGCCCGGGCTGACTCGGCCCGGGCTGACTCGGCCCGGGCTGACTCGGCCCGGGCTGACTCGGCCCGGGCTGACTCGGCCCGGGCTGACTCGGCCCGGGCTGACTCGGCCCGGGCTGACTGGGCCCGGGCTGACTGGGCCCGGGCTGACTGGGCCCGGGCTGACTGGGCCCGGGCTGACTGGGCCCGGGCTGACTGGGCCCGGGCTGACTGGGCCCGGGCTGACTGGGCCCGGGCTGACTCGGCCCGGGCTGACTCGGCCCGGGCTGACTCGGCCCGGGCTGACTCGGCCCGGGCTGATTCAATTGGTTTCAATTGGTTTGAAATAATCATGTATCGTTAACGCGAAAGAGGGTTGAGCCCAGTTAACTTTTCTACTGCGCATGCGGAATAAGGTTTCGAATTGAAAAAGGCCGCAATTTTTTCTGCATCTCTTCACACAGCTTGTGCATTCTATTAGACTTTAAAGGGGAACTGAAGTGAAAAATGAAAATCATTTAATTAGTAGTTTTCATCGTGCTGATTTCGAATATCGACACGAAATTAGTGTTTTACTTTTCGTTTTCCTGCATTTAACGCGGAAAGTGTGAAATTTCTCCATTTCCGTGGCGGAGAGGTCTGGAGACAAGTTTCAGGCGCTGACGTAAAGTCGTGGACACGTGCCCCGATCGCAACGAAAACAACATTGTAGTAGGTAGTAGAGTGAATCGGAGGGAGGGAATTCGGTTAGTGGTTAGAATTTCAGTTCGCAATTTTCACGACAGCTCTTCAGGAATGACAACAGACTTAAGATCGAGCGACGATGAAGTGTTTGGAGCATGTGGTGGTGAAGTACTTGCCCTACCAAGGGCGAACGGGACCTGCGAAAGTGGCGATGAAGATTAGCCTAGGCCCGATGAGATCCCAGAGGATGAGGATGAATTATCTCCCGCGACGTGCTCGTTTTGTTGGTAGAAATGAGGAAGTAAATAAATGGTACGTCGATCCTTGTTTTTTTTCTTGCAATGAAGGCAAGAAATACTCAAACTCAATTTCCTTATTTCCTTATAAAAAGTAAGATACAACAGAGAATGAGTAGGCTTCCTATTATAATCTTTCCATTTCTAAAATCTGAAATAATAAGGATTATTACATGTTACAATTTAATAAATATTTGCTTTGATATAAAAACGTTTATACATAGTTTGATGTGTAGCACGGAACAGGTCGACCTAATCCACTTTTGGTTTAAAAGCTGGTTTGTTTTGTGTACATTGACAAGTATTATTAAATCTTCCTGCAATTCAGATTTTTGGACTGATAATTCGAAAATGTCAAATATTTAATAGAATTGCATAAATATGCCTAAAATAGAATAATACCTAAAATTATATCCACTTTGCTAGGTATCTACAAACAGTGGCCGATCAATGTATGGTTTGCTGGTTTTTGGGTATTTGTGCTGGAATAACTGGACAACTTTAAGTATGCATTTATCACAAATGTAAAGAAAAGAACTTTAGTCAAAGAAGACAAGAGTTTCAAAATTCTGCAGAGAGACAATGAAAATGCAAAAATCAGCTACCTACTACATATACAGTGGAGAACAGGGTTATATACAGGGGTTATTCAAAAGGACCAGACTTTTTGTTCAAAATAGCAAGAAGAGAAATTTGTTGAAACTAGTGGGACAATGGCCAAATCTTGTCAGCCCTAGGCCAAATCACTAGATTAGTCACATCAAGGGGGGGAGGGGTTGGGGATTGAGCAAGGCTTGATATTTTCAAGATTCCTAAGGTATATTTTTCAAGATATTTTACTCACATCAAAATGTGTAGAATAGTTTGGATTTGATAAAGTTTTTCTCTTACAATAATGGTCCTGTACCACCTGCTTGGTAACATTTTTTATACATAATCAGAAGAAAATGTTTTACCTTCACAGTACAATGTTCTTTTAATGTATTCTGTCACTGCCTGTTGTTTAGATACACTGTTTTCAAATTTTGAGAATGAAGTTTTTTGGTGCCCAATGGTTATATTTTTCTGAAATTTGCTTCAACTCAACATTTTTCATAGAACAGTTATGAGATAGAAACCCTGACATATCTTTTGTTAAGATAAGGTCTTTTAATAAACTTGGAAACATATACATCATTTAATGGTTGTGCTTTAAATCCTTCTCCTTTATGTACATCCTGGTATGAATTGTTTTTTGTGCCTGGAGTTATACCAGAAAATGCTTTGATATCATGTTCTATAGACAAAGCATGAGAAATCATGTTTAAAGGGGTATTTCTGAGGTTGGGGACCATTCTTATCATTTTCAGCAAGTCAAATTGTGTCGGTTTGCCAAGTTTCATGGTTGTATAGTTAACAGAAATAGATTGACCATACTAACGTATTTTGAGTACTGGGCACAAGTACCCCAGTCTAAAAATAGCACAAGGGGTATTTCTGAGGATGGGGACCATTCTTATCATTTTCAGCAAGTCAAATTGTGTCGGTTTGCCAAGTTTCATGGTTGTATAGTTAACAGAAATAGATTTACCATACTAACGTATTCTGAGTACTGGGCACAAGTACCCCAGGCTAAAAATAGCACAAGGGTTTTTTTCCCAAAATGATTCTATATTCTATCTTGTTACGCATACCGAATTCTATATTTTCACCAAGTTTCATGCTTTTATCACAATTTTCACGATTGTTATCTGTCATGAACCTTATCAAACTCACTACTACATTACATCAAAACATCTCTTCGTGTCCACCACTTTACGTCACAAGGTCACGTGACACAGTGGTCCGACCGCGTTCTCGCNGGGAGCACTCGGCCCGGGAGCACTCGGCCCGGGAGCACTCGGCCCGGGAGCACTCGGCCCGGGAGCACTCGGCCCGGGAGCACTCGGCCCGGGAGCACTCGGCCCGGGAGCACTCGGCCCGGGAGCACTCGGCCCGGGAGCACTCGGCCCGGGAGCACTCGGCCCGGGAGCACTCGGCCCGGGAGCACTCGGCCCTCAATTGCTTTGAAATAATGTATTGTTAACACGAAAGAGGGTTGAACCCGGTTAACTTTTCTACTGCGCATGCGAAATAAAGTGGCGAATTGAAAAAGGGGCCAATTTTTTTTTGATCTTCTCGCACAGCTTGTGCTTTCTATTAGACTTGAAGGTTTCGGTAAACGATTACTGGACGAAACCATTTTTCGATTTCTCCACTTTCTAGAGCCGAACTTTTAGGGCACACAATGATTCCATGTTTGAAACTAGCAGAAGTTTTGAAAATGCATAGTTTCCATAACTTCTTTATCAAAACTACTAGTTGAGGTCTAAAAATCTCTTGACCTGTTAAAGCTTCAAGTGACTTGACCCGGATTTCACTGTGGTTTACGAGTGTACCTAGCAAGTGCGATCAGTAAAATTCCGCTTTCTATGGACTTACAATTCCTCGAACTTATGGACCTACGGACTTACAATACGAAAAAGCTATTTTGTACCCAAGGAACTAATCGAATGGCTCAAAAATTTGCACACGGCCAGGACAGATGTCGGGTAAGCAAAGTGAGTCTCAAATTTGTATAGCAGGGAATCAGTTGAATGCAAACTATGTCATAATTTAATTAAACTAGGAAAATTACTTGGGAAAATTAACGAATTAATAAACGACGTTTCGAGCATAGCCCCTGATCAAGTTGGTATATTTATGTCATAATTTATTCATAAAACCCCATGCAATGCATGACGGAATGGGGAATGTTATTGCAAGCAAAACGGGGGCTTGTCCCCTGAAATATATTTTAATATTTCACAATTTGCTTTGGGAAGTAGATTCTCAGTCAAATTGACTGTATTTGAAACTCTGAAAGGGTGGCAAAATATTTAGGTGTCAAAAGATGTAAAGTGGTTTGTAGATTTTGAAAGTTAGACTAAAGCCCAAAGTCTAAAGCCATTTTCCAGTTAGCGCGACACTATCTTCTAAGATTTTACAGAGAAAGCAATTTCTCTTTCCAGCGTAGGAGACGAGATTATTTTTGATTAAACACGCAATCTTCTGAAATTTTGCAAAATAATCACTTCATTCTCAGCAAACGGTAATTTATGAATTTTTGAAAGTTTAAAAGCGTTTCTTTGAAAAAATAAAGAGGGGCCTTAGCTCCTACTAGCCTAGTATGATGCCCGTAAAATTATGCGTAATTATGGTCAGGCATTGAACATGTGCATATAAAACTATTGACTTTTCAGAAAGATATCTGACAACATCATTTGAAATAATGGGTTCTAAGGGATCCTCATGCCACCCGTTTGTGCAAATTGATAATTTTGCAGATTGATGGGCTCCTTCTGTATGAGAAAGACATCGTAAAAAGGACAAAGAATATCTTAAGAAAAAACACAGATATCATTCAGTAACGAAAATTATTTAAGTTTGAGGAAAGATTGGAATACTTTACCAAGTTATTTTCAAAACATGCAGCTTAATCTTCCATTAATACTTGTAGGAGTTTCATATTTTCCAGGCTCTTTCTGTAGAATTCCAGATTTGAGTTGTTTCTGCCGAGTTTCAAACAAGGAGAAGGGAGGGGGGGTGTACGGCTGGTCATTAGTCAGGGGATAAAAAGCCCCGTTTGTCACTAGACACGACTTTTGAATAAAGTTGGACAAAATTTCTTTTTAGTACAAAACGCAGGAGTTTTAGCGCCTCAAATACAAAATCAAAATGCCTTTGAGTTCTTAGTTGAAATGCAAAATTAAATAGCCTGTCACAGGACGTTTAAAAAATTTCATCCTTTATCACTCCTAGAGCAGACTTAACTATTAAGGGATATTTGATGATCCAAGGAAGGAGCCAGGGCCTATTTTAAGAAATTTTCAATACTGCACATTTATAATCATATTTTTATAGGAAATTTTTTTGTTGCACACAGTGCAAACCCCTGCAAACCCCAGGTATCTTAGCCATGCAAGTGTAGCGAGGAAATGGCCCGAATTTTGAACACGTGTATAGGCCATGACGCAGAAATCACAAACAGACAGACGATAATATACACAATCATAAATAACATTTCAAAATAGCAACAAAACAAAAAGTAGCTACAAAACCTGAATAGAAACATAGTCGTTTATCTTTTGTAAACGGAGTTGCTATCTCATGTTTTGTCTGGGCAGTACAACTTAAAAGTTTTATTAGGTTCTTTATCTTTCTTTTAGTTAAGTTAAGTGAGCTTCTGCTAGATGCGCAAGCATGATAGGGCAACTGATAAATTATTACTGAACGTTTTATCTTCGACAAGATCAAATTACGAAATTTACAGCAATCCTGACATTTACAAGTAGATGTTTTGTTTCTGGCTCTGGGCATTTGGCTTTGTTTTGAGTTTTGATAAGATGAGTCTTTCCGATGGTCATACGAGAATTACAATACATGACCTCTATATCGAACTGACGAGGAAAATTCACATTTTGTTAACAAACAGGAATCTGGGATAGACATTTTCACCTAGCCGCAAATAGACATTTCCACAAATCCCAAAACTCAATACTTCACATTTTCGAAATCAGCACTGCACGTTTTTAAATTAATACTGCACAAAGTGTGTAATACTGCACACTAAAATAGGGCCCGGAAAGGGCACTATCATTTAAGAAAGGAATATGCACAAATTACATAACAAAAAATAGGCAATATTGGAAAAATCCTCTTCCCCCTGAATTATCATTTAATTTGCATCATTTATTGATCATTATAACCTTAGAAATTTGTGTGAAACCCCTCACTCCATCTTTGATTAGGTAATATGTGAACGTTCCCATACCCAACTGCCAACACATCGACAATCTTATCGAGATACAACCATTCTGAATGGAAAGAACATAGGGTAGTACAGTATTCTCTCCAATTTGCGGACACCGTCGGGGCCAGAGCAAGGTGTCCGCTAATTGGAAGTGTCCGCCTTTTGGAAAGTTTTGCAATATAAGTCCCAAAGTTGAAAATAGACCCTAGTTTTGTATAGAAAAGGTACAATCATTAGTGGCGCCAGGGGAGGGCTAGGGGGCCTACAGCCCCACCGTCGGAAGCACCTTGCCACTCAAATCGGAGAAAGCTTTATGTAACGTTTTAGGACTTGTATTCTTCAGTAATTATTATTATTATGTTTAGCTAGATCTTTGATTATGTTGTTTGTTAATGTCACATGTTTGTTTGTCGCGCCTTTCCGGGAAATGTGCGTCACTGTCATCGTGTTGTGTGATGTTTCACAGTGTTCCTTTGTTGTGCTTTAATATAATGTAATCCTACTTAGAATAATTGCCCGCAACTCGCGCGCGATAGCGCGCGAGTGAAGGGCTTATAGTCTGCCCCGCGTATAAGTAGCATATGGAAGCTTCAGTTCATGTTGTCAGCACTTTTTCAGCAGATTTTGTCACTTTTCTGCTGCCATGACAACTGTCAATCAATTTCATTGTCAATCAATCGGCTTTGTCGAGGAGGTCGTTAACCGCCACCTCTTTGTGCTGAAGGGAATTATCTTCGGAGCATTGCTCTGCCAAGACTCTGTTAAAGGCCTTCGGTTTTTTTGGCACAAAAACGATGCTGCATCACAGCTCTGTTCTCCGCAATGGATGGAAGTTTTGTTTCGAAGTTTTGGGAATCAAAACCAGTCGAATGCCACACTTTTCTCCCAAAAACTCGGGACCGTACGAGCAAAAGTTATGATTGTCGTGATTATCGAAAAATAAATGTCAAACCCTCGAAAAACTTCATGATTTTCAAAAGGGCGTTGGACTTAAATCAAAGGCAAACTGAACACCAAAAATTCTTGATAAAAAGAATAGTTTAGCATCAACTAGAGCAGCTGTTTTTATAGAATTGTGAAAACCCAAGATGGTGTCTTCTTCGAATATCCTGACCTACATTTTCAAAACAATCATTATCAAGGAACTAATT